CCCCTTTTTTGGGATGGAAGAGAGAAACCGTTGGAATCTGCTGATCGCGCAGCATGGAATGCCAAACTATAGAGTTGGGCGTTATAATCAAAATGCGAGATTTAGTGTCTAGTTCAGCTCATTTATCGCTTGTCTATAAACCAATTAACTTCTAGCTATCGAGTCCATAGGTACCCACGGGTATGGAAGCCAAGGCATGCGCTACTCGCAGAGAAGCCCTCACCAGTCGTCGACAAAATTCCCCGTTTGGCCCTAGCGCTGTATCCAGTAATTCATGTAACATTTACCTGTTTCTGTATAATACGAGATTATCTCGGGTACTATTGGACCCACTTAGGATCAGATAATGGTGGGCTCCTGAATTTCTTTCTTCACGAGAGTTTGGTGGGTTGCATTTGCGTCGCAAGTCCAAGAGGCCAAGACCGATGTCGGCTAGTCGTTGAAATCGTTTTTGAACGTCTCCAACAGCTCCTGACCGAATTTTTACGGAACCCGAGATGGCCATCTTGCCAACGTTGAGCTAATAACAACCGATGCGACCATCCAAGGCGGCCTCTGGAGCGATCGACATTCTATCAGATCGTTGAAACTTTTTTCTCGTGGTGACCAAACTGCTGTCTCCGGACTGAACGGTATCGACTGGCTTGTCACAGAGCTTTAATCAACCCGAACTCGACCCAAACACACGGTAGAGAGAATAGCAAAGGTGCAAGCCGACATCACCAAAATCGAGCCGCCATGCCGTTCGTGCAGAAGCTTGCGGGCTATCCCCGCCTACTTCTTGCTGCCAATCCTTCGAAAAGCGACCTGGGAATGTTATTATCGGGAATAATATGCGCAATCGCATCTGGAGTTCCATTTCCATTGATTGGTGTTGTGTTTGGTGAACTCCTGAACGACTTTAACGCCGTGACATGCGATACAGACGAAACCTCTGGCGATGCAGCCCACTATCAAAACAGCATCAACGGCAAAATTCTCCTGATCGTGTATCTGGCCATTGCCCAGTTCATCTTGATTTATGCCCACCTCACATGCTGGACTCTGTACGGCGCCCGATTGGCGCAGAGGCTGCGCGAAAGCTATTTGCGGAACTTGCTCCGACAGGAACCATCACACTTTGACAGTCTACCCACGGGAGAAATCGCGTCTCGACTCAGCAGCGACATCCAGACAATTCGTTCAGGCACATCTGAAAAAGCTGGAATTGTGCTTGCGAGTCTGTCCTTTTTTGTCACCGCATACATTGTGGCTTTTATCAAAGACGATATAATCGCAGGAATGTTAGTCTCGTTGGTTCCAGCCTATTTCCTCATGTCGTTCATTGGGAGTCACTATATCGAAAAATACTCAGGGCGTATGTCGGACTATGCCGCAACTGCATCATCGATTGCTTCCGAGGCTCTCAACAACATTGTCGTGGTCCAAGCTTTTGGCGCAAATGCTCGACTGGAAAACAAGTTCTCTAAAGCTCTGAAATCCTCTGAGCGAGAAGGGTTGAAGAAAGCTACGGCTGTTGGCACACAATCCGGCTTCTTATATTTTATCGCTTATGGCGCGAACGGCTTAGCATTTTGGGAGGGAAGTCGACGCATCGCCAATTCTGTGAGCGGGAACTCTGCAGGCACAACTGTGGGTGCCACTTTTACAGTTATTTTCATTCTTGTCGAAGGTTAGTTAGGCTCCTAATTTCGTTACACCATTGTACTGACTCAAATATCAGCCACTTTGCTCTTGAGTCAAGTTGCTCCGTTTCTCCACCTCTTTGTAGCAGCCGTCGCCTCGTTTCAAAAACTGCGTGAAGACATTGACCGCGAGCCACTCATTGATAGTACTATGTCTTCAGGCCTTCGTCTCTCGGAAGCAGAAGGCGGCTTTGAGTTCAAGGACGTTTCATTCACCTATCCCTCCCGGCCAGAGATTACTGTTCTGGATCATATCAACATTCGCCTACCCGCCAATAAGCATACTGCAATTGTCGGTCTTTCGGGAAGCGGCAAGTCCACTATCGCGGGTCTTGTGACAAGATTGTATGATCCCATTGAGGGACAAGTCCTCTTTGACGGTCACGACCTACGCGATCTCAATGTCCGTGACTTGAGAAGTTTCCTCAGTCTGGTACAACAGGAACCCTCTCTCCTCGACCGCTCCCTGTTGGAAAATATCGCCCATGGCTTGATTAACTCAAGCAATCCGCGCCACTCACATCTGAAAACAGCACTTCTTGCTCCCGACCTCGCTGATCTATCAAGTGAAATCCGAGAGGGCCAGGATATCATGGCTGCGGCAGAGAAACGGGGATCAGACATTGTTGAAATTGTTACCCTGGTTCAGAATGCTGCAAGGCTTGCTGATGCGGACGATTTCATTTCTAAATTGCAATATGGATACGGCACAATCGCGGGCTCGAGTGGCCGGCTGATCAGTGGTGGGCAGAAACAGAGAGTTTCACTTGCTCGGGCTCTTGTCAAGGATCCTGCTGTTCTCATCTTAGACGAGGCCACAGCTTCTCTCGATTCAAGAAGCGAGCAGCGGATCCAGCACGCAATCTCAAACATCGCTACGGGAAGAACCGTGATTACGATTGCTCATCGTCTCTCGACAATCACCGGTGCGGACAATATCATCGTGATGCACAAAGGGCGTCTTGTGGAGCAAGGAAACCATTCCGAATTGATGTCTCAGAATGGAGCTTACGCCGATCTGGTCAATTTGCAAACCCTTGGATCTGCATCTGGGAAGAACGAAACAGCCAGCAGCAAGGGCAGCATCAGCAAGTCTGATCAAGCCTCTTTGGCAGACACCGATGTTGAGAAGAGCAGCCAATCCCATGGTCTTGACAAAGCTGAGGAAACTCAGGTATCAACCAGTGAAGAGCCAGTCACCGACTCTGCAGAAGAAGAGGAAGAGCCTGAGACACCATCCAAGTCTTTGTGGGCCCTAATGCGCGGGTATGCTCCAGCCTTGAGACCTCACCTTCTCATTGTTGTCATGGCACTCCTTGGCGCCAGCATTGTCGGGGGAGCCTTCTCTGCCGAAGCAGTCATTTTTGGTAACACCGTTGGGAGTTTGAATCCCTGCAAGAGCGCCTCGTATATTCGATCCCGCGGTGACTTCTATGGGCTGATGTTTTTTGTCCTTGCCATTATTGAGTTCTTCGCAAACCTGGTCAGCTGGTCAGGATTCGGCTGGGTGTCTGAGAAAATCGTTTACTCGGTTAGAGTCTTGTCATTTCGCTCGTTGTTCGAGCAAGATCTCCAGTGGCACCAGTCTCAAGGTCGAACTCCTGCCTTGCTGCTCTCCTATATTACAAGGGACGGCAATGCTCTAGCGGGATTGAGCGGCTCTGTCGTTGGCTCTCTGTTTTCGATTACCATCAACCTCATCGCAGCTATTATTCTGACCCATATCATTGCTTGGAAGATTGCATTGGTCTGCTTGTCTTTGGTGCCACTTCTACTAGGGGCTGGTCTGATGGAGCTCCGAGTGCTTGGTAAATTCGAGGAACGTCACGAAAACGCATATACCAAGTCTGTCGACATTGGCACTGAAGCAATCGCCTCCATTAAAACCATTGCATCCCTTTCTCTTGAAGAGGCAACCCTCAAGAGCTACCGACGCTCCTTGAAAGGACCTCGTCAGGAAACATTTCGAGTCACTATCCAAGCAAGTCTCTGGCAGGCGATTACCTACTTCCTCGGCAATTGTGTGAACGCACTTGCATACTGGTGGGGTGCCAAACAAATCATCAATGGCGACTACACTCAAACTCAGTTCCTGATTGTTGTTTTCTCCCTCCTTGTCAGTGCATTGCTCTGGAGTCAAATGTTTGCTCTCGCACCGGAGCTTTCCAGCGCCCGAGCAGCAATGGCTCGCATCTTGAGCTTGATCGAAATTGGAAAGGACAAAATGAACGGACATGTAGAGAGCCATTTGCTCTCGGACTCTTCGGCAGAGAAAGACCTCGAGGCGTCGACTGAGCCCAAATTTCCTCATCTGTCTGACACAATGGCCTCCAGCGTTCAATTCCGCGATGTCCATTTTTCATACCCAGCTCGGCCTGACATGAAAGTGCTGAACGGCTTGAGCATTGACATTCAGCCAGGAAGACTCTGTGCCCTTGTTGGGCCGAGTGGTGCTGGAAAATCGACCATAATCTCCCTAGTCGAGCGACTGTACACGCCGCAGTCCGGTTCGATCTTGATTGATGGCGTTGACGTGACAGGGCACCGCGACATCGCTTTCCGCGACACGATTTCCTTGGTGCCGCAAGAAAGTGTGCTCTTCGAGGGAACCATCGAGTTCAACATTGGCCTTGGAGCAAGACCCGGACATGAAGCGACCATGGAGGAAATCCAAGAGGCATGCAAGCTTGCCAATATCCACGACATCATTGAAGGGCTGCCGGATGGCTACCAAACCCTGTGCGGACCTAATGGCAGTCAGTTCTCTGGCGGTCAGAAGCAAAGATTATCGATTGCTCGAGCACTGGTTAGAAAGCCCAAGCTGTTGATTCTTGACGAATCCACCAGTGCGTTGGACGCTGAGTCAGAGAAACTCCTGCAAGATGGACTGGAGAAGGCCGCTAATGGAATAACTGTTATTGCAATTGCTCATCGTCTTCACACTATCAGAAAGGCAGATACCATTTTCTTGATCGAAGCAGGGCAATGCGTGGTCAGTGGGTCGCATGAAGAATTGCTTGAGAGATCGGAGAGCTATCGAGCGAACGTTATGCATCAAACAGTAGCGACTTGAAAGGAGATTTTGGGGCGGAGTTTTGTTAATACGTTGTAATATAGAATTTAGATTGACAGACATATCTCATAATACTCTCCTTGTTTCATTGAGAGGCAATTCTACTTTTGTTTGTGCAAAGAAGAAACAGTAGTATAGAAAGTGAATAGAATGAAGTAAGATACAAATAGAGCTCCACAAAGGAAAGATATCACTGGCTATACTCTATCTGTACTTAAAGGCAAGTACCATTACCAATCAACTCAGAAAACTTGTCCATCAAGAAACAGGCGCTTAGGGCCATGAGTTGCGAGCTCTTGGACAGTCACCACCAACTCATCCAGGCTTGAGTGTACAAAATTCGCGTCCCTTTCGCTTCCAACCACGCCAACGTGCATCTGTCCACCGCGGACAAACGATACAGCCTTGAACGGATAAGGAGCATCGCCATGTGGATTCGAAATGTCCACTTTACAAGTACCTCCAGCAAAAGGCATAGTGTCGAAATCGTCAAAGTCCTGGTGATGGACGATAGAGTCAAAGAATCGTGCTTCACACGACCATTCAGTACATTGCTGGGAGATCCTTTCGAACCCAAGGAAGTCGTTGGCAGCGGACTCAGCGCTTTGCTTCTGAACGAAATGTAAGAGGTCCGTAGCTGTCCAATGGGATTTGAACGGTACTCGGACTGGAGTGAGCTGATAGCATGGGCCCATGATATTCTCCACATTTGTGAGGTCAATGCCCCGTCCCGAGGTGACGCTGCCGAATGTCACGTCAGGTTTTTGCAGACGGCGAGCCAACAGCAGTGCCCACGCTGCGGTGAGCAGATTTGCCGTGGTGATATCCTCAGGAGGTTGGAGGATAGAGACCGACTTTTCTTGGAATAGACCTTTATCACCGGGTTGCGTGGATGTACCATGCAGAATGGATAGGGATGAGCCCTTCAAAAGATTGCTCCAGTAGCTAACTGCTTTGGTTTGGACGCTCTTGTCGCAAATTCGAGCCATGTATGATGAGAATGGCTCAAATTCAGCCACTCTCTTTCCAATGTACAATGTCCCCAAATCCTGAAGTAATCTAGGCAGAGACAAGCCATCGTACAGCGCATGTGATAGGCCAATGATGAGACAATGTTCTCCATTTTTGCCATCGACATGGAAAAACTTGACGAAAGGTGACCCAAGTTGAAAGTCGGATTCAATGTGTGTCTTGCAGAGGTCACTTACATATTGCTGAATATCCCCGACAGCCCCATTGGTCGGCACAGGGATATCCAGTTTATCCAAGACAACTTGATAGAGAGTGGATTCGTGTTTGATGAACACAGTCCGCAGAATTTCGTGGGTCTTGATCAGGTCATTGCAGGCACGGAACAGTTGTTTTCTATCAATGCCCTTTTCAAAGTAAAGCATGTTGTATTGTATAGAGGTTCGCGGTGTCTGAATGGTTGATTTGATGTCGAGTGCTTGGGAGTCTGTCACGGGAGATACATCCCGAATAGACCAGTTTGAATTGGCAAGTTTTGGACGGACATCTTGAGACAAGAAAGGCTCGACTTCCAAGAAGTTCAGCGTTGAAAAAGGCTTGTAAGGCTGAACCTTTGCTTTCGATGCTTGATCCACCTTCAAAACTTTAGCCGCATCACCAAGGCGCATGTGCTGGAATATATCGGCAACAGTCAAACTATGTCCATCGGCACGGAGACTTGAGGCCAACTTCATGGCCAGCACGGAATCACCACCAAGGCGGAAAAAATTGTCCTCGACATCGATCTGCTCCTCATTGATTCCAAGTATCTTTGCCCAGGCAGACCGCAAGATGGTCTCCGTGGCTGTCAGGTTTGTTTGGCATGATGATTTCTTCCATGAATGAAAGCCTTCACGAAGCTGATCAAGGGTGTGTTGAGGAATCCGTGAGGCAACCTGATTGAGCAAATTGCGGTCAACCTGTTCTGTGGCGGTAGACATCTTATCGACCACGACGTAGGCAAAGGGTATCATGTGTGATGGGAGGGAGTCTTGGATGAACTTGTCGAGTCTCTTTAGCGCAACGGCAAGGTTGACTGGAACCGTGGCACAGATAGTCATCTTGAACTTTTGTTGGCTAGGCATGTCCAAAGTAATGGCGTGTTCGGATGACATGAGTTCAACATGGTCTTCTCCAAAAGCTTGCCGCTCAACGAAGGCTATTAATTGTGGCTCATTCTTCTGTTGAGGGTCGCTCATTGATGATGGTTGAATGATAGCTGCAGCTGCGCGAATGGATGAAGGAAGATGTCGTGTGAAGTAAGACTCAACATCTGCGATGTCCACTGCATGTCCTTGAACGGGGACGACATTCTCCTTTCGGCCAACAAACGTCAAGCTTCCGTCGTCCCGCAACCGAACCATATCACCAGTGGGTTGTACTCTTCCGGTTCGGCCAGCACATGCAGAGCTTCCAGTCACAAGCCAGGCTGGAGATTCAACAATGCTACCTGAAAGGTAAGTTCCTTCAAGCCACAGCTCGCCAGCACAGCCGATTGGAGACAGTAGAGATGGGTTCCGCGGATCACACACCCAAGGAACCACTGCCGGAGGGTATATTGATCCTTGCTTGATGGTGACATCTGCTCGAAGCGTTCCCGATGCCTTGTCCAATGGTAGTGGGGGGACGTGGTTCCACTGCCAAATCTGATTCAATTCAGCATCGGGAAGGCAAGATATTTGGCCAAGTCTTCTGGAAAAGTCTTTTGCCAGCTGTATGCAGGCGATCTCCAGCTGACCAAGAACGCGCTTCATTTGTTCGATTTCAACCAAGTTGGTATCAAAACTAGCACAGACTCTGAAGCCTCCCTTCTGAATTCCACAAGCAATCATTAGGGGGTATGGATTGAAATGGAGTGCTTCACGGACGACATCTCCTTTGTCAAAGCCGAGGTTATTGCCCTCGTACTCTGGTTCTGGTTGAATGACCAAGCCTGTGCCAGCTTCACACGCATGCTGCGCATCTCGGCTAACCTTTCTGATGTTTTGCATTCCCATGTGCTGGTATGGGGTACGGGCCAAGATCGATTGCTGAACAGTCTGTAGATAGGACTCCACAGAGCTCGCTCGGTTGACATGAACTCGGATAGGCAGTGTTGCTATCAATGGGCCAACAATGTTTTCGACTCCCGATAACGAAATGTCTCGACCTGTGAGGGTTTCGCCAAACACGACATCGTCACTTCGCGTATATTGTGATGCCACGAGTGCCCATGCACCACGGATCAACGTTGCCAATGTGAAAGGGGATCCCGCGTTTGTCACAAAAGGAATCTGACGCTCAATAAAGCCGTCTGGGGAGGGCAGGTAATCTCTGTAGGGCAGACGCGGAAACTGAGGTCCGACAGCACCGTTCAACTCGCATCGCCAAAAGTTCTGCATAGCGACTTCGTCCGTGTCGCGCACGTATTTGACAAAGTCCCTCATGTGTGTCTGCCTGTCAATGTTCTGAGCTTGTAAAGAATTTTGGACTTGCTCAAGAACTAGTGGCTCTGACCAACCATCGTAGAGAACGTGGTGAATCGTCCACACCATGTACCGCTTTCCATCCGTCAAATCGTCAACAATGGCGTATCGAGCAAGGCTTTGTCCAAGATGCATCTTCTCGTTGCGGTCGCTATCGAGATACTCGGCCAGTTTATTCGAATATTTCCAGGAAATGCTTTCCTTCAGGACCACTTGCTGAAGGCCAGGGTCTTGAAGCTGGACCAACCGAGTACGCAAAATAGGGCTTGCCGCAACAACGTCCTCCCATGCGTTTTTCCAGGCTTCGAGACTGATATTAGACGGAATACAGGCGACTCTCTGAGCAACGTACGCCTTGGTCGATTTGAGTGAGAACGTAAATAGTGACTCCTGCGTGGGCGTGGATAGATAGATGTCTTCAATGTCATCTGGACTTGCTTCGCAAGCTTGTGCCGCTTCGAGACAGGCACTCTCGAGTGGTTGTGATACCATAGAAAATGCGGGGATTCCCTTGCGTACTTGTATCTCGCAACTCTGAACAATCTCAGCCATTGCTGAGAGTGTCGGGTGGCCAAACGTCCCAGTGACAGTAAGTTCAAGCCCTTGGTCCCTGCAAGCAGAAACAAGCTTCATTGCCGCCAGAGAATCACCACCGAGTGCGAAGAAGTTGTCGCCTGGTCGAATGGTCTCTCCATCGAGCTTTAGAATAAGACTCCAAGCCTGTCGCAGACGCTTCTCGAGGTCACTCAGCTCCCGAGTAGCGGTAGTCGCGGTCTCTTGATCTAGCTTCCGCAAGTCGAGTGTGGCACCAAATTGCTTGAGTCTCTTTCGGTCGGTCTTTCCCGAAATCAGGGTTGGGATGTAATTCACGGGTATATATGCATTCGGCACCATGTACCGCGGCAGAACTTTCGCCAGATCCGCGTCAGCTTTGGACAGCGTGCTGCGCAGCTCGCCAGAGGGTGGAGGGGAGCTTAAATCCGTACTCTCCTGTCCCTTCGAAGATTTGGATGCCAGAAATGCCACCAAAGTAGGCTGACCTCTAGATCCCTGGGGCACAATCACTTCGACAATAACAGTGGTTTCTGCGGGCAGTCTGTCCCTGAGCTGGCTTTCAATCTCTCCAAGCTCGACACGTTGCCCACGTAACTTCACTTGTGTATCCTTTCTTCCGGCAAAGACAATACCGCCAGAGCCGTCGGGATCCCATTTTCCAAGATCACCTGTCTTATATAGACGGCCCCTTCGACCAGCGTAACCGTTGTGGCCGGCAAGAAGCCACGATGGATCGTTGATGAAAGCGGCTGCAGTCTTCTCCGGGTCGTTCAAGTAGCCTTGTCCGACAATTGGCCCCTCAACGAGCAACTCGCCCACAGCGCCAACCGGCATGAGCGATTCGTGGTCATTTGGATCAACAATCCACATAACCGCTCCATTTCCTGGTCCAATGGAGATATAGTCTCTGCCTGTAGCTGCGCTGCTGTTGACCGTGCATCCAATCGTGCATTCGCAAGGGCCATAGCCGATGATGATTCTGGTGTCTTGACCCCAGATGGTAGCGTCTCTCGCCGAGACGGCTTCTCCACCAAGCCCAAGACCACTGAGTGATGATATAACATCAGAATCCAAGATTCGGGCCACCGAAGGGGTAAGACCGGCGTAATTAATCTGCATTTTTCTGATCGCTCCGTTGATGTCGTTCAGTCGATCTTCATCGGAAGGAATGCAAAGACAGCCACCATTACCCAGAGTTAAGAGCATACTGTCGATGCTAACGTCGAAAGCATAGGAGGCGAAATCAAGAACCCTCGAATCCTCCGTATAGCCAACTGCCTTTGCTCGGGGTATCGCACTGCTGGTGTAGGTCTGGTGGGAAATTTTGACTCCTTTTGGTGTGCCCGTGCTCCCGGATGTGAAGATAATATACATCAAAGCAGATGGTGGTACAGTCGGCAGCTTTGGAACATCTTGAGAATTCGAGGAGTGAGTGAATATTTTCGCTTCAACGACGAAATAACTTCCGCTTGGAATAATCGTTGTTGACAGCTCGTGCTGTTGCCGCGATGACAGAATTGTTTTTGCATTGACTTGTTTCGCCATGTTCTGGAGCCGGGCAAGTGGAAGGGATGGGTCCATCATCACAAGCGTTGCTCCTGCTTTCATCACCGCAAGCACGGCAACAATTGTCCATTTTGACTTTTCAAAGCACACGGGTAAGAAATCGTGCAACTTGACACCCATTTCCTTGAGTGAACATGCCACAAGCGTGGAATACCGGTCGACTTGGAAGTAAGTCAGGCTCCCATCCCAGGATGAGATTGCCTCTTTGTCACCATGTTTTTGAGCCTGTTGGGAGATCATTTCGTGCATACAGAAGTCGTATGTGGGAGGCAGCTGATGATTCCATCTCCAAACCTGATCCAGATCATGGTTGGTCGGCCGAAGACAGTCTTCAATAGACGCGTTTGGGTCTGAAATGCACATTTTGATGGTGTCTGCCAGTGTTTCAATGTACCGAGTCACTGTGAATGGCAGCATATTCTCAGTGTACCACACTGGGTGGACTTTGAGGTATCCATCATTCAAAAGTACTTCGAGATGAAGCGCACCCTGTGCTCATTGTGGTTAGCCAAAATGTACAATCAATATGGGCGATTCACTCACTTCATCTTTTGCTTTTTCGGATCTGGACAGAAAACTAGTGCTGAGGAGAATTGGCACAGGGCTGGATATGCGTTTTGTAGTCGTTTCCTTGATGTGGCGAGAGACTGCTGCTGCACTCTGCCCGACAGTGCTTTGCAAATCTGTCATTACATCTGTTGAAAGATATTGGCTCACTCCCTCATGCTCAACAGCATTATCTCGAGTGCCGTAGGCCCACTCATAAGAGACTTGGCCGCCTTCCTGGGTGCGCAGGAGTACGATCAACCAGGATAGAAGTAAAGCCTCTTCTCGCATGCCTGTCGGAGTGGAGGTTCCATCAGATTCGAGACGGACGATCTTGAAAGATCTTGGGCCACCACTATTCGACTGCGTATCAGCGAGGTGCAAGAAACCCATGTTGGCGAACACTCGAGCTTTCGTGGTGATATCGGGAGGAGGATTGGGACGCGACTACCTGTACAACTAGCTCCCGCTTGACACTAACTTGAAATCGCACCGGGTGCTATTATATAACTGTTACGACCGTCCACGTTATGTGGGCGTATTTCGTCCCGCGTGCGAGCCGCGAAGCCAGGAGAATTACTGCGTATCGATACTTGTGCATAGTTTCACCGAGATCGGCCTAGGAATTACCAGTACTCTTCAGATTCAACAGAGTTGAAACAGCACGGGCCACGCAACGCCAAGGCACTAGCCGAGCGACCCTCAATTGAGCTCTTTCCTCCCAATCCCGACCATGTCCACCATGACAAGCAAACTAGACTCGGTATCTTCATAGCGACCTCCGGCTGTTCGGCAGCGTCTTCAAAGAGCAGAAACTGGCAGTACTAAAATGTCCTGGTCCATCGATGCCATCGACGTTGACACATCGGAACTTACCGGCGATCAGACATTTCGAAGTGGGGTGTAGCTAGGTCTTTGAATCTGCAGGCAGAATCACCCATTTTTCCTGCCCTGGTCCATGTGTTCTCATGTGCTACATTCGTCGGTCTAAGCGAGATCGCACGGTGCGTTCTCCTGCTTGCCAAGTATTGGTGGTCACAGCCATTGGTGGTCGAAATTTTTTAATTTTTGTTTTGGGTTTATCAGATCCGCTCTGTTCTAATCAGATCCGCTGTAAATTACTAGTCGAGACTGGTGTCCTGTGACTGTATTACATCCTTGAACAGTATTTCCGTATTCCATGGATACCATATCCAGGCCATAATTCTGGAAGGGTTCTTTTTTCCGTATTTATTGATTGTATTTTGTGAGATTAAGAGAGTCCGGTGGGTATGTCTTGCGGATTTCAGGCTTGTAGGGTCTGCCCACCCAGGAACGCCCACATCTAGCCGACCTCGGAGATTGATAACGGGCCCGCTCTACGGACATTAAGTCATAGGTCAATTCCGCACTTTTCTCCAATTACTCTGGCCACTTTCACAACTTCCCCGAAAATCGCGAATCCAATATGTACTCCAAATTCTGGCCCAAGGGAGGTCTCCCTGGCATTCTGCATCATTATGTACGTCTACTTCTAAATTGGTAGGAGGAATTAATCGAGTCTAACCCATGCGCAATATAGACGGAATCTCTCGTCACATTCGAATATGCTTCCAGCAGTGTTCGCCAGCCTCACAGTCTTCTCTTTATCGGCGGGTTAGGAGATGGCATGGCAACAACATCTTACATGTCAGATCTTGTCCGCGCGATGCAACCCACGGAATGGTCTCTTTTCACGGTCAACCTCACATCTTCCTATCAAGCATGGGGCCTAGGGCATCTTGACAGAGACACAACTGAGATTGCCCAATGCGTGGAATACATCAAAGACTACAAGACATCCAAATTCGGGAATGGCAAGGTCGTTCTTATGGGACATTCCACTGGCAGCCAATGCGTGCTACATTATTTATCCCGACCAAACCCACACCCAAGTATTCCTAGCTTTGATTCTGAGCTCGAAAATATCAAGCGTCCTGAAATTGATGGAGCCATCATGCAAGCACCAGTGTCTGACCGGGAGGCAATTGCCTTGTGCATGAAATATGGATTTAAAGGCAGGTCCTCAAGCGAGATTCAAGAGCTATGGAAGAAATTGAAAGATATGGCAAAGGAAGCTATTCATCAGGAGGAATCTTACGACACTCTGCTACCTTTGTGGATGACCAGTTCGATCTATCCGTCCAATACTCCTATTAGCGCTCGCAGACTTTGGAGCCTCCTCAGTCCAGAAAGTCCCAAATCGCCGTCAGAGGACGACTTGTTCAGCTCAGATCTGAGCGACGAGCATTTCCAGAAGACGTTTGGCATGGTTCAAAGGCGGGGACTGTTGAAACACAAGTTGATGGTCTTGATTTCGGGCGCGGATCAGGCAGTCCCAGACTGGGTTGATAAGGAGAACTTGCTACGGAGGTGGAAAAATGCTACTGATCACACCGGATCCCAGATCTGGGATCAAGACCATAGTGCAGTGGTACCTGGTGCTTCGCATGCGTTGAGTAATGATGATCAGGCAGAGCCGCGGAAGTTTCTTGTTGAGAAGGTTCTAGGGTATTTGCAGGCAGCAGAGAAGATATAAACCAATCCTCTCATGTCTATTAACTCAGTTGATCGTCCTACGGAGCAAATTGTTGGGCTTGAGGTTCCCTTTTGCAGAGTGAAAAGTTACATAAAACCTCCGGCCAATAATTGTGGACAAGCGATATTCGGACTGAATAAAACAAAATCGCAACATAGACTGCTGACATCTCCATCGAAGAACATACTGTAGAGCTCTTGCTGTCTAGTCTCGTCTCGGCCGCGAACGCACCGGCAGGTTTTGTCGTCGGGTAAGGGACCTTTGGGAACTTCTCATCAACTCAGTTTAGAAAAAGGATCTCGCGGTCCGGAAGACGAATCCTCATCCACTGACTTGAGGGGGAGGTTTTCTTGATCAAATTTTGGCGAAGGGGCGACATACTTGGGGCTCACGGCTGGTGCAGCCTCTGCATCCTCGTCTTCACTGTAGAATTCGTATTCGGTGCCATCCTTGGGGTCGCAGGCAAAGAAACGCAGAAATAGGTTCCAGGGTCCCTCGGCCGCGGTGAGGAAGCTGTAGATGGGAGAGGCTCTTATCTTTAGGATACCAGACTTGGAAAATCTGGCTTGGAGAAGACGACCATGGCGAGGTCCAAAGAGAGAAACGACCAGAACCTATTAATATTAGTATATAAAGTCATGTGGCTTTCAACAGCATACTGGAAAAAGGGAAGTTTTTTCAAACTCCTTCTGGTCGAGGCGATTTCGAAGCGCTTGTACGATCGGTCCTAGCTCTCCAAAAAGTAATTCGCCATCCTTGGCTGTGGTTCCAGTGCAGGTCACGAGCAGAATATGTGGAGCAATCGTGTCCATATCGTCACAATCGTCCTGCCACTCGTTACAGGTTTCAACACTCCACTCTTGGTGTCTCATACCCCAGCACGAAAATAGTCCCTCTCCGCCATCGATGAATGAACTTTCCGCCCTAAGTCATTAAGATGATATGTTAGTATAGTAAGGTTAGTAGAAAGAGCTTGACCGAACTTACGTGACGTGGTTCCACCCATAGATGTAATTGAATGTGTTCCAATCGCGACCGTCCTTCCGCCCCAGGTGTTGGCAGAAGGATTTTAGACGGATGAAGATCTGATACGCTCTCATCCTCATAGAGTAGGTCTCGGAGGGTGGTGTTTTGTTCCAAGTCCAATCAACTTCCCACGTCTCGTTGAATTCTTGATCAGTCTCATACAAGCCTTTACGCGCGGTAGGCTCGTCGAGAGAGAACTCTTCAAGTGCCTTCTCTGGCACAAGCTTGAAGAGACACGCGTGAGACTCGAGAAACTCTACATCCCCAGGGTCGAATGTCTGGAGCTGAATCCCAAGATTTTCGAGTTGACCTTCAGAGAAGTCCGCCCGTGGGTCCGTTTTCAGCGCATCGAGCAGCTTGGATACAGCTGAACGGTATCGAACTCTCAGGAGTTTTCGATTCTCCTCCTGGTCTGCTAGGATGGACGCCATGATGCAAGGTAATAGATGGTATTGAGGGAGTAAGGGGAAGATAATGAGGATGGAGTGGGCGATGGAAAGGAAAGAAGCGCAAGCAGTAGTTAGATGAAGTAAACTAAGGTTATGCAAGGTTACAGAGTACAAACGTCAATCATTCACGCTAGTCGGTTTTGGGATTAGCGCTCTTCCTCTTCTGCCGTTGCCCGAATTGCCAGAGCCAACAACACCTTAGCGAAATGATCGACCTCTTTTCGCACCCTGGTATCCCACGGCCCGTACCGAAATACCTCCAGGAAATCCTCTTTCTTGGCCTTTTTCTTGTTTCCAAGTATGTAATCTTTCCACCCGTCGGGGAAGAGCGCATTGGAGATGTAGAAATTCCTCCCATCTTGGGAGACTAGTATGATCCTTTCCTTGCCAAGACCCTTAGGAGGATCTTCGACAATGGCGGTGACAATCTCACCGGCCTCTTGGTAAGAGACATATGGTTCGTGGATATCTCGCTCGTTGGCCTTCGCTTCCAGGATGATGTGCTTGTTGTGGGTAGATCGCAGATGCCCGTCAATCTGGCAGACCAGCTTAGTGCTTTTGAAGGTGGCCACCTGCTCGGCCCGATGAGCAGTCCAGAGGGCATTAACCTTCTGACTTTCAAGACAGATGGCAGTGAGAAATGAGATGAGAGAGGAGTTGACAATCTCCTCATTAATAGGATGGTGTGTATGCTTGACATTCTTCAGCATATCGTCAACTTGGTACTGCTGGGAGTAAGGGATACCGAAGATGCCCAGGTCCGGAGCTCCAGGTAGAGCTTTTGTGTCGATGCTCTTCAAGTAGAGTTGGAAGGTTTTCGACTCCGCGAGGCATTCGCAGACTTGTTGCATGTATGACTGGACTTTGAGCTCTGGAACAATTCGACTAGCTTTGGCCTCATGTAGAAGCGTCCGGAGCAAGAGAAACTCTTTTATGGTGAGACCTGAACCAGAGTTAAACGTAGTTTGTGCGTGTATGTTGGTCCGATCCACCCCAAAGGATCTTGCGTATGTTGACCAGCTAGCCCAGCTAGCTGGAGGATCTCTCTTTCTTTGTTTTGCGGGCATGGCGCGACTCGCAATCGAGAGGTTGTCGGTGGTTGAAGGAGAAATGGTAACCGAAAAAGTAAACAGGTGGTTGAAAGAGAGATGGTAAACGAGAAATAACCAGTGCGAGGTATCTGCAAGCGCAGAAACTTCCCTTCCACTTCAGTATCAGGACATTAGCAAACTCCACCACTTGTTTGGCTGCAGATAGTTATTTACTTGGGGATAATACTTGCTAGCATTTGTAAGAATAACAGAGACATTCATACATTACCCTCAGCAGTTCATATATCGAGATTTCGTCCGTTGCCCAAGACCAAAAATTTCCCAGGCCTGCAGATAATAATCCACCCGATTTCTTTACAACAGAGTGACCCTGACTGGTCAAAATACCCGACAGAGATTCTTTAGATCGAGCAAATAAACCCGAATCTGTCTAAAGGTACTTCAATCGGCCTAGTCGGTGTGTGAGGTGTCTATACTTATAGTGTCGACACAATAACATTTATCATTATATCAGTACATTATGAATTAGTCAGTTCTTGGAGCTTTCAACAGCGTATTTCATGCGACGAGGCATGGTTTCCTGTGTTCGGAATTGTGTAGGACCTGCATACATAAGGAATGTTAGCGAACATCTAACAAGGTGTGGGACCAGTTCTTCCAAAGGAGAAAGATGGGCCTTCAACAGCATCAAATTTCGGTTTTGACGACGATTTGATAGCAGAGGTATCGAATTGAACGCTGTCAAGTGACTCCGAGAGGAAGCTGGCCAGATGCAGATGAGGAAATGGAAGGAGAGAAGAGAGATGCGAAGTATAAACTATGCTTATATAGGCAGGCGCGGAGTGTGGACACCTTAGGCAGGTCCTTGCAGACATGTTGCATATGGCGGTGATCTCCATCGGCATTCACTTCTGTACGACTGCCTACTTAGAGTGAGGGATTCCTGCCTACTAGGGGTCAAAAGACTTCAACATTTGGCCCGACTTTCAACCGTCCAGCATGTTGAGCATGCTATCCCTTAGTTAATGTTGGGCTCTCAAGTAAGCTCACTCGATGGATTGATTAGGGGCGCGAATATGAGTGGAGTCCACTAGCAGCAAAGACGTACGAAGGATCGAAAGAGTGCGCGAGTATGAGACTCTGATAGGGGCGAAGAGAAAAGCGAAATAAGTAAAATAAATTAAAGTCACAAGGGCGTGCGAAAAAGTGTGGATCGATAGTTAGTAGCAACCCATCTATCCTCTCTGCTGGGACGCGCCAAGCGGAGGGGACGAGAAACAAGACACCCGAGGGAGGGTCCCGGAGAAGCTCGGCATGGTGTACTGAAGCCGTAGATTGGAGGATAAAATCGATGATATAAAAAGAAACGGAAAAAAGGTTCAGCCAGGTAGAGGTACTGATGCAAGGCAAAAGATAAAGCGAGAGAAGCACGTAAGGTTAAGCGACCTACGCGATGTTCCGAGGAAAGTAAATTGTCGGGTGTCTCGGATAGGCCCGAGAATGGGTGAGTAGTGACAAGTCCGTCTTGGCTATCCATGGATGGGAACAAATACTAACGGGGATAAAAGATGGAAATAATTGCATACGGAAGAATACTCCGTAGATTTCATTCCAAATGTTGCCAAAGTTTAAGCGATTTGAAATACATAATGGCGATCGCGTTGTCGGTCCGTGGTGGGTGGTCGATCAAGGGAACCACGGCTGGCGGTGTGGGGAGAGGAGACAAGAGAAAAGTCTGGAATCGAATAATCAAATAAAAATCATGTATGCATTGTGTACAAGGTATCGTATCCGAAGAGTGCAGGAAGCTTGTATATTCACAGTAAACCGGAGTAGCGCAGGAGGAAAAGGGGTATAGAGGTACATAGAACACGGCCAGCAAAAACAAAGAGATACATCGCGCAGGTAAAATCATCATCGTGTCATCGGAATCAATCGCAGACAAAACAGCCAAAATCAATGGGAAAACATAGAAACATCAAAACACGTCTATCGCTGGGGGCATTGCCAACCCCCATTCTAGGATACAAGAGAGGGAAAAAAACGCGGCAAAAATAAAAACTCAGTAGAAAGGGAGCTACTCGCACATCTCTCCTCGCGCGGTTTTGGTTTGGGTCCAGCCCGAAGCGACCGGTGGAGACCTTGTCCAAAGCTCTCCACCAGGCGGGGAGAGAGGCCGGGGCCTCCGCCGGCCGCGGCGGACGACCCCGAGCGACGAATTCGAGTTCGGCTGGCGAGGCCGCTCGTCATTTGTTCACAACGAATGTAATGGTAGGATTTGGGTATTGTTCCCAGAGCCAGGTTGTCCCATCGTCCACGCGATGGTGGGTACCGGGCTTTTCACCATGGCTGTCGGGTCAAGCCGGTAATGCTTTGAGGGTGCTGCCGGGCCACGGCGCGCCGATAAGCGAGTGTCAAAAAGGGTAACGATTGAGTCATCATCATCGTCGGAGACTCCGTGCTCAACACGGTGTGTCCGATCTGTCCCCTGAGTGCTTCACAGGGTCCACGACTGTTTCCAGCCCACAGTCTGCGCCTGGGGGTAGTGGTGGCTCATGTGGTCCTCATAGGGCAGGCAGTCGGTGCCGGACCACGAGGGAGACGGGTAGTGGCAGTGGACGGGCGGCTGGATCATGCTCTCCTCAAGCGAAATGGGGACAAGCTGCGAGGGGGGCAGGCCCGCATCAGAGCCGTCCCAGACGCGAAGGGGAGAGTGCATCTGCAGCGGAGACGAAGTAACATCGGTCTTCAGCATGCCCTTGTTATGGTATTGGTCAATGACGGAGACGGAGGTAGATGAGATGGAGGAGCTGGAGTGAGGAGGGACAGAGAAAGCCGCGTCGGACAATGGCGAGGGGCAGGTCTCAGCTGGCGAAGAGTAGAAGGGGCTGTCGTCCGCGGATTCGGGAAGGTGGTGCTGGAACATGTTGACAGGGCGAGGCTGCAGCGGAAGCTCCATGCCGCTCCACATCAGAGAGCAGTCGTTTGCAAGGTCCGGGTGAATTCCGGGGGCAACGATGGATCCAATAGACATAGCGTGAGCCTGAGAAGAGGGAGCCAGGAGCGAACCATTGCCGGCATCGACGGAAACGACGGGCGCGGGCGCTTGGCTGGGGGGTGCCCATTGGGCGCTGGAGTGCTCGGTCTGGGATTCGAGTTCACTGCGCGCATCCGTCAGTATACTAATGTTTGGTTCGGGGACCGGTGCAACTCACTGTCGCTCCATGTGGCGAGCAAGCAAGTCGGGGCGGTGGAAGGCCTTCTTGCAGCCCTGCTGCGTACACCGGTACGAGGCCTCGGGGTTGTGGTTCAATTCATGTCGGCGGCGGTGCTCGGCTCTGGTGAAGACCTAGAGTGGGTTCAGCGCTGAATAAATAGAAAGTCCTATCAGTAGAAACTCACCTTGGAGCAGCCAGGAAACTCGCAGGCGTGGACACGCTTGCCCTTCTTGGCTTTGCTGATGCGGTGGGTGGTGGGTGTATAGGTGACGGGCATGGGGACCTCGGATTGAGGGCTAGGGCGGCGCATGGCGTTGTTCTTCTTACCCACCATGGTGGACTGACGGGCAACGCGATGACGGGGTTCGGGAGAAGGCGAGGTGGAAGCCGAAGGGGTGTTTAGCAATGACACAATGTGGCTGTTGGATAGAGTGTTGGATAGATGCTTGCGTTCATTCGAAACTCTCCGGGCCATTGCTTGGGGGGGTTGGTTGGAGAGAGGTGAAGCTGGATGGGAGGAGGGAGGGGATCTATATAGACAACGGATGGCTGTGAAGTGATGTAATGGCTGAAGGGCCGTTTCAAAGGTGAAGAAACAGTCGCTGCAGACGAGCTGGAGAAGAAGAGGTGAGGGCGGGATGGGGGTGGATTGATATAGTAGCAGGAACAATATGCTGTTCCTCCCAGATCTACGGATGATTAGACTTTGATTTCTGAATTAAATCAATTAATTAACCCTTTTAATTAATAAATTACAAAAATCGATTCCAAAAATACGTGGGGATGATCGCTCGGGATGATCAAAACTAAAAATTACCACGTTCGAGGCTGAGGAACGAGGCGTGCAAGGCACACCAACGGTTGACCGGGTGGGTAGTGCTCGCGGCGATCAGGATTGGGTCGTGTTGGTCCGATGTGAGTGGTCGACGGGCCAGCCGTGGTGTTGGTGCTAGTCGAACGACCGACATCATCCAATCCAGGGCACTCGGTTTTGGCCGGAGCATACTACAATCGATCGTGTAGGCAGGCAACCGAGTGCGAAGCTACTCAAATAGGGGGATACACTATACTCCGTGCTTGCCCTCACTCCTTTTTTTTTTTTCTCTGACTTCGAAGCCCAGGATCACACTAAAGCAAATGGAGGCTCGGGATAACGCAGCTGCGATTGGCTACCGTGAGGCTGGATCAGCGTCGCTCGATAAGGCATCCCGGAGGCTGTGGACGAGACTAGGATTCATCGCTCGACTGCATCATGCATTCTATAAACAGAAAGAAAAAAAAAAACAGGTTTATCCGCAGCGCTGCTTTTTCCTTTCTTTCTCCAGTGATTATTATCTCGCATCTCTATACAGATCGGATCACCTGGTCCCACAACCGGTTCGGCCAACACAAATCAGCCCAGTGGATCAACCCACAGGACGGCGTGTGGTCCGGCCACCCCGGCGGCTTGGCCCGGCTCCGTCCAACCTGCGGCCGCTTGTTTCAGGGCGCCGATCCTTTACTCCATGGAGGGAATGAACAAAAGCCCTAGCACTGTCTTTTTTCGCCAAACCCCCGCTGCGATCGTCAACGTCACTGGGTGTTCGGTCGCTCTGGGGATACTGGATGGAGATGGCGATCGCTTGTACCTCAATAATGCATGCATGCGATATAAACTGTATAGGAGGCGTAGACACACCCAGCTCATTCTCGGCGGCATTTACACCGTCAAAAGGCTTGCGATGTACGCCCAGCGCGCCCAGAACTATACCCAATTCTATGCAAGGTGGATCTGTAGGATGCTATCCGGAGAATAGCTCCCTGCCACCTCGTGGCTTGCTTGCCTGGGAGGAGCACCATCCCAGTCCGGCCAACTAGGTGGCAATCTCCTGAAACCGTAGTTGCGCATATCCTGTCCCAAAGCCTTCTGGAAGCACTTCTGCACGTCCTCCACACCATCAGGATGATCCTGACAGGGATGGCTGGACTATTGTATGTAAGAGATAGGGGGAGGTATATTTATGCGACGCGACGCGATCGTCGGGCGCAACTTCATTAGCTACACTTGTATCTAGTGCGTACACCGTGTAGGAGATTGTTTTGGTGTAGATACACACTGCGTCAACGGGGAGATTTTGGAAATTCTATTATTACTCTACTGATCATCTCGCAATACTTTCTACTGTTGGTTTCAAGCCACATCGACATCATTCTTCATCACTGACAAACCAGGGTGCGTTTGATCGCCTTCTCGTCTTTTTGCTCTCTCGCGTGGTGGGATCAGCACGATGACGACCAAGTGTTCCCCTATAGGGTTAGTGGTATTTTATGACATTCCATATCTTCCGGTGCTTGCTTCTCCACACCTCCCTATCTCTCCTAATGCTCGCCCCGCTCACTTGGAGGGATATGATCCTCCTTTTATGGCTTCTTTTCCTTCATTAATTATTGTGGATCATTTTCACAACGACCACTAGCAAGCTTCGCAAGGGACACCAGTTGGTTAGTGACAATGTTGGGATCGGCTATCGGCACATCACTTATGCGACTGACTGATGACGCTCGGGTCACTTGGTCGACCGTTGGTGGGGAAAAAGGAACAGGAACGCCCACCCCCAAAGTATCGTCTATTGCCCCGGTATACATAAGAGTGCACCTGCAAAATGCGTGTTTATATGTGTGCTTAATGAGCCCTATCCCATTGCTAGGTGACTTCCTGTCAACACAAAAATATGGAGTAGACCTGAGGAAGTAGGTAGTCTGTAAGGCCAGCAACTTAAAACTAACCATCGTCATCGGTGTTTGCTGCAGAAAAAGGCGTGCAGAGAGCTTCGCGAGTCAGTCAGTGACCTTTTTTTAGCAGACGGGAGCGAGGGAAGGGATGGGGGGCGCACTAGTATGGGGCTAACAGTACGGAGCGTACAGTGGTGTATTGTCCAGCGCCGATCTGGCCTCGACCTGCAACAAACAACAGCCAGGATTCGCTTCCGGCGCATCGGGAAAAGAGAGGGCAGATCACCATACAATCCTTTCGACAGGCGCCCAAGAAAGCATGGGCTCAACAGTCAGTAGAAAGATCCGCCGTTATTTTTTGGTTCGTGCTGGCAGCTTCGGATCGACAGGGTGAGAATGAGATTCAGTTAACCACCACCGAATGTTGTATTCAAAAATAGCCCTGACAGCCGGGCACGGGCGGGTATGTACGATCAAGCCACAACTGACAAATTGCGCCCTAATTCAAATTCACTGCAGCATGTAATTGCCGCAACTGTGATGTGCTGGCCCGAGTGCCCACGCCAGTAGTGATTTCTTCGGAGAAATTTGTTATTAGGTGTCTCCTCCAATGTTTACCTTTTCCGAGCCCACCCCCGGATGGGCTGATCGAGCTCTCGACCCACACACGCACAATGAGCCAAAGGCCCGTGCAGCCAGCTTTTTGGACGTGGTGGATATACCCTTGACCCAGTAGCTTTGACAGCAAACCACCAAAAAACCGGTCTCCCAGGTGGCTCTCCTGCCGCCGTAGCGCCTATAGTTTGTCCCGAGAGTCGGGACCGAGCCATATGGGCTCTGGTTAGACCCATACCCGAAGATGCAGAAATTGCACAGTTCGGAGACGGTCGGAGGTGTGCGATTGCGCCCGACGGCATTTACGGTGTTTGTACGGAGCAGAGCGCAGCAGTTGGAAGGTGAGGCGGCCCCATTCGGGTACCTGGACCAACCAGCGTTGTTTGATCACCAATCACTTCAAGCTAGTAGTACACTGCACTAAGTACGGGACACAGCGCGACAGCCAAACTATTTCTACATACGCTTCAGCCAATCAACTAGCAACTTAGTTACACAATTGATGATGATGTCGATTTCTCCCGTTCCTGTAATAATAATGTTGCTCCGCCGCCTGGCTTGCCTTGCGCAGGACTACATTATCCGATCGAGGTTTAGCGTATGGATGGCCTGTCCCACTAGCCCCAACCCGGTATTTCTTGTCCAAAGAGATTAGCAGTGTCAATCTCCACTGAGTGGCTGGTCATTTGATCGCGCTGAAATTGCGATTGACTCCACCCGCTGTCAATTGGGTTGTTGCCTTACCGTAGTTCCTAAACACTCTCCCACACTAGGATTGCACTGCACTGCACACTGGGTCGACACCACTACATGGCTCGAGGTAGTTACACAGCACCCAAGGATCAGCCCCGTGGCTTGATCCTGGCGCTGATCGACAACAATAATGTCAATGCTCGGGTGCGCTGAATGGCATTCTACGTGTAATGCTACGAGGCTTTGTCAAACAATTCGAACTGTTTGATTGTTCGCAGAAAATAGTGTTATAGCGGGCAAAAATAGTACGGCCATTGGGAGAAGGGTTCGACGTGATGGTCATGAGGTCATCGTTCCTAGCGAGCCTGGCCTGTTGATGGGCCGTGTTTTCGACAAACGAGCATGCGCTCGAGGCTGTCGGACTCCGGGGTACATGCGCTCAGTGGTGGCGACTGTCACTGTCGAAACAGACGACAGCAGAACCAATCCCGGCCCGCATGTATTGCGAATAACATACTGGACCGTGTGGCAGGTCGGGCGGGTTGGTTTGTTGGATATGCTGCCGTGCTGTGTGTAGTCTCATGCAGGTCCTCAGATTAAGCAGAGTTGGGGCCTGTTTTAGATCTGTGTGCCGCTGATCTTCGGGCGTGCCATGTGGTGAGGGATGAAGACGAACATCATTTTCCGAGGCAGATTATGGTGGCTTGTCTGCTGCAGATTATTGCAGGAGACCGGCTGTACCTGACACGCCGAGTTTTACATGGCTTCTGATTGCAGGGAGGTTCTTGAACTAAGCAAAACAAGAACGCCTAGGCGCATATCGCCATTTGTCTAGAGCATATCACCATATCACCTAGGAGACAATAGTCTATCGCCAAGACGATCATCTTAATCTTCCGGCGTGTGTCCAACGGCCGAAGGATGAAATGAACAGGATCAACATCCTAGCAACCATGTGGTCGAAGGATCAGGGACATCTGTACCCATAGTACGCACACGTCCCTGTTAGGTATGTACTTGCCCACCCTGACTAACCCGAATCGGGATTATGGGGAATTACTAGCGCGTTACCATGAAAATAAATAATGAAAGAGTGGCCCATGCGAACTTATGTATGGCGTGTTTCAGGTTGCTACACACGTGGCCGGGACTGCTATTTTTATCCCCCCTAGATCGGCGGTACAGATTTGCGCATTTGGAGCATGCGAAGAACGCCAGCGGGACATAGCACTGTTTCAGGAGATGAGGGAGGAGGTTAAGATGATGTTGAGGTTACTCTTGTGCCTGTAGCTCTATCTCGGTCTCGGCTTTTAGTGCCAGAACTGTCGAACACGGTCTGGACTGTCATGGTGTCCATCTGCTCATTTCCCAGCGCCCATGGATGCAACCCTACACTACAAGGAGCCTCCTCAGGAGAAGTAGAGTGTCTCCTAACTACTACTATAGGAAAGTGTAGGTCACTATACTTCTTTCACCCTCGGTACACTACGTTCTCCCAGCGATCACATCGGACGGAGGATCTCGCATTTCCCCAAGTGCAAATCTCTAGGAGCCGTGGTTTCAAGTTAGACGCGTGCACCAATCAATACGGTCGCACAGCCCCATCGGCCACATGGGAACTATGTTTTCGTTGCAGATCAGTCGTGTTCCATATTTGGCTCATCGCTAACTGCTTTTGTGCACTGTATGCATATAACTACATTTTTAAGATCAGTGAGGGCAGTGCTCGTCACGGCTGTGCCATGAGAAGAAATGAGGAAGGCGGGAAAAGCTGAAGGCTAGGCCCAGCCTCGTTCTATTATAGTCAACTATTGTGGTAAAGCCATCGAGGAATTCATTGTGTCTTGTTGCAAATTCCGTAGACCAACCTGGACCCGGGAGGCTGGGTTGTGGTTTCCCTTTTTCCGAATTTGGTGCATCAAGCCGCCGCGAAAGATAGACATGGGTGATCCCCGGGTTTCAAAATGTTAGGACCCCGATGGATGCTGTCAAACCAACAAACTCCCCACAAGATGCCAATCGCTAGCGATCAGCTGTCTGCCGTGTTTGTGTCCAAGAATAGAACGACAACATCTCACTGTTACAGATCCAGTGGGCCTGCGGGAGCGGTGATGATCGCCACCAACGCCATGACATCATTTAACTGGTCGAGTTCAGCCGGGGACCATCGACCATTGGAACGGCAGTATCCGCTGCGCCTACCGTTCTCAACTGACGGTGGTCCAGGCGCATGGTCAGGTCCATTCCGCTGACCTGCCGGCGGTGCGAGAGCTGGCAATCGGTTGTGTCAGATGCGCTTCGGAGAATAACATCGAGGCGGTGTTGGTTTGACCCTCAATTCGTGTCTATCATCGCCATTACCATCGGTTTCAAGGCCCAAACAGACAGCAGTTGACAGTTCGCCACCTCCTTCTGTTGGTAACTAACCAGGCCGGTACTATGTATGACGAAAAGCGTGCCGGGTACCTGGTTGGACCTGGCGCGAGTCAGCTCCTTTCTTTTTGCCTGTCTCCCCTTCGGCTGGTGCATATCGGAGTTGGTGAGAATGATCTCATGCGACCGGCTGTGGCGGGGATTAGGGTAAAAGAGCACGAACCATCCCTCGACCTCGCTCCCCCCCACCTGCCTTTCGCTCTCAACTGCAGGCCTAGACTGTAGACCAGTGTGTTTTCAAGCATGTGGCTGAATTGATTGGAGTGCTGCTAGCGATCGTGTTTTCCCTCCGTGGCCCATGCATTACTGCTGCCGATCACTGTTGGCTCGAAATCCCAGAGCTGATTGGGATACAATCACAAGATGTGACAATGACCTCAGCGGCTTCTGCAGACTGACTCGGTCGGCAATAATCCAACACACTTGATGTCATGGCGAAATGGATGACGAGAGAGGCATTCGAGATGTGACGTGCAAATACAGAGTGCAATGAAGGCTTCTGAGATGAAAGGAGGCCTTCGGACGGCGTGCGGAGAGGTGCGCGAGCAGAGGTGAGATTCCTCAGGCAGCCTTGGAGAGATTCGGAGCTGTAGCTGGACTTGGCGGCAGCTCAGTGCCACTCTGCTGTAGCCTTAGCAAACTCATTAGCAATGCTCTCGACTGGCTGGGTGCTCACCGAAATGAATTGAAGAGTACATCAACGAGAGCCTCAGTGGAGTCCACAACCACGAATATCCTCTGAGTCCATTTGACATCCATATAGTGTTTTACTACTATCAGACCTACAAACCTTGTATTCGTCATACTTGCCAGTTGTCTTTGGTAGTAGATTGAACAAAAAGCGGTTTGTAAGCCTGATGGTAGTAAAAGCCACTAGTTGATGGCTCCATGAGATACTCAATCCTGAAACTCCTTCCATTTGGTCATCCTCTCCTGCAGATCCAACACCTCGCCGTCAACAACAAATGTCCCATCCCCGCGATGATGGAACATCCGTGCCTGTCCCTTCAACTGCGGATTCAACCAAGCACGCACAGCCTTGAGCACCCACATACTGTACTTGGAGACCATGCGGCGGTCGACAACAACACACTCGATATTAGCGATGACTCCTGGGCCACCAACAAGCGGTGCCTGCACTGTCTCTGCAGCCACAGCGTCCAGCTTGAAGGTGGACCACTTGTCGACCTCATCACCGGAGCAATTGCCGATATCGATGACTTTCTCTGCGATGCTGACATCCGGGACAGCCAGGACGCACTCGCCGTGGCTTTTCAGCGACTCGAAACTTGCGTCCCAGGGTCCGATGCATGCGCCGATTAGCGCAGGTGAGTCGTGCTGGAGCATGGTGTGGAAGCCGATCGTCATGATGTTGTGGGTTTTTGATGTGAGTGAGCCAGTTGAGACGAGCAGGACTGGGCCTGGCTCGATGAGCCTGTATACTTTCGATGCCGGGTAGGGTTCCATCGTGTGAGCCTGCGAGGTTTCGCTCCTGGGCTCTTTTGATGGTGGCGCATCCTCGGTGGACTCTTCTGTCTTTGAGTCGGTCACTGAGATAGATGCTTTGCGCTTGCGAGGCATGATGCGGGCGCGCTATTTGTACCAAGGATGCGCGCCCGGTACAGTATTTTGATATCTGGTTCTGGTGAATATCAAATGCCGAGATCGAAGTCCCGTGCCATAACACTAAACAACAGCGCAGAACAGATAGTTCTAAGCACACGGTCGAGATAGTTGAAGGGGGGAGAATTATGAGAACTTTGGATGTCAGATAAACCTCGCCACCGTCCAAGGTATCATCAGGCGGTGGAGATCGTTGCCACCATCCCCGCATTCCACGATCGACTTAACAACCTGCTCTATAGAGAAACCCTGTCTTGCGCATAATCAGGCGATGTCTCAGGTTCTCGACATGAGGTTGAGTACGACGCACGTCGGCGTACAGTTCGGCGGGCATGAGTTATTAATCTCGAGAGGACGGATATCAAATCGCACATCCTAATTTCTGCCGTACAAGTAGAGGGCTACATAAGGCCTGTTTCGATATGCGTCAAAGCATTGGCCCTGAATCCACTACTTATTACTTCAAGGATTTAAGGTCATGTCTCTAACTGATGCGGATCGTTTAATCATTATATTCAGCAAGCCTGGTCAAACTGGCGGAATCCAAAAATGCCGCTCAAATACCAGCATGCATTTTACCTGCCTGGGAGGTGGTTAGAATTCCACCAACTCTCTGCTGCTGTTATATACGCCCACAGTCTGGTGAACGTATCCGTGCGACTCCTTGCAACCTAGCAGGAATGAACCTGGACTGGGAGGCGTTTGTTGCATCGATCTGCACTCTCAGGGTGATCGAAGAACATATCTCTGGCGAATCAGACGCTGCCATCGTAGCTGATCTCGAGAACAAATTGCCTGACATCGAGCGAGAGTCTCGTTGATCGTAGAATGTCCCGCCTCACTCCCTCCAGTCAAACGATTGCTTTTCAGGGCTCCGCGGAAGAGGCTCTAGAGGATAACGGCAGCCACAGGTGTTGCACGCTGATCATAGAAAATGGCCACGGTTTGTGTAATCAGCCCGCTATAACTACGGTTGATGCTATCCTTCAGTGACTTCCTTTCTGGTTCGGATTAACACTAGGCGAGCACCAATTGTGGCGCATTATTAATGTCCTTTCCTCTTCTATTGACCTGTACATCACATTCCAACTGTCTGGCGGGGCTAACTTCCTACATTCGGGTTATCTGTCGAATTGCATGGCTGCATATTTGCACCCTGAGCAACTCCGTCCTTGCCGTAGCAAGTGATGGAGCTGTTCACAAGTTTGATGGCGAGAAAGAGCCAAAGATACCAATGCATGGTTACTGGAATGATGGATGAAACCAAGAGGGAAAAGAATTATTATTCATACCCCTGGGGAGCATTAAAGTGCTAAGAAAATCGGGAACACATTTTCTGGTTCCCTGGAACCAGCTTATTCACTCTCGGGAGCAGCCGCAGTAGCTGCAAGATATACATCGCCCAATTCTAATGTATGGGGAAGCAGCGCGACCAGTCGTTTACAAGAATCGACATAACATGGAGCCTGTGGAATAAGGGATACACATACGTCAGTGGACACGATATTGGCTGTTGCGTGACCGCCTCTATAGAACGCCACGAAGGGCCAACCAGGAGAGAGTGGATCCTGAGACGCCGTCAGTTGTGCTCAAATCTTCACTTGACTAAGCTTTGCTAGAGCAACGTTAGCAAACTAACTAGTTATGTAGTGATGAAGGTCTGACAGATATTCTCAGCTCACATGTAGCTAAATATCTCTATCTCTACTATTCAGACTAGAATCCGATGCGGGATCAGGTAACGTTTGAACATGACCGATATTAAACCCTAAGGGTTACCATAATCATGTAGGAATTCACCATTTAATGACAGTAATACGAAACAGGAAGGTATCTCAACATGAAGCAATCTTGAAGATATCAAGCTCTCGAAATCCATCAAGTATGGCAGTGAGAGCAGTACTCAGCGTTACCTTGATGTACCAGGTGTGTATGAACCATTCGTTCATGGCTGCGTAAATGATCTTTCCGATTGAAGGACCGGTTGCACTGCAGTTCATGGCACTTGTACATTTTTCCAGGAATATGTTTTGTTCGGATGTATCGTAGGAGGGACGACTCGCGCGAAAATGGACGAGTGTATCTACAGCCTTGCCAGCCGCATACCATCGAATCAGAGCGGTGCCTAACAATTGCATTTATATTAGATGTTGAACAACATTGTTATGAATGGAAACCCTTGGGACATACTCGGGATTGGCTGCTTGCCGTTGGCCAGGGCACATTTGGTCCTCGGTAGCAGGGATACGTCTGACCCTGTTGACAGGTAGCTCCTCCGTTGAGTTGGGGGTAAGGAAACCTGACGGGATATCGTTGGTTGCCGGTGATATCTCAGATTTTGGTCGTCCCAACTCTTAGGTGTTACCCGCCGTCGCAATGCAACGGTTCAAATAGTTGTCGTTCATCATCAGAATATTGGACTCTTTAGTCAATACACAAGGGGCTATGGTGCTGGATCCCCATAGCTCTGGTGGTAATTGACTATATCCATTGTATGGATGGCCATCCATTGCAAGGAAAGAAAAAGACGTATGCATAGGGGAACTGTGGCTCTGCATGTAAGGTCTCGTGTCCTGGCGGGTTTGATCGCGCCATAAACCCATATCATGCAAGTCAATGTTGGTGGTTGATGAAGGCGGAGAAGCCATCGTATAGGGAGAGGAGTATAACAAAGAAGAGTCACTTTGGTATGGGGATTTAAGAGAAATTGCAGAAGAAAGATTATTGATTGAGTTGCAATTCATTATGATGGAAAGTGAGCAAAATTGACCCTCTTATGCTATCGATGGCTTTTAAGGTTTCCACTCGGCCTTGTAGTGTGGGAAACGACTACTAGAGATGAGGGGGCGCTTTTAAACGGGGAGGCAACGGTCCAACGAGCTAAGAGACCCGGGAGATGGGAGTCCGTGTGATGTGCCAGGGGGGCTATCCTCATGCTTACTAGTACCTTACAATCCGTGTGGACGAAAGAATACTAGGTGCAGACCGCTGCTAATACACTCTTTCGCATGTTGCGTGTATGACTCAAGGGCAGGATTATAGTAGGAAGATGGCTCGTTAATTGTTCTTAAACGCGGACAGGCGGGAAACGATCGTTCACCCGAAATCGAGGATTGCATGCCCTGTCTCGTTTCTGGCCCAGAGTCTCGAGAGCTTAGCTCCACTGGCCAGCCGTATCTGACAAAGTTGTCCCGGGTTTCAAAGGTTTGGGTGATAAAGCATGGATTCAGCGAAGATCAACGAGAATGTATAATGAGGCGCAGTAGGCCTGGATCAGAGGGTGGCGCAATCAACTCCTTGTGCGTAGCAGGGACTAAGAGGGGGAAAATCGAAAATGTTGGAAAAGAAAACAAAAAGAAAAGAAATTCGAAATAAATTCGAAGAAAACCCCCAAAGCCCCGTGTAGCAGGGATTGAAGAAAGGTACGTATACCGAGGCACCCACCTCAAGACACGAAGCCCTGTGGTTGCCCAAATAACTCTCTGTGTAGTTCGAGAAGCCAGCTACGCCTAAACTGAAAACAGCCACAGATCTCGGAATGAGGTGCATATCCATTCGCGCATTAAGTAACTACAGGCTAAATCTTTCCTACATACAGACCGCCGATCCCAGGGCCTAGCCAGCTGGACAGCTAGTATAGCAGATATGTCATGGTACAAGGGACGCGGCGGTAGGGGAAATTCTGTCCAGGAATGGGAGGCACGAGAGAGAAAAGAGACAAGATGAGAGAGATAGAGAGAACAAAAAAAGAAATCGTGTAAGTGAAAAAGGAGCGGGTCGCTCATAAGGAGAGGATTCGAGCATATCGAAAGAGCCGAAATAATGAAGAAGAGAGGGAGAAACGCCTTTTCCGATACGAGATGGTGGATCCCGTTATAATCCCACGACACTGGAGGGCACGAACGAGGTTCGGGTACTCTGGACAGGACGAACCGGCATGCTCCCCCAAAGACTGAGTCCGGAGAAACGCGCCAGTTCAGCCAAAGGCCAAGACGGCGGTCACTCAGGACACAGCCAGAAAAGAAATCAGCAAAATATGGACACTGACTCGGGCCAAGTCAAATGTCGCTCGATATCAAAACGCCGCGAATAACCCGAGGAAAATATGGAAACAGAATGCTCATCAAACGGTAAGGCGGTCGAAGGTGGATCGATGTGGTCCGACGGAAAGGAGACGAGGAGTAGAGGTGCGGTAATGAGAAGAGGCCTTCTTCTGGCCTGCAGGATACCTAGTAGTGGTCAGGGTTGGAAACCTGCAAGATCCGGCGAGAGAAGTCATGGTTCTCATCGATGCTGCCATTGCTTTGGCGGCGTTGCGCCATAGAGGTTCCGTCAAAGCGAGAATCAGTCATGGGCGGCGCCCGAGTATCATAGTCGCCTATGCCGTTGCCGAATTCAGCTTCCTCCTTGTTTTTCTTGTGGCGGTAGAAGAAGAATGCTGCGCCGATAAGCGCGGCAAGTCCAACCACACCAACTACCACCCCGGCCGCGATGGCCGCTGTGTTGTGGCTGCTTGAGCTGTTGGTTGGACCGTCCGTTTGTGCGGGGGCTGATTGTGTCACAGTCACCTCCTCCGGTTGTGAAGAGGAGGTCGCAGATTGGTCGGTTTCCTGGGTCGAGCTACCGGATTTTGTGGTTGTTGCGCCTTCGCTAGGGACGTGACTCTCGAGGCCCGTCAGCCAAACAGACCAGACGCCGGGGCCGCCACCTAAATTGTGTTTGTTAGCGAGAGGCTTGACTAGATTGGAAGGCTTCAAGGCATACACATAACGGAAGGCCAGCCATCACACTTGGTGTTGCACCTGCTGTCCGAAACTTTTCCTGACTCGGGAGGCAGTTCATCTCCACACAAGCAGTCGGATCCGCCTGTCATGGCGAACACTGCAGCGTTCGTTTTCATGCAGTAGGTTTGGCACCATCCTTGGCTTTGGTAATTATACGAGGTCTCGTTGGTGAGGCCCTCATTGTTATCATAGCAGGCGACATATTGACTATCCGCTGCTGCCGCTAGAAAGAGAGTCGAGGCCGTCAGGGCCATCCGCATGGTGAAGCCCATTGTGGTTTGCCGAAAGGAAACAAGAAGAAAGAATACCGGACACAGTCACAGTGATCAAAGGCTCAGGAAACGACCCGCGTAACCTGTCGGGGAAAAAGGTGTATGTTGAGAAACCGCGTTTTAACTTGGGGGGCTCAAAGTCGACCCATTCGTCGCGTGTTTGAAAGGTTACGAGGTCAGATGTTCGGGTCGGTGTTGGGAGGAGTGCCAGTCGAGTTGCGAACTGGGTCGAGCGGATCGAAATAAAAAGGAGTGACAAAATCAGAGGGTCGCGGCGAGGGACGATCAAGCCAAAAACGAGTGTGTGGGTATGCTGGTGGTGGTGACGATGATGAAGGAAAGAATGAGAATCGAATTTCGGCCGGGCAGGGGAAAGGAGACTGACTCTAGGGGCTAGTGGAAGAAGGGGTCCGTTCTCCCCAGAGGTAGCCGGTACCTGACTGACAGGCGGTGGATCCGCAGTTCCAGAGGTACCGGATACTTGGGCGCCTTTGTTTTCTAGCCCTCACACAGCATCATCCGAGGGTGGGCCAATCGCCAATGCTTATGCGCCTGACTCATCAGGGGCGGCCAGACGATCGCTTTTCCTCTTTGGAGCAAGCGCGCGACACTACGGCATGCGCTAGGCCGGTCGTGGTGCTGCTGTGGCTCCGGAGTGGCGTGCGCTGGCCCATAATTTCTTCAGGTTGCCACGCGAGGAATCCTGCGAGGACTAATACGGAGAGGATTCGTTGGCCTACCTGACAGTTTCTTTACACTCGGCGTCGAACATTATGAAGACTCTTTGAGATCTTTCTCCCACTAACGAATCCCTGAGCGTAATAAGGATCGCTAGTGGATGGAGCCCATTTCCCGTGTCCGGGGTTGGTCGAAACAGCACTAACGGACTCGCTTGCCGGACGCCAAGCAGGGCTATGTGCTTGGAATTGGAAGTACGAAGTCCGGTGGCAGATAGATTGTCCAACAACAGTTATTATTGCTCCTCTTTATCTACTTGTAGAGCATCAACAAACATCTTTGTGCACCCTCGGTCACTCTGTCTGTACCATGGATCAGCGCTCGGCCCTCCCGCTCCTTTCCAGGGAAAGACTGGCCATCCCGCATTCACATGCGTATGACGATACAATGGACACGGGTGGCAATAATTAATGTAGAAATAACCTATAATTTGCCTTTGTATAGGGACGGTGTGGGCCATGTTAAGATGTTGGTTAAATTTTCAAGTCAGCCAATAATGGAGCTGAGGACGGAACCCGGCCAGATCAGAAGGAATCGGTTCAGGATTACACTGGTAAAATCACGGGTTACGAGAGGTAACGTTGGAACTAAATAACAATAATAAGACAAGTGGTTAGGGTACCACGTTATGTTCCCTCTGAGTCGAGTGTAGCCTTGATATGTAGCACCAAATATATATATCACTAGCTGTGCCTTGCAGCTTCCACCCCTTGCACGTCATGCAGGCCGACTCGTCAGATTGTCCATAGCGACCAGATAGGATCTACAGCTAGGATAGATATCAAGGTAGAATAGACCTTGATAGCTTAGTCTTTATGACACCTCACTGAAACGCTTCGACAGTATAACCAAGTGCGGACAGTGACTCCGAAGATGCGTTGCACACTCCCATGCATCAATCCAGACTACATATTCCCACCCCGCCCGAGATAGACGGTGAAAAATAGCATTCCCGCTAGGTCATCATGCTATCTAGATTTGTCGAGAAGAGAACCTTTCGAAGGGTCTTGTCTCACTGCGCACCCGTTGGTGGCGTAGGCTAGAACGCTCCCACATCTCCACCGGTGGAAAGGAAACCACCCCCCCTGCGACAAAAAAACTAGAAAAACTGGGCCGAAGGATTTTTTTTTTGCTGCGCACATCAAGGCAAAAGTTCCCATCCGGGTCTGGACACGCTAGTGCTTCTGCTGACTCGAGATGATCGACCGACGACATCTTCTAGAAGACCTTTATGGTTTTTGTTGGAATATGCGTAATATCCAGCCTAGGAACTATCCGGGCCTTCCGAGCATTCATTCCCATCGAGGATAGACAGCTCGTAGGTCATTTACTTCCATTGAAAACGGAGACGGAAATACAGAGAGAGCCACAAGAAGCCATACTTATCCACATACATAAAGGACCAACAAAAAGCCTCTCTATAAAACACAGCAATTGTCACTTCTCTCCCCTCCTCAAATATAATTATGCTTAGTAGCAGTCGGAATCCTCTTCTGGGCAACAACAACCTGCTTCCCATTCTGATCCAGCGCCTCTTCATCAAACCAACAGCGCCCATGCTCGCACACAAAGTGAAGACTGCCAGGACTGCGTGCCTGGTTCCCAGCGACTTGTCGCCGGCTAGGCCAGCCGCATAAGCATAGCGGGTTTGGAACGCTGCATCCGCGAGCATCCAGCCAGCACTGGAAGTTCCCGCATGCTTCGCAGCGCAGATAGAGTCTTCCGGCGTTGCCGTTATGATTATCCCCGCTGGCGATGTTTTCGATGAGGTGTTCGCTTTCGCAGTGGAAACATTGGCGGGCGGAGGAATTGGTAGAGTTTTGGTAGGTGATCGTCTCCTGGATCTCCTGGGTCTCCTTGCAAAAAATAGTCATGGTGGTTATGATCTGGTTTGTGGCTGTGCTGTTTAGTTTAGTGTTTACCTTTATCTCATGAGTCTGTAAATACTTCTTGCCTTGGCTTGAGACGACCCCGGATATACAGACAGTAACACTCGAGAGGAAAGAGTGACAGGAACACCCGGAGGATGAAGGGCATATGTGAAAAGCATGACGCTATCCATCCATCACCACGATGTGCTTGTCAATATTGCATACATCTACTAACCCTAAAGGATGCCCTGGAGTACCAGACTTTGCACACTACGCCTACCATGGAACTAGTGGAAGAAACCACGAAACGGGTAGCTGTTGAGGCTGATAATGGCAGGGCCCAATAAATTAATTGCCCGTCGTTTCTGTATATTGAAGATCTCGTGTCCCGGCTTGCTACTTCTCTCACTGATCTATTTTCATCGTGTATCATCCACGTAAGAGACGGGCAACAGATCCAGACAATTAAGATATCCTCCTACCCTTGCCTGTCCTCCCAAAAGAAAAGAAAAATCAGGGCTTGGGGATGTGTATCGTCTTGCTAAGCATCAGACAACCATGCAGGACAAACATGAGGGCCACCGGGTGAAATTCAAAAACGGAGCCTTCAGCAATAAGACCGAAGGGAATGTTCTCGTGAGTCCAGCTTTGCGATACCCAGTACGCCATGAGCGAGGAAATAGCCAGAGTCGTCGGGATGGGCGTGCCTTCAAAGTACTTGGATTTGCCACTGCTGTCCTTGGGCACCACGGCAACCGTGACGTTGAACCGAGCCAGGCGGGTCAGACCGCAGAGAACAAAGAAGGCCAGGAGGAGATGGTCGAGCGGGGTGCGGATGCCGAGTGCGAATGCTGCAGAGGCAGGAGCGAGGCCGAAGGAGATCTAAACAAGAAGACCCAGAACGTAAGTACCATGTCAATAATGTTCTGGGATCAAGCCCACATACGAGATCTGCCAGCGAGTCAAGTTCCTGGCCCATCAATGACGACTTCTTGCGCCACCGTGCAATCTTTCCATCCATGAAATCGAAGAACAGACCGAACGGCATGAACGCAAGAGCAGCCCATAGAGAGCTGTAGTCGGACGGGTCACCGAGACAGTAGCGCATCGACGAGAAAACGGACATGACTGGATCGGCGGTTAGCAAGGCTGCTCCGCGCGGGGAGAGAGCGAGGGTCAAAAAAAAAGAGGAAAAAGGAAAGAAACGGGGTACTTGCCTCCGCAGAAACCTATGAAATGTCAATCAATTGTCCAGTCAAAGGCTGATGGGATATCATACCATTAAGTTCCGTCACCAGATCCGCCAGGTGGAGAGCTCTGCAGAGAAAGAATCAAGTCAGCCCAGTCACTCGAGGCTAGGCAGCCTCGAAATCGAGAAGACCCAACAACAGGAAGGACACTCACTTCACCAAACTGAAATGCCCTTTCTCCGACGAAAGAAGCATCTTTTGCTTTTCCTGACCTGCAAACTGTGAGCCATGGCCGGGTGAAAACAAGGAATTGGCGAGCCGACCTCCGTCGCCCGCAGGCGGGACACCACTGGTCGAAGGATCGCTGCGTGCCATGGCGGATGTCCGGCGTGACATGCTCGAGTGGATAGGAATAGAGAGATCAATAGAGGCCACCGGAGGTCTACGAGGGGAGAAAGAAGTGGTCTGTTGTGGAGTGTTGACGGACGCACAATTAAGCGGTCAACGTCATTCCGAAGGGCAGCAGGTTTGGAAAGCGGTGGTGCCCTGCGCCACACACAGCCACGAATGGACAGACTACGAGGGCAGGCGTATAGTAATACTTATTGAATGATATTGAACAACCATTGATTTTTTTGTGACTGGATATATTCTACAGTCCCTGCAGCCACGGAACAGCAAAGTTGTGTCAGGATGCACAAGAAGAACGATATTCCTGGAAAAGCTCCCGAGTCCCCCAAACGCCAAAAGAAGACAGTGTGCTGGTGAATCCCTCTCTACCGGCCACCACGGAAACCACCACCGCGCGAACCACCCCGAGGACCACCACGAGAGAAGCCACCGCCGCCGCCGCGAGAGAAGCCACCACGCGAGCCGCCACGGGAGAATCCACCACCGCCGCCACGAGAGAAACCACCGCCGCCGCGAGAGAAACCACCACCGCCGCCGCGAGAGAAGCCACCGCGGCCACCACGGCCACCGCGAGGAGCACCGCCGCGGGCACCGCCAGCACGCTTGGGCTTGGCACCGCCTGGAGCCTTGGGCTTGGGGAGGAACCTGGATTGCGAACGTCAGTACGGGCATGGCAAGAACCGGCGAGGAATATCATACTTCTCCAGAGGAAGCAGCTTATCACCGCCAATAAACACCTTGTCGCCGGGCTTGAACGAAGTTGCGACAATGCCTTCCTGGGGCTTGATGGTGAAGAACAGCTGGTTGATCGGACCCAGAACCTCGTCGACCTTGCCGATGGGAGTCTAGTATGAACTGATTAGCGCAACAGTTCGATCTCAAGTGCCTGGCCGGGGCGCACCTTGTTCTCGAGGTAGATCGGAGCGTTGAAGTAGGGGATCTTCGGGTTGATCGATTCGCAGACCATTTCGCCTTCGCAAGCGTGCATGACCGTTCCCATCTCTGCCGGAATGTCAGCATTAGATCCAAAAATCACGTAGAATTCGTATATAATTACCGAGAACTTGCGCGGGCGGACCGAACGACTGCTGGAAGCCTCCGCGACCTGGAGAAAAAAAATTTCGTTAGCTCTCGCCGACCTCCCACAACTCGACGCCGGGGCGCGATTGCATACCTCCACGGCCGCCAAAACCACCGCGGCCGCCACCGGCAGCACCACGGCCTCCACGGAATGACATGATTAATTTGGCGTTGGGGTGAGGAATGGGGTGAATTGAAGTTTTCCTGGTGCAAATCTCGAACGGGTAAAGTGTCGCTAGTCAGCCAGGGCAGTGGGCCATCACATGACTCACCGCCCCGTCCCTCATTTTGGTTTTGGATTTGCCCTGTCGATTGTATACCTGAGTCACCTCTCTTCGATTTTCCCCCAGACCTCCTGCTCAGTCGCTGAGGCACTAACATCATGGCTCCTGAGGATCCCAAGGATCTCCCTGTCCGGCCCGCCGCCGCCAAGGGTGCAAATGCTGCTGCTGAGCCCACCGCTGCCCCGCCAAACAAGAAGAACGCCGCGCCGTGCGCCGACACCCTCCCCGATTTCATTGTCGAGCGGAACAAGCTGTTTGAGGAACTGTGGCAGCAACACCTCGAGGATCTCAAAGCCTGCCCGAAGCCCGAAATCAATGTCACCCTGGACATTGGCGACGGCAACCCTTCGCCCGTCCCTGCCAAAGCCTTCGAGACCACCCCGGGGTCTTTCCTGCGAGATGTGCCCAAGGATGTGAGCGCCAATGTGGTGATTGCCAAGGTGGATGGAGAGTTGTGGGATCTGAACCGTCCCTTGGAGCGCGATTGCAAGGTCGTTCTCATTCCTTTCACCAACCCCGAGGGCAGGGAGGTCTTCTGGCACTCCAGTGCCCACTGTCTGGGGGAGGCCTGCGAATGCGAATACCATTGTCTGCTTTCCCACGGTCCCCCGACTGCCCAAGGTTTCTTCTATGATATGGCTATTCCGGAAGGGTGAGTCACACTCAGCAGGGGTTACGAATTGTTACTAAATGGTCACAGGCGTGTGGTTCGAGAGGCCGACTGGTCGTCGCTCGATAGCCGAGCATCGCGGGTATTCAAGGAGAAGCAGAGCTTCGACCGGTTGGAGGTCACCAAGGAGAATCTCAGGAAGATGTTCTCGTACAGCAAGTACAAGCTGCACTACATCGACAAGCTGGTCACCGGGGAGAAGAGTACGGTCTACCGTTGCGGCACCCTGGTCGACCTTTGCCGAGGGCCGCACATCCAGAACACTGGCAAGATCAAGGCCTTCAAGATCACGCAGGTAAGGCGACCCAGCCATGAAAAAGCAGGTCCAATATTCTAAAATCTTGGCATAGAACTCGTCGGCCTATTTCCTGGGCGACCAGAGCAACGACTCTCTGCAGCGAATCCGTGGTGTCGCATTCCCGGACAAGAAGTCAATGTCCGAGCACCTGAAGTTCCTGGAAGAGGCCGAGAAGCGCAACCACCAGAAGATTGGGAAGGAGCAGGAGCTGTTTTTCTTCGATGAAGCCTCCCCCGGATGCCCTTTCCTGCTCCCCAACGGAACCAAGATTTTCAACGCCCTCCAGTCGCTTCTGCGGTCCGAGTACCGCAAGCGAGGCTATCAAGAAGTGCAGACACCGAACATGTACGATGTGGGTATCTGGAAGACCTCGGGCCACTGGCAACACTACGCGGATGATATGTTCAAGCTGGACGTTGAGAAGCGGCAGTGGGCTCTAAAGCCCATGAACTGCCCCGGCCACTTTGTTCTCTTTGGCCACCGTGACCGGAGTTACCGTGAGCTTCCTATGAGAATCGCAGACTTTGGTGTTTTGCACCGCAACGAGGCTTCTGGTGCCCTGAGTGGTTTAACCAGGGTTCGTCGCTTTCAGCAGGATGACTCGCATATCATATGTACACAGCCGCAGATTTCGTCGGAGATTGAAGGCCTCTTTGATTTCTTGCAGTCCATCTACGGCCTGTTTGGCTTCACCTTCAAGTTGAAGCTCTCTACCCGCCCTGAGAAGTATCTCGGTGAGAAGGAGACATGGGACCATGCCGAGGAGCAGCTGAAGGCGGCCATGACCAAATTCAAGGGCAACGACTGGTTCATCGATGAGGGCGACGGTGCGTTCTACGGCCCGAAGATCGACATCACCATCGCCGATGCCCTCAAGCGCGAGTTCCAGTGCGCCACCATCCAGCTGGATTACCAGGCTCCCATCAACTTCAAGCTGGAGTACATGACCAACGAGAAGTCCGAGACCAAGGAGGGCGAGACCAAGGAGGGTGAGACCAGCGCGAACGAGCCCGGCCCCGGCCGTGCCCGCCCCGTGGTCATCCACCGAGCCATCATCGGCAGTTTCGAGCGGTTCCTGGGCATCCTGATCGAGCACTTTGGCGGCAAGTGGCCATTCTGGATCAGTCCTCGCCAGATTATGATCGTGCCCGTCATGCCCGCTGTCAACGATTACGTTGAGGAGCTGCAACAGATCCTTCAGGGCGACAAGCTGAACGTCGACATCGACATCAGCGGCAATACCATGCCCAAGAAAATTCGGTCAGCGCAAGTCTCACAATATAACTTCATCTTCGTGGTGGGTGCCCAGGAGAAGGAGGCACGCACCGTTAATATTCGCAACCGTGATGACCCTGACACCCAGAAACATGGTGTCATGGTCCCTCTGGACGAGGTGCGGGCCAAGCTCCGGGCATTGCGCAAGGAGCGTAGGTTGGCGAACGCACTGTAGGGGAGATATGTGTTAGCGATTTACGAAAAGTGAAATGAAGTACATGCGGATTTTCTACTGTATTCCAGTAAATATAACCCATACATAACTAATGTAGTAGAGTAATCAGGGTCTGGATTGAGCCACGGAACGCGGTACCCTTAAGCGAAAACACCTTGGGTAGGTAGACATCTTCCTGACTTTAATCACGGGAGTATGCGAAGTTTAACCTACTTAGTGATCTCCCCATATTAACAGAAGTTCAAGCCTTTCGCCCTTGATTCACTAACCTTTTCCAGATTTCTGCTCTTTTGGTTCTGATGATCAGCAGCATGATTATGATAAGTGGATTGGTAGACACCTCCCCTGCCTGATCCATGTGGTAAATAGAACTTCCTATTTAAGTAATAATTGTCTGATTTGCTCATCCTATCGAAAAGCCCATGATTCTGCCGGGGTTTCTGCCGTTTCACCTACCTTAAATCAGCATCTGGTTTTGCTTTTACTGAATTTTGAACGTTTCAGTGCTCTCTGACTGCTTTGAACTATCAAAATCTGGTTCAAGGCAAGATGAAATGCTATCTCCTCCACCTCTGGCACCTCCGCAACCCCTGAGCAACCCCGTGGGCGATATTGAGTCCTCAGTAGAAGTCTCTGACTACCACACATATTCTGGACTGTCTCGTCGTCGTTGGGCTGTCGTTGGCTCTGGCGTACAGCAATATCTCTTCCTTCTCCTCCCTGACCTCCACGTCCACGTCCGCGTTCTCGTCCTTGACCGTGCGTACTAGAACCTGGATTATCTCCGCGGCTTGCAAGTTATTCGAGCGTAAGCTGGAATAGTTCTGGATATTGTTACGTCGACCTACTTGTCGACCACGTCGTCGAAACGTACAAGGCTTCTTGCACTTGCAGCAGAGCGGGAATTCGAGGAGATATACCAAGGTGATAAAGATGCCATTGGGGCGGAACTGGGTTAGAGAAAGGTGGCCTTGGGGGACCTGATCAAGGCGTTCTTTGATGATATGGATACAAGGATATCCCACTGTCTCACGGGAGTTACAGTTGCAAATAGCCGGTATTGATGTCTTAAAATCTCCTGGTGGGAAAGAGGCATCATAGACGTTCTCAACAGACCTAATAACCTTTGTCGATGCTAGGTAAACTAGATTTTTGCAGTAAATTAGTGGTTTAAATTGGCTTTTCCATATTATTGCGTTCAGTTTCAGTACGGTCGTCCCTGTGTTGGCGATTGAGGATATCTTTGATGTTGCAAAGAATCCTTCAAAGACGCCTACTTGAGACATGTAGTTCTTGCTTGAGCATCCAGGGCACCCTCAGTCCGGGAGGTGGATGCTTCGCCTAGATGAAGATATTTAGTCCCTAAGTAGCCTAAAATGTCTTTCTCATAATCCAATCATTTAATACAGCGGAGCGTTCCTAGATTTGAGCCCGAAAGAATGAAAGCTTTAGGATCCTTTCGGTGGTGAATACAACGATGACATTATGTCTGACTACAGGTAAGAACAGGCACCATCCTCTGATTCTTCAATTTTCTTTAATCATTATACCAAAGGATCAAGACATTCTCAGGTAAGACATACAAGACATTGCTGCCTCATATCTTTGATCTATTCAGAGTAGGCCTTGCGAGTTATGGGAATATGGCATCGGGCCTCCCTTTCACTTTGTCGTTTGCTTATACCCTCCTCTATCGTAGCACATAGTTAGTCGCTCATCTTCCTCATCTTGATTCCTCATCTTGCTTCCTCATCTTGCTTCCTCATCTTGCTTCCTCACTTGCTTCCTCATCTTGCTTCCTCACTTGCTTCCTCATCTTGCTTCCTCATCTTGCTTCCTCGTCATCAACCTGATTGATCACACACACTACGTTCCTACGATTCATCCAGATAACATCGAACCCCGGTTCTCTTATGGACCGAAAGCGCGTCCCATGCCCACGGGCAGAAGAGCTTGGATGTGGCAAGACGTTTGCCTGGACATCGAGTGCAAATCAGCATGCTAAGCATGTACACGACAAAGTCAGACATCCCTGCCCGCGCGCAAAGGACCTCAACTGTGACCGGACGTTTCCTTCTAAAGCGCATGCAAATGAGCATGCTGAGCAGGTACACGACAAAGTCAGATATGCCTGCCCGCGCGCAAAGGACCTCAACTGTGACCAGACGTTTTCCTCGAAACAGAATGCGAAGCAGCATGCGAAGAGAGCTCATGGTGAAAAGTTAACTCAGAAAGAAATTCTCGACAAAGTCAGATATCCCTGCCCGCGCGCAAAGGACCTCAATTGTGACCAGACGTTTACCTCGAAAGCGGGTGCAAAGCAGCATGCTAAGAGAGCTCATGGTGACAAGTCAACTAAGAAAGGAATTCCTTGCCCATGCGCAGAGGAATTCAATTGTAGCAAGACGTTTTCCTCTGAACCGAATGCAAAGAGGCATGCTAAGGAGGTGCACAATCACAACGAAGCCAAATGTCCCTGTCCCTTCGCAGAAAAGGAGCAATGTACTTTGGAATTTTCTTCCAAATCCGCTGCCAAAAAGCACGCAAAGAGAGCTCATGGTGATACGTCAACTCGGGAAAACTTTCCTTGCCCACACGCAGAGAAATTCGATTGCGACCTGACGTTTTCGACACCATCGAATGCAAAACAACATGCTGAGAAAAAACATGGCAGAATTGAGCCGGATGAAACATTTATTGCGGCGTGGCCCGGGATATCATCAAGTATTCCCCTCATGGACGAGTCCGGTGAAAAAATACCTGGATGAGACAAGCTGCCAAACCCGTCCGTTCTGGACGGCAGGTTCACATGTCCACACCCAGGTTGCAGCACAACAAGCTCAGCCAACCATGCGATAAAATACCATTACTTGGCCAAGCACATGAGGGCTCGTTGGCCCTGTAAGTACGCGGCTATATTTGGTTGTGACAAGACTTTCTCGTCAAGGTCCAGTGCCGAGAACCACTCACAGGCGCACATTTACAGGTTGATATGCCAGTACGTTCGATGCCTTTCTCATATGCAAGGTAGGAAGTCGACAACATCGGCCTCCATTGCGCATTATAACTGGCATATTCAACAAGGACACTTTCAAGAGGGGGAATACCCCCCTTTAAAGGTACGTAACAATGAAAGAACAAATGAACATCGCTTAATGGGAATAATAGGTCCTGATTCCGCACCCCGGTGTGAATATTGAAGACGAGCATGAACCGTTAGCAATGGCTGAAGCCATACACGGCAATAGGGGCAGTGAAGCCGGGGACAACGAAGTGGAGGATTCTGAGGATGAAGAAGATGGAGACCGAGGAGATTGGGGGAGTGAGTCCGAGGACGAAGTAGTTGAGAATTCTGAGGATGTCGAATATGATCCGGCTACGGAGTTGGCAGCTGCGTGGCTGGACCGTTTCCCAAAGGACCAAAACATCCTCAAAAAAGGTAAGACATAAGATATTGCTGCCTCATACCCCATTGCTAATCCTGTCATCTAGTTGCTCGGCCTGAAGGCTCACGACACTATGGGCTCAAGTGCCCAGGCCCCGGAAGGGTCGCTGACGGACTAGTGCTGGGTACGCAGGTGTGCCCAAATAGAGCGACAATCTCATTCGAGACAGGTGTTGTTGTCAAACGAAAAGAGAGTCAGCATATTGGGCTCAAAACCCGATGCGCATCCTGCCACGGGCGGTTTATGTTCAACGAGTTTCTGAGGACTCATTTTCTGGAAGCAGATCCTGATCAGGAAGCGTGCAGCCATAAGGGGTGCCTCAAGCCTGCGTGGGAGGGCTCAAAACTCTGCCATAATCACTTCCTTTCCTGGACGCCAGACCTCCTCAGCAAAGACAAAGTCGCGATGGATGAGCTCAGAAATTTGTTCGAGAAAGCGGCTTTCGATCAGTGGTTCCCCGCGACAACGATAATGGCCAGAGTCCTAGAGAGGATGGAATCCGACAGCAAGACCAATATTCCGGCTTCCGAGATAGTTAATATCGACCTGGAAACTGCCTTTTTTTCCCGGAAGGTGCTCCAGATCGGCCTCGCCAATCTTCAAGGAGAGAAAGCACTCGATTGTCTTACGAAGTATGGTGAGGGAATCATCGCGCCTTCCAAATCGGGCTTGTCTGCACAGGCAACTCAGCGGCAAAAGGACTATGAAAAGAAGGTCCGAACCTATTATTCGCAAGACGGGACCCTTGATGCAAACAGGGTCGTAGGAAAACTCCGAGAAATCGGTATTTCTAAGAAAACCATTTTCCTGTCTTGGGCGACGTGGTGCTTCGACCTGTCTTTCTTGAGAGACTGGCTGGGGGCTGAAGGTTTTCACGACGTTCTCCCCGGGGATGAGAATGTCTGTTTGCTTCTCAAGGAGTTCCGTTTGAACGTGAGCAGGGTGATTGGTAGGACCTGCTACCGAGGCGGGGGGGTTCCTCTATCTCTGCCTGTGCTGTTTCTTCTACTTTTCGGAGAGAACCACCGCCTCTCGGGGCGCAATCACCATGCACTGGTGGACGCCCAGCAGTTATCCATGATAGCAGAGGTGTTCGTCGACCTTTGTAAACCTCCTGACAAGCGGGTTCTCTGGCGGCGATCGGAAATCACGTTGGGCCCAGGGAAGAGGCAACGACCATTGGAAGTGTATTCCCCTCGGTCAAATAAAAAGGCAAAGCTTTAGTGAGAGGGTTTTGGATGAGATTGTTTCGTTCTTTGCGCATGGCGGGGGGTATCATGGGCCAAGCTGCAAGCGCTGCGCAAGGAGCGGCGGCCTGGAGAATCCCTTGTAAGAGGGCTGACCGTTAACCACAAGTGAAATCAATGCACCGTTGGGATCCACAGCCCTAATTCCGCGATCCATGGACCGGACCTTCTTCGTAGGGCTGGATCGGCGAAGGCCAGATCGCGATCGGGGAATGAATCTGTAGGTTATATTCTGTAGCAGTGACGGAGTTTCCCTTGTAGTCGTGAAGACTCGCGAGTGTTTTGTTTCAGCCGTGGTCGAGGCTGGCCCACGTTCTGCCTCCACTAATTCTGCCCCTCGGACAAAGCCCCTCTTGACTTGTTTTCATTCACTTGGATCGTGGTGTGGCCTCTTTTGTCCTGGGACTCCAGCTGCTTCTTCTCACTTCTTGTTCTTCTCTTCTTCCTCTTATTCTTCTTCTTCTTTTACTCCCTCTTCACTACTCATCTCCCTTCACACCCCCCACCAACCTTCACTACCACCACCAGCTCACCCCTCTCCTCCCCTCCCTCCACGTCATCAGGTTCGATTGAGCCTCATTTCTGTCGCTTCCAGACCCCAATCCTTCCAGAATATTCAAATCCTCTGCTGTCCCCCCGTGCAGTAGCCTGCGCCCGAAGCGAACCCTCCCCTGTTCGATCTCCCGCGCGACACTGCGGGGCTTGGAATCCCATCACACTCGCTTCGAGCTCCCCCTTTCTCTCGATTCACACCTCCTACACCCCGATCACACTCGACACCATGGCGGATTTGCAAGGTCGCAAGGTCTTCAAGGTCTTCAACCAGGACTTTATCGTCAACGACAACTACAATGTCACCAAGGAGTTGGGCCAGGGCGCATACGGTATTGTCTGGTGGGGTTTCCCAGTCACAGAGCCACAGTGATGATAATAGTATTAACACTCGCTGTGAACAGTGCTGCGACCAACATCCAGACCGGCGAAGGCGTCGCCGTCAAGAAGGTCACCAATGTGTTCAGCAAGAAGATCCTGGCCAAGCGGGCTCTGCGCGAGATCAAGCTGCTCCAGCATTTCCGCGGCCACCGCAATGTATGTGGTTTGTCTTTCTCGGGGATAGACTGAAACTGACCGGTGCTAGATCACTTGTCTATACGACATGGACATTCCCCGACCGGATAACTTCAACGAAACATATCTCTACGAAGGTAGGCAGTGCGCCCTATTTCATACGCATGCTCTCTCTCTAATGCCATCACAGAACTGATGGAATGTGACTTGGCGGCTATCATTCGCTCGGGACAGCCATTGACCGACGCACACTTTCAATCCTTCATCTACCAGATCCTCTGCGGGCTCAAGTATATCCATTCCGCCAATGTGCTGCACCGGGACTTGAAGCCCGGCAACCTGCTGGTCAATGCGGACTGCGAGCTCAAGATCTGTGACTTTGGTCTGGCGCGTGGCTTTTCCATCGACCCGGAGGAGAACGCCGGTTACATGACCGAGTACGTGGCGACGAGGTGGTACCGCGCGCCCGAGATCATGCTGAGCTTCCAGAGCTACACCAAAGCCAGTACGTTGTCTCCCCGCTCTTTCTGGCCATATCCTTGTTAACACCACTTCCTAGTTGATGTGTGGTCAGTGGGCTGCATCCTGGCTGAGCTGCTAGGCGGCCGACCCTTCTTCAAGGGCCGCGACTACGTCGATCAGTTGAACCAGATCCTGCACTACCTGGGCACACCGAACGAAGAGACCCTGTCGCGCATCGGTTCCCCCCGTGCCCAAGAGTACGTGCGCAACCTTCCCTTCATGCCCAAGGTTGCCTTCCAGCGGCTGTTCCCGAACGCCAACCCAGACGCCTTGGATCTGCTAGACCGCATGCTGGCCTTTGATCCATCGTCGCGCGTCTCTGTGGAAGAAGCCCTCGAGCACCCCTACCTACACATCTGGCACGATGCCTCCGACGAGCCCACCTGCCCTTCAACCTTTGACTTCCAGTTCGAAGTCGTCGACGACGTCCCGGAGATGCGCCGCATGATTCTCGACGAAGTCGTCCGCTTCCGCGCTACTGTTCGCCAGCAGTCTCAAGCTCAGGCCGCCCAGCAGCAGCAGATGGCTCAGCAGACTAATATCCCTATCCCGGATAACCAGCAGCACGCCTGGAAGACTGAGGAGCCCAAGCCCCAGGAGGCCGTTCTCGGCGGCGGGCCCCCGAACGATCTGGAGGCCTCGCTGCAGCGCGGCATGGATGTGCAGCATTGATTTTTCTTCCTGTGTGTTTGATCTTCTGCTTAGTATATCTGCTGGCGAATATATTCTCTTTTATTTTGCGCTTGCCTTTGCCCTTTGCCCTACCCCTCTGCGCATATCTATATTCATGCTTGTCACGTCGTGCCGTTTGGCCTCTGTCCCGGTTTCTGCTCCATCTGTTCGTCATCAAACAAAGCGCACACAGTGTTCCCTATGGTCTGCTTGCCGATATAATGAATTAGCCACAAGAGATGATTGATTGATACTACCTACTTGCCTCTGAGAGAAAAAAGACCGGATAACAATTGCATTTTCCTCGTGTGTTTCTCCTTCTTTCTGCGTTCTTTGATTATTATTATTATTGTCTTCCCCAATGCTTCGACTTGTTCTTGCTGGTTCATGTATATGTCTTGTCTTGTCGGTCTATGTCTCTGTGTATCTACGTCGGATGGTGCCAAGTCGAGCACGGCTTTTTTGTCATTTGCATGTCTACAGGATAAGTCGCAGGATTAGATAAAGACGGAAAGAGCGAAGAAGTTGGAGCAGAGGAATGAATTGAATTGAGCAAAAGTTCAACTGTTGAATTGAAACAGAACAGAGTCTGGGAAATAACCAACTCTCCTGAACACTAGTTAACTAACTGCCTGGTAGATGCTAAAGCAAAAGTTCGCTCAAAATAAGGCGATGATGAAAATGCAAGCAAGTAATTGCCTAAATAAAAGCGCCTCTTTCCATGCTAATGCCAATATCAACGCCAATGCAATCCCCAAACTTCGATTTCACCCATCCACCATCCATATGGATGGATCAATAATAATACCCCCGCCACCAAACAGCCATACAAGCCGCAACCACCAAATCCAGCATCTTGATCCCCTCATCCTCAACAACAAGTTTGCCCAACTTCGCGCTCTTCCCACGCATCCCACCACCAGCAGGCTCGCGCGCAAGAGACAAATCGAGACGGTCCTCGTCGGAGTCGGGCCCGCCGCTGCTCGTGCTGATACTGCGATGATGTTGATGTTGATGTGGGTTCGAATGAGAGGACGGGGATTGGAATTGGTTCTGGCGTGGAAAGCGGTGTGTTCTTAGGGATGTGCGGCGGGGGAGGATAGGGAGATGGCCCTTGTTGTTGGTATCTGCAGACCCAGATGTTCCCGACTGGGCGCGTGGGCGGGTGTAGGTGTTTGGGTTGAGGAGTTGGGAGATGGAGTTGCGTTTTGAGTGGGTGGTTGGTGAGATGGCGGTGTCTGCGGTTGTTAAGTCGGTGTGCTGGCTCTGTGAGAAGACCGAGGTATGGTGTGGATGTGTTTTGTGGGAGGCGTGGCTGATGTGGGTGTGTAGATTTGCTGCCTGGAAGGGCGTGTTGAAGCGGAGCTCGGCGACTGTCACGGCTGGAGGCGAGTCGGCGTCTCCAAAGGCTGGTGTATTCCCACCAGGGCCGGATATCATGTGCTTGCATTTGAGACTGCGGCCGTTGACACTGCTGGAGAAGGTGCAGGTGCCGTTCCACGGCGAGGAGAAGACATAGTAGCCGCTTTTCAGCCTGGATGACATTGCCGAGCTATCTGCGTAGTCGGTGCCGTGCGCGGTAGATTCATCGTAGGGTTTCGAGACGCAGAGCTGGCGGTGGAATTTGCGGGGCGCTGACGGTTGCGCACTTGCATGGGTTGCTGGGGGAGGCATATTTGAAGAGGATCCCGGACGGCCGGAGGCAGTGGGTAGATTGGCTGCCACATCGGCGAGAGAAAGCGGCTCATTTGAGCCAATGAATCGGTTATAACCTGGCGTAGAGATCTCGATATCAACGGCATTGCGGTTCATCCGCGGCGTGGAGATCGTTGCCACGTTCCATTGAGTCCCAGTTGCGGGATCGCGTCTGATGAGCGTGATGTGGAAGCCTGCTGGGACATGGCTGTCCTGACATCTTTGATGTCGAGTAGGCGACTGCCCGGGGCTTCTCTGTGCTGAACTAGGACGGCCGTGGGAGTGCCGGGGTGGTAAAGGTGGTCTGTGAGAGTCCAAACTGTGACGGCCTGCTACCGGCCCTTCGTGGTTCTCCCTCAGACCGTGCATATGTCCGGCGAATGTGCTCCACCGATTGGCTTGCTTGGACGGGTCGCCAGTCGTCGGAGCACCAGACCATGGCTCTTCACTGTTCGGTGGACGAGGCAGAGGTCGCCGCGGTATCGGCTGTTCCACAGTTTGTGCAGTCGTAACTGGCGTCCCTGGGAATGACACATTCTCCGCCGAGACCACGGGCATCGGAGCAGGTCGCCGGGGTAGAGGAGGAGGCGCTTGCTCCTCCAGAGACAGCGACAGCTCTTGATGCTGCGGCGGTTCCGGTGCATCCCCCTCTACCTTCCCCACAGGCTTCCGGCGCACATTATTCAACCGTGCAAACTCTCGGTGCCCAGGATCATCTATGTCACCTCCAGCCTCGAGCGCCTCCTTCCTTAGCTGTGTCTGCTCCTCGCGCTCGCGCTCCACTTGCTGTAGCAGCGCATCGTCATCCGGCGTCGCGACGTGGAGATAGTAAAGGGATGCATTGATAGCTTCGGCCGAAATGCTAGATTTGGTGGGTGGTTTGAGAGGGGAGAGGAAGATGTCTGTTGTTTTCGTCAGGGCAGTCGTTAGCTTGGTTCTTGATAAGACGGACAGACGGGTTCACTCCCTGGACATTACGACACTTCAAGCATTACAATGTCACAGCTGAGCTATGTAGCTTACCTTTGCTCCCCGGAACTCGCACGATATACAGCACCAGTGGGTCGAGCTTCTTCTGTGTCGGATTCCGCGGGTAGGCGGGGGGTTGGATGCGATGGCCGTTACGGCCGACAGCGAGCGTGCCTCGACAGGCCCCTGGGCGGTAGTGGCAGCAGCAGCGGTCGACATGGGACACTGGCCGCGATCCAGTTGGGGTCCTTTGGGGGGGAAAGAGAGAGAGAGAGAGAGAGCGTGTGTGTGTGGAAGGGATAGACAATGGAGACAAGGGCCGAGCTTGCGAGGGGTGGAACAGGTACGTCAGTCCGTCAACAATGAGAGAAATCAAACCCTTTTTCGGGTCTCCCTGGCTTGCGTGGCCACACAGAATTAGGAAAGAGGAAAGGAAAGAAGGTTGCCTACGGGTGGCGCAGTACGCGTCGTTGGTCGAGGTCAAGGCTGGGCATCCCCGCGATCGGGCAGAAGAGAAGGTATATGTATTCGCTCATGGTATCTCCCAAGTAGTTACAGGGACAACAAGATGGCTGAAACCAAAGAAGAAGAAAATAGAAATGCAGAAAGGAGAGTCCGGTGATGTCGGTACACGAACTCCATCCCTCCAACGCCTGCGACTGATGATGCCGCCCAAAGAATTCCCAGGTCCAATGTTCCGTGTGTGCCCCAAAAAATAAGTAACCTCGTATGTAAGGAAAACAGCAATGCTCTAGACAACGGTCTCGGACCGCTCACCCTCTGCGATCACCGGTACTCCCAGTCCACGGTCGGGACTCTGCAATACTAGCTGCTCGTGCCGCCGGGCGCGAAGGAAGTCGCTGACGGCGCGAATGAGAATAAACCAGCCGACAATCATCAGGACGTACGAGATCCACTCGCTGGTGCTGATGGCAGTTATGGAGCCCCCATCACCACCGCCGCCGCCCGAGGTCTCGCCAACGGTGTTCGGATCGAAGCTGTGGCTGTTGGGATCGGGTGGCGTGCTTCCATACTGGCCCGTGCCTCCGCCGTCGGAATCGGGCTCACTGCTGCTCCTCATATAGAAGCCATATTGGACAAGCGTGAGACCGAGGCCCGCTCGGCTGCCGTTCTTTGCGGCGTGGGTGGTGTGCAGGAGATAGGTCAACAGGAAACCGACCAGCTGGAATGACATGGAAATCATCGCATTCCACACAAAAGAGAACACAGATCCGACAGGTAGTCCATCGACGTAGACTTCGTCGGATGAGATACCGGGCGCAAGGATCGTGGTCTCCCAATATGGGGGCGTCGCATCGGCAGCGGCTTCTTCATATGACTAGACACCAAAAACGTCAGCAACCCCGACTTTTCACCACAATGACCTCAACTTACTGGAGGAAGATCCTCATTCTTCTCGCCCCGTTCAGGTTTAGCGGACAGATTGGCAAAGACACCATCATTCGAGGCCGTAATCGACCGACTATTTCCAGACGCAGGCGTACTAAAAGACGGCAATATCGTCGGCCGCCGTATAATGCCAGGAGCCCGGGTCTGATCCTGCTGCCCGCCCATAGACTCGGACGAGGATGACGCAGCGCCGGGACCGTTATTATTATCATCGACTGAGCGGAAGTTCGGGTTTGCTCGCATTAACCGCTGCCTATCGTCGGGTTCATTATCGTCGTCGGATCCATCGTCATCGTCAAAGGCATCGGCCAGCGTCTGCTCCTCGTCGTTCCGGAGCGGATCGTCGCCGTGTAGCAGACGTCTCGAGGACGGCGAGGATGAACGAGATCGGAATGAGGGAGGCGGAGAAGAGGGGGTGAGATCGGATCGGGCTGGGTTCAACGGGTAGGAATGTGGCCCTTCTTCTTCATCTCGGGCGTTGACCTGATGATTGTATTCTTGTTAGTTTCTCTAGTTCTCTCTCTCTTGAGCTGATGGGGATCAGCGGAGGGGCCTGGATTGGTGGTCGTACCCGTTGATAGCGCTGCGAGCTCATGATGAGCTGAGCGGCGGAGCGACCGGCAAAGACCAGAAGGGAAAGAAAACAAAGGAGAAAGCAAACAATTATAGGATTAGGAGAAGGAAAGAAGGGAGGAGAAACGAGGGCGTGATGGAGGTGAGGCGTTAGGGATGAGGGAGAAGAGAAGATGAGAGTCGAGAAGGCAAGCAGGGCGTTGCAATCACCGGAGGGGGGCGGTGAAAGGCCTAAGGCCCCAGGCATTCATCCAGACGGGCCGGAAAGATCAGCCGGCGCAGCTTCGTCTGTCGTCCTTTGCCATCCACTCAACTGCCACCATGTCGAAACCGACGGTATGTCTACACAGTAGCCAATTCGATCTCAATGAAAATCTAACAACTGTCCAGACCCTCCCATCTCGTCTCACCCACCTTCTCAAACACTGGCCCGTCGATAAGGTCCGCCCGGCCTCCGTCTCCATCCAGTCCTACCTGCAGTCGCGCCTCGACAAGCCAACTGCACTCCCCGACTCCTCTGTGAACGCCCTCTCCTCCCTCCTAGATGACCGCTACGCGCGCCGGTACCCGCTCTCCCCGAAACTGCGGCGTCCAGCAAGCAACCCTGACCACTACGATGATCTCATCCGCGAATTCGACGAAGCGCCCAACCGGGATTGGTTTGGGCGGTTACGGAAGCGTGTGGGTGGAATTCTTCGGTTGAGGTGATGGATGGTGTATGATCTATGTTTTTTGTTTTCCCTTGTGTTCCTTCTTCCCTCTCGCAGGCAATGGGATTTGGCGGGTTGCATCACTTGTATCGATTATTCCTTTGTATTTTGTACTATTACACCACTTCTGTCTTTACTTGATACCAGACGAACGAAACAAAATTTGAAGATGAAGTCCAATGAAAATAAACCAACTCCCACCCCTCAAAATCGAGGGAGTGTAAATAATTCGCTATATACAGTGGTACAGTCGTAAACTGTAGTCCATGCGCAGGTCAAGCAACATGACATGAATCCAAAAAGAGCCAACCCCGAATGCACGCTTCAACAATTTTAGAATCACATTTACAGCATGGGCTTCAGGTCCTCGGCCACCTTGAAGGGCGCCTCAGTCTTGGCCTTGACCTCCTCGACGGTAACGCCGTCCGCGATCTCAATCAGGGTCAGGCCGTTGGTGAAATCCACGTCGAAGACGCAGAGGTCGGTGATGATGCGGCTGACGCAAGCCGGGCCGGTCAGCGGGAACTCGCACTGCTTGACGATCTTGGGGTTGCCCTTCTTGTCGGTGTGCTCCATGGTCACGACAACCTTGGTGGCGGCCGGGTTGGAGACCAGATCCATGGCGCCACCGAAGCCCTTGATCTTGCCAGGGAGCATCCCTGAAAGAATATAAGTTAGAAGAGAGTGCATTGTAAAGAACGAGAAGAAGAAACTTACAGTTGGCCAGGTCGCCCTTGGCGCTGACTTGCATAGCACCCAGGATGGTCAGGTCGATACGGCCAGAGCGGATCATGCCGAAGGACTCGTCGCTGCCGAAGCAGGACGCGCCAGGCTTGAGAGTGACGGTCTCCTTGCCTGCGTTGATCAGGTCGGCATCCTCCTCGCCCTTCTTGGGGTACGGGCCCAGGCCGAGAATACCGTTCTCGGACTGCAGAGTGACCTCGACGGAAGAATCAACGAAGTTGGGAGCCAGCATGGGCATGCCGATGCCCAGGTTGGCATACATGCCGTTCTTGAACTCCTTGGCTGCGCGGCGGACGATGCGCTCGCGCTTGTTGGCGGTGTCACCGGAGCCCAACGCGGAGGTGTCGGCGCCCTCCTCCTTGGCGAAGGTGAACTTCTCAATCTTCTTCTCGGTGGTGCTCTGGATGACGCGCTTGACGTAGATACCGGGCAGGTGGATGGCGGCAGGCTCAATCTCGCCGGGCTCGACGATGTGCTCCGCTTCGACGATGGTCATCTTGGCGTTGCGGCCCATGGCGCCGTTGAAGTTGGCCGCCGCATACCGGAACTGGCAGTTGCCCAGCTTGTCGGCCTTATAGGCCTTGACGAAGGCGTAGTCGCCCTTGATCGACTCCTCCATGACATAGCTCTTGCCGTCGAACACCTTGGTGTCCTTGGCCTTGCTGTACAGCTGCACGGTGCCGTCGCTGTTGTGTCGGAGCGGCAGGTCGCCCGTCTGCACGACCGTGCCAAAAGCGGCCGGGGTGTAGAAAGCCGGGATACCGGCGCCACCGGAGCGACAGCGCTCAGCGAGGGTACCTTGCGGCGTGAGTTCTAGCTCAATCTCGCCGGTGAGGTACATGCGCTCGAAGGTCTTGTTCTCGCCGACATAGCTGGCAATCATCTTCTTGATCTGCTTCGACTGCAGCAGCAGACCCAGTCCGGAGCCGTCCACACCGGCATTGTTGCTCGCCACCGTCAGGCCGGTGATGGACGGGTTGGCCCGCACGGCGTTGATCAGCGTGTCCGGCACGCCGGATAGTCCGAATCCACCGGCCAGCAGGGTCGAATTGGACTTCATGTCCTTGGTCGCCGCCTCCGCGGACGGGAACACCTTGTTGATCTCGCATCGGCGCACGCTGCTGGAGAAGGTGCGCGCGAGGAAGCGCTGGTGCTTGGCCGGCTCGGCGGAGAACTGCCGCGCAATGCGCAGGCATGTTGCCACTTGGGAAGGCATGGTAGGTGAGTTGGAAAGGAAGGGGAATTGGGGAGTGAATCCTGGGAAAGTGGCTGACCCGGCAATATAAAGATGCGCGCTCGGCAGTGCGTTCTTCCCTGCTATCCGACCGGCGGGTGGGAACGGGACTACCCCGGATTCTTGAAGATGAGCATACGACCACGCTTTTCTATATTTTTTGTTAATAAAATAGCTGAGTTTTGATCTTTAGATGCTCTAGACACCATCCCTGAGATTTCTGACCTACAAATATTCCCTGTCCGTCCATTGACAGCTATTCTACCTGTTTCCTCTTTCGGACCTGATGACTAAGCTTCCGATGGTTCGGCACGGGGTGCGGCAAGCAGGCGGGCAGGCGGGCCGCCGCAGACTCAGTACGGAGTAGATTCTGCCTGTAGTGTAGGGATCGGCCGACAGAACTCGAACATGGTTGGTATCTTCAACATAGGGATGTATGTATACAGTCATAATCATAGACAAAAAATAGGCATGTGGAAATCGCTCCGATGCAAACTCTGAACACAGAAAAACAAGTCCGGGGTCAACATGAATCAATCATGCAAGAGGTCCATCCACCGCATCAACACTCTTGCGCTTGCGGGGGTTACTGTGGTTGTCACCGGAATCTACCAGTATTGGCCATTGTCAGCCATATGGCGCTGCCATTGGGACTTGGATTGGGCATGCGCGTCTGCTTCCATACCTGGTGCGCTGGGGTCCGACGATGTTTCATCATACGACGGCGGGTCGAGATCCATCAGGTCTTCCGGGGGCTTGGAGGCATGCACGCCCTGCATAGCAGTTGTCGTGGGAGGAGTCGTATCCATCATTTCGGGCATGGACTCGACGACTTCGCGACAGACGGGGTCGACGAGACGGTCTTTCATGTTCTTGTTGATGTACACGAGGAAGTAGGGCGTGGGCGGGTTGTGGTCCTGGTCGTTTTTGAAGATCTCGTCCAGGTTCTGTACCTCGGTCACATACTCGTCATTGTACTTGCGCCAGATGCCCTTCTGGAAGTCGTAGATGTAGATATAGTAGTGGCCGAAACTGACGGAGCCATGGTGCACGAAGACGGCATACAGGCAGTACGCGAGGTTGCGGTAGTCGGCGAATTGGCTGGAGATCATGGTTTGCGTGTCTTTGATCTCTTGCTCGACGGCTATAACGAGTCAGCTTTGCCTCTTTTTTTGAGGGGGTGGGTGGCACTTACCGCAGAGCTCTTCCTTCGCGGTCCCAGAGACCTGCTCAAGTTCATTAGGCAAAGTCGACTGAACCTCCTCCGAGGGACCGTCAGAGTCAGCGTCCTGATTGAGTTCCTGGAGGGCAGATTGGGTGTTCCAGAATAGCTGCTCCATGCTTGTTTCTCTACCATTCTGTGCAGTTGAGGGAACATCCTTCCGCAGCAGCTCGGCGCGACGAGCCTCGAGCGACTTCACGGCACGCTTCCATTCCCAGCACTGACGCCGCCGGTTCACGATCTCCGGCTTCTGGGTGTCCATGTAACGGTCCAGATAGATGGTCTCGAGCAACTCCAGGTGGTTAGTCGACTTGAAGGAACTTTTCCTCACCGCATCAAACTGAACTCGCTGGACTTGGATCTGAAGAACAGGAGGCAGCCGGCTTATAGACCCAAACTGCTCCGCCTCGGCATTTTCAACGTTGATCTTCTGGGCATCGAAGGCTCCGTCAATGGCAGCATAGATGTCTCGCGAGCCGCTGGCCACATCGACTTTGATATCAGCCCACCACTCTTCTTTAGATCGGGTACCACTTTCAGTGGAGATGTAGGATCGAGTGCGCCCGTAGAATAAACTATACGCGTGTTAGAACAGACTTTATGGTCCAAGATCACCCTTACTCTTTGATCTGGTCGAGCTGCTCGCCATCCTTGGCGACATCTCGAGGCTTGATAGCGCACTGGCTTTGGAAGAGAACATTATTAATCACCTCCGTCACATCCTGTTGGGCACCGATCTCCACTTCCTCGATCAGCTGCTTCTGTCGGTCAACCTCTGGAGAAGATCGCGGAGGCAGCTGGGGCTTCGCATCATCGGTGCCGGGCTTCGAGCCGCTTTCAGATTCGGGCGCCGCATTTTCGTGTCCCTCTGGCGGCGCCGCCGGGTCCTTGGTGTTTTCGGAAACCAAGGTCGCGTCACTGTCCACGTCGCTAACCATCGGGTCTTTTGCGGGTTCAGATTGACCCTGTACGGGCTGTGGAGGGCCAAGCGGTCCGAAAATGGGCGCTCCACCGATGTCGCCGAGACCCTGCGACATTCCCGCAGAAATGGTCGATCTGCGGCGAATGGCTGCTTCGTTACTAGGACTGATCAAAGTCAACCGAGCGAGCTCCTGGCCAGGCGTGACCGAAGACTGCGGAGAGGTAATCATATCATTGAACAGGGTACGGAGTTGCTGGAGGAATCGCAGCGACCGTTCGACCTCTTTCTTCATAACCTTGCGAGATCCCACCTGTTTGTGGTCCAGGCTGGCTTGGTCACTCAGGTCCATCTGGAAGGTCTCAAAATCCAGCACCATTTCCCGGAAGGGGCGGATCGAGAAGTAAAATTGGAGAAGACTGTTGAGATAACATGTGTTCCCGATGTTCTGCAGACCAACCGGCCACTCCGCCAAGTTGCGACTGGACTCGGTAGATATGCCAGCCATATTCTTGAGCAATGGGCTGTCCATATCCTTGGCAATGATGCTCAGGGCGTAGTTGTATTTCTCGGCGTTCTCGGGGTTGTCGTCCACGCAGATTGTGTAGGCTGCGACAATTGCACCTTCATCAGCGGTCCGGTCTGGAATCTGGAGTAAGCGATAAGCATCGCCAACGTCCATTTCACCCGCGACTGTTTCACCAGTGTCAACGAAATGCTTCAGTGCCACCGAATTTCTGGATTCAGCAATGAGCTTGACGGCGCGATTCGCCAATTCTCGGCTAGTCGGGTTGTCGTTGACCTTTTTCATACAGTTAGATTAGCATACAACATGACCCACAAAAGAACATACCTTCGCCGTGTACATGGTGATAATAAAGTCATCCGGGGTTTGATCGTCGACTCCAAGGTAAACCTGTGCTTGCTCGGCATTGGATACGCCTGGGTAAAATCGTCAGCGAATGCGCGAAAGGTGATGGTGGGTTGACTCACGATCTTCAGATGCAGACTGGATGCGCTCGCTCCGTCTGCTGTGACCGATTCGCCACAGCTGTTGGCGCGCCTCGGTTTCTTGGACTTGGGCCGTGGAGCCGATGAACATGTAGAAGGTTCTAATGATGATGTCCTCGGTGAGATTGGGATCATCACCGTTAAGCCCAAAGTACTTGTATGCATCCGCAACATCCTCGTCTGTGTATTTGCCTTCTGAGTAGGCAAGTTGAACAGCCTGGTCGATGATTTCCCAGTCCGCGCCACCTCGAAGGGTGGCAATCGACTTGAGGCATCGGAGATACAATGGTGCTCTGGCAGGATCGACCGACACCTGGCGGTTGAACGCTTCCACAATCATGGATGAAGCCATGTCTTCCACGGCTCCTAAGTCTTCATAGAATCTGTGGAGCGTAGTTAGAATTAGCTCGCCTTAAGAGGGGTGGAAAACAAACGGGGCAGGCGGCATATCAAACTCATTGACCCTGAGTGATTTGGGATCTGCAACACAGTCAGCCATGAAATCTGGCATTTAAGATTAGTATACACAAACAGTCAAGAGCCTCCACTGCATAAAGCATGTCGTTCGTTGCGGAGACAGACCGAGGGAGGGGATCAAATCCTTTCTTTTCCGAAGACGGTCGGCTGTCTATCAAAGACAGCAGTTCCTGAACAATGTTGTCGAGAAAGATACAGTCTGTGTCTTGGTAGGGTGACTCTGTTTTCGCACTGGTGGCCGGCTGAGGAGGCTGCCAGGTATTGTTCTCCTGATATGATATTAGTAAAGAAGTCCCCAGATAAGGAGGGGCTAAGGTCATACCTGTTGGTAGGTGAAATTGAGAAACTCAAACAGTTTCTGACAAGGCATCCCATCAACACCAAAGCTGAGCATAAACCTCTTGTTGGTTGCGGTAATGGACTTGCTAGGCTGGTCAGGTTTGAGAGTATTGCTGACATACATACGCAGGTTGTCGAGGACAGTGGCCGAGCTCGGGCAGGCCATGCCCTCTAGGCGCTCAGGCTGAGCAGCCATTGCCTCTTGAGCCCGTTTGCGAATCACATCCTGATCAGTCAACAGGTGCACTAGTTCAGGGTTTAAAAGAGGAGAAAGGATTCGCAGGGAGACAATGGCCGGACATGAAAGGTTGGAGCACTGATAATGGAATGTCTCTGCTAGCTGGCCTTTGGGAGTGACCTCTGCACTTGAACTTCCACCCGCTTGTCTTCCTGACTTGTAGACAAGGTGATGGATATGGCCCTCCAGATTCTGAGAGAAGGTGTTCATGCCATTTGTATAGTTCACCACAACCTGGATATGGCAACGGCATTTGGTGCACATTGCATGCACCTTGGATGTGCAGCCCGGACGTCGTTTCTGGTCTTCCTGGGTGTGGAAGGTCTGTTTGGGTTTGGTCACATAGTTGTGGCGACAGGCTGAGGGTGATATGAAATCCAGTGCTCCATTGTAGCGTTCGGAGTAGACGGGGGGAACTTCGGAGAGGAGGTTACGGCCGGTGCTTGAAGGGTGTGCGGGATCGTAGAGTAGGATGTCCTGCACGAGACGAGGCGCCGTCTTTCCTATATTGGTGGTAATTCTCATATTAGCCATTTTCTGGGCCGGTGGTAGTCACCCCTCCATCAGGCAACGTACCTGCTCGCTGAGGAACAGCCATTTGTCAGGTTGATCTATTGGAGAAACCACGAGCTCCTGTCCAACGTGAGCCTAGCAGTCCTGATAAGCGAGGGGTAATAGGGTGCACACTATGATTTGGAAGGTGAGAAGCGAAGCGTGCAGTCCACCCACCCGCGATGAACGAGCTCCGGAGCAACAGGTGCAGCGGGGAGCCCGTGGACACCGGACGAGCAAGGTGGTGGGAGGTCAACGTCGCGTACAGCACTTGTAGGGCATTGAGTAGGAGAATAAGAACAGCAGGGCCAACAAATAAAGCAGAAGATGCGTGAGAAATGAAGAGGAAAAGCACAGCAACAGCAGCACACGGTATACCTGGAGCTCGCTCCATTAAGCCCTCAGCGGTGGACAAGGCGGTGAGGGCCAGCAGAACCGGGCCAAATTCCACACCCAACGACATCTCAGTCCATCCCTGCTACGTCTCTGCCCCCCCACAGTCATGGCTCACCACGAGGAAGACCACAGCTACCATCCCAAGGATGCCATCTCGGGGGCATTGAAGGCCACGATGCTCACTGGCAGTGCAGGTCTTTTTGCCTCGGCTGTCCAGAACACCCTGACCAAAAGGAACGTCGGCCCGCTGGGCGTGTTTATGCGCAGTGGCGGCACCATCGGAATCTTCGGTATGAATAATGGCTGGGATAGCGCGGCTGGTCAATACTGACGCAGATCTCTAGCGGCGATGGGCGGTACCTATGAATTTGTCAAGACAGCCTCGGCCAACTTGCGGGAGAAGGAGGATCCTTACAACGTTGCTCTGGGTGGCTTCTTTTCGGGTGCTCTTCTGGGGCTGCGAGGTATGTTGTTTGTCACTGCGGATGAAAGCACTGCGGGGAAAGGGTGTCGTGGAGCATTGAAGGTCTTTTGGCTGATACGCGTCTAGTCCGCACCTTCCCCGCCCTGTTGGGCTATGGCGTCGCGCTGTCGACTGCCATGACCGCCTTCGAGTACACCGGAGGTAGCCTGTTTGGATACAAGAAGAACACAGAGGTGGATGAATTCGACCGCCGACAGCAGCTGCGGACGAACTACCGGACTCCGGCTGAGCAGACATTTGCCGAATTGGGCGAAGGACGGGGTATGTTGCTCGCATATAGTGGCCCCAATTTGATCCGCAACTGAGCTGACTCGATCTCCGGCAGGTATCTACGGCCCCAACTACGAGGAGCGACGCCGGGAGCGGCTGAAAGAGGCGTACGGCATTGAAGTCCCCACAACGCCGGCTGCCGCATCATAAAGTGGTTTCTTTCTTTTGTGTCGCTTTGTAAATTACCCCGTCGCCTCTAGCATGCCGGATACGACAATCCGATTTTTCTTCTGTTTTCATTTTCTCTGATGGGTGGTGTGGAGAGACGTAGCTGGTTCAGGTGATGGAGATGGTCACAATTACCTATTTCAGTGGGAATTAAGTGGAGGATTTCATATCCTTCAGTGAGAGCTCTAGCCACTGTATGACGGGTATACGGTGATGTAAATGAGAATAATATTTACCTTTTATCCCCGGACGTCGAGATAGGGCATCGCCCAATCACGACGGCCAACCGAATTCCCACGGCGGCGCAAAACGTGCCAGGGCCTTTCCCCAGGCTGCCCACGGTCAGTTTCTTGGGCAGCGGCACTCTGCCCAGATACACTAATCGCTAGGGGATGTGAGTTAAGAACTCTTGTTCCTCCGAACGTCACGATCATCGCGACGATCAGGGGTGTCCTAAATAGCGGCCACCCACGTGAATCAGCCACTAGGCAGATAAATATTACCTGAGTATTGTCCTAAGTGATGATGCTTCTATTCAATATGATGCTAGGTACAGCCCGGCCATTACTTCCGATCCATACGTCAACGCTCCCCCTCTCCGGCCTTCCCGGCTTGTCATCACGACTCCAGCTTCGAAGACGTCATCTATCTCACGTTCCCCCTCTTACCCGGAGCTACGAAGGTACGAACTCTTTGGTTTTTTCCTTCCAATCTCCCCCTTTCTGGCATTTTACCTCTGCTCACCGGACTATTAGTTACTAAACCCCGTTCGCCAGGTAACCAGCCCCGCGCCATACTAGTGACCGGCTTGTCCTGAACTATTCCCTATCTCCCTCTCTCTCTCTCTTTCTTTTCTCCACCTCCTTTTTGATTCTTTCCCGATCCTTATCCTCCGCGCTCCCCCCTTGCGTCACCCACGTTTCTTCCTGGCATGGCTGGGCCCCAGACGCCCGTGCAGGACTATCCGCCGCAAGAGTCGATGCGCGGCTTCTCCCGATCCTCGAGACCCAGTTCCTACGTGGGCAGCAATTCAATGCCCGACCAACCCCAGATGGCCCACAACCCGCGCTTCCGGGAGGACTTCGACGCAGCCAGCCGGCGCAGCTCCCTCATGCTGGACGGCGCGGGAATGCAGCGGTCTGCGTCGCAAATGTCCCGGGCCCGATCGCCGGGGCCCTCCCGATCGAGCACCCTGAAAAAGAAGCCCTCTCTCAGCCGCAAGGGCAGTCTGCGGCGCAATGGCAGCCGCCGCAGTATGCGCGCCGGCAGCGTGAGGAGTCTGAGCTTGGGCGACCGTGAGAAATACGGCGATGGCACCGAGGACCCTAACAGCGCGTTCACCATTCCGATTCCCACCTCCGGCAACCCGACCGAGGTGCTGTCCAACCGCTTCCAAGGTGTGTCGCGTTGTTCCGATTAATTTCACTCTTGTTAACTTGCTTCCTAGCCTGGCGCAAGGTCCTCAAAGACTTGATTATCTTCTTCAAAGAAGTCCAAAAATCCTACGAGACCAGGTCCAAGCTGTTCTTATCCGCCTCTCATGTTATCGGCAACCAGGCGATCCCACCCGCATTCCTGCAAACCGGTGGGCTGGCCGATGCGACCGAGATCCTCCGAGACTTCCACCGCCAAGGGTACACGGAGGCCAACAAGGCCGTCCAAGTCGAGATGGAGGTGATCAGCCAATTGACGGGTCTGCGCAACGACCTACAGAAGAAGACCAAGGAGATCAAGAGTCTGTCGGGGGATTTTAAGAATTCGGTCGAGAAGGAGCTGGAGGGCACGCGCAAGTCGGTCCGCCACTTGCAGGAGTCCCTCGGCCTCGTGGATACTGATCCGTCTGCGACATCGGGCAAAGGCGATCCATTCATCATGAGACTCAGTGTCGAACGGCAGGTTGAGAAGCAGATTGAGGAGGAGAACTATTTGCATCGGGTTGGTCCGCCCGCTTCATGTGACCTCACATATAGCTAACAACCCTTTTAGGCGTACCTGAACCTCGAGAACTCGGGCCGGGATCTCGAGTCCATTGTGGTTAGCGAGATCCAGAAGGCCTACAATGCCTATGCCAGCATCCTCCGACGCGAGGCCGATGAGGCCTATGACACCATCGAGAAGCTGCGAGTGGGCCCGATCTCGATTCCCCCGGACTACGAGTGGAACTCGTTTGTCGCCGCGACCGACGAACTGGTCGACCCTCGCATCCCACTGCGAAATGTGGAGAATATCGCCTACCCCGGCAGAGACCATCCCGCGGCTGCAGAGGTCCGGGCTGGGATGCTGGAGCGCAAGAGCAAGTATCTCAAGAGCTATACTCCTGGCTGGTGAGTAATCTCCCTTTTGATCCAAATTCCCTTCCACTAAGCCATATCAGGTATGTCTTGTCGCCGACTCACCTCCATGAGTTCAAGTCGGCCGATCGCGTGGCATGGCAAACTCCGGTGATGTCATTGTACCTGCCAGAGCAGAAGCTCAGCTCGCACTCGCAGCCGGACTCGAGCTCGCACAAGTTCATGCTGAAGGGTCGCCAGACCGGTGCGATGCACCGGGGTCACTCGTGGGTGTTCCGGGCCGAGTCGCACGAGACCATGATGTCGTGGTATGAGGACATTGAGAGCCTGATCAACAAGACGGGCGAGGCTCGCAATGCCTTTGTCCGGCGCCACGTCCGAAGCGTGAGCGGCATGTCCTACAGTAGTGATGGAGGAGCAATGGAAGAAGACGAAGCCGACCGCACTCCGTACTCCGGATCGGTGGTTTTGGCGGGTGAGCGACCAACCTCTGCTCCCCGTCAGCCCGGCGGTGCCTTCCCCAGCGATGTCCAAATTGATCGACACATGCAGGCACCTTTGTCGCCCTCTAGCGGTGATGGTTCTGTTGACAAGGAGGGGTTGGCCGCCGCTGGTGGGGTTCCAGACGGGTCTGCAGCTCTGGCAAGCTCTACTTCCCAACGAGGAGTCAAACTCAATGCGGCCGATGGTGTTTCTCCAGCTGCTGCCAACGGAGGTGAATCCTCACGGGCCCCCGTGGAGAGACACGACAGCTACTACGGTGACTGGATCGGCCCGGCTGCCATTGCGGCCAAACAGCGGAAGCACAACCCGGCTGACTCCACAGTTGATGACCGGGAGATTCGATCGGATGGAGGCCAGGCCTCCCTGATGGCTGCCGGCATGGTTGATCGGCCTGGACGGCGTGAGAACTCGGCTCCGCCACAGGTTCGCCGCGAGAGCGTATCGACCGTACCGACCAACACGAACGTGACCGACTACACGAACAACACCATGGCCACCTCGGTGGACGAGGAACCGTCCCTGGCCCACAAATCCATGGGCCTGGAAGACAGCGCGCTCCCCTTGCGTCAAAAGACCGACAGCATGGCCACCATGGACATGAAGATCCCCGGCCGCTTCCCGCCGACCAACGTGGCAGCATAATTTGAGTCTTCTCTTTCACTTCTCTGTTCCTGTTCCTTTTTATTCTCGTGCGCATCTTGTGTATACCTATTGTGCCTTCTACAATCCGGCCTAGCTTGCTTTTAGGCGTTTTGGTCCCCTCGTTTCCTCCCATCCTAGGCCCTTGTCGCCGGCGTTCGTTTCAGGGTGGGCGTGTGTTTGTGTTAGGTACTTCTTTTCCCTTGATTCCCTCGACGGGTGTTGCACGCCCGGTCTTTCGTTTCTGTTGTCTACTTAGTTGGAGGGATGAAATGAACACGGTTCCCTCGGACGATTGGCACTTGATGGAGTAACGGAAATATGGTGATAGAACTTAGCTGCCTGTAATAATGCCTCGGTCGACATACTCTATAGATCGGCCGTGGAGATACATTCACCCGCCGATCGCATGGCCGGTTGTGCCTCAACTCCCTCTTCTCTACCAACTCCCACGAAATAACAACACGGTTGTTTCTTCTGGTGACCTTCTCCGCCTTTCCTTTCTGCTCTCTCTTTCTCTCTCCACCACCACCACCACTTGTTCTTTTCCTTTCCTCTCCTCCTCCCTGTCTCCCCATCATCCGCCATCCTCACAACTCTACTCTGTGCCACCTTCCTTACCTTACCTCCACGCTCCCTCGATCAATCATGGGTGGGTTGTCCCCTGTTTCACGCATTACCTTCGTATTTACTTGTTTTTGGTCCTCCCCTTGGTACATTCCCAGCTCCCCTCCTTTCATCCAATCATCCAATCACCGTGTTTCCCCCCAACCTTGACGCCTTAATCCTTTCATCTCCTTTCTTTCCCCCCTCCCTCCCCGCCTTCCCACCTTTTCCTTCTTCTTCCTTTCCCCCTTATCGTCGTCGTTTTACTATATTATCCTCACGCTGACTGCCCTGTTCAGCCGACGTCTATCGACCACATCAAGTAAGTCCGCTTTTCTTTTCCTTGGTTTCGTCTGCACTTTATTATTCTACACTCCCCCTGTCTCCCTTCCGATGCGCACTCGTGGATACGATGGGCTATCGCGAGCTCTGGGATGGTCAGTGCGCGGGCGGACCAGCAATGGGGCCTTCGATCAGATATGCGCCCGATCATGTTGATGATGCTGGGAAGGGGATAGGGGTTTCTTGACATCGGCGCATTCCTTACGGCACACAAACCCCCCTGTTCCGTCCCCTTCCATCGCACCCCCTCTCCGCTCAGCCCAGACTGACTCCCGGGGTCCTTGTACTCCCGGGTTCCCTCGAGTGGAGCATCACCTGACCTGGAGGACCCGCCCCGAGCCTGCGACATCCCAGAATCCACGTCTGCGCCTCGTTTGCCCTTTGCCCGTTTGATTTTCATCTTTCTTTGTTTGTTTGTCGCATCGTCGTGTCCAGATCAAAATGTCTGCATATCCCGACTCTGACCACTACCAGCGTGAGAGGTCCCGTTCGCCCCGTCGTCGTTCTTCTCGCAGTCCCCGTCGCAGCCGTCGCTCCTACACGCCGCGCAGCCGCTCTCGCAGCCGTGACGATTACCGTCGCAGTGATCGCCGTTCGCGATCTCCTTTGAGTGCTTCCGGTGCTGGTGGACAGCCAGGCTCTCCCTACGGTGGACGCAGTGGTTACGCGCCGGGCAGAACGTTCGAGGATCGTGCCGATCGTGTCGCCGCGAAAGAAAACATGATGCAATCCGTCCGCGATTCGTCCCAGCAAGACCGTCGGGTCTATGTGGGCAATTTGAGCTACGATGTCAAGTGGCATCACCTCAAAGATTTTATGCGACAGGGTAGGACCGCCAGGAAAATGTGGTGTACCAATCACTAACCGGCTTATAGCTGGAGAGGTTCTCTTTGCCGATGTATTACTACTTCCGAATGGAATGTCGAAGGTGGGCGCCAATGCGTAGAGTGGCTGGTTCCTTTTCTACCTCCCTGATTTTTCGTTCTGGCTTCTTGTTGGTTATCTTGCATGGACTGTTGGGTTGACGGGCTGGGCCTGGCCGTCCGGATATTGTAGGGATGCGGGTAAGCATTGTCTGAAGGTCCCTGAAAACACAATTGCTAATCACTCTACAGGATTGTGGAATACGCAACCAGGGAGCAAGCACAGAACGCAGTCAACACGCTTAGCAACCAAGACCTGATGGGACGCCTTGTCTACGTCCGCGAAGTAAGTCATGGCCTTTTTTGGTGTCGTTCAGATCTGACCGTTTGTAGGATCGTGAAGCCGAGCCCCGTTTCATCGGTGGACCTCCCCGGGGTGAGTTCGGGGGTGGCCGCGGTGGTTTCGGCGGTGGCTATGGCGGTGGCCCCAGTGGCCCCCCCCGGCGGTGGTGGTGGCCGACAGCTCTACGTGTCGAACGTTTGTTTCCCCTCATCTCCCGTGCGCCAAACTTCATGGGTTGTTTATTGACATGTTGTAGCTCCCCTTCAACGTTGGCTGGCAAGACCTGAAGGATCTTTTCCGCCAAGCGGGTAAGTACACGATGACTGTAGCACCTTACACTTCTATCCATTCCCTGCGCTGAAGTATTAACCCCCACTTTCTTTCTTATAGCTCAGCAGGGTGCCGTCATCCGTGCCGATGTGCATACCGACCCCACCGGCCGTCCCAAGGGCTCTGGTATCGTTGCCTTCGAGTCTCCCGACGATGCGCGCAATGCCATCGCCCAGTTTAACGGATTCGAGTGGCAGGGCCGTCCGCTGGAGGTCCGTGAGGATCGTTTCGCCGGCCCCGGCCCCGGCTTTGGTGGCCGCGGCGGCTATGGTGGTGGATTCGGTGGTCGTGGCGGGTTCGGAGGCCGCGGAGGCTTTGGTGGTGGCCGCGGAGGATTCGGCGGCGGCTTCGGTGGCCGTGGTGGTTTCGGTGGTCCTCCCGGTGGTGGGCCCCCCGGTGGCTTTGGTCATGGCGGTCCTGGCGGTCCTGGTGGTGGCTTTGACAACGCGGCTGCCCCTCCAGCGGCTCCGAACCCCTTCACTGATTACGCTACCTCGGGCGGCGAAAAGAGCGCCGTCATCTACGTGCGCAACCTGCCCTGGTCCACCTGCAACGAGGACCTGATCGATCTGTTCTCGACTATCGGCAAGGTCGAGCGTGCTGAGATTCAGTACGAGCCCAACGGACGCTCGCGCGGCACTGGTGTCGTGCAGTTCGACAGCGCAGACACTGCGGAGACAGCGATCTGTATGTTTTCTTTTCGTCCTATCCCAGGCCTTACTAATACTCTTGCAGCTAAATTCACCGGCTACCAGTACGGTGGTCGTCCTCTCGGCATCACTTTCGTCAAGTACCTGAACGCAAACCCAGGTCCCGGAGACGTGATGGAGGATGCTGAGCCCCCGGCCGGCCCCACCCAGGATCAGATCATGTAGTTATCTTCTTGTCCGAAAAGTTTTGGTGCATTATTCCGCTATGCCCAGACCTGTCGTGGCTTTATCGCTTTTGTCTTGTTGCTCTCTTTCGTCGATGATTCCCTTATTCCCACCATGTTGTTTTGTGTGTGTCTGAGTACTATCAAATTGTGTTTTTGTGTGGGGGATCTGCAGACTGTAGTAGATCGAGCCTCGAATTACAATGAATTGCGTTGATGCTCTATTGTGGTGGTTGGTTAGTTAGACCTGTAGATCTAGAGCTAGCACGTGCACCGCTCTCCATCGCGGTTTTTGTCCTTTACAAACCACCTTGGACTGAACGACCAACCCCCTCAACCATGGCTTATTGTCCGAGCTTCGCTCCCTCAACAGGGAGATCTATACGCTCTCTCATCTCAATTCCACTTCGGCAATTCCACCACCAATCCATCCTCCCAACAACCCGCCTCGTCCGCTCAGCACCAACACCCTCACAATCCACCACCCTCCTCCCAAAAAGAAGAACCAGAAGCTACCACTCAACCCACCACCCCCGGCCCCCATCACACACCTACACAAATAGCCAAAGCACAATCCTCACCGCCGCCCTCCCCCACATCCCCAGTCACGGCTTCTCTCTCAAATCCCTCACCCTCGGCGCGCGCGACGCGGGCTTCCTCGACGTCTCGGTACAGCTCCTCCCGCGCGGCGAGTTCGACTTGATTCTCTTCTGGCTCGCTAGTCGGCGCGGCCTGCTGCGCGCTAAGGTTGAGGAGGGGGGCCTGTTGCAGCGCATTGCGGCTGAGAGGGGGGTGTCTGACTTGGGGGTGGACGAGAGGGTGGAAGCGCTGGTGCTTGAAAGGCTTAGGATGAATGTTGATGTTAAGGGGGTTTGGCAGGATGTGAGTTTTCTTGTTTCTATTTCATTTCCCGTTGTTTGCGACGCTGCTCCCCTTTTCTTTCTTTTGTCTCCTGCTATATCTATACCATTGATCTAAATTGAGACTAACCCAACCCGAAAAGGCCCTAGCACAGATGTCCCTCCTCTCGAACATCCCCCTCTCCCTAAACGAGCTACACGCGCTATCCTCCGACATCCTCTCGCTAGCGGGTGACACTTCCGTGGACTCGGCATGGTACACGCGCCGTCTAGCCGTTGCAGCCGTGTACGCCAGCGCAGACGTGGTGATGACCCGCGACCCGACCCCGGATCTGGCAGAGACGACGGCGTTTGTGCACAGGCGGTTTGAAGATCGTGATGCCCTGGCCGCGAAGATGCAGGGCATTGGGGAGTGTGTTGGCATTTGGGGGAGTACAGCCGTTGGAGTTGGGAGAAGCTGGGGGTTGAAGATTTAATCTGTCAGACGGATAGATGGAGAGGTAGTTAGTTGGTAGTGGTGATGATGATGGGGCTGTGTATTTCTATTCTATTATTCATCTCGCATGTCTTTTTCATTTGATTCAGTCCCTGGATTAGTGGCTGGGGACAGTGACAGAATGTACAATCCTGTGTATACTACAGTTTGCATTGCTCGATTTACGTTCTACACACCATTTTCTTGCTTATATCAAGTCAAGGCAGGGAATGTATGCATTAAACAATGCTCACGCTAAGCTCAAAATAATCCAATCACAAATCAGAGGCCACGCTCAATGCTCTGCTTCCTTTCCCAGGCATTGGTTAGCCAGGATTGCTACTTCCCTTCCCCTTTGGCGAGAATATATCATAGCCATTCAGAATTCTCTGCCCTGATTCACTCGAGCAAGTCACGAACGGCCTATCTCACTGCAGTGATACTTTCTGCACCGCTTCCTCAACGCTCACAGGTGGTGCAGCGCCGTCTTGACTATGCGCGTGATCCGCACTATTCTCAGCCGGTGATATCAACAAGGTCGGCGAGGTAGGATGGGACGGATCCGAAAACTCAATCCCCTCTTTTTCGGGGGACTGTCCAGTGCCAGAACCTTGTTGGGTAGCAGCACACGTAGAAGCAGAAGCTATGGCGTGCGCCTCATTCGGAACACTAGCGCTGCGCCCACCAGTCTCACCCGAGTCCGTGGGCGTAGTCAGTGTCTTCGCTCGTCCGGCGCGCCGGGTCTTAGGTGGAGGCGGTGCGGGACGGTGATGGCTTGGTGACGGGGTATGTTGCGCAGATCGACGGGGTGGGGGGACAGCGGGGGGAGGGTTCGACGCAGAGCGCCGAGCGTGCTCGGGGACGGGAGGGACGAGGTTCGATGTTGTAGTTGAGTTGCGCCGCACGCCGGGTTGAGAGGATGAGGATGGGGTTGTTGGTGTGAGCGTAACCGTAGGATTGACCTCCACCCCCTCGGGGATCGTGTTGCGGTCACTGCTTGTCCCGGCAGAGCGAGGCTCCTGCTCGTCATCATCAACGGCGAGGCGACGGCCCCGCCACCGGCGGGATTTAGGTGGCTCTGGCTTGATTTTGGGGGCGCGGATGGTGGGGACATTTGCATCCGTGGCTGCGTGGGCAGCGTCTTTGCGGCTAGGTGTGATGATGCCTGGTTTCTCGCGATGCGTTGCTACGGCTTGCACACTTAATGAGGATGACCTTGCGGACTCGAGGTTCATGCCGAGGCGCTGCGCGACGCTCAATTTGCGTTCGTGCCCTGGAGGAGCGGATGAGCCTCGCGAGTCCATCCGCGTTGGTGAGACAGTGTCTGGTGAACTGGCGGTGGTGCTTGTGCGCGAGAGCGTCCGGGCTACTTCCAGCGACTCGCCAATATCAGTTGGTGTTTCGACCTCAGCAGTCTGGACGGCCTCGTCAAGCACTGCATCGATTGTAGACGGTTGGCCGGAGAGCTCCTGAGCATTGTCATGCGACTCCACGTTGCGAAGCCATTCGACCGTTGCACATCGAGAAACGAGTCGCCGAGTGGTATCATCGACATCTTCAAAGTGAAGAATCCTCTCGTGCTCCGCTTCGTTACCATCCGAGTTCTGGCTGCGGCCGAGAATGCTCAGCAGTCTTCGAAGTTCCTCGCGCTTATAATGCGGTGGTTGGCGCAGCTGTGTATGCGCTAGGAGCGGGTACAGAACGCGCAGATAGGTATGTCGCAGCGCAGCGGCCTCTTCGGGCAGATCAAGTAGGTTCCGGATTAGAATATCGACCAAGACATGAAGGTCATTAGTGAAGAAGTATTCGTAGGTGCTGGGAGTGGTGAAAATGAGGTAAAGGAGCTTCAACGTAAGCAGCTGCAGTGACGTCTCCGCTGCATGTATTACTTAGTGTTCAGCTCTTCACTTGACAAGGCGGACATACCTTCTCGGTTGATCAAGAGAATGATATTCTCCCCGAAAGTCTTGTACATCCCGCCATACACGGAGAGAATCTTGATCACCTTGTTGGTCAACTGATTCGAGGTCTGCTCATTGTCCGCCGGATTGTGCGCCGAGATCATAAACTGCTCATTCAGGACCAGCTACCGCAAAATATCAGCCACGTTCACCGGTCCCCAGCTAATCGAACGACTCACCAGAACCCGGATGACAGGATAATGATATGGATCGGAAACGTCGTAGGAAAGATTCTCGATGAGATCAAACAAACAGCGAATAAAGTCGTCGTCCACGAGAACTGCTCCCCCAAAAAGTGTGTCAATATCACATTTCTCCGGCCACCCCGACTCAAATTGGGAAACCTACCCAAATCCTCAATCTTCACCCTCTGAATCCTCGACATCTCATACAACAAATCCATTAGCAGCCGGTGAAGACCCGCTCCACCGTCCATCTCATCCCTGCGCAGCGCCTGGATCAGCTCGAGGAGACGCGCGAACACGCCCTCCTCGTTCATCATCTGGAAGGCCAGTTCATTTTGTCGACCGTCGAAGAGAAGGAACGACGCAATTAGGTGTAGGATGTTCGAGTCATCTTCCTAAAGCAGAGCAACATGAATGAGTGAGAGTCATTTGCGACAGAATGCCGAAGTGTGTGTTTACCTGTAGGAGGCCGTAGATAATCTGGCGGCGGACATAATCGGCGTGCGCGGCGAAGATGCTCGATGCGAAGAGCTTGTAGGAGCAGCGCGAGATATTATACTCTGAATTAAGGTATTCATCTTCGCCGTCTTCGAGTCAGTCTCTGTGCCATCCCACATGCGGGTAAAAGGCAAGGAAGCGAAGGGGGGCCACCTACCTTTATACTGCGTCGTAAGACCCAAATAAGCGCGCAGAGCGTCATCAATAAGATCCTCTGTGCCGCACGGTTTGGAGACTATCGCTTGGAGTTCTGGACGTTGGTCAATTCAGTGAGTGCGGTTCCAGCGACGGGTGGTGTGGACAAGGCAGACTCACCATCCCAGAACTGCTGCTCGGTCTCCAGCGAGACCTCAGATTCCATTTCCCGCCGGGCTCGATCTGCGACTGAGGACGTGACGGGTACGAGCAGTCATCCCGTCCTGGCGGCCCGGTTGAGGGAGAGAGTTTAGGAGGCGTGAGGGTGGTCGTTGGAGTTGAGAGCGGAGGAAGAAGCGGGAAGAGGTGAAGGCGGGGAAGAATGGACCTACACTTCAAACCCTTAATATGGAACAAAATATACATTGCGATTTTCCTGGTATGACTATGCAGTACATGACGTATATATAATAAATAAAGGAAAGACGGATTAAAGAAAATATTACGAGATCGGGCGTTGGAAGGGATGCGCCTCGGTGTTTCTGCAATCACAGTTAGTTTAGGATGGAAACTGTGTGAAAAAGCCGAACTCACAGAACATATTGGTCCAGATCCACAACACTCGGATCGCTAAAGAGCAGATAGAAATACTTCAGCGTCTCAGCCAGCCAGAACGACTCCATCGTATCCTTGAGCACGGGCTCCTCGGACGTAACGTCGTTGATAGCCGCGTTGGCCAAGTCAGTCCGCGTATATCTCTGGATCGCCTCAAACATCTTCCAGCCCTTGCGGCGCCAGTAGTCGTCACCGGTCGTGCGGTACATGATGAACACAGACTCGATCGCCTCGGGACGCAGGAAGTACTGCGGCGACGAGATCCGCAGCATGCCCGCGGGCCGGCGGTCGTTTTCAGCCTGCGCTTGTGAGGAGACGACTTGCGGGTTGCGACTGCTGTCGGGGGTTTTGTCGCGGGAGGTGTCGCGAAATGTGTCTCGGTCATCGAGAGACGGGTCAATATCGTGACTGTCGGAGGGATTTTGTCGGCCCGTTGCGAACACGTCGCGTTTGTACACATGGTCGAGGTCGTCGTGGGGATTCACTGATCCGGGCATGGGCATGGGGACGGCCATGCCGCCCTCTCCAGTACGCTCCACACCGCTCTCCTCGTTCAATTTCACTCGCTGTCCGTATTCGCTCTCCGCGCTACGAAACTGCGCCTGAGCGTGCGAGTCCTGAGTAGTCCCCCACTTTTGCACGCCCGACTGGAAGCGGCTCTCGTCCCATGTGCAAGCCACATCCTTCTCACAGGGCAGCAGGCGGAACTGCTCAGGCATGATCCCCGTCTTGGTCGACTCGTACGCCCACACGCAGCCATCGGTCAGTTTACCGGCGAGCTCCAGGTCGCCCTGGATCTCGAAGGCTTTGGCACCGAGAGCCATCATGCCGCCAGCAAAGCAGGACAGGTGACTGCCCTCATAAACGAGATCTGCTGAACGGGGGATCGCTTTCTTCGTGGGGTCCAGGCCGATAGTGGAGGCAAAGAAGCGGAGGTCACGCCCGTCCTTGACCATCGGCTTAAAGAGCAAATAGTTCCGGGCGGCGCTCATCGCCTTCTTGTACATCTTCTCGTACTGCACGTTCACGCCGCCCAACAACAAGAACTCCTTGGGCAGGTATTCGTAGGTCGAGTCGTACGCCCCTCCCAGACCGTAGCTGTTATCGCGCGTGGTTTGGGGCATGAGCAATCCGTCCTTGCATTCAGCCTCAGATGATTGGGTTTGGCTGGTCGCGGCTTTTGTATCAACCTTGGGATCGACGAGAGTATTGGCAGCATTGGCACCGACGGCCCGTTCGGCATCTTCGATAACGACATCTCGAGAGTAGAGAGAGCCAGAGTTGCCGGATCCCACGTCGCTCCCAGAGTAGCTAGAACCAGAACTACTGGAGCCGGAGTTGCTGGAGCCGGAGTTGCTGGAGTCGGAGTTGCTGTTACTCTTTGGCTGAGAGGAGGATGACTGGTCATTCGACTGGCTGAGCGCGGAACCAACATGGCTGGAAGACGACGGGATCTTATAGTTGGCACATCCCTGTGCATTGAGATGCTGGGGCCACAGGCCGGGAATGGTGGTGGAGTCCTGGATCTTCTCCAGCTCATTGGTGATCCGTGCAATCGCATCATAATACCTGTCGTCCCTGGTAAGTTGCGCCAACCGAGTAAACTCGAGAGACAGCGACCCAATCTCAGCGAGGACAGCGTGGGCATTGGCCCGATGGCGCTTGGAGACATGCTCCGGAGCCCAGCGGTAATAGAGAACAGGCATGCGATTCGGCGTGTCGAATGCACCAATGAGAACCTCCGCGAGCTCCTTGGCCTTGTCGAGAAGGATCTCATAATGCTGGCCCGAGATATCATAGGCACCCAGCAAGCCACCCAGATATCGAATGACGGTCTCAAACACGGGGATATCGTCTCTCGGAGACCGGGTGAAATCAATCCTCTTCACAGCATCCACTGCCTCATGGAACTCGTCCTTCATGTCCATAATCCACAACGTATCCAGAGAATCGACCAGCGTCGCACCCCATCCATTAAACGGATCGTGAATAGTTTCTGACAAGGGCCCGACTTCGTCATGGCGCATAGCCACTTTCTTGTATCCGCTCCAGGCATGCTGGAAGGCAGCTCTGACGGAGCCGAGCTGCTCCAGGCGCTCCTGCTGGGCAGAACTGGACTCGTCCTTGAATGAGGCCTGCAGTTTGGGCAGCTTCTTGGGGATGTCTTTCGGTAGCTTGATGATCTGGCTCGCGGGGACGGGGTAGTCCTCTGGGAGGGACTGCCATTGTGACTTGGGCAGTTCCTTGCCCGGTTTGATCGTCACCTCCTTTCTGCCGGAACCACCGTTGTCGATTTCCTCGCCCAGTGCGTCGCTACCGATTCCTGTCCCGGCTAAGGATGATGAGGTTGAGGACGACGAAGATGGCAGCTTGTCACCAAATCCAGGTGCCTTCTCCGCTGCTAGTGAGCTGCTATCCGAACTTGACGATTTGCCCGACGTCCCTGATGTACCGCTGTCTGATGTTGACCCACCACCATTCGCCAGCTTAGGAGCAGGCTCGGCGTCCAGCGTCGAGTCCTGCGTCGTTGAGCCGCCGGTTGAGCCAAAAGTAGAATCTCCTGTAGAGCCGCCGGTTGAGCCCCCGGTTGAGGCCCCAGACGATCCGCCAGTAGAACCACCGGTTGAGCCAAAAGTGGAACCGCTTGTCGAACCACTTGTTGAGCCACCAGCCGAGCTCCCCGTCGAACCCCCGGTTTTCTCAATCGGAGAAGACACCCGCTCATTATCCACCGCATTCGCAGCCCCCAAATTCGAGGTCGGCGGCACGTAAGGAATACTATTATCGACAACAGCCGGCACGCCCTGCACCGAGGAAGCCTCCGGCCATTCGCGCGACCTTGAAAAATGCCAGAACGCGAAGACAAAGGTTGCGGCGAAGATCAGGAGGACTCGGTAGCGGCGCGCGCGGAACATGGCGGAGGGCACCCCGTCAGGGGGAGGGTTGAGGGACGGGTCGTATGGAGGAATGAAAGGAAGGAAGGGATGAGGGAGAGGAAGAGGAAGAGGGCGAGATAAAACGAAAGGATAGAGGTGGGATGGAAAGATGGACGGATGGTGATGACAGGACAGGAGAACAGGTTGGTCAGTTATTATTAGGTCAAGACTGGTCCCCTCCTCGCAGAGAATCGCCCCAAGACTCGTCGGGGCCAAGCCAGAGCTACGCTAGGAGCGGTGTCGCTGCCAGCTCGGGCGGTGGAGACGGGGTTAGTCATGATGGTTGTTTATTATTCGTGAACGAGTATTATTATTGGATCGCACTGTCTAGTAGAGATGAACTATCATGATGGTTTGCAAGGCACCAGATCAGCGATGATCAGCAAGGCTGCGGCGATCCGATCATTTAGAAAGCACCATTGAGGCCCTGATCCGACTACGACGAGTGCGACAGACCCTGCAGCCGGTGGCGTCTGCCCTAACTCATTCCAGGTCGTACAGTCACGGAGCAAAACGCCGCACCGATCCCACAGTAACACACCGGACTGAACAGAAAGACACGTCGATCTATATTCCCACCGCCGTCCGTCGGCCGTCGTTGTTAGCTTTCTGGAACTGCTGAATTAGGCCCAGCACGCCCGCGCCGCCAGCCAGGGCATCGATGTTCTCGCCTTCGTCGTCTCCCTCCTTGCCAAGAGGATTCATGCGCCACGAATCCCCCAGGTTACTCTCGTCGGTCCCGACCCCGCCACTAGAAGCCCCTACTGCACCGGCCGACGGCCGCGTGCTGGAATCGTGCGCTTCTTGTGACGACGGCGTCTCGTCATCTTCAATAGGATCTGCCACGGGATGTTGCGATCGTGACAAGCGAGAGCGCTGGTAGGGCGCGGAACGGCCCGCGGGGCGGAATCCAGAGGCTGATGGCTGGTGGTGTGGATCTAGGAGCAGAGACGGTGCGGGAGAGCGATGGTCGCCTGTCGTCGCTGCTGGCCGCAGTCTCGGGGCACCGACGATCGACTGCGGACCGAAGGGGCCGCCTGCCAACGGTCGCTCGAATCGATCTGGAGTGCCGCCCATCTCAGCGCCAGAGGGTGACCCGAGGGCAGGGAGCGTGGGCGGCGGATGGAAAAGTCGCCGAGCAGCGGAGGGTGGATGATTGGTGCCGTAGTGATCCAAGAAGCCATAGTAGGAAGCGAGCATCTTGCCATCCTTGGTCGAAAAATAGTCTGCACGCAGGTCCTGTTTACCAGAGTCGCGCCGACCCTGCGACATCACGTTCGTGCCTTTTTTGAAGTCGAAAACGGCAAACGAACAGAGATATCCCACCCCGTCGACGTGCACGGTGAACTCCCGGAAGAAGTCAATCAGACGGTCGCTGCATTTAGGCAGGCTGAACCACAGCACGAACGGCGTAAAGATCATGCTCAGAATCTCTTCTAGGAAGATGACAATCTTCACTTGATATAAGGTAGCAAAGTCCTTACGCACCTCATCGCTGTGCAGGCGGCCCTTCCAGCTCGACGGGAAGTAATGTGTAAAGTCGATCAGTTCCAAGAGTGCAAACTCGGGATCAAAGACGTCGTTTTCTTCGGGGGCCAATCCCCGGGCAAAAGCCCAGATAGAACCGAAGACACCAAGATAGAAGAGGACGGTCCGGTCAGGAGAGATCTCGAACCCAAGGAATAGTTCCGGATCCACAATCGAGGCGAGTGCAAGCACCGAGGCCAATGCACCAGAGACAAAGGCAACGAAGCGCGCAACCTGAACCGTTTTATCCTTGGGAAACTGATCAACGTAGCGGCTGGCGAACGGATATGACATGTTAATCCGCCGCTCGAATAGATGCCACAGCTCGTTGAACTCGCGAAACTTCCACTCTGCCAGCGGCGTGTATTGGCGCGAGCCGATTTCGGCTGGGTTCTTCTTGAACTCGTTGAAATATCGGAAAAAGTAGTGCATCATGAAGTAGACAACGATAAAGGGAGCCACAAAGATATTCATAATGCCAGCGAAAATAAAGCGTCGTCGCAGTCCATCGCTCAATGCTCGTCGGTGGGTATCTTTGAGAAACAGCGTCCGCACCTGGCCTTGCTCGTTAAACACATAGTCCATGATGCACAGGTTGAGATTCCACTCCAAAGTTCGGGAGAATAACTGTCGGTTCCTGAGAAATGGGATTGGTAATGTGAGATCCAAGATGTTCTTATTAACCAAAGCAATCATGTAGTTCTCCTTGCGCATCAGACGGTTGGCAATATCATGGGCATCCATTCGTTGCTTCGACTGGCTTCCCAAGAATCTTCGGTGTTTGGCAGAGACAGCACCTGCGGTGGCCGGGTTGGCGTCTCTCAGCGTCATCAAGCGGCTGACTACTTCCTGCCATGAGATGGTCTGAATTTCCGCATCGGAAATCCCGAGAAGATAAAAGTAAAAGTCGTGCATGTGCTTCAACCGACGAATATCCAGCAGGTACTGGAAGGTCTTTCCCATCCAGAAGAAGCTGAACAGCCACAATAGGAACGTGGACGTCCCGGACATCTTGGCTGTACATCTCGGCACGAGAATATCGTCCAAGGTTTTGCTCCCTCGGACGTTCTGGTAGTCGATACAGTTAGAGAGAAATGTTGTGAAACCCACTACGAAAGCAAAGGTCCTAGATTTTGCTGTCAGCCACTCAAATCCTCCGGGGGGGAAAAGGGAGAAAAAAGGAAACATACAAAAGATTCAGGGCTCGACCCAGGAAGATGGACCAGATTCCATTTCCCAAAAAGTAAATATAGACATCCTTGATAAAGTTGTCCAGATCCTCGACATTGGCCCACCGCCACATTGCCTTCTCTTTGGGGTCAGCATTGGCCAGACTTGGGTGTTGCGCGGTAGACCATCTCCCCGGCGGACGACTACTTTCAAGATCGGGTGGTTGACGAGGTCCTCGTGTTTCCCAGGGGGACCGGCGGGGTTGCGGCGATGGTCTCGGGTTTGGAGATGTGGAGGCGTCGGAGAGATCATGGGATGGAGGTGGAGGAAGGTTTAACTGCTGGTCCTCGTCAAGGGGTCCTTCCACCAGCAGCGACTGGGGGACATCCTCATCCTGCTCGTCCAGCTCGTATCCGGTCGATGATTCACGCGTCATCCAGCGGGGACGGGAAGGCTTGCGCCAGCGGGATCGAGGGGCGGATGTAGGGCTCTCTTCGGGTGCCTTGCCTTTGCGCGAGCGCTGTTGGCCGAGCAGAGCATCGTTGGGACTGGCGATCTCGCTGTCCCTCGCATCGGCCAACGCATCTTCCAGCTCCCCGTCACTGAAATGGTCCTGTTGATCGACCATCCCTGCGCGTTCTTCGACATCGGAGGAGTCCGAACCGACGTCGTGCTGGCGGATAGTCTCGTAGACCGAGGGGGAACCCGTCGGAGGCAAGAAGCGGGAGAGTACATTGGAGGACATCATCTTGAGTTGTTGTTCGGGGCAGTACTCATCGCAGCGGCTGGGCAGCCGAAGCGGTGGAGTGGATTAGTCAAGGGCCATGCGAGAGGGATGGTGCAGGAGCAGAGTTGAATTCCTCCAGCAGTTACAAGGAAGGAAGGGTGGTGAGTGAGCACGACAGGTGACCGAAGTGTATGGACCTTGTGATTGATGGGTCGGTGATCCATGACATAAACAGATGCCTAAGGCATGTCGCATTACCTAAGTCCGCTGAGCTGACCGCCTCCCCGCCAGTGGTGATCGTCAACGATCCACCCACTGATTCATGTATGCCTTTTTCCTGATAGGATTATTCCTGAGCTCGGTCTATGATGCCAGATACAGATAGTCCCAGCCCATGCTCATCATCATTCTGCGTCCCTCGTCTAGCGCGCTGTCGGGCAAAAAGAGGGTCCGATCGACAATGCTAATCATGGCCTAGTCGGAGGACGAGCGACCGCGCCGCATGATTCAGTGGGCGCCCTTTGTCCGTGTCCCCGAACTAGCTCCACCCAACCGGGGCAGAGGGACTCACGCCAGTCGCACTATGGCCAGACTGGTGGGATATTAAGAGGAGGATGATGATGATTTATGATTATGGACAGAAAAGGGGGACCGCAAGCCGGCCCTGCCGCTAGCGACGACTAACGGCTGGGGAGGCATCATAGCGCAGTGGTCTGCAGAGTCAGTCCAGTCCGTCACTTTTAGGGTGCCACGCCGGCCGATTGGCGTCGGCAGTTTCGGTAAAGGCAGCATGAAGAGAGGTTCTCCCTGCGCGTCGGGTCGTTTGTACCTTACAGCCAGGCTAACTTGGGTTAACTACTTTGACCTACTACCACGTATGAGGGAGAGGGAGGGACGGACCAGGATCGGGCTAGATGTTGCTAATAATATAATATGTAATGATCCCTGCGCATCATCATTAGTTAGCTCGCGGCAAAGGGCTCCCTATTATTTATGATTGTTGCAATGATCCCGTAGTGGTGGTGGTGGAAGTGGTAGGAGTGAATGCTTAATCCACTTCCCCCTCCTCTGCATCTTTCCACTTCTTCCGCTCACTCACGCACCTTACTCCCTCCCCCTCTTCACTTCCTTCTCGCAACATCGCCCGGCCAACTTCTTCCCAACCACTTTCCCACTCGACTCACCCCATTCTCACCCTGGCTCGCCTCATCCACACCCCCCGAATCCGGGTCTGAGGAGGGGCATCACTTGCCGGGGGATCTGCAAAGCACACTTCCCCAGCACACACAAACAACATCTTCTTTTCACCCCATAATCAACTCAACCCCCAATTTCAAAAGAGACTGATGAAGGTGCGTTTGTTGTGGTCTCCCTCCTCTCTCGTTCTCCACCCTTCTCTTCAGTATCCATCCATCCACCCCCGACCATTAATGATATCACCCTGCCCTCCTGAGCCTGCTCCCTCAGACCCCGACTGACTCTCACCTCGTCCAGCGGCATCAGCGCTATCGGCTAGCCGACGGATTGGACTCTCAACGCTAGCTCCTGCATCTCCCGCACATACGAAACGGTGACCTGCATCTCCCTTCGTATCTCTCGCCCCTCGCCTCCCTGCCCCGCGACCGAATGTGCGACTCCAATCCCCATATTTTCGCCCGACTCCATGCGTACTCCTAGCCGCCTTTTAGACAAAAACGACTCTCAATCGTGGAAATATATCAGCGCAGCACTCTCTGGGTCTCAGGGGGTACATCCATCATCCCACCGACTGTTTTGAGGGAGGTTGTGTTGGGTGTGTTTTGGAGCGTCCTTCCTTCCTTTCTCTTTGTTGACTGGCCCACGCTCGTGCTTGCCCACGTTGTCTCACTCTTACATCGCCGTTTGAGGAGTCTTGGCCCGAGCAAGAATGGAGCCAGAGAAGGAGAACCAGGGCGGATTCAAGCGGAGCTCCTTGCATCAAGGAGCATATAGCCGCCCCATAGAACGACGACCCAGCAAAAAGTCATCCTCGAGGGATCGACACGGCATAGTCTATCCTGATAGCTTTCGAGAAGCCAGCATTCGAACCGTCACGCCCGAAGCGTCGCACTCCGATCCGGGCAACCATTCCCCCATATCCGACGCGGAGTACTTCACGGGCAGCGGTGCACCCTCACCACGCAGCACGATCCGGTCGAGGGCCGTCAATAACTACTATAACATGCAGAGCGAAGATGATACCCCGGGGCCAGGCAAGAACCAGCGCGCTCGGTCGCGAACCACCAATTTGGAGGAACAACGAAGCGACATCTCTCCCCACGCGTTCAAACCCCGGGCGCGACTCGGATCGGTCAATACGGCAAGTTCTTCTCAGCCCAAGACACCGGAGGATTCGTCCATCGGTTTCCCGTCGATACAGGCGTCGAGCTATGAGAGTGTCATGCGGCAGCGACTGAGCAGATCTCCCACGACCGGCGTGGCACACAATCAAACTGCCTTCTCCTCCCCCCTCTCAAGTGCGGATGCCGCGAAGATCCTCCAGCTCATGAAGACTACGTGTGGAAGGATGCATGGAATCCTCTCCTTTCGGATAGCCTCGACGAGCTCCTGGACTTCTGGATACTGTGCCATAAACGTCGCTACTGGAAGCTTGATCTATCAGGCAAAGGGGGAACCAGCTTTGGCAAAAACACTGATTCCCGATCTTCGGGGTTGCAAGGTGCGAACGTTATTTGACCCCGAACTTCAGACCACCTACCTGAGCGTCCATACCTTCACGTCGGGACTCGGAATTCAGCTACGACCCCATATCAATGAGACATTCGACTCCTGGCTTGCTGCTCTCCTTTGCTGGCAGCCCATTCGGCCCAAGGGTGTTCAGAACAAGATGACCAAGCCCCAAGCGGTCCACATCGGGGACCGTCGTGTGCCCGACCGTCGTCGTAACTCGGAGAGCTCTGCGACTAAGGAGGCGGCCATCATCAAGGTCGGCAAGATGCTCCTGTGGGACAAGCCCTCCACCTCCGGAGCACGACCAGCATCTTTGCGGCGCGTGTCCACCTATCGGCAGCAAAGAGCACTATCCCAGTCATGGCAGAAGGTCAGCTGCACGCTGCAAGAGAATGGTTATTTCAAACTTTACACGGAGTCAGATGTCTCTCTTGTGGCATGCATTCAGCTGTCGCAATTATCGCGCTGTGCCATCCAACAGCTGGATGCGTCGGTCCTCGAAGATGAATTCTGCATTGCGATGTATCCTCAATACGCTGCCCATCCCGTGACCGATTCATCAATGCGCCCGATATACCTCGCTTTAGAGAGTCGTGTCCTTTTCGAGGTCTGGTTTGTGCTTTTGCGTGCATTCACGATCCCCGAGCTCTACGGCCCAGAATCCCCGGCCCGAGTCGAGGAAGACCCAGAAAAGACACCAGAAGCCGAGACTCCCGAAAAGCCGCCGCCTGCGGATATGTTCCGAATCGAGAGGGTTCTTACCTTGAGACTTACGGAAGCGAAGTTGTTTCGGTTTCAAGAGGATGACCCTCCCCGGAGTCGGAAGCAATCGCGATCTCACAGCCATCCATCTCCAGCCCCTGTGATCAACGACTATTATACAGAGGTTCTTCTCGATGGAGAGATCAGAGCCAAAACCGCTGTCAAATATCGCACGATGAACCCCTTCTGGCGAGAAGATTTTCTATTCAATGATCTGCCACCCGTGTTATCCCAGGCTTCGATTTTGGTCAAGACCCTCAATCCAACACAGAAAGACTGGAATCTCATCGCACATGGCTCCTACTCATCTAGTCATGAAGTTAACGCGGTACGCTTGGATGACATTGAGATTTCCACCAACGACTCCACGTTTGGAAGGGTCGATCTACGACTGGAAGACTTGGAGGCCGGCGTGGACACCGAGAAGTGGTGGCCAATTCTGAATGATCATGATCAGGCCGTGGGAGAGATGTTCATGAAGGCCCGGGTCGAGGAGACGGTTGTTCTGATGTCCAGCGAATACGCCCCGATGTCCGAGTTGCTGCATGCTTTCACGAACGGCCTCACAATCAACATGGCGCAGATGATGTCACAGGAGCTCAACCAACTGTCCGAGATGCTCTTGAACATCTTCCAGGTTTCCGGTCGGACAGTGGAATGGATCTCGGCATTGATCGAAGACGAGATTGATGGTGTTCAGAAGGAATCCACCGCCAACCGCCTGAGGTATACGACAAGAATACACTCCAACGACTCTCGGGAGGGCTGCTCAGACCGTGAGGTCCTGGTGAGAGATATGGGGAGAACGGCCACCGTCGAGGCCAATCTTCTTTTCCGTGGAAACTCGCTTCTAACCAAGGCGTTGGATCTGCACATGCGGCGACTGGGCAAGGAATATCTGGAAGAGACGATCGGAGAGCGGCTGCGCGATATTGACGAAAGTGACCCGGAGTGCGAAGTCGACCCAGCCCGAGTGCCTCGCAGCGAGGATCTTGACCGCAACTGGCGAAATCTGATAGCGCTCACCACAAGCGTTTGGAAATCCATTGCGGCCTCTACATCTCGGTGCCCTCCGGAGCTGAGACTCATCTTCCGACATGTGAGGGCATGCGCAGAGGATCGTTACGGTGACTTCCTGCGAACGGTCACTTACAGCAGTGTTTCTGGCTTCCTCTTTCTACGGTTTTTCTGCCCGGCTATTCTCAACCCAAAACTTTTCGGGCTTCTCAAAGGTATGCGTAACTGGCTTGTTAATTCTATCCACGCACTAAAATTCGTTTACAGATCACCCCCGTCCTCGTGCCCAACGTTCTCTTACCCTGGTTGCCAAGGCCTTGCAAGGATTGGCCAATATGACCACGTTCGGCAATAAAGAGCCATGGATGGAGCCCATGAATAAGTTCTTGTCTGGCAGTCGCTCTGAGTTCAAGCATTTCGTCGATCAGATCTGCGCCATTCCCGCGGACCGGCCAACTCCTATGGTCACGCCGTCCTACACCACCCCCGTTCAGATCCTGGGACGGTTGCCGCCCACCTCTCGCGAGGGATTCCCCAGTCTTCCATTCCTGATCGACCATGCCCGAAGCTTCGCAAACTTGGTCCGTGTCTGGCTCGAAGTGGTCCCAAACACGGTTTCTCAGCTCGAAGGGGTCGATCCCACCCTTCGCAAGTTCCATGAAATGGCCTTGGAACTACATCAACGCACGAAGGAGTGCCTGAGCCACGCCGAGCAAGCAGAGCGGCCAAGCGGAAACCTCGAGATCAAGTGGGAAGAGCTCGTGGATTCCATGGAGCGCGCAGCCACATTCTACGATGAATCAAACAGCAAGCCAACCACCCCACCCGCAGAACCCGCAGTCGCCGGATCAGCAGTTTCCGGGTCGGGCTCTGTATCGGGAAGTGGCCACCGCAACTCAACTGGCTACTTCGCTACTCGACCTGCAATGCCCCGTCGATCAACCGATTACGCAGAAGAGGACACACCTCCGAGCTCATCGTCCGCAACCTGGGATCAAAACCGTATGCCCTTCGCCATCCCGCGGCTCGATGCGCGCGATTCCACGGGCAGCTCCAAGAATTCATCGACATATTCCCTCGAGTATCATGAGGCCTCCAAGCACCGCAGATCCAGCGTGACGAAGGAGACGTCGTCAGCCAAGCATCGGTTCTTCGACTTCGTGCCTGCTCCGTCGAGACGCAAGGCCAAGGAGCGAGATCAGTCTCAGCATTCGCATGAGGACTTGCGCAATGAGTTCTGATTTTCCTTCCTTCATCGTCATCTTGCCCATGGAACATCTCCTGTCTCCTTTCTTCTCTTCTCTTCTCTTCTCCTCTATCCAATGTGTCCATGAGTTGTACGTATATGCTCCACAATTTCATCCCACCGAATCCTTCCTATCATACCATCATAACTGACAGTTGTTGAAGTTTCTTTTTTGGTTCTTTTTCCTTTCTTATCTTTCTGTGAAAGCATGTGTCACGGTGTTGATACCCTTCTCCAATTCCCTTCTTTTGTTCCTGCTCTTGTTCCTGCGTCATGGTTTTCGCCGTTTCTCTTTCTCTTATACACTTCCCCGCTGGGAAACAAAATCGAAAAGTCCAAGAAATCAATATGAAATAACGGATTGGAATTGGAATCTTGTAAGGAGCTAGGAAAAAGAGTCGGTTTCTCTTTTTCTGTGTCATGTGGGCTCTTTTCTGCATTGGTGAGATGTTGTGAGTGTTGTAGCTTGTAAAATGTTCCCTTTATCTATGCTTCTCTTGGATAGATTGGATGGATTGGTGTCCTCCGTCGAAACCAGTATTATTTGAAATAGTAAAGTACCGGAGCTAACAAATCTCTTCGTTCGCTGTACATTATTGTCGCAAACCATGGTGAAATCAAGACAAAAAAATCCAGCCAAACTCCCGCAGTATATCGATTGCAAGCAACGCCAAACCCTAAACCAAGCATGAGAAAGAAGCTCAACCAGACGGAGATCACTTCAGGACACATGAGGCTGCTCCTAGCAGAGATAACACCGCCTCCTGACAAGACGAATAGTATCATGCAATTGTCCAACCACCTACATCCACAGACACACCTTACCGCTCGCCGTACCGCCAACAACCCAGTTCTGGCTTCGGTGGAAGACCGCAACGGCCGGGACGGCGGTGATGCCGTCGCCACCCAGCTGAGCGAGCTGGTCGCCGGACGCGCTGTAGATATCCACGAAACGGTTCATGTTTCCGATGCAGAAGCGTTGGATGTGCGATTGCGGGTTGAGTTGCCATTGGGGCCGAAGACTGGACACGCACACAAAGTTAGGGCTGGGTGGAATCACAACGTTAGGTAGGGAGGGAAATAGGGACTGTACATACATTGTTACCCAGCGGCCGGTCTGGCAGTTGTGTTTCACGACGGTGTCTGGGCGGAAATTGTCTGCGAGTGTGTGACCTTGCGCCCAGGATGATATGCCTTTGGCGCCGAGATCGTAGATCTTCAGTGTGTCGTCGTACGACGAGGTTGCGATTTGGCCCGCGCCGTTGAATGCTGCATGCGACACGGACAACCGGTTCTCATGCACGGCGAGGGGCGATGGTTCATCCGTCGACAGGTTGCGCAGATCCCACACCCGCATGGTCCGGTCTAGACTGGCTGTTGCGAGGTAGTGCGGGTTCGAGGGGTAGAGAGTGAACCCGCCGATTTTCTTCTCTGAGAGGGACCACAGAGTCACAGTGTTGTCGCTCAGAGGGGTTCGAGTGTCGTAGCGCCCGAAAATGCCTTCCAGGGTGGTCCAGTACAAGGTGTTTGGGTCATCGGGAGCCATGTCGATGCCGGAAAGAGCCTCGTCGATCTTGGTTGACTTCGGCCCGTACTTTTCCACCGATTCTGTCTTATTCAGATCCATCTCGCGGATCGAACTGTCGTAGCTCGCTGTGTAGAGGCATGTAGGCTTTAAGGGATGGATCATCATCGAACTGATCGTTCGAGTGTGCGGTTTGATGGTCATCAAGACGGGATCCGGGTCGTCGTCCGCTTCATCTTCATCATCCTCGACCTTGACCCCAGAAACTGGCTTCTCTTGCGACGCATCCAGAATCCCCAGATGGCCCAGCTTGTCCCCGGCGAAGATGAGAGGCTTCCCCTCGGTGGGGTGGAAAGTCATGGAGTAAACTCTTTCGGGCGTGATTTTGATTCCTGTAGTACGGGGTCCTTGTCAGTAATCGTAACTTCTCATGAATATAGAACGCCAGTACGCACTTTGCGGATCCCAAGCCTCCCACAGCTTCAGGCCACTCATCTCCTCTCTCAAAGCCTTGAGGTCCTTGTCCGTAGTCTTCGAAATGTCGTCGGCGCAAAAAGTCCTCTTGTATGGCGTTGCAACTGGCTTGGTGAGCATGTCCACTCCGATGAGACTGTCACCGGTCAACTTCTGGCCAGCCACGAACATATCGCTCATTGTAAATGAGTCCGTCCTGCGAATCTTCTTGGCACGTTCAACTTCCTTTGCAACTTCGTACTCCTCTTCGGCCTTCCGTTTGGCCACTTCACTGTCGGCCTTGAGGCCCCGGATACGCGAGGACTTGCGCACCGGTAGGGGGCTCTCCTCCTCCGTCTTCACGCGCTTCGGCGCCGGCTTCCTCTTCACTTTAACAGCATCTTTGCTGGGGGTCGGGAAGAGACCAGAAGACTGCGCCTCCAGGTTCAATTGTCTGAGCAGAGCATCGCGTTCGGCGATGTTCGCCAGCCTCTGTTTCTCAAAATCTGAGAGACCCTCCATGTTATGGTTGAGTAACTAACGTTATGCCGAAGGAAAACAGGATGTGTAAACCCACTGAAGTCGCGCCCATCTCAAAACGCGCGAGGCCTGGCCGCGCGTTGGCACGTGACCTTCATTTTTCAATTCCGCATCACTCCAGCTTCTTTGTTGTCTGCATTTTCCACAAACGCCTGGCACTCGCGGCCATGAGCGTCTCTCGCAGGATTTGGATATCTGCCACTGTCAACTCCCCTGCTTCGTTTCTCTACCAGACCCGCACGCTGACGACATCGCTATCACCTTCGTATCAGCAGCCGCTCGGTCGGCGACTTCATCGTCCTTACTCAACACGCGACGGGGCCTCCGAGAAGAACAATGATCCAGATACCGATCCCTCGGTGACCAAGGATGGTCAGAGCCAAGATGCTGCCGAGAATTCTCCAGCCCCGAGGCGAAAGAGCTACATCCACCAGCGCGCTGCTGCACTCTCACCCGGACTGCCGAGACGCCGAAAGGAGTCAGCTGGACCGAGGCCACTGAAGGCTATGACTCCTCAAGAAAGAGAGACATTTGGGAAACTGCTGGGGCAGCTTGGTGTTACACCAAGTGCGGGCGAGACAGACCAAAAGAAGCGGCCGCAAAAGAACGCGAAGTCAAGCGAAGAAGGCCCTGGTGATCTCTCAAACCTCAGTGTGATGTTTGAGTCCGTACTCAGTGACCGCCGGCTGATGAAGAAGTTTGAAGCAAAACCAAAGAAGACAACCGAGTCAGAGGAGCCCCGACGCTCCTGGGGCGAGGAAATGTCCTCGTCTGAGACATCAGAGCAGCCGGAGGAGGACTTGGAGCCCATGCTGGACGGTCTGACGTACAGTGACCTCGGCTTCGCTGACCCAGCGACGGGCAATAGTGCAGATATCATGCTCTCGGTGAAAGACGCCATTGAGATGGTTGTGAAGCGGGAGGCAGCCAAGATCGAAACGGCTCTTTTCCTGGCCATTGAGGAGGGCAAAGGCGACATGGGGGTTTGGGATGTTTGCAAAGAGCGCATTTTCACGATGCTGGGTCATCTAGGCGACGATGCGCCGGCAACACCATCCGCCGGCAGCGACTCGCATGACGGAGCTAGGACAACGTCTTCCAACCGCTCATCCGGGCCGCTTGACATCCCTGACCCGGTCCCAGCAGGACCAGTCGTGGCAGCGCTATACCCCAGAACTCTCCTCATAGCCTTTCGCCTTCTAAATACCCACTTCCCTTCATCGCCACTGGTCAGTCAATTCCGATCCACTATCAAAGCACAAGGCCGCACCTCTGCCGTCCTCGGCTCCTCCACCGACCTGCATGACGAAATGATCTCCTTCCACTGGAACGACTGCAGCGATCTCCCTGCCGTGGTCTCGCTTCTGCGTGAAATGGATCTCATGGGTCTCAAGCCCAGCCAAAAGACCCGCCATCTACTGCACGGAATTCTCCACCAGCGCAAGCGGGATCTGGCTAAGACCGGCAAGGATTCTTGGTGGCGCATACCCCAGAACCAAAAGGCTTTTCAGGAACTCGCTGGGCGGGATGGTTGGATGAGGAAGCTGAAGGTGTGATCTTGTCTTTCCTCTGCATATAAGATTCATGTACTATTATTTTCATCTCACTGTACTATACGAAATACCTCTAATAGATCTATTCGTGCTGTCTTAGCTGTGGTTCAATTTGGAATCAAACACTAACTAGCTTATGCTCATTGATACGTATACTATCTGTTCTGGGAACCGTGTTGAAAGGGAGAAGAAAAACCTATCTACACCACTTAGTAACCATGGAGAGAAAACACGATGACCACCAGCCCTAATACTCCTTGTCGTCTTTGCCATCTTCTTACGAAGCCCCTTCCTACCTAGACAATCCCCCAAAATTTCTCCGCATTGAAAGTCCACTGGTTATCATCCTTCCAAAGATCATCAAAGGCAGTAAACAGCACCAGATCTTCAGGCTGGTGCGCGAAACTGCGCCTCAGACTACCGACAGCGACGCGTTGGTTATGAGGTGAAGGGATAGCGGCACCGTTAGGGCTTCCAGCATGAGGCCAACCAGACTCAGTGATCATCGTGCGCTTCCCACCAGCAGCGGCCGAAACGCTGTGCATCTGCGTGAGTACATAAGCGCCCGCATCGGACGGGTGCTGCGTCGCATCGAAGAAAGCATGGCAGTTCGCGGCGCAGTAGTCTGACGCGATGCATAACTCCGGATGCTCCAGTAGCACGGAGAATGTGTCGACGGTGACGACGGGGCCATGGTATCCCTGCTTCCGCAAGATTGACCGCGCCTTATGCACTGCACTCACGACGTCAGCGGGGGAATTACGGCCGCCGTTGACGAGCTCGTTGCCGATGGCTATCGTGTGGAATATCGACCAGTCCTTCTTCCCGTTCGGGAGAGTTGCTGCTTTGGTTATAGGGTCCAGGCTGTGTGGAAAGTCCGTCAGATCGTAGAGTCCTGCGAAGACGCGCATGTGGTGTAGTCGTGCAGCGGTAGTTACTGTCTTCGTTTGGTCGCAGTCTGTGCCGTAAATGCGAACGAATGAGTAGTGCGATAGTCGGCCGAGGTCCTTGTTCACATCCTCTTGGGTCTTGCAGCTTCGATCGGCTCTGTAGGGTGAGTAGGAAATCCCGAATTGACGATGCTGCTGAGGAGGACGAGGATGGCCGCGTGCATGCGGGTGTTGGTGAGGAGGATGTGGCGGTCTTCGGCGTGCATCCTGATGCAATTCTGCGGACGGCTTATCCGTATGAGTAGGAGCAGCACGGTCGGCCGTATCTATATCATCTTGCGCGGCTGGACCAAGTGGCTTGGAGATATCGGAGTCGGGATTTGACATTCGCGGCACTGATGGGACAATTGCAGCCGGCTTTGAAGATCAAAATCAACAGTCATTCAGAAAAGTATTTCAATCCTCTACTAACATTTCCTTGCTGTCCCGCTGCCAGAGACTCAGCAGCGTAGTGCTTCTTTTCTATGCCGATGCGGTCTCCATTCTGATCTACCCAGACAACCACCTCGCGGACGGTGTTCAGATGTGCATTGTGCTGCAGTCTCCCCTCGCACTGGTCACTAGCTATAGATAGGTTAGTCAACTAAACAGAAACAACAGTGCACCTCTTACCATCAGACTCTCCTCGCACGCTCCAAGCAAGCAACAAGGTAATGAGGGCCTGCGGGAGATGCCTCATTGCAGCAGAGGGAGAGAATCGCTCAATCCCTTCCAAAAAACATCCGCAACTGAATCAGAATCGGCACAATCCTAGAGGGGAGAAGTGACCGTGAAGTCATTCATTCCCTTGACGAAGCAACCTCGAATGCAGATCCCGAGCATTAATATTATAAAGTCCATTCCCTGATCATGGGCCCACAAAACGCCACCTAGCTGCGTGTGAAACCGTAGCGTTGGTGGTAAACAAGGGTGATCGATTCGCGAACATAGCTGTGCAACCCGATCTGAAGTGAGATGTGGAATGAAAGTAAGGTGGCTGGCCAAGATGGAGGTGCGCCCCCTCCCCTCCCCCTTGAGACCTTCAACGTTGAGAACACCATGGCCCTTGTTCGCGCTGCTAGGAAGGGAAAGCAATTTGTTTCAGGTGTTAATTAGTGTACGTCGGGTCGAGGCCGAGGAATGTTGGCTAGTGTTATGTAGGTGGATGGTATGGCTCATTCCTGGCTAGTCACCGGGAAACCAACTAGCCTATCGGGTAGAATGCTGGTGATAGGGCGATGCAATTCTTCCGTGACGAGTATCGGATGGGGAAGTATGCAAAGGACCAAGAAAGTGGGTGTGAACTGCACTTTCTGGATCGAAGGCTTGCATGGAATGGTCTCCCTTGCAAATGAAAACATAGGTGGACCTGCCCGCAATAGGAATTCGCACTCGCTGTATGTGACAGAAGGGGGACCAAGGCTTGGATGAAAAAGGGACAAAGATTCAATAGTCCGTGTCTCGTGCGAGGGAAAGCCAGCTAAATGAAGAGAAATAGCTATCCCTTGGATCGAGCCAAGGAAGCAAAGAATAGTATTAAACAATCTAAGGCCAAGCACAGGTATAGCCGCTCACGAAAAAACGGAGCAGTGCTGTGTACAAAGCATGCTATGGGAATGTATATCGACAACAAAGAACAATAAGGATACACAGGTTGAAGGAGGAGTATTAGGGCATAGGTCTGGAGGGTTGGAGCGCTGGGATCATAGATAAGAGCGTGAAACAGTCATCAAAGGCCAATCGATGGCCAAAGAAGAATTCACTTCCTCTTGGTCATGACTTTAGTAATAGCATGCCGAATAATCGTGCCGGCCTTTTCAATCTCTTTCTTGGTAAGGCCGGTCGTCACGCAGACCTTCAGTGCGGGAGGGACGATCTGCTTCGGCTGGACGTTGTCATGGAGCATCTTCAGACGGGAGATGAGAATACCATTCGCGAGGCACTCGTCAACGACATCTTGAAGCAAGAATTGCTGGTCGTCCTCCGACAGTCTCTTGGCAGCCACTACCTCGGGCTTGATGACCAAGATCACCAGCGGGTTCTCTGGAGAGCTGGTGCAGTACACCCAGTCACTCCGGGGGTCCAGCTGAGCCCGCATCGCCTTGACAAGATCCCGCAGTTGGGAGATGAGCTCCGGGCTGTTTTGCAGGATGTTGATGGTGGCACTGGCAGTGGTCGAGAGCAAGGCTGGAAGTGCCGCAGAGAACGTGTATGCCGCAGCGGAAATGCGTTGGTGGTGGACAATCTCCTCGGAGCCAGCACAGAAGCCTCCGCCAGCAACGAGAGGTCCAGCCAACGAGCCAACGATCATATCAACTTCGGCTGCATCGACGTTCTGATGCTCCGTTATGCCACGGCCGGTGCGGCCCAGGACCCCGAAGGACCACGTCTCATCCAGGATGAGGCGGAACTTGTACTTGAGCTTCAATTCAATCTGTCCAAAAAAGGTCAGCGTTCACCCATCAACCACTACCACAGAATTACGGCATCACATACAATCTTGGGCAGATCCACCTTATCACCATATGACTCGAAAAGACCCTCCGTAATAATGAATCTCCGCGTAAGAGGCTTCCGCGCCTGTTCCTTAGTGACCTTGGCAAGCACGCGCTCCAGGTCCTCCATATCATTATGCTCGTACCAACGGACCATACTCCGTGAGATCTGGATACCCTTCCGAATAGCAAAGTTGACCCCTTTATCGGCGACGATAATATCACCCCGCTTTGAGAACGAGGGGATCACGCTGGAGATGGTCGAGAAAGCCTGGGAGTAGATGATGCATGCCGCAGTGCCGAGGTGCGACGCCACATCTGCCTCCGTCTTCATATGGACGTCCTGATTACCGTAGAAACCGCGGGGACCGCAGGCGCCCACGCCGTAGTTCCGTAGAGTCTGGATTGCTTTTTCCTTGAGGGCTTCGTTCGTGTTGAAGTTGTAGAAATTGAAGGACCCGAGATTGGTCACGGTTCGGCCATTAGACAGCTTGGATTTGGGTCCGACGGGGCTGCAAATCCGGTGTTAGCAAACGTTTCCGTCTAGCGAGTGTCAGAAAGAACTGCTTACCCCACAATAACCACGCGTTTCTCAACCTCCATCTCATCTAGGGCCGTTGGTTCGCCGACCAAGGGCTCCGGGGCCCAGTCGTCCACCAGGTCGTCAATCTCATCATCGGACAAGGGCACGACGCCAGGCTTGGTGGAGTATTTCGGGGCCAGCAGATAGCGGACGGCGAAGAGAAACAGGAACAATTCCACGGCTGACCGAATTGGATCATCCTGGTAGCTGGATTTCACGTAGCGGAGGAAGATGGCAGACCCGGGAACGCGGTGGAAGAGGTTGGCGAGTTCCTGCAGGTACTCGGAAAGGAGACGCTGGGTCTCGTGTAGGTCCATGGCGGATGAGGGTTAGGCGCATGCGGCGCAACTGTACGCTCCAGAATCCGTCCACACAAGTGTCGAGAAGGTCGAATGGGGGAGGAATCGACCAGTAGGGAGTGCGGGAAGACGAGGTGTTGGAGATGGGTGATCCGGTCGAGATGCAATGGGTGGTGTCACGTGACGAAGGATCTGATCACTATGCACCTACTAGTTAACTACGTAACTGTAGTTAGTGTTAACCAAGGGAATAAGGGTCGCTACGAAAGAAGAACGATGTTGTTGACATGTATAAAAGCAATGCGATTTGAATTCTGGTAGGTCTGGAGTAAAGAAAAAACAAGCCAAATGAAACATGAAACGAAGGTGAGAGAGGATGATGGCAACACGCGGCCACTCCGCGCATACAGTTATTCCACACAAAACCAGAGAGAAGCCATTCATTAAGATCAACATGTTGGGCGCCGGGAACTGGAAGGGATGCAGCAGACTTAAAAAACAGAAAAACTTTGTACAGAACATTCCGCGTGAGGTGCACGGGAATGCGAAGTGCATCATGATCACACACGCAAGACGCCGTACGGATCGCTAGGCAATGTTGGCGACGGAAGGTGAGTCGAATGGAACCCTGGCGGAAGGCCGCTGCCGGTGTACCAATGACCGGTGTCATTTTTTGCGGCGTCAAGGGGCTGCAGGAGCCCCATTCTGGTACCGGACATAAAGCCAGGTGCCTCCATGCCAACGGCTTTCCGCAGTGTCTGGAGGAAGCCGTTGCTCACGGTGGGCATGCGGCCCAAGACAAGAGGGGCCACAATGACAACGAGGAACACGAAGAGCATCACGAAGTAGAGAATGGCAAAACGGATGACCCGTCTCTTGCGAAGCTTGGACTGCTTGAGGGAATAGATAGGGGGGCGGATTTGGCGGCTAGGAACCGAGTTAGCAAGGCTGAATGAAGAAGAGCCCGGGGGGGGAGGCAGATTCTTACCTTGGACGCAGCCAGAACAGAAGGACGGAGTGGAACTTGTCGACGTAAGGAATGCACAGAGCCGGCAGCATGAAGAACAGGAGGACGTGGCCCAAGACGAAATCGAGAGAGAAGTAGCCCATCTCGGTGATCTTGCAAAGGAACTCACGGCCGGGCTGGGACAGAGAGTGCCAACCCATGTTGTACCATTTGCCAGTCCACCAAGCAATGTTCGCCTGATCGTGCTTGAATTCTCGGGTCAAGGCGAGAGAAACGATCAATTTGTAGATGAAACGCTGGATGGCGGCCGCAGCAATCATGCCAGACAGGCACCGTGCCCACGAGAAGGATTCGAGGACAAACATGACCTCGAAGACGACGAGCAGGAGGATCACAGCGATGGCGTGCGCAATGGCAGCAAGCACGGAGCCGAATTTCTTGCAGCACATACTGAAGATAGGACCCATGCAGCAAGCCAGGCCGAAGAAAACGCCGGCCGTACCAGCATTGACGGCAACAGGGGCAAGAGCAACGATTAAAATGCGGGCGATGGCGTCCGTAGCATATTTTTTGTCGTTCGAGAACATGGTCCGAGAGTTGATGAACAAGTACGGAATCAAGGTCACCGCCACGAGGATAAGGGGCACGATGACTTCACTGAAGAAGATGTTCGTGATGTGAGCGCGGGGGACGTCACCAGAGCCTTTCTCCGAGGGAACGCCTAGCACTTTGCGCTTGTAACCCGTAATTCGGGTGCGAGACAAGCGGCAGAATCCAATCCAGGAAGAGGCATGGGAACGAGAGTTGCCACGAGAGAGCCACCGAAGGTAATCCCGATAGTCAATGAAGAAGTCGTGCCAGGCAAACTGGTGGGGGTTGAAAAGGAAAGGCGAGATACACAAGGCCAGCAGAGAGACCCAGAACCAAATCAGGGCTGGAGTCCACACGGTTGAGGTAGCGAACAGCAGCATCAGAAGAAGGCGGGCACCGGCATAGATCGATGGACCAGCGAATCGGGAGTACAAAACGCCGAACGGAATACGGGCAGTCGCAAACCCACGACCAGTGCCGATGTAGCGGGCGCCACCAAAGGACAAGTTCTGGTGCACAGCATGAGCATAAATCTGGCACACGAACACTTCAAACATGAAAGAGAAGGAGCCAAAGTGCTTGGCCAAGCGAGTAGCCATGCGCCACACTCCTCTCTCGGTCAATTCTTGAACACCCAGAGGTACGAACGAGATGAAGAACACGATGAAGATGGAGATAACACAACGATTCACCCAGTTGATAACCGGCACAAGATCAGCGCAAAGAGTGGGCAGGAGAGGATCGGTGATCGGCTTGTCGGGGTTGAAGTTGCAAGTAATGGTTTCGTGCTTCAGAGCGCCCAAGTTGATAAGAACGATCATGAACATCTTCACGGAAAGCATGATGAACATGTTGTTGATGTGGAAGCCAGGGTGAGCATAGTAGAACGACAGGAAACGATCAAGGGGCAGTTGGGTGCCAAGGTAGTAATACTCTCGGGACAACATCTGCTCACCCATACCGGTGCCGATCTTGGTTGTGAAGTTCAGGATAGATCCAAACCCAAGATCACGACCCTTACCGCACTGGAAGTACTCGCAGTGCTTGATGCGGCCTCCACGCAGGAGGGCGTTCATACCAGCGTAGATATCCTCGTTCAGGTGCAATCCCTTCTGGGCCTTGGAAACACCGCCTCGGGTGGTCATGAAAACACCGTTCAGGAAATCAGGATGTCCGTAGTGCAGCTTGCCACCAATCTGAGCCAGAGTACGCGCGAACAGAGTACCGAACGTTTGTTCTTTTCCGGCCGCAACATCACCGAGAACGCCAACGTTCTCAGAGAAAATGTACTCACGCGCACCGAGAATGGCCACTGGATGGGAGTCAGGAGTAGGGATACCGGGCGTGTAAGGCGACACATTGTCTGTGGTCAACTCCTCGAACTCGGCCAGGACGCTGCGAATCTTCAAGCATTCTTCAAGGTAGTTGTCCTGGTTGGCGTCGATCAACTGGATGTATTCACCGCGGTAGAAGATGATTGAGTGATTCTGGTTGTCCGACTTGCCGTCTCCCAGAATAGGATTGCCGGAGAGCTGGATCCTAAACTTGGGCTTCCGCATACCGTTGTCGAGAAGTTCACAGTGACCATCAATGAGGGCTGAGTACAGGCGAGGCTCCTCTTCTTCGGTCATTGGGGGCTCCTCGTCCAGGTAGGCAATCTGCAGATCGGGATACGCGCGCAGGAGGAACTCCGTGTTCTCGTGCTCTTCCTTGTTGAACTTGGCGTAGCGCTGCATGGAAACGCAGATGCGGAATTTGCGACGGGCCATCCGCTCCAGCTCACGTTCGAGCTTCTCGGAGTTACCACCAAACATCTGAACGACTTCCGGGTTCTCAACCCGGTAAAGCAACTTGATGGCACGGCTGTAGTTCATGAAACCGGAAATAGTCCTGTACAGGGTCTGGGAGCGAAGCGAAGCCCAGATACGGGTACGCAGGGTGTACTCTGGTGCTGCGGACTTGAAACCAATGCAGTAAAAGGGCAGATCGTCGATCTTGCTCTTGGCGGCATCCTTCTCGGTTTTCTCGTATTCACCATTGAATTGCGAAGTTTCGTCGGCGAGAATCTTAGTATCCTTGACGAAGCAATCCCACTCATGAGGGTGGAGCTGCTTCAGGTATTCTAGAAGAGTGACCCGAGAATATGGCTCGTCCTCGCGGATGATTTCACGGAGAGACAGCAAAATCTTCTCGCTATAATGCGGAATGAGGACGCTGAAGGTGGGCATGTTATCAACCGGGAGAGGCTCGGGCATAGGGGTAGAAAGCGACTGAGCAAAGAACGAAATTCGGCGCTCCGCTTCACTGCCCGCCGGGAAGAACTCGGTCTTGAAGGACTGGTCTTCCTGGGAAACAAAGAATGTCGGCGCACGAAGAGTTCGCTTGCCTTCTTGCTCGGAAGGAACCTGGTGGTAAAGAAGCTTCTGGACATGATCAATCGCCAACAAGTGCTCCCGGTACATGGAGATGATGATTGCGTTCCAGACCTGCGAAATCAGGACTTTGGGCTTGTACTTGATTTCCATGTCAGTCGTCGCCAGCACCTTGGAGTAGATACGCTTGGGAAGACGAGAGAAGATGTTGCGCCATGGGGACCAGATCGAAACGCCCAGGTAGAATGATCGGGCAACGGAGAAAATCGTGTTGCAGATAATGTACCAGAGATAGCTGTCGAGGAAGAAGAGGGTCAAGTCCATGAAGAACATGAGAGCAAGCAGAATCTGCGGCTGCTTGTGGCAGAGCGTATTCCCGATGAACTGCACACCGGTACAGGCGTGGATCTGCATAGGTGACAAAATGCGAATTGGGTCCTTGAATGACAGAGTCAAGAAAAAGTACGACTCCGCCAGTTTGGCGCCAAACACACACACCCATAATCCGTATGACATCCACATGTCGTTACCGTTCAGCCGGGGGAAACTGGCAGTGAACGTCTGACTGGCGACATACTGGCGGCCGTTCTTCTTCATGTAACTACCGAACAGGGCACCCAATGGCTGGACCGAGAAGAAGGCAAAGGTAAACAGTGCGAGGACAAAGTGAACGATACCGACAGCGAGGCCGACCGGCTTTTCGATCTGCGGGTTTTTCAACAGCGAGAGAAATCCGAAAATGAACACGCCGGGAGCAAGATTGGCAACGAAGACAGCGAGCAAGAACATGAAACGCTTGCGCAGATGCTGGGCACCCGCCCACCGTCGTGGGACATAGAGCCACTCACAGATCGTGGCGAGCAGCTGAATAAAGGACACGAGGGCACCACCAAATCCGACAGCCGCCAGGAACTTGTAGGACTCTGGCTGGTTGTTCATCTGCTGGGAGTAGTTGCCGACATATAGAGTGGGGGAGTTGTAGGCCGTGAAGAACCAAAAGGCACCCAGATGGATGACCCAGATACGATTGAAGTTGGTGATCAGGTGGAACCAGGAACGAGTCTCCTTGTAGGTCTTAAAGAAAGCTTTCTTCCAGTCCACGTCCTTCAGCTTCAGCCATCGTTCGGCAGGGGGAACGTCAACGAGACGAGTCTTGTCTTCGAAGCTGATGCGCTCGATACCCTCGGGATACCAGAAGAGCTGGTTCATGTCGTCGTAACCAATGACCTTGTTGTGATCGCGCTCACGACGCACGTACTTGCCATCCATGATCTCGTATCCCTGGTCACGGCAATACTGGTAGAGCGGGGTGATGATCTGGTTCAGGTAGGTGAACTCTTCGACCGGCTCCACTCGGTTCTGGCACTCGGGGGTCGTATAGTAGTCGTCGGCGCACTTGAAGATGAAACATAGGCACTCTGGCAGGAATCGCACCTGGTTAGCCTCGCCCCAGATCATCAGGTAGAGAGCCAATTGGCGAGCGCGATCATGCTGAGACATCCGGTTCATGCGCGACTTCCAGCGGTACTCGGCCGCCTCCAAACTGTTGTCGCCCTCAAGGGCCTCCAGTGTTTCCTCTTCATTTTCCGGATTTCGTTGAGCAGCCTTCTTAGCGGCCCGACGCGCCTTCCTCGTTTTCCGATCCGCCTTGCCGAGTTTCATGTTGGCAAATCCAATGGCGTCGTCGAGGTCCAGGTGCGCGGCGAAATACCACCGTCGGTAGTTGGCGTTCTCTCCGCCGATGTAGTCGGCATGGAGGGAGAGCAAAGCCTGGTTCGGAGTCATGCGAGAGGCCCGCGAGTCCAGCAGGGTCATGAAATGGTCGTACATGTTGCGCATGCTGTCACGCTGGAAACCAAACTTGTTCACCAGGTCCAGGAAGATATCCTCGATCTCCTCCTTGGACAGCGGAATCTGGGCGTCCGAGGTCCACGCTGGGTAAGGCTCGCGCGAACGCTGACCGGCAGGAAGAGCGTTGCCGTACTCCATTCCGTAGATGGGAGTCGACGCGCCAGAAGATCGATTGGCACCATAGGAGATCTGAGATGAGGGCGGACGGTAGCCATAGCCACCGTACTGGCTGTCTGCGTAGCCGTAGCTGTTGTACCGTTCATCTCCACGGCCATAGTAGTCCATACCGGCGGCACGGGCCGTGTCCGATCTCATGGTGAAGTCGCTGAAGGTCTCGGAATCCTCCTCCGAGTCGTGTCCGCGCCGGCCCTGGGTGTGTCCGCCCTGGTCGTATCCGGCTTGGTCATAGTACTGGTCGCCGTAGTAGGCATCCTGATGACCTGCTCCTCCTTCGTAGTATCCACCATCGGCATACCCTTGATCGGCGTAGCCACTGCGTGCTGTCAGCAATTTGGAGCTTGCCCCGGTGTGCTCTGGGTCATACCCTGCGTCATAATAGCCATCGCCATAGTCGTTATGGTCGTAATACGCCTGTCCATGTTCATCACCGTAGTAGGCGTCACCCTGAGGATGGCCGTAGCCATCATCATAGTGGCCTCCTGCGTAGCCCGACATGGCGGAGGAATCGCAATCAAGTCGCTGGTAAGAACTCTAGAAACGAGTTGAGGGTCAGTCCAGCTCTTCCACCCCACCAGATGTCTCGCTTCGCCGGCAGCTCACGAATCTTACCTCAAGCGCGACCCATTCAAGAAATTATCGTCGTCCAGGCACGTCGGGAAATCAGATCATCGACACCGACTGCAGGGGTGAAGATTCTTTCTCGTAACGAAACGAACGCGAGGCGACGAAAAAGTCCCTGGAGGAGTATTGTTGGGGGCGGAGGGAGAGAGTGAGTGTGCTGGAGAGGGAAGGTAACGAGTGGAAGAAGAACGAGGCAATCGCGACTTGTGCGACTTGCACCAGACAAACAAAATCCTCCAGCAACGAAACCACAAAAACGAGAGTAGTCTGAAAAAAGAGAAGGATGGGAAGAAGGGGGAAAGTGAAATTGCGGTTATTTTGGGATCAGGACACGCTAATTTACGGTCAGGCCCATACCATACGCCATACCGAATGCCACACCTTCCTGTCTGTTCCTCCTCTACACTGCCTCATCGTCTCCCACGACCAACTACACGGCCCTGTCTCTCTCGACAGCGGCATTTCCTCTCCGTCCAGCCGTTGCGGTTCATCGATCCGTGCTGCCGTCCTCGCTGCGTCGGTCTGTGTAGCCATTGCTGCTTCCCCTGAAACGAGCCCCACCGGTACCATACGCGGTGTTTTGGTGTTGTTATTCTTCGGAAACAAGTATGCAGGGATGGTTGCGCTGGTTATCGATTGTTTTTCATTCCTCGCCCGCTGGCCATCGCTACTGTACTACGAACGGCGAGAGTATTGATTGTACTACTGTGTTGTCGTGCCCACTGTCCACTCTCAACGAAAAGCACCATCGGGTGGTTCTTCCACCCTCGACCCATGGCTCCCCCTCAGGAACCAGAAAACGATGGGCTGTTCTTTTCTTATCCATGCGATCGACACCTTTCCTTGCTCTTGTTGCTTCTAAATTCGCCACAAAGTAATACACTGCTGGTGCGCTAGTGCGCACACCACTAGTGGGCACTGCCCAGTGTCTCGCCCACTCACTGCCTCCCATTCGCCAGCTTACACTTTGGATCTGTCTGCTCGGGTGGCTGACTGGTTGCGATCCCACAAAGTGTCTCTGGTACAGCCTCTGTACTAGTTCGGTGTATCAACACTGGTAATAATCAAGCCTCGCCAGGGGATCTCCACCCGTTGGGTCCGGTCGTTGCCGGTGGATATCTGGCGATGGTTTTTTTCCCTTCTCTTGTGTTCGAGAAGCCTCGACCCCTCGACCAGTCCAGCTGATTGTGGATCGTCTACGTACGCGCACTCAGGCACAAACGAGCGTGCCTTTTTTTTTTTCGGCAGCCCGACGTGCAGGCGCAGGAACGATATATCAGATACAGGAACAGGGGCGAGAGAGACAGTAGGCGTCCTTTCTCATCTCATCTCAGGCAGCAACCAGACTAGAGGCTGATGGGCCAAAAATAAACCTGCTCGGAGGGTCTCGAGTCGTCTGGGCTAGCCCTAGCGTAGCAGGTTTATTGGGCTAGCCCGCCACATTTTTCAATACCCGGTAACTAACCAACCCCGATCGGCCCTGGCTCCCACAAACTGTGGCTGAACCGTTTGAACTTACTATCCCTCCGCGTCGTTGGCGCGGCCACGTCGGCCACTATTACCGCCATGGCACGGATGCCGAAGCCATGTCATCATCTACCTGCACACGAGCGCGGCGTACCTTGAATTTACGCTGGACTACATAAACCTGATTTCCACCGTCAAAGCATTATTGCGCTTAATCTCCACCGACCTGATGGTCACTAAGCCTCGGCGCACTCCTGTGCAGATCCAACTCCTTCGGGGGTTCAGGCTTGCCCGGCTTGAGGACTTAGGGGGATTGTGGGCCGTGGGGCAAGGGGGTGGGGGAGGAGGATATTCACTGTTGCAACTGAAGACCGACTCACATTTTTTGACTCGGGTCCTGCGCTTAGTACTGTAGTAACCTCTGCCAACACAAGGCACAACATGGCATGTGAAAGTGGAACTCCCGTGTGAAGCATCACGGTCATCTCAGAGTCCGCATGTGCTATGTATATGTCAAACTGCTATGTACATATGCGTCTTCCGTCCCTGACAGGTAAAAGGTGCAGCACCACCCCTATATGCAGCGGGAGGCAAGGGGACCGTCGATCCAGGCGGCATGGCGACGGAATGATCAGCCCTCCACCATTTCCACACAACACAATTGAGGACGCCGAGCCTCAATCCGAGGCCGATGGGGGCTTGGGGGGTTCTATTCAAGTCGCATTCTTCGGAGGTGGCCATTCCGTTGGGATCCAATGCTATCATTGCGTGGCTGCGGGTCGGCTCTTCGGCGAGATTGCGTGCACGAGCTATGCCTCTCGTTCGTATGATGATGATATGTATCTAGAGTGCGGATCTATCATCTCCTTGTTGCATCAGGTGTCCCTTAAACAGTGGCGGTATCGGAGTGAAGTATAAGAGTGAATTGAGGTCAGTCCGTCAGGGCATCCATCCACTTTCCACCAGCTTTATGGGAACGAACACCTGAGCGGTCAACTATATGACTATGTACTCTCGTAGAATATACGTGTATGTACTTTGCATGTGTATAACACCCAACGTGTGTACCTGCCAACATGCAACGGCTCATGTCAGATACCAAGAACTTTCGTCACTGCAACACCGTCACCCTAGCCCCGAGCTAGGTAAAAGACAAGCTTCTTCGTTCCGAGTACTCGTGCACTGTGGGACTAGATTGCGTCAGTGTTTAGTGATAATCTGTTTCCAGAATGCTGATATTTACTACGCTGATCAAAAGGCGTCACTGGATGGGCTGCCGTGGTGTATGTCCAATGATGTGTGGAGGTTGTCGTTGCGTTCTACTTGTATTTTTCATGATGCAAGCTGGTTGTTAGATCATGTCGTGGTCGCTGGTAGTTAACTTTCCTGATTATGTTCGTATACATACTGTGGGTAGTTCCGTAGTAATTGCACCACACTTAAGCTAGAATCTTGGTGCGGAGTCATAGTAGGCTCTGACTGCGAAGAGGTTTTAGTGGCTATTTTGACTACTTTCGAGTGTTCGGGTTTCTTGCGTTTTGATTAATCTATCCAAGTTCAATCTGGCTCGGATAGTTACTTCGTGATATTGTTGCTACATACCACGAGCTCGATATATATAGGGAGCGTCTACACAGACTTGTCAACCACACAAATACAAGCACTCAATCATTCAATGTTCAAAAGGCTAGCTATGTAAGCTAGTTCTGAATGGTCATTAAGCTCAATAACCCTACATGAACTGCCCGGGTGGGTTGTAGTATGATTTGGGCTTCGGGTAGCCAAACTCCTAGGCACCCACCCGAAGTCCACCTTTCCTTTTTTTTTTGCGAGTTTCATCCTCTTTGCATAATAAATACACTAAAGCTAAATTACAAGCGAAGGGAGAAATTAAACATGCTTGTCTACAACTTTTTTGTGTAGGTTTCTTACACGAGGAAATTATGTGGGTGAATATTTACGGGTGAAGATCAATATATATCAAAACAAAAACACGATTGGGATTATTTGTTACTACAATTTCTACTCTGCTTTTCCATTGTTGACTCCACTGATATCACTTTTTCTATCAATTCATTATCTTCCTATGCTGGGTTGCTTGAACAGAATTAGGGGTTCGTACGCGGTGGTTGCCCTGCCAACAGCCCGGCGTTGACAGTTCCCCACGCCAACGATAACGAAATGCCGTCAGGGACAGAAACTCTGCCTTCCAAGCATAAGCTTACTTCATATTACTCGTTCCAGCCGACAATTAACTACCAGGGCCAACCTGCATCATCTTCCCTCGCGGGGACCAAGACAACAACAACAGCCTGAAAGATGGCGAGACTCAACACAGCAAAAGCCCAAACGAGCAACGACTCCAAAAGGAGATCAGCCCTGACGGAGCGGACATCTCTTGCGTCGGACGATAGCCTCACTTCCCAAAAGCGAGGTGCCACCAAGCGAGCCGATGCCAAAGACAGCATCCCCCGTCGATCACAAACCGTGTCGTCCAGAAGACAAAACACCAGTTCCAGCAGCGAATTCGATATCTTCACAGATAGTGACCGGGTGGGCGAGAGCGGACGCGACGAAAGCTCGCCAACAAAACGAACCAAGGCGCGCACCCTCAAGACTGCACAGGTCAATTCGCTGCTGCTCCCCCTGACACAGAGACCGCGCCAGAGGCAGTCAGACAAAGTGGACACAGACGACTACGACAAGGAGAATGACCTCACAGAGAATGAACCGTCACCCATTCCACGGCGACGAAATACAGGGCGGACACCAGCAAGGAATATCCTGTCCCCCAGAGAACAACCGCACACAGAAAGCAAAGCAGAGGAAGAGGATGCTGGAGACACCAGCTCCAACTCGCTAGATGATTTCGTTGTCAGCGACAACGACGAAATCAGCTACCATGAGACGTCCGACTCTGAGACAGACGAAGATGAGAGGACGCCATCGCCGCCACCCTCTCCGGCACCCCAAAGCACACGGAAGAGACTCATGCGAGGGCGAAGACCTGATCCAGACACCGAGCTCCCCAAGTCTCTCAGCAAGCCTTCTTCGCTGCGGCTGGAGCCCTCCCCCCAAGAACCTATCAAAACACCCTCCAAACCTGCCGCCAAACCCAAGCGCCTGTTTCACAAGGACTCCGGCATCTCCACAGAGCTGAACCAGCTGAGCTTGGATGGGAACAATGACCCTGTCTCTCAGCTTGATTCCGAGCTATGCGGGTATGAGAACCGTCAACGCCCCTCCAGCCATCGCTCAATGCTAACCCCGACCAGATCAGGATCCGAACGTGAAGCTTCATCGCAGTCTCAAACTGCCAAACCGCAGACACCCCCAGCCACGCCACCACGAGGCCGTCTGCGTTCCCCAACCAAAGACAAGATCCGTATCCCGCCAACTCCCCACCGCGAGAGTGTCGACGCCTTCTGGAACCAGGAGGAAACCAACGATTGGATCGACCAGCACTCTCCGCACAAGGAGAAATTCTCCGGATGCTCCGTCATAGAGCTGCTGCAGGAGTTCGAAGAGTCCGAATGTGAAGACGAGGACAACTCCAAAAACTCCAGCATCATCAGCGTCGAGCCAGAGACCGTGTCGCCCATCAAGGCCACCAAGACGCCCAGCAAGTCCGCATTAAAGAAAGCGGAAGCCGAGCGGAAACGAGAGCTGCGCGCACGCCGGATGTCATTTGATGCGAAGAAAGGTGGGCTGGCGGAGAACTTCCTCCGCGTGCTGGACGACGCAGCTGCTGATGGCGGAGTCCGTCGACTGGCCGAGTCGACTGGCGGGGTGAAGATCGTCTGGAGCAAAACACTCAAGACAACCGCTGGCCGCGCGCACTGGAAGGGCGAGCGCATGCGTCCCTCCTCGTCCTCATCTTCAGAGTCAGATGGTCCACGATACAGACATCACGCCATGATCGAGCTCGCCGAGCGCATCATCGACAATGAGGATCGGCTGCTCAACACTCTCGCGCACGAGTACTGCCATCTGGCCAACTACATGATCTCGAACGTGCACAAGAACCCGCACGGACCGAGCTTCAAGCAATGGGGCCGCAAGTGCTCGGATGTCATGTCGGACCACCCCATCTATGGGGGTAGGATCACCGTCACGACAAAGCACAACTACAAGATTGATTGGAAGTATGTCTGGGCTTGTGAGGGCTGCGCGGTTACCTATGGTCGGCATTCGAAGAGTATCGATACCACTCGCTCGCGCTGCGGTGCCTGTGCTGGTCACTTGGTGCAGATTAAGCCGAAGCCGCGGAATATGTCGCCGCGGAAGAACAATGGTTCTACCTCTCCGCAGAAGAAGGGTATGGATGATGTGATTAGGGAGCTGGGACAGGTGACTCTATAGTTGCCTGGGAGAGACCGTGACATAATATCTGTACATAATGGGAAGATCTGACCGAGCTTGTGAAATATACTGTTGATTTGATTCTGGTTATATTATTCGTTACCTAGTAGATCTATCTCGAGTTGTTTAGTTAAGCACGCTCCAATCCCTTTTCCCATCCTTGTTTCCCGTTCCAGCCAAGCCCATTCAGTATCCCAAGATAGTTCACTACGGATCCAACCTAAACGAAAAGCCCCCAATCACAAACCTCCAGCTTCTGCACCAGCGTCTCAATCAACTCCTCAGCAACAACCTCCTCCTTCGACAATCCCCTAGGATCACCACTCTGATCAAACTCCTCATGCGGCACATTCAAGAAAACGACCAGATCCGTAGCCTGCGGCTCCAGCCGCACAACCAGATAGTGGCAGGTCAGCCTTGACGTCTGCGGCACACCCTCCATCTCGCCACTGAGAGACGCGCCGCTCACCGCAGCCGACGGCGCAATAGAGGTGGATGCCGCGACGCCGTCCACAGAGCTCGGGACGCGGCCGCCGGGTCGTTGGCGCGAGGGTGTCGTGAATGAGACCACGCCTCTGTAGGCGGGGAATGAAGAGGACGGAGAAGAAGAAGGTAACAGACGAGAGAGATGTACCCGCTGCGGCGGGGTGACGACCTGCATCGTGTCGCCCTCTTCACATACGTCGTGGAGATGATACAGCGCAGCGGCTTGGTCGATTGTCTCGGTGGAGGCCGTGTTGGATGTGCTGGAGCCGTGTAGTGGTGGTTGCTGGTGGTCTAGCATGGTGAGGGTGCTCAGGGCCTCGTCGCGCGGGACGCGCTGGTTGATCTCGATGATTAGGGTGGAGAGCGTGGTTGGTGAGAGGAAGAGTTCTTGGTGGTCGGGGACTTCGCGGAGGGTGCTGCGCGGTGTTAGTATAGGTTTGTTATTTGGAAGAGCTGGGGATAGGTATGAATGGCTTGATTACCATGGTATACTGACCTGCCATCGATCCAGCCCTGCGGCACCACGCCGCGAATCGCCCCGCCGAAGAAGTCCTGGTCTGCGAACTGCGCCATAGTCGCGAACGATTGTATATCCCGGATGCTTAATTGCGTTCCAAATGGAGACTGGATTTCGGCTTTGAGCTCACGGTGACAGCTGTGAGGCCTGCGGAGCTCAGTTCCTCCAAGGTGAGAGATTGCCGCACAGTGAAGAAATGATTTGAGTGGACCTTGCGGACTAAGGTCTTGAATCGAGCTCGAGGACAGTCCAACAAAGGCCGATAGAAAGAATAAATGCAAGTGAGAACAAAAGATGTGGGTGGGAGAGCTGTCGAAATAAATGGGATGGATGTTGGACGATAGAATTGAGGCAGCAGTGGCGGGCGGGTCTCTTCCGCCAATGACGTGGGAGCAACTATAACTGCATTTGCCAGGCAGTTATATAGTTACTTCACAGTCGTTCACTACAGGGCGGCATAGAACAATTGATCAAGTACCGTGAAAGGTATTTACCATCGTAGTTTGAAAAGTGTTCAATAGAGCTTCCGACTAGTCAAAGAGCTCCTCAATATACCCATCCAACTCCACCAGACGAAAGCGACTTCGCCATTTCTCCCGAAACTCTTTCCTTCGATACGCATTGCTAGTGACCTGCGAGAAGCTAACCAGCTCCACGATCCAGCCGCGCTGCAGCGCGCGCTCCACCATACGCATAAAACCACCGGAGAACTCTGCCTCCGCCGCATCGCCCGACGCCAGCACAATCGTCGCCGGCTCGTCCGTGTCCAGCAGGCTCTCCAGGATCTTCAGGTGCAGAATTTCGTCCACGCCTTGCTCAACGCATCGCTCTCCAGAGGTGGTGGCCGTTTCAGGTCCACCGGAGACTACCTTGCGGGGCTTGGACGGGCGGGTGCTTGGGTGCTTGGCCTTGTGGACACGGTTGAGAATGTTGGCTTCGTAGCCGAGGGTTGTGGCCTCGTTGATGGAAGGTAGTCGGTCAGAGCCGACGAGCACTCGTTTGGATACAGGACGGCCCCGTTCCAGGATTAAAGAGAGGTTGACAAAGGACATGTGCACGCGCCGGATGCGACTGGAGATAGGGATATTCCGCGATGCTTTTACCGAATCGTGGAATCCTACCATAATCTTGAGGGGTGTGTTAGCACATGGACAAGAAACGCATGCGGGAAGCTCGAAACGCACATTGGACATGTCGACGAAGACATGGATCGGGCGTGACTGGGGACTTCTCTTGCTGGGGCTTGCAGATCGTCCAACCTGGGACACCAGTTTGGCATAATCGGGAAACTCCTTGAGCAGCTTCGTCATCAGCCCGACCCTCCGTTCCGTCGTCGATTTGTATGCAGCGGGTCGAACTCGGATTGTTCCCGAAGAGTCAAAATTCCAAGACGAGTCTGGGTCATCGTATGAAGAGGGGGGTGTATCGGAGGCCGTGTGATTTGCGTCCAGTGTGCCCACCTGAGCCGGGACAAACGCCAGGACTCCGGGCTTCTTGGTGAGAGTGCGGTCGAAAATGATGGTGCTAGAGTCCGAATCTACTTCGGCACTGCTTTCTGAGGATATAATTTCATTGGCCTTTGTGGTGTTGGTCGCTTGCCTACCGGCTCTTGTCTTCGACTTGACTTTCGGGGTGTCGTCGTCAGAGCCAGCACGAGGGATCGCTTTCGGAGGAGTTCGCGGAGGGTGTGATGTCACAGAGGCATTATGTTTGGTGGGCTTGCTGTCGGAAGCCCGCTTTAAAATAGTGATCGCTTCAGACCGGGTGGCTGAATGTAACGAGGAACCAGAGACGGTGTCCTTGGAGACTCGAGGCTTTGACGCCTTGGAGACGGGAAGAGATCGGGAGGATGGCTTTGCGTGGGAGTCATCGCCGGAGGCATGGTTGTTGGAAGAGCGTTTGAGGATGGTGACAGCAGGAGAAGGACCCTGCTCATCGCGATTCGGTTGGGTGGTGGAACCGGTCTGATTCAAAAAGTCCCAGACGGTACCCAAGTCACCAAGTTTTGGGTAGCTCCGCTGAGGCTTGACGGCCGTGGGTTGACTAACATCATGGCCAGACTGGCCCTCAGGGAATGACGAGAATCCCGGGGAATCGGAATGCCGAGCCGGGGCCGAGCAGCCAGTGTAGGCGGGTGAGTTCAGCAACTCCAACACCGCCGAGAAGTCCCAGTTGGAGATTGTTTCAGTGGGGTCAGGTGCCGGCATTGACGGTGACGGAGGCGATTAGGCGAGAAAACCCGTCATAGAGACGGTGAGACAGTGAGGAGGGCGAGATGGAACCGCATGGTGGTGAGGTGTGTCCGGACAGGGAGCGACGCCTCGACGGGTTGGCCCAGGTCATGTGACTGGACTCAACAGTAGAGCCACACCGATTGGTCTGCAACTGTGAACGAGACCCATTGTAGTATAGGCTAGCTGAGCCCATATGCTACTATAAGAAGTGCGTGGCAGCAATTGGTCCTGGCATCATCCCCGTGGATTCGCTCCTACATGCCTGGTGGAGCTTTCCAGCTCGAAACGCCACAGGATGGCGGTGCTGAGGTCTCGAGCAATGTTTCAGGCATTCGCTCGAACTTGTTTCTCCGCGTGGCAAAGCACCTTCTTTTCTTTTTCCATGCAGCATGATCGTCATCGGACCAGCTAAGGTATGTTGACCGCGGATCAGGCTGATACTCCACGATTCCCCGATACAGTCTAGCGTGACGGATGCAGGTCATCTCCACGTCATGGCCGTCATGGTAGCCGCCACAGCCCATGAGTGGTGTGGCTTCACCCAAGGTTAATCGGAATGTTGAAGTATACACGCTAAAACTTGTTCCTCACGACTATCACGTCATGTCGGGATACGTCCTATATAAAGGTGTTGTTTGCTAACCATTTCTCTTCTCTCTCAACCATCTTCATCCATCAACTCTTCCAACTTCCAACTTCCAACTTCAAGCAACTTTTCCACTTCACTATCAATCAACATGTCTGACGCCGGACGCAAGGATTTCAGCACTAGTATGTCAATACATTCATCTTCTGATAGTGCTCAGTACTAACCACGCAACTCACAGAGGCTAAGGAGGAGATCACCCCCGACTCTTCCAAGTCCACCACCGACAAGGTCAAGGAGGCTGTCACCGACACCACCGACCGCTTCACCCGTGGTGCCCAGACCGACGACAGCAAGGGTGGTACCCAGGAGCTCTTCGACAAGACCCAGCGCTCCCACGACAACGAGGCCCACGGCGGTGCCACCGGTTCTGTGTACGTTTGATAGATCTACATCCTTTGTGGCAGTAACTAACTTCTCTCTGCAGTGGTGACAAGGTCAAGAATGCTCTCGGCATGGACAAATAAGCTCTCCAATTCTTCTGTTTCTGTCGCACCATCCTGATTCACGAATGAGTCTACGATACCATGCCTCTTTTTTCTTTTTTATGATTCCATACCTGTAGTACTGAATGAAACACTCAATCCGAACTTGCCTTTCGTAAGGTATATATGGTAGATCCCTCGTAAGAACATGATCAATCATCGCCGCTCAACAAGGCTGCCAAACATCGAATCGCGCTGTCGCATCAACTGCCCCAGCTCGCGCTCCAGCTGCTTATACCGCGCCCGCGCGCCGGGTACATCCTTGGGCAAGTCATGAAACGCACGTACGCGGCCCTCCAACGCCTTGACCGTCTCGTGGAGACTAATGACTCCTTCCTCGTCGACCATCACCTCATCAATCGTCGGGCCCTGCGGCTGGGTCCGCTCCAGCGACGCAATGCGGTCCTGGTACTCGCCCACCTTGGTCGTCAGCATTTTCGTGCCTCGTGCCCAATCCGCAGTCATTCCCTGGATATCTGGTGGGGCTTCGTATACTGAGTCGGTGCGCAGCTCATCCAATTCCTGGCGGAGACGCGCGAGTTCTCGCTCGAGGTATTTGTGTAGTGTTTCGACCTTGGCGAGCTGGGTTTGGGCTTCGAATTCCTCGGCGGTGAGCTCGGCGATCGACTGGCCCACATCCTCCGGTGCTGGGTCTAATGTATTTCCCAGGATTGTAGCTGAGTCGGCGAGATCGTCCAGATCACGTTGGCCCTTGTCGTTGAGACACAGTTCCACCTCGTCGAGGAGGGCATTCTTTTGCTGCTCGTGCGGGTCTTTCTTGTCTGCCTCTTCCTGGGCCCGGAATGCGTTCACGACTTCTTCGCGTGCCCGGTGCTGGAGAGTGGCTTCCTCGTCGGCCGCGTCATTCGCGGCGGCCAGGGCTAACAGGACGCGGAGGGTGTCTGCGTTGCGCTCGAATTGGGGGACCGGCTTGGGCGCATATTGGCGGCCCAGCCAAGAATTCACATAGGCCCAGTCCTTGGCCTGGATAGCCGCTTGACGTGCTTTGGCGGGCGAGACGAGCGGGCTGTCCATGATGATGTTGTTTTGTTGAAGATAAGATAGAAGATAAATAATGCCAAGTTTCTCCGACCAAGCGTTGATCAACTGTCCTTTCTTTCTCTCTCCCCCACCTCCCCCGTCGAAAACAATGACCAGCTATTTCCCTCCCTCCACAGCAACCAATGGCACCGGAACGCCTCCCCCGTCGTTGGACGTGTCGTCGCCATTGTCGCCGCCCTCTCAACGATCGACGGCGCTGTCCAATCGGTTGACGAGCGTGCTGTCGGCCTCGTACGCGGACTCCGATATCCGCGACGCCCTCGAGACCCTGAGTTTACGGGGCGTACATAACACCGCGGAGACCAGACGCCAGCTGCGACTAGATGTGCAGAAGGAGGTGGTCGATTGCAATGCAGAGATCGTTCGCGACTTTGGCAAAGTGGCCGAGGTGAGAGAGACAAGCCCCAAGCCACTGGGCCGAACTGACTGGCAGCTTCCCAACAGCAATTGAGTCGGATCGGAGCGGTGATTTCGACGCTGAATCAAACATGCGACGAGATGCGCAGACACATCGGCCGGGCCAAGCAGGATACTACCCCCGTGCTCGAAGAAGCCTCCGTCCTGACGACGCAAAAGAGAGAGACCGAAACTAAACAGCAGCTGCTCGACGCCTTTTCGAAACACTTCATCGTCTCAGAAGAAGATCTTTTCGTTTTGAATTCTGCCGAGGAGCCAGTCGACGACCGATTCTTCGATGTGCTTTCCCGCGTCAAGCAGGTGCACCACGATTGTGAGCACCTCCTCGGCGGCGAAAACCAGCGATTAGGTCTGGAGCTGATGGAGCTGAGCACGCGAAATCTCAACTCGGCCTACCAGAAGCTCTATAAGTGGATCCAGAAGGAGTTCCGGTCGCTGAACCTTGAGGATCCCCGGATTAGCAGCTCGATCCGCCGTGCGCTACGGGTGCTGGCGGAGCGGCCAAGTTTGTTCCATAGCTGTCTGGATTTCTTTGCCGAAGCCCGCGACTATGTCTTGTCCGATGCATTCCACTACGCCCTGACAGATGCCATGTCGGGAGCTAACGGGGCAGGCTCTGGTGATCGCAGCGTCAAGCCAATCGAGTTCTCCGCGCACGATCCACTGCGGTATATTGGAGATATGCTGGCATGGGTGCATTCTACCACCGTATCGGAGCGCGAAGCCCTGGAGGCATTGTTCGTCGCGGATGGCGAGGAACTTGCTCGCGGCATCCAGGCCGGCTTGAGCAGTGAGCCCTGGTCTCGGATTGATGAAGGGGAAGAAGTGGTGTTCGATGGCCACAAGGCTCTCAGCGATCTGGTCAACCGTGACCTCACGGGCGTATCCCGGTCCCTGCGACAGAGAATCGAGCTGGTGATTCAGGGCCACGATGATCCCGTAACCTGCTACAAGGTGATGAACCTACTATCATTCTACCGCACGACTTTTGCGAAACTGGTCGGCTCGCAATCAAACCTCGTTGATCTGATCCAGAGCCTGGAGAAGTTCACTCTCAACCACTTCGAGAGTCTGATGAAGGACCAGGTCAACACCCTATCCAACGACGCCATCGCAGTAACCCCGCCAAACGACCTATCTGTGCCCCAGTTCCTGCTAGATGCCCTCGAGGTCCTGACCTCCCTCATGAAGACATATGAAGCATCCGTCGGACCCGACGACCCAGCCGCAGACGACCCAACTAGCGAGAACCGATTCACACCGGTTCTCCGTGCCGCGTTCGACCCTTTCCTGACCCTAGCGCGGTCCTCGTCCGACGAGCTCCCCAACACCACCGCGCAGGCCATCTTTCGCACCAACCTCCTCCTCGCCGCGCGCGCCACCATCTCAGCCTTCCCCTTCGCCAGCGCCACGCACCTAGCCCCACTCTCCAATGCCCTTTCCACTCTCCGCACAGATTTATTGGATATCCAACACCAATTCCTCCTCAACGCATCGGGTCTGCACGCCCTTCTTCTTGCATTGGAACCTTTCTCCCAAAAGGAACAAGACTCCCAGCTAGACACAGATAAAGAGTCAGATCAATCCCCAGAGACGCAGGAGAAGGCCACGACAAAACCACACCTCACAGATCTTACGTCTCTCCTAGCCTTCCAACCAGAAGCTCTAGTTGCCTCCAGCCAACAACTCGACGATTTCCTGCCTTCAGCTCTCATGGACGCAACAGACCACCTTAAGCGCGTCCAGAGCGCCTCCCTCGTGCAGAGCGTCACTGAAGATGCCGTTGAAGCTTTCTGTCGTGACTTTGAGTTTGTTGAAGGCATGATCATCGCCGCCGATGAGGCGAGGGGGACCCTCGACGTGGGTATCCCTGGCACTGGTGCAAGCGTGCTGAGCGGTAGATCGGGTAGCAAGGCCGGTGTGAGTGAGAAGGGGGAGCAAGAGGAAGACAAGGACGAGGAAGATCGGTGGAGTCTGCGCTCGTTGTTCCCGCGCACGACGGGCGAGATTCGGGTGTTGTTGAGTTGAGTGATATCTTCTGTGAAATATATAGAACGACGAGCATGTACATAGTATATATGCATGCATTGACTTCGAAACTGTCTACCTACTCTGCAGCCAACACTCTCTCCAACAGTTCTTGACCCTTTAAATCCAAATCCGGATACTTTCTCAACTGGCGCAAATCCGTCCAGAAATGCTTCGCATCACCATGCCCATCGCCATGCGCATCGAAGCGCTCCTGTAGCAGCTTTTTCCACGCGGCATCCTCCTCAGTCCACCCCCAAGATGCTGAAACATATTCGTACCATATAGGGTAATAAGCCGCATATTCCCAATCAAGAAGTCCAACAACTTCTCCATCTTTGACTATGATATTCCCTAGATTGAGATCACAATGAGTAAGGACGTAGGGTGCGCATTTAGGCAGACGTTCCTTCAGATTCTCCAAGGCTCGTTGCGGTAGCGAATTTGGAAGGGTCAAGCTGAGAGCATCCCAGAGCTCGAGGTCAGAGTGAAAAGACCGGTGAGGGTTAAAGCCAGAGAAAAGTAAAGCCGGGTAAGCAGGACTTCCATCAACGCACTGTATAGACGGTGACGTGATAGATCGTAGTCGCTTGCGAAGTTCAACAAGTTGATCCGCTATGTCCGTTCGCTGGGTTCCGGATAAAGAAGACCAAGCCTGCTCCAGCGTCTGGCCATGTATCCGCTCTGAAAGTACAAAATATGTCCCTGCGCCATCGACCCAGTCACGCAAGATCCGGGGAGCGGGAATATCGGGGTGGTGGGTTGCAAGGTGGTTTAGTGTTGTCACTTCTGTCTTTGGGGTTTCGTCGTCTGGGCGTTCTTTCAAGATCACATCGGATCCGATTGACCATACGCCCCGCTTGCTTGCGCCGTAGAAGAGCTTGACGTGGCTGGAATAGTGGCAATTCCGTTGTTGTGCGGCCGTCCATCCGCAGGCGATGCATGCTTTGGGTGATTCTAAGGTCATGATGGGGAAGAGAAGATGAGAGTCTTGAAGGTTACGGAATGGGGGTGGGTGTTTACTGGGATTTGTAGCAAGGATACGAGTTATTCACCGCTCCTTGGAAAAAAAGGCACTGCACGGCCAATAGGAGACGATGGTAGCAGTAGGTCACCCTGGCCGTGGTTGTACGGCGAATTGGGTGTATTAACTGGGATATAATTGTATGGTTGATGTGGTATCAGAACTATTTACACAACATTCATTCGGACTCTCTCCACCAACATTCAAGACTTGACATCCGCCCCTTTAAGAAGCGCGAGGACCTCCCTCCGTCTAGAAGAAAGCTTCAAGCTCCTCATCTTCGCCGGACTACACTGCGCCCCCGCCTTGCTGAGCAGACTAATCGTCTTCAGCAGGGGCGGGATGTTATACGGTAGGGTATTCGGATCCAGCGCCATTTTGATAGCATACCGCAGCAGTGAATTAGTACCTTCCGGGCCATTATCATCATCTGGACCCGTTACCGGCGCACCGGCTTCTAGCAGGGCTTTCACCATCTCTGGTTTGGGCGGAATGGCTTGCTGGACTGCGTTCGATAGGTGCGAGTACCCGACTCGCCCACCAACTCGTAATAATGGCTCCAGACTCCAGACTGCGCCCATCGTAACGGCGTAGTCAACGCCTACAGCTGCGAAGATGGAGTTCTTCGAGAGTAGATATTCAAGGAGTGGTTGTCGGCGGTGATCAATCGTCTCGCGGATTGCGCGCCGGAAGACATGCGACTCCTCTGTCACCAGTACTTCGACTAGATCTCTCCAATCCTTCGCGATGGCGAACACGACGGGCCCATCTCTGTCCAGTGAGAGGGGGTTTTGGTCCCACTCATCGGTTTCCTGGCCCCATCCGTACTTGTAGTAGACGCGCTGAGCACCGTGCTCTAGTAAGAGGGTTGTCATTGTGAGGTTCTTGGTCTGCACTGCTTTCATGAGGACACGCTGCGGACTTCCGTCTGGGAGACGAAAGTCGGGAGAGGCGCCTTTATTAAGGAGGAGCTCGGCCATTTTGATATCAGATATGTCAACTGCTTTCCACAGTATGGTCTTTTCAGAGTCCGGGTTGGGATAGATCGTGTTGGCATCAGCTCCGTATTCCAAGAGAAGAGCCACCATGTCATAATCGTGCGCTGTAATAGCCTGCACGATATACTTCGAGTCAAGATCTGCTGCCCCGGTGCGATTCGGCGTGCTCTCAAGTAACAGCTGAACAATATGCCGATGTCCAAAGTCAAACGCACATTCAAAAGCAGTGGTTTCCTCCCCTTCACCTTCACCCAACGGAATAGGACGAGTAAACGAAGTCCCCCGACTCAGCATCAGCTGCACGAAGAAACTGTTCCCCGCCCCAGCCACAACAGCAGAAACGACCGAGTCGGAGAAGTCATCGTGCAGGGGCAGTTTCTTGAGAAGCTCGCGGTATCGGTTGAGCGGGTCGTTGTCGTAGAGCAGACATGCCCATACCAAGACGAACTCCACGCACGCGCTCAGAGACTGTTTCTGGAGTAATGCCTTGAAGTCATTCCGGATCTTGACTCGTTGTGCAGGATCCGGAATCTCGCGCAGCGAGTTCGCCTCGTCGACGTCGCCTGCCTGTTCGTATAGCTCGGCGAGGAGAAGCACGCCCTCTTTGTAGGATGGGTCATTCACACCAGATGCAAACTCGGAGTCGTGGATCACCTCTCGACACAGCGATTTGGCTGATTCGACGCGTCCTCTGCTGGATAGATCGCGCGCGGTTTGGAGCTTTGTCTGATAATCTGAGAGTTCGGGGTCTTGATCGGTGACTTGTGTTGTTGGCTCAGTGCCTCTGAGCATGCTGGAACTCTCATCATCACAAGACTCGGCATCGCTCATGTTCGTATTCGACGCGGGAACCTCCCACTTCTCGCTATCGGTCATCCATCGCGCAATCTTCTCCTCTGGTGCTTGTGTCATCGCCCCGAGAACGGACTGCATATCGTCGACGGCCGTGCTAGCAGAGGTATCGAGCGCAACAGCCGAGTCGAGACACTTCTGCACCGAGCCAGGGAGCGTGCAGCTCTCGTCATTGTCCGGCCTCTGCTTCTGCGCGAGGCGCGTCAATCGCTTGATCTGTCTCTGCAGCTGGCCAATCCCATCCAGCACATCCTCCTGCTTACTTTCACTGCTTGCTTGGATGTGCAGGGCAAGACAGACGTGGATCATCTGCAGACTCATATTCATCGCGGTGTGGAAGGAAATCACCCTCCCGCGTAGGAGAGCCAGTTCCTGCGCCTTGTCGCTGAGCTTGAGGTGCGTTGCTACTCGACGCATAGACTGCCCTACGGGTCCGTGGGTTTGTGCTTTTGTAAGAATCTCATTGATTCCCTCGACTGTCTCTCCGCAGTCTTGTATACTGCACTCCATTATTGTCATGACAATAATCTACAGCCAAGGGAAAACAGACGTACCACCCCTCCAGAGAATCAAACAACTTCACATCATCCCCCAAGCTAGCAGCTAGCTCCTTGCCATGGTCACTTAGCGCATCATGCACGCTGTCCAGCGCACGGGAAAGAGTGCGCAGGTCTTTTCCGAATAGCGCGATGACATTGTCGACTTCTTTCACCTCCTCCACGTAGGCATGGAGGAGTCTGGCGATTTTGAAACAGGAGGCGCTTATCCCCGCTGCTGCGGAGGCGATGGAGATTGGATCCATGGGAGCATGGATTCAGTGGCTCCCTAGGGAGTGGCGGGCGAGAAGGCGAAGAGAAATATATGTGGTAACTACTAGTCGCGCCTAGCTCGTGTCTTGGATCGGCATGGTGGGGGTTTGTTTATTGGGTCCGAGGACTAGGAGTAAGAACGTACTGGAGAGATGTCAGCTCAATTGCCGTGCGCGGGATAAATTGAAGGAACAAGCTGTGAAAGGGCTATTAATATGCTCCAAACTATGGCTGAAGTGACCTATTTGGATAATCCTAATTCATTTCATTCCACTCCTATCATCACAATGTACAGATTCAATGCCCGTAGAAAAAGAAAGAGTATCAAAACTAAGAGAATTAGAGCAAGTACCCCCTCTAATAAGAGACCCAAACTATGCATGCTATGCCCATAGCACCATCATTGATTGCCCGTCCGGGCTCCGGAATCAGAACCAGACCAGACACCGGAAAGAAAACGGTCCATAAGACAATAGAACGTGAAACAATAAGAGAGAGACACACACGCACAGAAACCGGACCGGCCGTATCTCGATACCTATCCACCTCGTTCACCAAACTCCCGCGCCCACTCTTCATACCTCCGCAATCCATCCGGAGACACGCTGGGCCGGATAGAGTAGAGACTCGCTTCGAAGTCCTGGAACTTAATTGGCCGGATCTGGTCCATGGGTGTGTGTAGGAGGGCCTCGCCTAAATTCCGGAGGGGGCCCATGGCGGCGTCTTTGGCGAGGGCTGTGATGTCAGAGCCGGAGAAGCCTGTGACATGAATTGTAAGAAAAAAGCAACAGAAAAAGAGAAACGAGAACATACCGTCAGTAACCTGGACCAGCACCTGGATATCATCGTCGCTTAGCTCCTGGTGCTGGTGACCTAGAAGCTTGCGCAGCTGCTGCTCGCGGACGTGTTGCTCCGGCAGTGGGATGTACTGTCTCCGCACGAAACGGCGGCGGGCTGCCTCGTCGATGTCCCATGGCATATTGGTCGCAGCCAGTACCAGGACACGACTGGCGTCGCCTTCTTTCTTCTCGCGGGCGGATTGCTCGCGACCTGCTGCGGCGCGTTGGAGGTCGGACCATTGAATCAGAAACTCGGTCTTAGAGCGGCGGGATGCTTCATGCTCGGAACCGGATGACCGTGCAGACAGCAAGGAATCAATCTCGTCGACGAAGATGATGGATGGGGCAAGGACTTTGGCGAGGCCGAAGAGTGCACGCACGAGCTTTTCGCTTTCGCCGTGCCATTTCGATGTGAGGGTTGATGAGGAGACGGAAAAGAAGGTTGATTTGGACTCGGTGGCTACGGCACGCGCAAGCATGGTCTTGCCGGTCCCGGGAGGACCGAAGAGTAGCATACCCCGAGCGGGCTCGCGAAGACCCGAGAAGAGATCGGGTCGAAGGAATGGGTAGACGACTGCCTCTTTGAGGGCCTTTTTGGCACCCTCCAGGCCGGCAATATCGTCCCAGTGCACTTCGTCTCCGCGCACAACGATGTCGTTCAGGATCTGCCGTGCGGATGGCAGGTCGACACCTTTGGGTAGTTTCTGAACGATCTTCGTGATATCGTTGTTCTCGTCTTCATCCTCTCCGTCCTCTGCCTCACTCTCCGACGACCGCTTGGCCCATGAATCTTGGTCGCTGGACGACGGTGTCTCACGACGCTTGATTGGAGGTGGCTTGCGCCGAGGCACGCCGTTGCCATTCCCAGTCGAAACCGTCATGCGCTCAACTCCCCGCCGAAGGTCATCCCCGCTGCCCGATGAGTGTGAGGGATGCGCTGATTGACCGACATTAGCAGACCGAGGTGCGGATTTCGTCCGTGGCTGGCTGCTCGAAAGATTGGCCTCGCGATCCAGTCGAGGCGTCAAGGGCCGAGAATTGCTCTCAGACCTAGAGGTCTGTGCTACTGCGCCCGGTGGTGGAAGTGAAGTCCTCAACCCTACAGGTTTCGGTTTCACAGAAGGTCTCGGTGGCCCTGCGGAGGAGTTGGGGGGAGTGAAATCATCTGGGTTTGGCATTGACAAAGAGGATGCATGAGGGGGAGGAGGAGGAGGAGGTCTGCGGGCAGAAGACTGAACCTGGGGTCTGCGAGGAGATGACTGAACAGGCTGCCGGCGTGGCGACGATGTCAGGCCAGGCGAAGAACGAGGTTCTCGCCAATTAGCAGCCGGGATACGGTCGGTCGCCGAAGCCACAGGCACAGTCTTGTGGGATGAGTGGGAAAGTTCATCTGCCGAACTGTACTTTGGATCTGCCTCGCGGCGGAAACTGGGGCTTTGTGCGGCGCTCCGTCGTGACGAAGCCAACGCCGCATCACTAACAGTTTTCTCACTCGAGGCGGGCCGATAGATATGGCCCCAAGCCAGCCCCGCCGCTTTCGAAGCAGCCTGTCTCGTTTCCTTGCGTCTGGGTGTCTTCTTCGCACTTTTCTTGCCGTCGCCACTGCGCAGCGTCGTCAGCATGCGCCGCTCGGGACTGGAGCCGCGCGATTTGGATTTGCCGGACGAATTGGAGTTCATCCGTAGTGCGGGTGAGCTACCGGACGGCATTGCTGTCGGAGGAGGGGTGTCTTCGTCGGGGGTGGGCTGTTTCGGCCACGGGTGGCCAGGAATAGCGGCCGGTTTGGAGAGATCGGTGTAGCCGACGGCGGGGATGGTACCGTCGCCGATCCAGCCGGGGTTGTTGTGGTTGGAGAAAGAGGGAGAAGGGCTCACGGTGGACTTTTTCAACTGAGCGGACCCTGATTCTTTGTTGGAGTTGTTGTTGGGTGCTTCTTTTCTGCTTTCGCGAAGGGCGCCGAGCAGATCGACTCGTTCTCGGCATTGGATCTCTAGTTTGCGAATAGAGTCTTGCAGGGCTTTTTCAGTCTCGGACTTGGGGGTGTAGGTCGTCGACACACGGCGCGCATTGTGATGGTAGATGGTCTCGAGAGCGGCTCGCCACGATCGCAGCGCTTCCTCTTCGTTGTTCTGCGGGGAGGATCCGATTAGTGAGTGACGGGGACACTTTTTTCCACAACACGACAGGCACTCACCTGGCCCTCAAAGTAGACCGCGGTTGAACACGATAGATAACACTCGTCGTATGTCTTCTGCAGCGAAGACGAGGGCTTGGGGCGCATCATTCAGCTCGTCGCGGAGAGAAGAGGAGGGAAAGGATGATCGGCCGGGCGGGTTTGGGCGTGACGTCGTTGTCTGCATGCGGTAAGTGCCGGTGTGGGCAGAAGGACCACCACTCCGGGCTAGTCGTAGGATAGGTAGGAGATGGTCATAGGAAATAGGACACTCCAGGATTATCAAGCCATTCATCTATCCGCGGATCTATGGGTACATGCACACTCCAAACCAGGTATATCGATGGTCGAGAGGAAAGAAAGAAGAAACCAAAGAAAAGCCCAAGCCCGCCCAAGGATTCATTTCGCGTGGCAACGCCGGTGAAACGGTATACGAGACACATCGCACGGGGATAAGAACAAGAGGCGCATCAACACCCGCCCAACAGCAGAAACACAGAAATATGCCCAGATTTGATTTCCCCCCAAACTATACATTGCCAGATTCGCTTTTTGGTGGTTGGATCGAGGCGGAGGCCAAAACATGCAAGGAGACTCCGCAGGATTTGGCTGATTCGGTCACTGCTCAAGTGGCATCGGAGATGCTTTTGTTTTGCACATGTGGGACAGGGGAGAGCTCCCTCCCTGTCGCATTGAGAGGTCGGATGAAGAGAAGAAAAAAAAGGCGTGGCGTTTACAAAGCAGGATATCTATCGAAACATGTGGACAGGAAAGGGTGACTTCATCTGCCGACGGGTTGCTTTCCAGTCAGCGAGCAGTGGTGATGTGCCGGTCATTTTAGTCAAGATGGCGCTTGAAATACGCCTTGGCCATCTCATAGGATGTCCTACACAGTGTTAGCAACGGGACTGCAATGTGACCAACCAGACAACAAAACATACCAACAGATCGCCGTACTCGGCATGGTGGAAATAATCCGGGGCCGCATGCCCCGCAAGAAGCCCGTCCACCCAAATTGGCGCTTGATGATGGCCGCAGCGTTGAAGAGACCACGGGCGGAGCGAACCTCTTCGCTCTGCGCCAGGCCGCGGGTCTGAAGGAGCGTCTTGACGACGTCTAGAGGAGTGGTGATTCCAGCGGCAAAGGCACCGGCCAGACCACCGGCGATGCAGTGGGTAAAAGGGTCGTATTCCATCTTGGGGTTCATCACCTTGGAGATGGACTCGTAGGCGACAAACTGCGTAGCCGTGAAGGGCACGGTCATGCAGAGCGTGGTAGGGTAGGAGACGTAGAAAGCCTGGACGCCCTCGGTGCGATAGAGCGTTCGGGCGCATTGGAGAAGGCTCTTGTGGATCGAGCCGTGGACCTGCATGCGCTGCTTGATCACTGTAGAGGAATTAGCAATGCCCTCCGAAAGTAAACAAGGGAAGAACTCACCATCAAATGGATTCATCAATGCATCGCTGGCAATCGTGGCTGCAGCGCCGCTGGTCGCTGCAGCTAAAGGGTGATGCCCTTCGTCGACATTGCCACCAGCCATATCCTTGACGAGCTCGTACGTACCGAAATACACCGCGTGTGCCGGACCTAGTGTTCGCCTCGAATCAGCCTCCTGTTCTTCTTGTGGATATTGAGCACCGCGTACCTGCACCAACAATCACACTCGAGACACCCTTCCATAGTGTCCGCCAGCCTTCAATGCGATAGATTGTGGACACCGCATTGGTCAACCCCGTGTAGAGACCTCCGGTCGAAGGGTGCAAGATTTGCATGCGAGTCTAGTGAAGTTTTCGGTCAGTTTCATGCCATGTAGCCAGCAGAAACGCACTCACCTTGAGCAAATCCACCGGGTACATAACTGAGTGTTCCTGTTGAATTCCCGCCGCTGGTCAGTCCACGAGCTCCCATTTCTTCGAGGAATCGAAATCGCCATACCGCTATCCCTGCGAAAGCACCGGCTAACATATTCCGACCGAGGCCATAGTTGGAAGGGAGCGTCTCGTAACTGCAGAAGATAGCGAGCGCACCACGTTAGCCTGGACATCCATCATCACATCACACACAGTCGAACCGGGTCGGAGAACACCAAAACGACAGGGGAGCAGAACGCGCTCGTCAGAAAAACCTCCACAGATGAACTGCGCATGTTCCGAGCAAGGTCCGTCTGCACCGTGTCGCGATGCTCTCCATCGACCGATGACAAAAAAAGAGGTGGCCACCTACTCATATTCCGGATCCGCAATCTGGTCGGGAAGAGCCATGGAGCTCGGCTAGCTCAAGGCGCAGCCGGAGTGAGAGGGAGCGAAATCGAGAAAAGTCGTCGTCGTGATTGGAGATGCTTGTGAAAATGCGCGGATGGCGGTTAGGCTCGTGTAGCCAGGTGTTGGAGGCGTTGGGGTGGGTGTTGGCGGAATGAGCAAGTCGCTTCTCCGAGGAGGAAAAAAAACGGCGGCTCCGTCTGTCCAGGCCCGCCCGTCGATAGGCAAAGAGCGAACAGCGAGGGAGTGAGAAAGGGAGGAATGATAAGGAAAATCGGAGAAGCAACGAAGAATGCGAAGAAGAGAAATCGTAATAAATTTTTTTGGGCCTGAAGGTTTGGAGCACGGGCAGAAAGGGCCGAACTCGCCAAATCCATCAGTGGTGATTCTTCTGGCCGAGGAATTTCCCTAACCCCGAGCATCCTCTACTACGCCTCACTAGATACTATCTTATTTCTCCCTAAATGATATTCCTCCCCTGTCTACTCCTCTTCATCAATTTCACCCTTTTCCCCAGCCTGTTCCGTCATCGGCGCTTAGCTAATCACCACCGTGGTACCTGAGTCCGAGGTACCCTGGCCGCCGTTTGCCAGTCGATTGGTACCTCGGACCTAGGTACCCCTTGTCGGCGGGAAAAAAGTTTTATCTGATTGATAAGACCGGCCGGACACCAATTTGAAGAATCGCTAGTCCGCTTCAGGGGATGCTCCTCGTACGGACTGGCTGTGTGTATTCCGTACATACTAATTAACTTAACTTAGTCCATAGCATTTAGTGGACACCATGCTCACCCAAACTAGATATTACTCATGCCTATCCCCAAGTGCTCGACTGCCGTACCATAGATAGGGTCCTAACGGCGCTCGGGCAGCCGAGGCCCGGGGAGGCTCGACAGGAGTCCGGGCAGAATAACCCGACGGACGCTAGCTGGTTTGCTCGATGCTGGACCCAGGTTATGTGCGTGGACTTACGCTTATGTACTTGCCACAGGAAAGGAAATAATACGCATGTAATAATAATGATAACAGGCTATGGATTGTGGAAGACATACAAAGAATCAAAAAATCAAACCAAAAAAAACACCTCGACGCCGCATTGATGGCCAGGAGGAGGGGGCATGTAGGAACACAGAGAGTCCGTGGACGAACGGGGAAGCGTCTTAAGAGCATGATCGGACTGAGGGAAAGTGGGCGGGTGCATTGCTAACGGAATGTAGATGTGCTCGGGCAAATCATTCACGGTCGTTAAGGGGTCTGGTATGTCTCTCGCCGAGACGAAGGTAAATGTTGGAGTTGAGGGGGTTACCAGGTTACGTTGAATGACCATTCCCCTGGAGATGATGTTAGCAATATGCAAGTCAAAAAGAAAGACGGGAAGACGTACCACTCTTAAGGTTCTCGGCAGTGTCGCTCAACAGGATGATGCGGCGCTTGTTGCAGTAAGCCGTCTTGTCCAGGATGTCGACTTTGAGGTTCGCCAGGTCCGGGACGGGCTTCTCGAACATCTCACTCAAGCTCTCGACCGCCATCTCCAGGTCTTTCTGGTTATCCTCGAAGATCTCGGTCAGGTTGTTGCGCGCGAGGTAGAAGGCAAACGCATACGTCCACTTCAGGGTCTGCCGGCACTGCTGTAGCGCCTGCGAAGCCGTGTCCAGAAACTGTACCTCGATCCACGACAGGCCCGACTGCGACTGCAGGCTAGTCATCTTCTTCTCGGTCTTGAGATAGAGGTCCTTGTCTAGCTTGGCGGACTGTTCGTGGTTTGCATACCGGTTATAGTAGTGTAGGTACCGCTCCAGCGAGGCGCGCGACTTGGCTTGGGCACCGCGGGCGTCGGACCCAGACTTCTCCTCGTATCGATTGCAGTTGTACCAGCTGGTTCCGTGCTCCGACCACAGACCCATGCACATCCAGCAGAACTCATGTTTGCACTTGCGACAGGTCATGTGGTTGCATCCGCCGTTCTTCTCGATCGTCGACTGGCACCGTGGGCATTCCTTGGTGTTGGCCGAGATCCAGTTGGCCGTCTCAGAGTCGTCCTCACACTTCTGCAGCCACATCTTCACCAGGCCACACGGAGTAGGCTGGTGATCGTTAAGGGTGCAGCCGAAACAGAACTCGTGCGAGCAGGCACATTTCACTGTTGGCACAATGCGGCGCAGATCGCGGTTCTTTACATGGCAGTCCACCGCGTACTCGCAGTTAGGCGCCGGGCACCACCGTAGATTCTCTTTGTCGTCCACGTATGTTCGTGTCAGCAGGATCCGATATCTGGATGAATGAAAAGTCAGCCCAAGCCCCCTCTCAAAATACCAGCCAACGTACCGCTCCTTGAGATCATTCGTGACCAGGAGATCAAGCGATCGAGAATCCACGATACGGTGGCAACCTTCACCCGGACACTCGATGCGAGCAGCCTCCCCTTCCTCCTTGATTTTCTGGGCCAAGTAGTGACGATAGCAGTCCACGCAGAAACGGTGGCCACAGCGCATCGCGTACGACTTGAGGCCCTCGCCATCCTCACAACAGATCTCACACATGAACCCCGGGATGGTTTCCATCTTTGCAGCACCTTCAAAGTTTGTCCCCAAGCCCGCATCCTCCAACGTCGTCTCGGGATGGTCCATGTATGACTCAATCAGCTTCTCCCGCTTCCATCGCCCAAACCGGAGCAGGATGGCTGCCGACTCTGGCGGCAGGCCCAGGATGGCGGAGACATCGCTAATCTGGGCTAGCTGTTCTCGTTCGATATCTGCAGGGTTGAGCACCTTGAACTCGACTTCGTAGGGTTTTCGCTTTTGGGTAAGCAGGTCTTTGTCGTCGGAGAATCCGCCGTCGAGATCACCAAAATCTGGAAGAGCAGATCGTTCGTTAATGCTATTCAGTAGGTCTGAAAGAAAAGCTTGTACTCACCCTCTCCTAGACTATCATTGTCGCTGTCCTGGGTGTCCAAAAAGTCATCCTGGCTCGACACGTCAGACATGAAGTCATCATCTGAATCCATGCTGGTCGTGGCGGAGGTGATGAGATCCTTCTTTGCCGAAACAGAGCTCACGGAGCTGCCCCTCGCAGTCAACCCCGTCGTCGCTGTGGCAGGTGTAGGTGTTGGTGTGGGCGGACGCGGTGGTTCCAAGGGCGTGGTGGCGAGGCCGGGGCCGGAAGCAGCCTTGGTGGCGGCTTTGGCTTTAGAGGGGGGCTGGCTGTCCGCAATCGCCTCGGCCGCCTTTCTTTTACGTGTTGAAGGGGCCGTGGTGAAACAAGGGGGAAAGGGGGAAGGCACTGAAATGCCGTTTGGGCGTTGGGGAGAAGGCAGTTGGAGAAGTTTTGTGATCGGTCGAACAACACGTCACAGTCAGGGCGGAGGGGTCGGGCCGGGAACAAGTGGGGAGTCCCGTGATGAGGTATAGTTCCCAGAGCTGTTGCACTCGGCGGTGGATGGACATGGACGACATGGAATATGAACTAACAAAGAAACCTGGGATGCCTGTCTCCATATATGGTATATCCAGCAAACTGACTAATCTTCTTCACTCTCATCCTCTTCTTCCTCACTACTCTCCTCCTCCTCTGCTTCAGCAAGCCAATCCACAAACTGTTGAGCCTGAGCCCGTACAGTCCGCATCTCCTCCGACGCAGTCGATCGCTCATCCCTCCACCACTGCTCATACGCCTCCTCATCCACCAGCTCCAGCTCATACAGCTCCTTTGCCGTAAACAGCAAGACCGTGTCCCCCTTGTGGCGATGGATCAAGTCTTGCTGTAGCAGAAGCAGCAGATCCACCTGGTCCTTCTTCGCTTCCTTGTTGCGGTCAAATAGACAGCAGCGGTCCACGACCTCGCGGTACTTGGAAAAGACGTCGTGGACAGCTTCGCCGGCGCCCTTGCCGCCTTCCATCAATTGCTGGATGTGCTTCATGAAGGAGACCACCACGGCACGTCGCATTGCTTGGTCGGATGCATTGGCGGTCATGCGCATGCTTACCAGCTCTAGCACCACCACGTCTGCGGCGTTGTCATCGCGCAGCATGTCAAATGCACTGGAGGAGGCTTCGTGGTAGAAGTTGTCTTGTTCCTCGTCGCCGCTGGAGAAACTGCTTCGGCCGGACCGTGGCCAGGATCCTTCTGATAATTCCGATGACAGTGTGGAGATCGAGGCAGAAGAAAGAGAGAGATTGGGCATGCGGTAAACTGAAAAGGAGGGTTAGCCGGATAGCCTGCAGTGAGAAAGAAAGACGAAATATACCAAGTCCGGACGAGGCTTCGCTTGCGGCGTCCTCATCTTCATCATCCTCATCACCAGGTACGAACTCATAGCCTTCTCCACCAGCGCCAACAACCTTGGGATCACTGGCAACATCCATGCCATCCCGCGAGGCCTTAGTGATCCGCTGCCCGCTCGGAACAGCCACACCATCTGCAATCTTGACCCCGTATGAGAGCAGCGCGCCAGGCGCAACCGTACACTTCTTACCGACCACGACGCCATCCGCAACAATAGCACCACGGACATCTGACCCGTCCCCAATCACAACGTGATCCCAGATATATGCGCCGTCAAGCTTAACGTTCTTCCCGATCTTGCAGTTGCGGCCCAGAACGGTGTTGTGCACTGTCGTCCGGTCTCCGATACTCGTCCCCGACCCAATCACCGTGCGGCGACCGACCACACAGGACCGCGCGAGCGTCACCCCTTGCTCCTGGTACAAACTGCCCTTGCGCAGATCGTACGTATGCCCAGGAAGCAGGTTAGTGTCCGGGCACAAGGGATATGTCCAGCGGGAGATGATATCCTTGCTCACGGCATCGTATGCCTTCAAGTTCCGCACCCGCGCAGCGTAGTTCTCCCTGATAATGTGCGTATGGAGCGTCTTGCCGTTCAGCTCGTAGTCCTTCAGCACACCATACAAGAAATGTTTCCGGGGGGATTGGTAGTCGAAACTATCCGACCACAGACTCAGCACATCAGGCGTACAGATATCGATACTGCAGTCGATGAGATCCTGACGAATATCCAGCTCCGCATGTGAGAGGATAATATCCGTATCGATATTCAGCCGCGCGGGCTGGTCGTCGTCCGCCCGCTCGTCGATTTCCTCGTAGTGCAGACACCGGTCCTTGGTGGGGTCGATCACAAACACCGGCGAGATCGACGTGGACTTGGTCCGGTGTTTCCGGCCGGCTTCGCGCAGCACCATGGTCATGATGGCGTTCTTGTCGGCTGCGCGACGCGCGCGGTGCTTGGTGAGTGCGCCCTCGATGGGCAGGTTGCTGATCACGTCGCCGGACACGAGGATGAAATCACCTGTGATGAGGTGCTTGCCGTCCAGATCACGCATGACGTCGCCGACGGAGGTGGAGGTGGATTTGAGGAACTTGAGCTGGCTGAAGGGCGACGAGAGGGCTCTCCATTTCGAGGCACTATCCATTCATTCATTGGTTAGGGATTGCCTTCCTTTCAGTATCACGGGGGCCGCGCCAAACATACTTGATGTACTTCTCCAGCTGATCCGAATGAGCCCCGCCGTACAAGAAGACATCTTCCACGCCGGCATTGGCCAGAAACTCCAGCGTATATTCGATCAGAGGGGTATTGGCGAGGGGGAGAAGACACTATCATCGTCCAAGTCAACCATTGTGTACCCCCGAAGCTTTTCTTCCCTGACATACCCGTGGCTTGTCCAGTGTAAATGGCTCGAATCGGGTCTCGAAGGTATCCGCAAGAACCTATACCCTCCGTCAGCATCAATCCGAATCAAGGAATCCAAAAAGAAAAACATACGACAGCCTGCAGCGTCTCCTCCACCTCCTCCGCGGCATTCCCCTTCTGCTTCTGGCCACCGCCTTTTTGCTTGGGACCCATTGCTAGAAAGGCGACTAGCTGGTCTCGGACAGTTGTTGCTGCTAAGATATTCGTTACTCTCGACCAAGAAAGCGACACAAAAAAGGCTGGCGGGGAGTCATTTCAGTTTGCACTGTTTGTCTTCGTGTCCCTCACCTCATCACATGACCACCAAACCCGCCCAGCCACAGCCTTACATAAGGCATTTCACCGCCACAGCTTCCCGGCGCCGCAAAGAGTCCAGAACAACGCGCAAGGTCTGGGCCCGGCCAGGTTCAGGGGGATTGTTTGCCTTGAATCATGGGGGTGTTCTAGACCTCCGCTGCAGGTGTTCTTCGGACTCGGAATCGAGCGTTAAGGGTCCGGCTCGGGTTGTGGAGTGGAGTGGTTGGCTTTGGTTTCTCCGGGTGAAACATCCGCTTGCGTCGACAGAAATAGAAACGCTGTTACAAGGGAATTACCAGGAGGAAGACGGAAAAGACAGCCTACCTTTCCCGAGACGAAAGAAAGGCAACAAACAGTCTGATGAGAGCGCCGTGGGATGACGAGTACACCACGCCCATCGAGATTTTTCTTCGTCCCTACGCAGGGAATGGTTATTGGGGACCGGCTAGACTAGTAATGAAAAACACATTCTTATGTTTTTATCTCAAGTATGTACTAGACGAAAGATCCCTCCATGTATATGAGCGACAGCACTCGCAACACAATTCGCCACCCACATGGGAACCAGCCTCCATATGAACGCCATGACCTGTAGGGAAGAAAGATCAAAAAGAAGAGAAGAAAAAGAATGTACGATCAAGAAGGCCTTAATATAGACAGTGGGAATCGTGAGTGGACAGAAATGGAAAAAAAAAGTTGGTTTAGCTGGGCCGTCCAGCTTGCACGGCCATCATCGGCTGCGGTTGTTGGGTGTACATGCGTTGCCGTTTGGCCATGTGCCCGTTGTCTGCGGCTGTGGACATCTCGGACATCTGCCGTCGATGCGGTGGGCGAGCGGGTGTCCCTACCGCAGGGACGGCGACCGGTTGTGTGGCTGGGTACTGAACGCCGTTTTGATCGACAGTGTATGCTGCGGGCGCCGCTGAAACGTATTGTCCTTGGACGGGAGGCATGTTGGGCGGGACGGTCTGCATGCCTTGGAACTGGCCGGGGGACTGCCAGTTGTTCATAGACCCGGCGGGCGACTGGCCGGGAGAGCTGTCTTCTTTGATGGACTGGGATGCCGAAGTCTGAGCAGCCATGGCCATTGCGGCGCCAGGTGGCGCAGCTTCTATGCCTTGCGGCATCGTCTTGAGATGAACCAGATGCTTCTCAAGCATATCAAGAAGACTCTTTCGGGTGAAGGGCTTCGGAAGAACGTCATCCATGCCTGGATACAATGTCAGTCAACAACCTGGATCAACGGTGATACCATACACGTACCGTGTTGGAAGTAGAGTTGGATGTCATCACTGCGAATGTTGGAGGTCATGGCGATGATGGGGGTGCGGTCGGCCTGCCGAATAAGGTGGCACGCCGATACACCGTCTAGATGAGGCATAATGATATCCATAAGAATTAGATCGTACTTCGAGCCTTCCTGGATCTTGTTCACAGCTTCGAGACCATTGAACTAGATGTGGTGTGAGCGATAATATTCGTTGGACGGTGGAGTGGGGAACATACTGCTGTGTCAATCACGCAGTTGAAAGAATAAAGAAATTTCCCACCGATCTGTCGGCAGGTGGCATCGTCCTCCACCAAGAGAATTTGAGGGCTGCGCATCCAGCCTGGATCGACATTGGTGCTCTTTTTCCGGTTGTCAGGGTACTGTCGGCGGGCTTCGGCCGACTCGATCTCTGTCTTGGGTGGCATCGCGTATGGCACATTGTTGACATGCTCGCTGTACATGGGGTCAATCCCATTCGTGGCGCCCACGGGGTAGACCACCGGCTCTATCTCTCCGCTCATCTTGGGATAGACGAGAGCCGGGTTGGGTGCCGCAGAGGTGGACGTGCGAACGCTACCATTCCGCGTACCGGCATCCATCGAAGGTGTCGAGACCACTGCCGGGGCGCCAGCCTTTTGAGGGTCATTCATCGCTTCCAACCCGGTCAGGTTGAATTGGATTTCCGCGTTCATGTCACTCAGCAGCTTGGACGCCTGCTGCAGTGGCGATGATGGCTCGTCGCCGTTCATGGACGAACCGCCCTGCCCCTGGAACGACACGGAGGCTTTACTGTCCCGTCGCTGGCGCGCGTCCACCGACAGCAAGTAGTTCATCACCTGGTGGATGACACTCTCATGGTTCACGACCGTCTTTTGCACACGCAACACCTCCTGCATCATGAGCTGATGGTCCACGGAGAGTTGTGCAAAGCGGTCGGAAATGTGCTGGATCTGCTGCTGTTGCGCAACGATCTGCTGGTTGAGCAGATCGATCTGTTGAGTGGGTACTGATTCTTCGGTGCTTGCGGCCGGCTTGCGCGGCGCAGGGGCTTTGCGACGGATATTATCAAGGGAATCCTTGCTGTTAGCCCGGAACTCCGGGTGCTTGAATTCCCATGCCTGGGTATCGAGGGTCAGTCGAGTTCTTTTGTCTCGAGATGGCGAACCTACATTCTGCCCGTATGGCGACTGGCCACTCTCCTCGTTATTCTGTCGGACTTTGTGAAAATCGTACTTGTTGAGCTGGCGCACAAAACTGGCAAAGTTGCTGTGCTTGAAATGTTTGGGCAGGATGGTCTTGGTGAATTTCTCACACTAAACACCGCGAAGTCAGTCGAGTGCGACCGGGGATTTTCGTGGCTTTTCTGCCTTACCTCCAAGACGACGAAGCTGTCCCCTTCATCTCCCCAGCGCACGATCGAGGAGTACGAGGGGTCCTCCAGCATTCTGAGGTGGTCAGTATTTGGTGGACTCGGTGTGGGTTCGAGGGGTTCATGGCTAGTGTTGAGAGAGGGGGAGGGGAGGCAACGGCAGAGAGCGAGCGAACACTCACTTGTAGAGTTTGCGAACCTATTCCCAGACATGATTAGCATTGATTTCCGCGTAGCTCTAAGCTTGGGACTCACAAAATCGCTGGAGTTGCCCGCGGGGGCGGGATTCGCAGAGGTCTGGCCAGCGTCCATGCTGGGCTAGACGGGTCGCGACCGGTCGAACTGGGCTGCTAGGCTGAACGACCCCCGAACGGGGAATTTAACGGACGGCGAAAAAGAGCAAGAAATAAATAATGGACGTCCTCACGGGATGAAAAGGCTCGACAGGACGAACAGAAGGGGCCAAAAGGGAAAGGAGGAAGGGAAAGCGCAGGAATGAAGAATAACCGACTTGACGAACGGGGGTTCAGAGACTGTGGCTCGCGGTGGGCGGTCGAGCCAAGGACACTCGGTACATACCGTAAGGCCGTATGTCATTTACCAAGTCGGCCAATGGGGAATATGGTTCTTCGCTCTTATTATTTCGATCGAATAATAATTGAATAATCAAATGACGAGTGACGAAGTATTGTATTCCCGGGGATATCGAATGACATGGCGAATCCTTATCCACCGCTGCAGCGGCTCCTCGTGCAGCGCCGTTGTGCTGTCAGTGCGCCGAGATGGAGGGTGAGATTGGAACTAGGATGATGGCCCGAGGGTCCAACAGCAAAAAGAGACCAGGAGGAGTAAATCATGATGGGTCACGATCCAGTCTACGCCCGGGCTGATTGAGGCCGATTGCTAGGATAGTAATATGTATCTATAATCAACCCTACCGGTTATGACGAAATTATCCACCGCGCCCTTCCCTCTCCCACTGCTCTCTCACTCACTCTCCAATCACCACCACCACCTTTCCCTCTCCCATCGACTCAATTGCTGCCCACAATGTTTGCCGCCCGTCGACTCGCCACCCACGTTCCACGCGTCCGCCCCCAGGCCGCGCTCTTCCACAACACCGCGCCTGCCTTCGTGCAAAAGGGCGACACCATCCCCAACCTAGACGTGCTGGTCGAGGACTCCCCCGGCAACAAGGTCAATTTGGCCCAGGAGATCAAGGGCAAGGGCGTCATCATTGGTACCCCCGCTGCCTTCAGTACGTGACACTCCCACCCGACCTCAAAGAAAGCTCCGTCTGTCCAGTGTTGACATTCTTCGTGTTCCTGTCTAGGCCCTGCATGCTCCAGCACCCACGTTCCCGGCTACATCAACCACCCCAAGCTCAAGGAGGCTGGCCAGGTCTTTGTCATCTCCGTCAATGACCCCTTCGTGTAAGCGACACTCGACGGAAAACAGTTGTTGGATATTCGTTGACCGGGCCACTTTCCCAACAGGACTAAGGCATGGGCCGATTCCCTCGACCCGTCGGGCAAGAGCGGTGTATGTACAGATACTTCTATCTGTTTGGATCCAGCGCTGACAATTGCTGCAGGTGCGCTTCCTGGGTGACCCGACCGGCAAGTTCACCGAAGCTCTGGACCTGAGCTTCGACAGCACCTCTATCTTCGGCAACAACCGCAGCAAGCGGTACGCACTGCTGGTGGAAAACGGCAAAGTCAAGGAAGCTTTCGTGGAGCCTGATAACACCGGCGTGAATGGTATGGGTTTTCCTGTGTACTTCCAGAGTTGTTATACTGACGGACTCTCGAATAGTCTCGACTGCCGAGAAGGTGCTCGGTTAAGCCGTGTATTTTGATATCTACTGTACGCATACATAGCATAACCTGAGAAAGAAAATCTATTTCTGTTTGGGTCCGCACGCGGGCCCCAGACGATGACTTGCAATGTACAATGATCCCACCTAGTTCCAACCCAGTCAACGCCAGATCCCATTCCATTATTTTATGGCAACATTTCCCCACATATTCTTGGTCCCTTCCTTCGGGTATCTTTTAATCCTGCCAAGAAGACAGACCTGACTACTGCAGCGCCTGCCACTGCTCCGGAGTGTAGCACTTGGGCGTCCAAGCATGGATAGCAGCGATCTCCGCCTTCAGCACGGAGTTGACCAGCCGGTGGCGCGCGAGCATGTTCTTACTCTCGAACTGGGGGGAGACAATGACGGCCTGGAAGGCCTGTCCGCAACCACCTGTAGCAACCAGAAAATCAGCGTCTCTTTCTCTAGGAAAAGCCAGGAATGATGGTTTCCATACCCGACAAATCCTCAATCTCAACATGCTGTGCCTGCAGCTGCTCCATCAACTTGCTCTTCAGAGATTCGGGCGTGATCCCAGATGTGTCCGCCATGGCTGCGTTGATGGCGGCGGAGGAGCGTGCGGTGACGGAGAAGGATGATGCCCGGGGTAGGGACGGGTGCGGGGTGAGAAGATAGCGGCAGCCTCTGCTCAGGACAGTCAAGGGGCGGACGGCGCGGGAGAACATGAAGGAATTGAGAGGCCGGGAAAGGGAATGGAGGAGTGGGCAGAGTTGTTTGCTGTCGACTGCTGTACTCGGCCGGATTACAAATTCGGGATGGTCACGTGGTATCTGGAAAGGGAATTTTCGTCGTATTCGGGTCTTGTCGTTCAACGGCAGAGTTATATAGTTGGATGACGGGAACGAATACGGTAATAATATCCCTTTGTGATGGAAAAGCACACAGGAGCGCCATGTAGGGCACGGCGGACACACACTAAGTCACGGCTAGGATGTACGAACTGCAAGAAACGGCGAATTAAAGTGAGCATCTGTTCCCTTTATATACTTTCCGTTATTCTAGCATATAACTAATTCTATGCAGTGCGATGAACAGAAGCCAGCATGCACCAACTGCAGAAATCACGATATCGACTGCACCTTCTCAGCAGCTGACACAAGATCCACTGATGGCACACCACCACCAAGAAACTACCGCTTTCGATCCTATGACTTCACGTTCGACAACAAACGCAAACACAAAGCAAAAGCATCTTCCACAACAGATCAACACCGAGACTCCCCCACAGAGACACAACCACAACCACCCGGCGCAATATCCTACCCCGATCTACAACTTTTCCACAACTTCGTGATCGAAACCTACCGCACTCTGGCGGATACCCCCGAAGCGGAAAATGTATGGCAGAGGCATATTGTCCAATGGGGCATTGCCTTCCCCTCTATCTTACATCTGATACTGGCCATATCAGCACTGCATCTGGGCCATGAAAACCCCGCTCTCCGAGACCAGTACGTCCAGCAAGCAGGCGATCATTTCACCTTTGGTGTCCGCTCGGTCACTTCTATATTAAACCAGCTAAACGAAGACAACTGTCAAAAGGTCTACATCTCAGCTGTGTTGATCTGTTTCATCTATTTCGCACGAAGACCTCATGCCGGCGAATACCTGATTTTCAGTGATGATGGCCCTGGCGAATGGCAGGCTCTTATGCATGGAGTGAAGCTCATTGTACAGTCTTATCGGGAAAAGGTGTTTAGTGGGGTCCTGAAGCCTGAGTCTGGGCTTGAAGACGGCACCATCGATTCCGTCTCCCAGAGTGAAATGAACGAGTATACTGTGCATGTCGACGCAGTCCAGAGCCTGGTAGAGAAAGAGATTGCTGAAAGTGACCGCGGAATTTACGACGCAGGGATTCAAGACTTGTTGTCAGTGATGAGGGCGGTTTATATGAAGCGATCATCACAGATTCGAGCCACGGGCTTCATGCAGGTGCTTATTGGATGGCTGTATCGACTCCCTGAGGAGATGGTGAGTCTGCTGGAGCAGAAGGAGCCGGTTGCGCTTATTATCCTTGCTCATTGGGGGATGCTACTGAAGTATATGAGGTCGGTCTGGTTTATGGAGGGCTGGGATGGACATATAGTGTCTGGTGTTCGCTCTGCATTGCCTGCAAACTTGCAGCACTGGATTGAGTGGCTAGAGAAGAAGGTGGAAAAGGAAGAATGAACCTTTACGTAGCTCGACCAATCCACCAAAGTCCTATTAACCTGAAAGAGTCCAACTACCCGGAAGAATGGGATGATCCGCCACATACTATTTATCGCGCCACTGCTCGCGCGGAGGCTGTTAGACAGCGCTTGCAAGACATATCGAAAACCTATAGCTATATTGTTCTTATTACACATCGAGAGTTTATTGCGTTTCTTGTCAAGGGAAGCGGTTTCACATTTGTGAAACACGCTCGTACCGATTTGGTGTGAGTGAGGAGGCAGAGATGGAGTCGTCTAGAATGGATGGTAACGGCGACACAAAGGTACAGCAGCACTTCGGTCCGATGACTCTTGTACCGTGCGATGTTCATACAAAGCCTGTGGAGTGAGTTGATGCATAGGACTGAATCTGCGGGAGTAACCCCTTGGTACGTTGGACTGGATTTAGACGTTCTATATCCGAGTCGACAAGGTTGTCCCCGATCGAGCGATCTGCTATCAACGCAGGATCGATGGTTTCTTCAGGCCATAGTCTCTCTATTATTGGAATATGAATATCTGGTAAATATAACTGTCAATATAGCCATCAATAGCCGTAAAAATGGACGTTGCCTAAGAATATAGTGGATACTCTTTCCTTCGCCCCACTAGTATTCGTATAGAAATTTCCTAAAGCGGCAATTGACGATCCATCGGCATTTGCATCAAATCGGGGTTTTTCCAGAATATAAAAAGGATAGGGACAGAAAGTCTTTCGTATCTTTCTCAAAACAATTCTCTTTACCACATATCAACATGGATATCGTCTACCACAACGGCACGAACGGATCAAGTCCTTATGTGGACTTTTACCCTTATACACCCTCCGCAACAGCGGGATACGCTTTCACGGGGTTATTCGGCGTACTTACTGTCGTCCACTTTGTGACAATGTTTCCATTTCGCGCTGCCTATTTTATTCCCCTGATCCTAGGTGGTGTTTGTAAGCTTGGACTTCTCTTTCCTTCATAGCTACCTGAATCCGAAACTAATAGCCTCACCCTCTACCAGGCGAGACATTTGGCTACTACGGTCGAGCATGGTCCCATCAGTCCCGAACCGAGATCAAATCATGGGCTTTACAAGAGATTCTAATTCTGTGTGCACCCCCGATGATCGCAGCCACCGTCTACATGACTCTAGGGCGGATGATCCGTTCGTTCGACGCAGAGCATCTATCGAGCATGCGGACCAAATACCTCACACTTGTGTTCGTGCTCAATGACATCCTCTGTTTCTGTACACAGATCGGCGGTGCAGGCGTACAAGTCACTGGGAATGTGAAGGTCATGGATATTGGCAAGAAAGTCGTGCTAGCGGGATTGATTTTCTCGCTGGTTATCTTCGCCTTGTTCATATGGATTTCTTTCAAGTTCCAGAGAAGGCTGCAAAATCAACCCACACCCGTCGTGGCCCAGAATCCGGAGCTCAAATGGCGCAGATATATGGTGGCGCTGTATATCGCGTGCTTTGCGTTGATGCTGCGCAACCTCGTACGAACTATTCAGTTTGCTTCTCCACGCACTTCGGCTATCAATATCAAGGAGGCATTTATTTATGTGTTTGATGCGTTCTTGATGTTTTTGACTTTGCTGGTTTTGCTTTTTTATCATCCGGGATTGCTCATCAAGAGAACGCGTCGGCTTGCTAAAGTGGACCAGAGCTATGGACTTCTTACTTCTGGTACCTATTAGACACATGCTTGTTGGACAGGCATGAAACTAGAAGAACGTGATTGATTACAGAGAGGCGATTGAGCAAATATATCAATTCAAACTATCTGCTTGTCCCTGTAAGGCCTAAGACAAAAGTATAATCGAATAAACCAAAAGTCAGTCCACCGAAAAAGGCAAGAATTATAGTACTGAAGCAAAGAGCTGACTGAGATTTGCTGGAGACACTCGAAACCGTGACAGCTTATGTTGTGGTGGATGCCGTGCAATGTCGTGCCTAATGAGATGGTCAGCTTGTTTGACGTACAAGATAAACTCCAAAGATAAAACGTACATTTTATTCGGCAGAAGCCGCAGCAGCGTCGGCAGCATCGAAACGCTTATAGGGAGGGTCGCAGACCGGATCACCGGGCTTGAAATTCCATTTGGGCATGCACGGTGTCGGGGCAGCAGTGGCCACCGTCAAGAAGACAGCGCAGACAGCAAGGATATTATAAAAAGACACCATTTTAGATCGAAATTTGGCTTTGAATCTGATATTTGAATCTGGTGTTTCTTATGACAACTCTATCTCTTTATTTATATTTGCCAAACGAACCTGGCATCCTCGTATCAGGCGATATGTTTATTGAGGTACGTTTCGAGCTTCAAATAACCCTCCGGCCATCCCTCTGATCATCATGAGATAATATTGTTGATTGGATAAAAAGATGTGAGGCTTTCGCCACGCCTTGTTTGAACAAAGAACGCCGCCGCGTGGGAGCCCTAACAAACTGGGGAGTTCCCTAAGCTTCCCATGGACCCACTACTGAAAACAGGACTGAATAGAAAATGATTGAATTCCAATTTCCACTAAGCTAATATCATCTCGGCACATTGGCAGAAATACCATGCGCGAAATTGATTTATGTAGCGTTAAATACACCTCAATTGATCCCCTGGCTAAAGTCATAGGCGTTGCCAAATGCGCTATTCAGATACTGATCCTTGATAGCGGTTTTTGATGCCCATTCCACGGGGATTTCCAAGGACCGCTCATTTTTGATGATGCCCTCTAGATCATCTGCGAGTTGCAATTTCATTTGATTTCGATACCACGGCGCGAAATGAACTGTTGAAAGCCATCAAAATTATATTCAACTCCAACTTCTTGTTGCAGGTTAAACTTACTCATTGCTAGCATAACTCGAACTGTATCCGTTTGATTGCCAACTCCAGCGTGCCAGAGTCGCAGATCACGGATGATGATAGAACCCTTCGGTACAACTGGCTGAATAGGGGGACGGATCACCCGGCGCTTTTCTAGCTCTCCAGTCTTGATCCGACCACTTGCCCGCTCGCCGTGTTGACCTTCTTGAATATACAAGTTTGAATCCTTGTGCGTCCCGAGCCAGACCTCAGTCGAGCCATTTTCCGGTGTCATGGTTATGAGAGGGACGTTGACAACATAGGCAAATGGGTGAGTAGGGTGTTCAAAATCTGCGTCTGAGTGCACCGGCTGAGAGGCCGGGGGGTTTTCGGGTGTCGGCGGCATGGCAGTGTTTCCAGAACAAAAGGTCCATTTGGGGCGTGGACCTAATGCGGTCGATGTGATCTGAGTCGCAATGGGATCTAAAGCATAATTAGAATGAAACGTTTAATAGTTATTCCGTATTGACCTACTTAGGAATATTTCAGACTCGAAGTACTCGCGCATCGGAGGAGGGTCTTGCTGGAGATTGTTGGGGTTGTAGTTGAACGGAGCGCTTTCCTTTCGCGCGTAGAGCTTGTAGGCATCTTGTACCATCTTCTCGTTCAATCGGTCGAGCATATCAGGGGGAACGACATCATTCACAAGGACAAGACCATCGCTATGCAGACTCCGCATGGCAACCTCAAGGTTTTGTGGACTTAGACGCCCATTTTGAATTTCGGTCTTTGATGGACTAATCGCAATGGGAGAACTTCTGGCTGTACTATGAAGCCGCATTGTTTTAGCCAGAGCTGGTGTGGCCCGGCATGGTCTCAAGAGTCTTGAAAGCATTGCGATGAAAGATTGGTAAATTGACCAAGTTGGAAATTATAAAAAACGAACCATCGACGGCAGGACTTTTCCTGCATCTTATAGTTATTCCATGCATCTCGTGTACTACTCTTCGCGTTTCGTTCATGCTTTATCTTTCGTTCCTCGCTTTATCTCTGTCCTGATTGGAGAATCCGGTCACCGTCTGATGTCACACCCCACAATCGCCGCTCAAATGCGAACTCAGCCTTTTTATATACCGAGAGGCTTACAGGAAAAGCGAGTTACAATGCCTCGCAAGTTTCTAAAGAACCGTTAGTGCCATTCTATTCGCTTGATTTTGTGATTTCCCTAATTAGCTCTAGGTTGGTCAGTTTCGAAGCAATCTACCTACTGGTACGATCAGACTAACAGGCAAAAGCCAAGAATGTCGAAGACGGCGTGTGCGATGTAAGTCTACTGAAAACTTAAATGATATCTAAAAAAAATGTGACCATAAGTGAAGGCGATGGAGAGCGGCCTTCATGCTCACCTTGTCAGAAAGGTAGCCGCAGATGCGAGTGGCCTTACTCTACAGCTCCTGCCTCGTCACAGAATGGCCTAACACTTCCACTACAAACCCCATTTGTTTCAACAGAGAGCCCAGAAATAGCACTGCAGGATATCGAGGTATTCCGCTTATTTCGCCATTACACCACTAGCCTCGCTTCGTGGTACGATCTGAATGACCGCCATCGACACTTTCTGGATGTTGTGCCCGTGAGAGCTCGACAGAGCCCACTCCTCTTGAGTGCCATCTTGGCCTTCTCAGCAGTGAGCTTACATAAATCTGATTGCGCAGAGTATATGGATAAAGCGGAATTTTATCACCTCGAAAGTGTGCGAATTCTACTTGAAATAACAAAGAATATCCAGACTGTCGTCTCGAACGGCGAAGTCCTAGCGGCGATTTGTCTGCTGCGCTCGTATGAGATCATATCTCGTAAGTGCCCTTTTATTTCTTTTCCTTTCTCAGAATGCTAATAGAGACTTAGTGAATCTCAGCTCCCAGAGCCACTTGCAGGGCTGTTATTCCATCTTATCCAGCCATCCCATCAAATTGGAATCGGGTTTAGTCCGTGCAGCGTTTTGGAACTACCTCAGAGAAGATATAACAGTTGCCCTGATTGAAAAGCGAAGGCTCATGATCGAACTTTCGGATGAGCACTACCCAAAACTTGAAAACGACGACGACTATGCTAATTACGTGACTGTGCTTCTGGGACAAGTCATCAACCAATGCTTTGGGAATGACGTAGACCCTCTAGAGCTGTCAAGGTGGAATTCACTCGAACAGAACCTTGAGACTTGGAAGAATTGTTTGCCGACTTCATTTGCACCGATTATAGTAAAGCTGCCAAATGAAGTGGGAAGCGCCTTTCCGTTCATAGGAGCCTTGCATCCTTGGCATGGTATGTATACTCCCATATGTTTGGCTTTTCTGACTTGAGATCAGTCGCGGCCTGGCAGTACTATCAAACCGCGATGATAGTTTTGCTCTTAGCAAGGCCACAGCTACAAAACAACACAAAGATGGAAAATATTCGACATCTCTCGGGATTGACTAGAGATCTTGAGAACCGCACATCAGAGATATGTGCGTTAGCTTTGTCAAGTGAATCTCAAGCAGTGTGGATCAACGCCTTTGGACCGATAGCCTTTTGTGGTTGCTGGCTTCGAGACCAGAATCAAGTCTCCGAAGTGGTCCAGGGAGTGCAAGATTGGGGAGTTCAGACCGGATGGCCAGTCAAGAATATTGTACAATCCTTACAAACTGACAAAAGTGTTGCTGACGGCTTTTAACGCATGGGGCGAACTACTGTGTTCTACTACTGTCCATCTATTGATCTATGGAGATGCTACACACAAACTATATACCCTTGTCGTACAATTGTGATGCGCTTTGCGAATTATCGCTGAAGTTCTTCATCAACCACTCATATGCCGCCCACTATATCAAACAATAATCAGTACCAAACTTAGCGAGTAGGAGCGAAAGACCAACCTGGACGGCATTCACGATAAATGCTCTAATACTGCAAACTCCCAGACCGCGATAAAAAGCAGCCACACCTTCCGTGCGGTAAGTTTCCCTAGCAATTTGCATCGTACTCATCGTCCGGCGCTGTGATTGCAGCAGAGCTTGCCCTTCAGCGGCTGTTCCCACGGGTGAGTGGTGGATCGTTTGTGCCTGCAGACGGGTCTTGACCATATCCAAAGGAAACACTGAACCCCAAGTGACAACACCTGCTATTCCTCCACAAAGAAGAACCTTCAAAGCAGCCTGATGTGTGCCATCGTCTTCGGATGTCATGAGCCGCTTGCAAAGTTCGTAAGACCAAAAGCTGTGTTCCGTTAGATGACCGAGGCATTTGATGCATGGATAGGTACGTTGCATACTAAAATCCATAACCAATTGAATCCCTCGCACTAGTAATGCCACCGGCATAGTAAAGCCCCCTCCAGCCACGCGTGCGGTAAATATCCTTGGCGACCTTCCATGAAGATACCTCCGGGCGAGAATCCAGCTGCGCTCGGCACTTGATGAACTCGGTTGGAGACGAGACAGTCCAGCTGGCCAGGCCGCCCGCGGCGCCGGCAATCCATATTTTGTATAATGGGACACCCACTGGATTGGTAGGGTCGGCCACTGAGCTATCCAGAGCAACCAAGGACCTGTTGTATGCCACGAAGAGAAGAGCATTGAGAGCTCCATAGCCAAGGATTGGGGCAGCAGCACCTAGAAACACAGTTAATTACCCTTCAATAATATAAAAGTCATACAAGACGTACCCCGCACCAGAGAGCTGGCTTTCTCAAAACGGCTTAGGTGTGACTGAGAAGATGTGCCATCTACATTGCCGGCCTGCAGTCGGACCTTGATCACATCGAGCGGATTGCCAATGACAATGCCAAGGGCACCGCTGATATATCCCGCCCAGAAATCGGACGACATGTTAGTAATGAGTGAAGAGAGAGACTTCCGTACGTAATTTAAATAGCGGGGATCTCTTCGGTGCCCCTCCAGGCCGGTCGAGAGTCACGTGCCGGCGTGGCACTTTGGTGTTGCCGCCTTCCGCGCCAACACGCGTCTTGACAGTCAACAACTCACCGTTATCATCTTGGAACCACCCCAGTTGGGCTGATCTGTCACGGTCCATGTGAGTTGTTTCCACTTATTAATTTGAATCCCTCTGACCATCTAGGTATCGACCTCGACCAGCCGCGGCCGACGGCGCCGTCCGCGCTCCGTTGCAGCCCAGCAAGTCACTGAACACCCTCGACCGACTTGCAAAGCCCTTCAAGTGCCCCGGTTCGGCGACCTACACTCGAGCGTCAGAGAAGCCTGCCCGGAAAAGGCGCAAGGTAAATTATGCAGGCGCCGACGGAGGCACGGAGGATGATGGAGCGGAGAAGCCATATACGAACGAGGACCGACTGGCTTTGGCAACTCGCGATGTGAATAGATTCCCCGTGTTTAAACCGAAGGATAAGGACGCGGCATTTAGACAGAGATTCTGCATCCCATTGATTAACAAGGCCACGGACGACTACAATGCCGGTCGAGCCGCACCGACACTAGGCATGCGGCAGGGTGCGACTTTCGTGGTCAAGCCGCTTCATGACCCGAGTGGAGAATTTGCGATCGTCCTATATGATCCAACTGTCGATGATGTGCCTTCGCCGTCGCAGGCACAGGGTCCGGAGGCGGCTCCAGAGGAAGATGGCCGACCGAAATTGGATGAACCGTTGATGCACAAGAGCTTGGCAGATATTCTTGGATTGAAGAAGAAGGTGGAAGACCGGCCCAAAGTCCCTGTTGTGATTGATCCACGACTGGCCAAGGTTCTGCGGCCACATCAGATCGAGGGCGTCAAGTTTCTTTACCGATGTACTACAGGGCTGATTGACCCGAACGCACATGGCTGCATCATGGCAGACGGTATGGGTCTCGGTAAAACGGTATGATTTACAACCAAATCAGTTTCGCCAATACTGACTCTAATAGCTTCAATGTATCTCGTTGATGTGGACCCTACTGAAGCAATCGCCGGAGGCTGGGAAAACAACTATCCAAAAATGTGTAATTGCATGTCCGTCCAGTCTGGTTGGGAACTGGGCCAACGAACTTGGTAAGTCGCAGGATATGTCTGCGTGGAGATCTCGCTAACCAGACGCAGTCAAATGGTTAGGAAAGGATGCCACGATTCCCTTTGCAATTGATGGAAAGGCCTCGAAGACAGAGCTCATATCCCAGCTCAAGCAATGGGCGATTGCGTCTGGGCGCAGCATTGTCAGACCGGTGCTCATCGTGTCCTACGAGACGCTGCGCATGTACGCGGACACACTCAAGGATACGCCGATTGGACTGCTTCTATGTGATGAAGGCCACCGACTCAAAAATAAGGAGAGTTTGACATGGACTGCTTTGAACAGCTTGAATGTCAGTCGCCGGGTCATTTTATCTGGAACGCCAATCCAAAACGATCTCTCGGAGTATTTTGCTCTGCTTAACTTTGCCAATCCGGATCTGCTGGGGTCTCAGAACGAGTTCCGTAAAAAGTTCGAACTGCCCATTCTTCGGGGACGGGACGCCGCAGGGACCGAAGAGGATCGGAAAAAGGGCGACGAACGTTTGCTTGAACTCTCTGGTATTGTTAACAAGTTCATCATCCGCCGCACGAACGAGCTCCTATCAAAATACTTGCCAGTCAAATATGAGCATGTCGTGTTTTGCAACATGTCCAAGTTCCAGCTCGATCTATACAACCATTTCATCAGGAGCCCGGACATCAAGAGTCTGCTGCGAGGAAAAGGCAGTCAGCCTCTGAAAGCCATTGGCATTCTGAAGAAGCTCTGCAATCATCCCGATCTTCTCAATCTGACAACTGACCTTCCGGGATGTGAGGACGCATACCCAGAGGACTACGCGCCTCCCGACACTCGGGGACGTGACCGAGACGTCAAGAGCTGGTACTCCGGAAAGATGATGGTGCTTGATCGCATGCTAGCACGTATCCGTCAAGATACCAACGACAAGATCGTGCTCATCAGCAACTATACACAAACCCTGGATCTATTCGAGAAACTCTGCCGGTCGCGCGCATATGGCTGCTTGCGACTCGATGGCACCATGAACGTCAAGAAACGGACGAAGCTGGTGGATAAATTCAACGACCCAGACGGCCCCGAGTTTGTCTTTCTTTTGAGCAGTAAGGCCGGTGGATGCGGTCTGAACCTGATCGGCGCCAATCGTCTGGTACTCTTCGATCCCGACTGGAACCCGGCAGCCGACCAGCAAGCACTGGCTCGAGTTTGGCGGGACGGACAAAAGAAGGACTGCTTCGTCTACCGGTTCATCGCGACGGGTTCGATCGAGGAGAAGATCTTCCAGCGCCAGTCACACAAGCAATCACTTTCTTCATGCGTTGTTGACTCGGCAGAAGATGTTGAGCGCCATTTCTCTCTTGAATCCCTGCGGGAACTGTTCCAGTTCAAGCCCGAGACTTGCAGCGACACTCACGATACGTTCAAGTGCAAGCGGTGCAAGCCGGACGGGACCCAATTCATCAAGGCCCCGGCCATGCTGTACGGGGATACTAGCTCTTGGAACCATTTTGTCAACGACGGCGAGAAGGGGCCACTGGGCAAGATCCAGGATCTGCTGCTGCGGCAGGAGGTGAACGAGAGGGATGTCTCGGCCGTATTCCAGTACATCAGCCATTAGCTACATATGACAACTGATAACTATATGTACCTAGACACAGTGCCTGCAATCATATGCATAATAATTACATGCTTCCTGGACTCCACTCGGAAAAAGGGAATACCGTTGGTAACTTGACTTCTATACATTAGCTACTTTATGGGGGCGCACTAGTAGACCAGAGTTCTCTGTTTCTAACTAGTTCTATTGTATTCGTCTGGGCCAACAGATGCATTGAACATGATCTCTCTAAAGTGTGGCCTAAACGAGCAATGCATAATAGCCTTTCGGTAGTCGGTAGCTCTGCCGAGAGCCGCCGAGAGTTTCTGGTTTGCCGATTCTATCCCCAAAACTCGCTAACAATGAAGGAAGCGGGGATCATGAGCGATGTATTTTGTGTCGAACAGAGAATTCCCTGGGACTTCCATGGAGAGATTGTGTTGGTTCTAGTTCTCTATTTATCCACGTCACTCTGCTTACAGATATTATCAGTTCAGTGTACTCCATCATCTAAACCTAGCATTGCAACAAAATCTTCAAGATGCTTCGCTCAATGCTATTCCAGTTGACGCTCTGTCTACTACCAATTGTTACCGTCAAAGCCACTGCAAATGCCGTGGCCAGAAAACCTAACATCCTCTTCATCCTTACCGATGACCAGGACTGGCATATGGAGTCGTTGGTAGGTCTTTGAGAGATGAGTGGCCATGAGGATTCAGCTAATGAGCAATTCAAGCAAAACATGCCCCTTCTTCAGAAGTATCTTATGAATGAAGGAACGCTGTATGCTAATCACCATTGCACTGTCGCCATCTGCTGTCCTTCGCGTGTAAATTTGTGGACCGGTCGTGCAGCGCACAATACCAATGTGACTGACCTTTTCCCGCCTTACGGTAAGCCAAGGAACTTGTTGCCTATTTCCCAAGAAGTGTTTTCTTGCGCAAAACCCTAACCCGACAATTTCAGGTGGTTATCCCAAGGTGGTTCGGGAAGGGATCAACGAGAACTATCTTCCAGTATGGATGCAACAGGCCGGATATAACACGTACTACTCAGGAAAGCTATGGAATGCTCACAACGTGGATAACTACGATAAGCCATACGTTGGAGGCTTCACGGGTAGCGACTTCCTGGTGGACCCTTACACTTACGAGTACTACAACAGCAGCATGGTTCGGAATGGTGCAGCCCCAGTTAGCTATGAAGGACATTATTCCCCGGATATTGTTGCTCAGAAAGCCTACGACTTTCTCGATGAGGCTACCATGCACAAAGAGCCATGGTTTCTAACCGTCGCTCCTGTTGCTCCTCATTCTAACTGCCACTACAAAGCCTCGGGCGAATTAGAAGTAGATCCTCCCAAATATGCTGAGCGCCATGCTCATCTCTTCAATGATTATATCATCCCGAGAACTGACAACTTCAACCCGGAGAAGGTATGGCGCTGATTTATTCTGAGTGAAGTGATATGTGCTGATAAGTTCACGACGAAGCATAATGGCGTTTCCTGGATGAAGGATCTTCCTCTGTTGAATAGTACTGTCATTGGTTACAATGACGAGTTTCAACGCTCTCGTCTACGAGCACTTCAATCAGTCGATGAAATGATTGCAACATTAATACAGAAGCTAAGCGACAAAGGAGAGCTTGACAACACATATATCTTCTACACAACTGATAACGGCTACCATATTTCTCAACACCGTAAGTAGAATGTGCACCAAGGGCTTCTCATGCTTCTAAACTAATTTTACAGGGCTTCATCCGGGAAAGGAGGGCGGCTATGACACGGACATCCACATACCTCTCATTGTTCGAGGACCAGGGGTAGCAGCAGGCCGGGTCGCAGAACCGATGACTTCCCACACGGACCTAGCGCCAACCATTCTAGGGCTTGCCGGGACGACACGAGATGACTTCGATGGACTTGCCATCCCATTAAGCTCAGAAGAAACGGGCTCGTTGGATAACACTCGGTTTGAACATGTCAATATCGAATTCTGGGGCAAAGCTCTTCCGGAAGGGCGATGGGGCAAGTATGGCGATGTTCCGGACGCGAATCTCGGCATCTCAAACGCCGCTACGAATAACACCTACAAGGGTCTTCGCATCGTGAGTCCTGAATACAATCTTTACTACTCTGTGTGGTGTACCGGTGAGAAGGAATACTACGACGTCAAAGTGAGCATTGGCTCAAAAGAAAAACTTCCAAGCTGACTATCCCCAGCTTGATCCCGGACAACTTGACAATTACTTTCTTGATGCGTCGCTTCTGTCAGACTATTCAATCTCGGGCCGTCCATTTGACCAGATTGTCGCCCGTTTGGACACTCTAATGATGGTTCTGAAATCATGCAAGACGCACGAATGCACGGATCCATGGAGTGTCTTGCATCCAGCTGGTAATGTCAAGACTCTTAAGGCCGCTCTGGAAGAGTCTTACGATGCCTTCTATGAGGAGCAACCCAAGGTGGAGTACAACTCTTGCCAACTCGGCTACATCAAAGAAGAAGAAGGCCCCCAGCAGGCAAATATCTTCGAAGGTCCTCACTTGGATCACGACGGACACCGGCAGACGTTCCGCTACCAAGGGTCTTGGAGCGTTTGGACCTGAACAGTGAGCTAGATCTGCGAATTCCTAGTCGAAAAGAGTCAACCTATCTGTCAATATGCAAAAGTCGACCAAGAGATATTGTCTTTTCTACCTAAATCACATCCAGAGGAATTCTCATAGTCAGATTGAATCTTTAGAGCAAAGTCCATGTAACTCCTTTTTCTTATTCTGTTTCTTTTCTTCACTGCCCTCTTTCTCGCTTCGATAGGCCAACCACGTTCACCCTCCTTTCCCGCTTCCTGTTTAATTCCCTTGTTGATCAACTAGATTATCAAAGTTGCCTAGGCATTATCGGTTACTCGGAAGTTGGCCTAACCTCATACATACCCACTATGGCGCTTTCTATAGATCCACCTCTCCCGCTCCAACATCTTGTGTTTCCGTTTACCCCGCACGTCGGAGCCATCCGAACGCCGCCTAGATCAACGACTCTGTCTCTTGGATGAATCTTTTGACTGGTTAAGTCACTGTCTCTGCATTTAGCTATACAGCATCCCCAAATGGAGCGTATACGCGCTCCAAGGCGACCACTTCGGTCAAGGGCCCGAGTCGTTTGTGAAGCATGCCATTCTCGCAAGGTACGAGTCTGAAACCAAATGAGGGTCTGTACAGCGATGAACATTATTTTCTAGGTCAAGTGTGACCTACAGCAACAGTATGGAGGTACTTGCACCAACTGCCAGCGGCTGGAACAGTCATGTCGGTGAGAACTAGATATCTATTACGACAAATCAATCAAACATTCTGACTGTGATAAACGCAAAACAGTCTTCGGTCTTCAGGACGTCAATTAGTTACAAGAGGCCCCTCCTATGTTTCAGCTAGGCCGCAGTCGTTCTCCCATTGTCGCCATTGGAATCAAGTGTCGGAGGAGTCAAGTGCTCTCCAAGGAAACTCGCCAGCGGAAGTCGAGGATCAACCAAACATCAATGGTGACACCCAGACAAACCTAGCTTATTTAAAAGAGTCTATCGTCCCCTGTGAAACGCCTTCAGTGCCAATTCCACTTTACCAGAGCACAGTGGCGAGAGACATCCAGGCTGAATACCTGAAGCTGAGTGGAGCTTTAGTCTTGCCACCAAAGCTCATGCGAGAAGCGCTGAAGGACAATTACTTTAAGTATATGTATCATCGCTGCCCATTTGTTGAACCTGACCACCTACAAAATCCGTCCGTACTTCTGGCCCAAGCCGTCTCTCTCGCGGGTTCTTCCATGCGGCAGATGAGCCCTGAATACGCATCGTGTTGCGAGCATCTCTATATCAAGGTCAAGACGTTACTTATGACAAATTACGAAAAGGATCTACGGGTCGTCTTACAATCACTATGTCTGATAGCCTGTTGGAATCTGACACCCATGCAAGTGGTCGGCTTGGAAACTGCTTACCATTGGCTCCACACCGCGATCAGGCTTGTATTTCAAGCCGGTCTGCATCGCGAGCAGACCTATGCTACCATTGGTTCGCCGGGAGTTTTTCGTCGGATAGCCTGGTATGTCTTTGTAAGTATCTTGGGCTCATTGATAGTGGTTCGAAGGATTTTCAGGTCCCTAACCACGTTACTAGACTATGGACAAGATGTATACATCGGTGTTAGGGCTTCCTTGTATGACGATGGCCAATGATTTCCAAATTAGGCAGCTCGCCTCTAGCGACTTTGAGACTTTTGATGAGAAGTCCCAATTCTTTATGCATTTTATCAAACTCAATGGTTACCAGGGAAAAATGGTCGACATATCTCGGCGGGAAGGGGGAGATACTTCGCAGGTACGGCAGCTTCAAGATTGGTTCATTCCATTTCGTTAATTGTTTTCACCTTACGAACGAGGTCCATCTCAACCAAGCCCCAGATGACTACTTTGGCTGACTTCCAGACTAACAAACTGCTTCTATAGGCCGCCTATGCCGTCTTACGCGACATGCAAGAATGGATTCAACAACTTCCTAGGTGTCTTCGTCTTTACCAAAACGATGGTCAAAGGAGATACCAGAGGGAGGTTTACGAACTACATGTTAACTACTTTGTCGTTATTACCATGTTCTTTCATTTGTGTGGCCATTTGGTCCATGCGACAATCACTCATCCTACCGCCCTCGTTGCCTCGTCTTGTATGGCGCGGCTCTACGAAGAGATACTTTGTCGCGAAGACATTGTCTACTTGCTTCCGATACATAATTGGTTCATCTCGGTTGGGTGTTTACCACAAATCCACGCCCTGTCTGGAAGATTCTATGCCGATGCGACCTGCCAGGAAGAATTGGACATTTTACTCAAAGCACTGAAGACCATGGGTATCAAATGGCCTCAAGCGAAGAACCTTCGAAACGCTGTGGACCGACTTGTGAAGAAAAGGGTCAGCCGACCGCAAGTGGCCGAGTCCAGGGAAACAGATCGCCCAGAATACCTGGTCGATGGAGGCAGTGCTCATTTAAATGGGTTTGTACGAGAGCTATTCCCTTTCCCTGAGACCATGTGTCCCAGGATTGCTATGCTTGATTCGGTCGACCCTATACCGAATCTCGAGGAAAATATAGGAGAAAGACCTCCTCTATGGGATGAAGATTATCAGTTCAACTGGGTCCTAGACGCCTCTGGCCTCAACCCCCTCAACGAGAGTTTCGAAAACTTTTCGAATCTGTATCCTACTGGAAATGGCTTAAACTTTTGAATCATACACTCAGTTGGCGAAATCATTGTATCCAAATTCTCATAGATTTACTGATAAACATAATCCGCCCCGCCCAATTCCAAGGAGATACATAGTTCAAAATAAAACGGTTATTTATAAATATCGGAGCATTGTTCGATACAGTTGAAATTGCCTAACAAGTCGTGGCGGAGTCGGACTTTTTCATACATGACTCGGCAGCTGCCAGTGGCTTTCTAAGTTCAGCAAACTTTGGGTGGATTGCTGTCACAGCAGTCTCCACCAAGCACCACTTGACAAAAGGCTTCCACACTGAATACGGAGACTTATAAAGACCAGGTTTTCCATTTTATTTCTGATTTTACTTCACAGGGTGTACGTAAATCCAGCCAGTCCTTCAAGCACGATAGCTCCAGTAGCGGCCTTCTTGTTGAGGGCATGCATTCTCAGCATGAGCACTATTGCGATGGCCATACTGATGGCACTTGCCCTAAATTAGGATAAAAAATATCCGTTAAAAACCGAAAAAGCACTTATAGGGGCCAAGGGGGGCACTTGCACAATAGAAGCTTCGATTCCAGGTCGGTAGGTAGGGGCGTCCTGAGAACGAAATACCAAAGAGCCGATGATGCCACCAGTCCCACCACCCATGATAAGCAGGGCACTGCAGAATGAGCGTTCCCATTTTCCGCGGATATTGTTGGCTTGCCAGGCCAAGGCTGTTGGAACATTTGCGTTGCAGCCTGCAGTAACAAGGATCACACCAAAGTATTGCCCTCCAGGAGATGCAACCCAGCCAAGAAGAGATAGGCCAACAATAGACTGAAGGCAGTTCCAGATGACGATGGGCCCACGGATGTGGTATCTATCGCCAATCCAGGCTGTTAAGTACATCCAGATACCTGCCACGAAATATGGGGGAGTTGACAATCCTTGGGCCGCCGTCACTCCGTACTTTAGTTTGGATTCAAGAATAATGGGCAAGAAAAATGAGATGGAGTAGGCCACGCAGGTCGTCAACCTGTTTATTGTTCAGTCAGCACGGAACAGGTCATTCGGTACAAAAAGAAACATACTCACAGGAAAATCATAGGGTAGGTAAAGACTTTCCAATCTTTAGCAGGACGCAAGAAATCACGAAGGTTAAATTTAATGTCTTCAGTGGCATCCGCTCGGTCATCATCGATGCGGCGAATGACGAATGTCTCCTCTTTCTCGGTCAAAAACATCCAGCATTTGTGAGAACCTAGAGGGTAGTCCACAAGCAATAGCCAACCGATAATGGCAACAACGAAAGTGAGGAGCCCTTCCATTATGAAAATGTATCTCCACCCCGCAAGGCCGCTCAGACCATCCATCTGCATGAAGCCGCAAGCTAGAACTGGTCCGAAGGAGGCTAATAGGCAGCTTATAAAATAGCTGACCGAGAACCGCTTATGCACATCGTAACGGGTATACCAAGTGGATAACAAAAGAATAAGTGCTGCAAACAGACTCGATTCAAGAGCCCCGAGTAAGGCCCGAATAATCAGGAGGTGCCACCATTTATTGGCGAATCCCGCACCCTTTACCAGTCAGTGATAAAGCAGAAACGCGTGTGTGCGTCGTCTTACCACCATCAGTACACCCCAACCCAGGGTGACACCACAGGAGAAATGCCTAGGACTGACATTTCGCACAATGACATTAGTCGGCAGTTGCAGGAGTACAAAAGGTATAAAAAAGATCAACAGCACAAGCGACTATAATATCATCAGTATGCGGCCACGATACGAATAAGACCAACCGTACGTATCTGGTGCCAGTCTCTAGGTCTAGATCCTCCAACATCCTTTGAATCAACAGAAAGTCAATTATACGCTATTATAAATAGAATGCAGGTAAAGGGTGCATACCCAGCAATAGCAGTTGAGCCAAGATTTGTTCTGTCCATGAGACACATGCCCATGAGAAGCCCTAAGCCAGTCACAAGTCTGCGGTCGATTTTACGAATGATCTTCTTCTGTTCCTCCTCCGTGAATTCGTCATTTTTGAACTCGACATGGACCGTATCTCCTTGTTCATCAAGGGCGCCATCAATCTTCTCGATGAGTTCTACGACATTCTCCGATTCAATGTCTTCAGTGGTCATGTTGCTCACTCACTCGAAGAAACAGAAAGGATGAAGGTACGAGAGAAGGATCTGTTCAAGAACCCTTCCTTCAAAGAGTTAAGAAGTAGAATTTCGTGGAAGGCGAGAGCGGTAGTGCGATTTGGGCAGCTGTTTAACTTCAAGAGTGTTGATCACTAGAAGTGTTCGGCTATAATTGTTGTCCGTATGTGCAATGAAGACGCCTAGTCACTCCTGGGTCTGCGTGTTTGAACTTCGTTTTTCAACAGGAGACGGAAGGGATGGAGGATACCTGCCCCGAGGAGTCCATGCAGTCTATAAAAATATCGTCGATCCCAGGAACGGGGAGTGGGGTAGTTCCCCAGATGATCTGGAGAAGCTGCCCCCAATATTCACATGACACGTATAGCGGGGCCATCGAATGGTCTAAGACTCTGTATGAACTGAGGAGTAGAGTTGAGGCTTGCCAAGCAGCTCATAGGCTTTCGGTAAGACCTGCCGACTACCGAGAACTAAATTGGACAATGATCAACTTTGGACTTATTCTACGCCGAGAAATTGGTCGGATTGGTTCTTGATATGCGGAGAAGGACATCATCATATTGGTCCTGTTGACTGAAGGGCTGTTGCCGTGGAGAAGCGCTGGTTCAGGGATATATGAGGATTCCCTGGCATAGCATAAATGTCTGGGCTTCATTACGTTGAGCTGAGAAAAACCAGAAACAACCAAGTTATCTTACTAACTTTCACTCAAGGTTCAGCCCAGATCAGTAACTATGAGTAAAGATACTGTTGAGCACCCTTCAATGGCCGATGCAACCTATTCTATCGCGGACGAAGTGACTCCCCTACTTCAATCTTCCTCAGAACAGGAAGTTTATTCAGTAAGATCCTAGAGTTTAATGCACAATTTGTTACTCAAAGGTCTGGCAGGGACTTTGTGATATCGATGAAGTAGACGAGGAAAACCAGCCCAATGAGAATGGGAGCAGGCACAAAGAGGTCAATCGGAAGTCTCTTAACACTTTGATTGCTATCCTACTTATCGGTAAGCCATATCGTGAAGCAGTTGCCAATATGCTAAAATGTTTTTATTTGCTTGTTTCAGGTGTCTTCGTCTCTCAAGCCGACGGAAGTATTGTGCTTGCTACTTATGGACAGATATCCTCGGATTTCAATGACCTCCAATCCGGTAGCTGGCTTATGACAAGCTACATGTTGGCACAGTGTGTTGCACAGCCATTGGTTAGTCGTAAAATTTCTGTTTAACCCCAAAATCATAGAACTCACAAGGTACTAGTATGGAAAGCTGAGTGACATCTTCGGACGGAAACGTTGCCTCCAGGCCTCATACATAATATTTGCAATTGGGACAGTGGGATCAGGTCTGGGACAAAACATGTCTCAGATCATCACAGCTCGGGCTATCCAGGGCTGTGGCGGTGCAGGAATGGTTTGTATGGTGGCCATACTTTTGACTGATCTTGTCCCTGTTCATGAATTGGCGGTGTACCGCTCCTACGTCAACGTCATACAGACTGTAGGTCGGAGCTGTGGGGGCGCATTTGGCGGCTTTCTTGCTCAAACAATTGGTTGGAGATGGTGCGTTAATACTGGCTTGCTGCTTCTCCCAACTAACATCACTTGTAGGGCCTTCTCGGGCCAAGGCCCACTATTACTTGTTGCGTTTTGGCTTGTCGAGAGGTGGCTTCCCAATACCAGAAAGGGATCATCCGACACCCGCAGTACATGGGAGAAATTCAGGCGCATCGACATTGGAGGAGCAATTTCGCTGAGTCTGAACATCGCCTTTGCCTTACTTATCCTCGATATGGGTGGGCAGAAAGTCCCCTGGACTCATCCTCTCATAATCTCCGCGGCTGCAATAGCCCTCGCAAGTGGCATTGTCTTCGTTCTAATCGAGAATTATTGGGCGCAGGAGCCAGTATTTCCTCTCACGTTGATGACGAAATATTCGGTTGTCAATTGCTACACATTAATTGGCTTGCAAAATTTGACACAGACAGCGGTATGAGCTCGACTAGACGGACAAAATAAAGTGGCTAATATTATTCGTAGCTTATGTTCACAGTGCCGTTGTATTGGCAAGTGACAAAGAAAGCAAGTCCAGGAATTGCAGGTCTGTATCTTATTCCCGCGATCGTGGGCAATACACTGGGTGGCCTTCTTACAGGCAGATGGATCATGAAGTCAGTCAACCCCGAATTTCGTTAGAGAGACACCCTAATATTTTCATACTTATATTCAGGCATCGTCGTTACAAGCTGCCTATTGTGCTGGCATCAGTGAACTCAATGCTTGCTTTTGTGTCGCTAATCATCTACTGGCGTGGAGATACGAATCCGCTGCAAAGTTCACTCATCTTTTCTGGTGGATTTGGCACAGGCATTGCTCACTCCGCAGTATTCGTGTCACTTGCGAATGACATGGATGACGAGGATATCGCCATTGCAAGTTCGGGTTTTTATCTTAGCGGGAACATTGGAGGAGTTTTAGGTGTCAGTGCTGCAAGTGCCGTCCAGCAGGTAATACTGCGGCGTAGATTGCTCAGTATCCTCAAAAACCATACCAACAAGCAACATGTGAGTATGTAATTGGTAATCTTCACAGAATGACTGACAAAAGTATAGATCGTACAGAAGGCTTTGGAGGATATCCGATTCGTTCAAAATGTCAGCGAAAAGTTACGAAGACTGATGTTGCCTGCATATATTTCAAGCTTTCAGGCAGTTTTCTGTACGTATCTCACGACTTCTAAATAAGAGATCCAATGCTAACATAAATGAACAAGATTTGGGTCTCGCATGTGCTGGAGTGGCCCTAGTTGCAGCTCTGGTTGTCCGTGAGAAAAGACTCTCTGAGAGATAAAAACGGATCAAAAAAATTGCCGCAGAAACTTGTATCCTGGAAATTACCGAGGGTTAGTGCGGAAGTGGAAGAGTATAATTTCTGAAAGATGGAGAAGCTATTGTTCATTTTCCTTTGCGTTAGTTTAAAGGATATACATTATCAAATTGAGTCTACTGCTTGATTCGCTTGTGAGCTGTGAGTATGGAACATTGCGCATCGCAGTCTCATGTCAAGTACTATGCTAGCATATGGTTCTTTCCAATCTAGTGGCTTTCATGTTATTCTGATTCGAGCATTCCCGAATCACACGCCCCATAAATTGGCTTTGCACGAGTAGGTTCTTATTAACTATATTCTCAGATCAGAATGCTTATATGGCGTTTTCCTTCAAACTGCAGGAGGCAGCTATGAAATGCTGACCTCTGTTGGCAGGTTTTAGAACGCTTGATCGGTCCACCCTGCAGCGAGGAAATCTTTAGCATGGTATCGAGGGGAACAAATGTTGATATACAGATCGACGATGATCACCTGTTTCATTTGGTTCCAGTAAAAGCTTCTTGGCTTATATTAGATAGTATCTAACTTATGAAGCTCGTCATCTACATTCTCCCTCCTTTCTCTTTTCAATGAATCTGTTTGGCGTCACTTGACCACCTTGTCGATCTTTCACATCAGAGAATCACCAAAGCCAATTAGACCCAGTGGCTCCAATGGCCCTCATATTTAAAACTCTGCTCCAAAGCCCCGTGATCTCTCAACTCTAGATGATGAGCTGCAGACTCGAAAATATGCGGGTGCTGCGGGCCCTCGGCCTCGCGAATGTATCCTAGCTCGCAGGATGTGAAGAAGACTTTTGGCTGGGTTCTGTAGAAGCCATCAAACTTATGGTCCAATGCGTCCTTTAGAGTCTCAACGTTCCTGTCTGGATGCAATACGCTCCAAGGCTTATGACAGCTCTCGGCCTTACAGGACTTCAGCACCATCATCAGGGCATCCAGTCGGTCGATGATCTGACTAAATGAACGTCCACTCAGGAAGTATGACAAAGCTTTGTCTTCATCATCGAATAGATTCACAAGCTGTCCTGGATCTTTCTGTATAGCTTGTAAGCGTCTGAAGCAAATTCGAATATGAGAGAAAAGGGTTGATGGCCGAAGGTGATCTTACTATAGAGTCATAGAATTCTCTTTCTCCAGTGCAATGAACAGAGTAATAGAGACTGTAACCGTCTCCAATTAATCGCAGACCTTTGTAAGTATTGTTTCTCACAGCACCCGCGAAACCCCAGTCTGGGTTGTGATCGTCTGAGTACCTGCCCATCGTTCCCTCTGGAACTGCCCGGCCCCAAAATTCGATATTGACATGTTCCCACTTCTGCGTTTCTTGGGCAGTCTCTCCTGCAAAAATCGGAATTGGTTGTCCATCAAAATCTTCCCGTGACAGGCCTCCTGCTAGTTTGAGGATGGTTGGAGATAGGTCAGTGTGCGATGTCACGGCATTGGCCTGTCGTCCGGCAGCTACTCCGGGGCCTCGGATAGCCAGGGGGATATGAATATCTGTATCATAACCGCATTCCTTTCCAGGGTGCAAGCCTGCTTCTTTTAGCCGCAACTTTGTTAAAGGAGGTGCTCAGAGGGGCATGCTTACGATGCTGAGAGATGTGGTATCCGTTATCTGTCGTGTAGAAGATGTATGTATTATCCAGTTGGCCTTTGGCCTCCAGCATCTTGACCAAACCCTCAATCATCTCGTCGACAGACTGCAGAGATCTGAGGCGTGCTCGCTGGTATTCATCGTTGTAAGCAATCACAGTATCGTTCAAAAGAGGCAAGTTTTTGACCCAAGAGACGCCTCCTTGCTGTTTCCCTTGGTCAGCAATCAGGATATCTGCGATTAGATCTCTTGTCTCACCTCGACAGGATTGAAGTTCTTGTCTCGTGGGATTTTGTAGTCTCTGAAGAGATGCGCATGTCGTTCAGCATACTTAGGAGCATCGGAATGCCAGCCACCGATCAAGCGGATATTACCATGGGATGCAACTGGGGCAACAGTCAACATCCACGGCTCTGGGTGCCGAGTCGCTTCGTTCATAAGTTCAAAGGCCTTATCTGCCACAATGTCCGGACTGTACTGTCCTTCATAGCTAACTGGGTCTCCGTAATTCTTTGACATGCGAGCATTGTAATACTCATATGTGTACGGGTCAAGTAGAAAGTCGCTGCCGTTGAAGCCCTTTGCTCGCGGGTTGTCGTAATTATCGACACTGTGGTGATTCCAGAGCTTTCCGGTATAGTACGTGTTGTAGCCTGCATTTTGCATCCATATCGGAAGATAATCTTCATTGATGCCTTCCCTAATGATTTTGGGGTAGCCGCCTTCGGCGTCTCAGTATCAAGACTTAAATACTGTCTTCAGGATAGCAGCCACGTACCGTAAGGAGGGAAAACGTCAGTTACATTCGTATTATGGGCTGTTCTTCCCGTCCAGAGAGTAACCCGTGACGGGCAGCAGAGCGCAACGGTGCAGAAGTGGTTATTGTAGAGAGTGCCTTCATTGATTATATACTTCTGCAAGAAGGGCATATGTTGCTGTTTTCCCAGTTAGTCTATTGAGCTCTTCTTCTTTTATCTCCCTGTATCATACAATGGACTCCATGTGCCAATCTTGGTCATCGGTCAAGATGAAGAGTATGTTAGGTTTTGCTGAAGTTGTGGCAGCAGCGCCCCAAGATGCCGCTAGGGCCAGGAACAATGATTCGATAAAAAGCATTGTGAGAAATATAGTAATTGGACGGAGTACCTCAGGCAAGGCTCTTGTTCAATTTTCCTTCTTCATGAGATATATGGAGTCTGAACCACTTAAGTATACGTAATGTCTTCAAACACAATCATGAAGACTCCTTCAAATACGGAACAGACGGCAACCGGAAAATCTCCACGATATACAAAGCAGAAAACTTTACCGTAGGCTTTTTCAGCATCGTAAGAACAATTCTCAAGCCAATAATGCTTGAGCAAAATAAATGCATTAACTCCATCCCGTCTGGTCCATTCGGTGCTTTACCGAATACCGTGCCGAGCTGCCGATGACCGAGCAGCACATCATTTTGTCAGAATATGGATAATAGCCACTTAGGGTCTCTGGTTGATAGTTGATGGTTTTGTTGCACATTTATCCCGCTTCGTCTAAACCTGGTGGGGCTCGGCTCTAGGTTGTTCGATAACCTGTCTGCCGGTCTACGGCAACTGATACCGACGCTTAGGTTAGTCCGGCCTGAAATTTGTATCCGCCCAGACATTAGGCAGTCACTAACAGGCTCTAGCCTCTCTTACGTCTCTAGGTGATTTTCGATCCTCAGAACTGTTCTTGAGGTGGGCTGACTCCTCTCAGAGGGGAGTAGGACCTGATTTCCTTCATCTGATCCGTTCTTGTGTCTTCTTTATCTGTGAAACCTTGCTCAGTGGTTCACTCTTTCTTAGAGCGTTAGTATTTATTCTGATATAGCAAGTGTACTATCTGGAATACCGAGCTAGAGCAGAGATATTCTTTGACTTCTACCATGCTCTAGGTTAATCTGATTGTGCGATACCTATTGTGAGAGATAGTACGAGGATATACGTAATCATATAGCAGTTGAAATAATACGTAGTGAGTGTAGCTACGCCGTGCCTCTGGACATCAACAAACGGCAGTCTAGACCGCCCAAAGCGGGCCCGAGCTTTGCTGACTACGTCACGGTCTCTCCGCGTTGCCAGCGCATCCCCACCAACTTCTTCGCCATGGGCCTTGCTTAACTGGAGCTCCAAATAGCCAGTGTTGTGAGCAGCGATGGATCTTTCAATCCAGCGACTGCTCAACGACAAGCTCTACGACAAGAGGAAACAAGGGGCCCTAGAGTATGTTCTCTTGCCTGCCCAAAAACACAAGTGCTGATCAAACCATTCTCCTTCCAGACTCGAAAAGGTCGTACGCGATGCCGTCTTCGGAGGTGAACACGAGAAGATCCAGAAGATCGTCGAGCAGCTCTGCCATGACTATGCCTACGTCGTCCACCAGCCCCACGCGAGAAACGGCGGTCTGATCGGGCTGGCCGCGGCCTCCATAGCTCTGGGTTCGGTGAGTGTAGCTCGGCTAGGAATGCTGGCGAGTGTCGAACATTGTGCGCTGATATGTTCTGGGTCCTGTTTTCTTAGGAAGGGGTCGCACCATACCTGAAGGAGATTGTGCCGCCGGTTCTGGCCTGCTTTTCGGATCAAGACGCGCGCGTCCGGTATTATGCTTGCGAGAGCATGTATAACATTGCCAAGGTCGCCAAGGGAGAAGTGTTGCTGTTCTTCAACGAAATCTTTGACGCGCTGGCCAAGGTAGGTGCCTATCGCCATTATTCGTGGGAGGGTATTGACAGGCAGTCTAGCTTGCGTCGGACTCTGAGCTCTCGGTCAAGAATGGTGCAGAACTCCTCGACCGCTTAGTTAAGGATATTGTGGCCGAGTCGGCGGCCTCGTATGTGTCGGTTCTACAGGTGTCCGAGAAGGAGGCGGCGGATCCAGACACGGTCGAAGAAACCGAGCTTCCAACGGCATTCTCCCTTGCAAGGTTCATTCCTTTGCTCAAAGATCGCATACATGTTATTGGCCCGTTCACACGAAATTTCTTGGTGTCGTGGTTGACCTTGCTGGACACCATCCCCGATCTGGAGCTGGTGAGCTACTTGCCTGAATTTTTAGACGGATTGATCAAGTTTCTCGGGGGCCCGACGAAAGATGTCAATGTTGCCACCCAAGCTCTTCTGGACCGGTTTCTATCCGAAATCAAAAGGATCACGCGATTGAAGAAAGGGATTGAGGAAAGCCGCAAGAGCGAACGAAGTCGCAGACGCTCGGCAGCAAGTGACACTGCCAGCATCAAGACCGACCAAACCGTTGGAACTCCCGTTATTGAGGAAGCTGCGAAAGATGACATCGCCGTGGATGACTCAGTGTCAGAGTTTGCTGATGATGAAGGAGTTCGAGCGGATGGAGACTGGATCCCAGGGCAAGATGTACAAATCGATTACCCGAAGATTCTGGACATACTTGTTGGGTTTGTCGATACCTCATATGGTAAGTCTGCTTTCCCAATTATCCGTGATCACACTGTTGACCTCGCACAGAGGAGGAGATGCAATTGACCGCTCTCCGTTGGATCGATACCTTCTTCGACATCAGCCCCGAAGATATCCTTCCCTTTGTTCCACGGCTGTTGACTCAGGTACTTCCCGCCATGTCTAGCGGCTCGGATCAAGTGCGGCTAGCAGCAAACAGAGTCAACAAATCCCTCCTTGAGTATATTTTTTCTCTGTCAGACGATACGACGGACGAGGCAGCACAAACGATGCCCTCTAGGGTCCTCTCTAATACGACCAGCAAAGAGAGCGTGGACAAGGCATCAATACCTGGGTCGAAATCATCGGAACTGACAATCCCTGACTCAAGAAGGCAATCCACACTGCCAGAGCCATCCGGGACTATGACACCGCGGAGTGCCGTCTCGGTGCCAGCGCAGCCGGCCGATTTAGACTATGCTGCTGCCGTCAGCTCTCTCACCCTTCAATTCTTGAACGAGAACGAAGCCACCCGGGTAGCGGCCCTCTCATGGCTCATCATGTTACATCGCAAAGCACCAAAAAAGGTAGTTGCGTTCAACGACGGAACTTTCCCAGCTCTTCTCAAGACCCTGTCCGACCCTGCGGAAGCAGTCGTGACCAAGGATCTGCAACTTCTGTCGCAGATCTCGAGGAATAGCGAGGACAGCTACTTCACCTCGTTCATGGTCAATCTGTTGCAGTTGTTCTCCACGGATCGGCATCTACTGGAAGTGCGCGGGAATTTGATCATCAGGCAGCTCTGTCTGAACCTGAGTCCGGAACGTATTTACCGCACTCTGGCAGATTGTCTCGAAAAGGAGGAGGTGAGTCTCGGGACCCGTGTGTGGTAGGATATCAAATGCTTATGCTTCAACCAGGATCTCGAGTTTGCTAGTATTATGGTCCAAAATCTGAACAATAACCTCATCACTGCGCCGGAGCTCTCTGATCTGAGGAAACGATTGAGGAATCTTGATACCAAGGTACGCCCATCCATCCTACTGCATTTACAGGACTTATTTGCTTCTCAAGGATGGCCAAATGTTCTTCGTTGCGCTGTTCAGGTCTTGGTGCCACAACGCAGTCTCGACCTTCTCTCTATGTCTTCTTGCGCAGGCCTATGAACAGGCCTACAACCTTCTCCAAGTCTTGTAAGGAAGTTCGGGCAATATTTACCAACATTTATTAACATCCATCCAGCGCCGAGCTCGAAATGACCGTCAACATGCTGATCCAGATCGACAAACTGGTCCAGCTTTTGGAGTCACCCGTGTTCACCTGTAGGTTATCGTGGGGATCATTTGTCAATTCAGTTACTCACTCCCCATAGATCTCCGCCTTCAACTCCTCGAGCCGGAGAAATACCCCTACCTCTACAAATGCCTCTACGGCGTCCTGATGCTCCTCCCCCAAAGCTCCGCCTTCGCCGCCCTCAAGAACCGCCTCAACAGCGTCAGCAATATCGGCTTCCTACACGGCGGACCACGCAGCACGGCGCAGACCGCGCCGTCCGCCTCCTCGTCGTCTTCCTACGACCGTTCCAGCGGCGCACGCCTCAAAGGACGCGACGAAACCATCCGGTGGGTCGAGCTCCTCGACAAATACAAATCCGTCCAGGAACGCGCCCGGCGCGCCCAGCGCGCAGCGCAGCGCCATCCCCTCGACGCTACCGATACACTCAACGACCCCTCTCTAACGGCTGCCCTCTCCGCCGCCGCGACGGACCACACTCGTGCTCGCGATCGAGCCGGTCTCCCTGATGCGCCGCGGGGCGCTGCCGGGGCTGGTGCAAATGCAGGACTAGCTCCTCTCGGAGGTCGCGGGGGCGCACCTGATGGCGCGGGAGGAAAACCGGCCGGGGCATCGCTTCTGGGGCCCGTGCATAGGCAGAAATCCGGGCTTCCGAACCTAGGCCGGCTGGGTATTGGTGGGAGGAAGTCGAAGAGGTAAAGCTAACGATCTTTGGGTTTGTTTATTTTCCTTGGCAGTGCACGGCAAAAGGGGAAAGCCAAACGCTTGGTGGTCTGTGCGGGTCTGTTTCCAATGGGGGAGTATGTATCATTGATTGAGAATATCGGGGTGGTTGAGGCACGTCTTATTTGATGAATAACAATACCCCAGCGAGCCAGGTAGTTTTATCTCTATAATTACAACCTTGACTGTTGATTGTAGTATAGTTAGGTTGGATTGAAGAGGAATAAAAAGAGTATATTCAATGGTTATATGAACAGCGAAGTTAAGCGGGAATGGTTAGAACATCCCCTAGGAGCAAGGAAACCAGACACGGAAAGTGGGTGGGTGCAAGCACCAAGACATCGAGCAGACATCATAAGGTCTCTTCCCAAAGAGTTAACAAGTCGGAATTTGTCCAAACTTCCAACTGTCATGGTTCTCTCCAGGAAGAACCCATTCATAAGACTGGAGTGACACACACAAACACAGAGAGAGAGAGAGAGAGAGAGACATGGCGACAGAGCAGAGCAAAAGTTTCGAAAATCTCCGCTGGAACGTGTCGCGAAGATGGCGAGACAAGGGTAATTTCAGGCAATGGCGCAAGAAGACGCTGAAATTTTCGAGGGGATGGGTGTATAGGATAGGTCGCTAGAGAACAAGACCAAAAAGACGAGACCGAGAAATCAATCACCGCGGCGATCTAGATCCCGATCCCGATCCCGACGGGCGCCAGCTGCCGGTCGAGTGCTTGGAGACGGGACTTGTGGGCAGGCTGGAACCGTTGGAGGAGTAGATGTATTCGCCATCGACGTACTGCGCGCCCGTGGTGAAGGTGTTGCGGTTCTTGCGGCGGGTGTAGCGCTGCTCGAGGCGGTAGAGCTCGAGTCCTGGGTCGAGGATTAGCAATTAGCTACGGATGACCAAGGGCCGTGGGGGCGGGCTGGCAGGGAGGGAGAGGACATACTGGCTTGGAGTTTATCGATCAGGCCCATTGTTGCGATGTGATGTGACAGGAGTTGGTGTGACGATAATTCTCTGCCGGTGGTCCCTGACGAAAGCTATATATGGAACACACACCCAAGGGTAAGAGTGCCAATCGTTCCCACTTTCAGGAACGGTGGAACGCAACCTTGGTCGCCGACGGTGGATGACAATTTCAAGACGAGGTTGGGCTACAACAATGACATTGGTCAATACAGACGGCATGTGTCTGAATTCCAGGGATTTTTGACTTACTGTGGCACAAGTCAATTGGGCCAGCACGAGGTGTCTGGGGGAACACGAGCGAGGCGGGAGGCTGGAACGCAAGGAATGTGGTGTCGCGTGTGACTGGGAATGCAAGATGCTGCGAGGGGCAGGGGCAACGAGTGGAAGTAGGGGCTGGCCCTAGAAAGAACTAACAAGTGGAATTGGCAGGTTAAAGAGAGTGAGAGTGGAGTGAGAGACAAGTGAGAGTGGGAGAAGATGAGAAAGGGGAAGTGGGGAACAACGTTGGCACTAGCGGGTTGGAGTTAGAGTACACACGACATGCGAGTGTGTGGCTGGTCTAGACTAGTAGTATTCTTACATCTACGCCTCGTCTGAATCCTGCGCCAGCGATAATTCCTGGGCTGCGCATTTGTTAGTGGCGGGGAAAATAATAGAAAATACCAAGACTCACCATTCCACAACTCCGCATAGATCCCATCCAGATCCAACAGCTCGCGGTGCGATCCCATCTCCGCAACCTCCCCATCCTTCAACACAAGGATCTGGTCGCTGTCGTAGATCGTGCGCAGCCGATGAGCCACAAACACACTGGTGCGGCTCTTCTCCTTGAGAATGCTGTTGATATTCTGAAGAAGCGCCTGCTCCGTGTACGTGTCGAGCGCAGAAGTCTATCAAGCATAAGTGAGGGCCCGGCCGGGACAAAAAGAAACCTTACCGCTTCATCGAAGAACAGCAGCTGCGGGTCCTTCAGCAGCAGCCGCGAAATAGCCAGGCGCTGCTTCTCGCCGCCCGAGATCATCATGCCGCGCTCGCCCACCGCCGTGTCGTAGCCCTCGGGTAGGCGCTCGATCAGTTGGTCGATGCGTGCGCGCTCGGCAGCCCGGCGCACCTCTTCGTCGGATGCAGCGATGTTCCCGTATCGGATGTTGTGAGCGATGGTGTCATTAAACAGCGGCGTATCCTGCGGAACGACGCCAATGGCCTTTCGCAGACTGTCGAGGCTCACATCTCGAATGTCTTGCCCGTCAATCAGGATGCGGCCGGACTGGATGTCATAAAACCGGAAAAGGAGACGCAGAATGGTCGATTTGCCGCAGCCGCTAGGGCCAACAATGGCAAATTTCTTCCCGGCTGGAATGGTGAACGTCGCATTCTTTAAGATCGGGCGGTCCGGGTGATAGCCAAAGGTGACGTTCTCAAAGCGAATCGCGCCGCCGTGCTTCAGTTGCAGGGGTTGGGCATTGGGCCGTTCCTGAATCGTCACGTTGACCTTTTGCAGGTTGAAGAGCGTCTCCATATCCAGCAGAGACTGGCGCAGCTCACGATAGACAGAGCCCAGGAAGTTGAGAGGCACGGAGAGCTGGAAAACCAGCTGGTTGACCATAACCAGATCTCCCACGGTCAGTGATCCAGTCGCGACCCCGTCGGCAGCCAAATACATCATTGCGGCCAGCGCAGAAGAGAAGATCATGTTCTGGCCTGAGTTCAAGAATGCCAGGGACGTGGTCACCTTGATGGATGCGTCTTCGTAGTTCTTCAGTGCTTTATCGTAACGCGCCACCTCAAACTTCTCGTTGTTAAAGTACTTGACGGCCTCGTAGTTGATCAGCGAATCCACGGCCACTGTGGCTCCGCGATTATCGGCCGCATTGGCCTGTCTCCGGAACTTTGTGCGCCACGCCGTGGTAGTAATGGTAAATGCGGTATATGCAACCATGGTGGTTGCCGTGATGGCAGCAAACTGGAGACCATATTGGTACGTCAGAATGCCGCACACAAGAGAGATCTCCAGGGCGGTTGGGACCACATGGAAGACCATGGAGGTCAGCAAGAAGCTGATACCCTTGGTTCCACGATCAATGGCCCGGGTGAGGCCGCCGGTCTGGCGAGAGAGATGGAAGTTGAGGTCCAATCGTAAGAGATGGTCGAAGACATTGCGTGCCACTTTCCGAATGGCCTTCTGCGCCACGCTGGCAAACACCGCATTTCGCAGCTCCTGGAATACTGTCGCTCCAATGCGGGTCGCGCCATCTGCCACCGTCAGCCCGGTGTCTTGTCTCCGATATTGGGTCTCTTACAGGCGATGATCATTGTCCCTGCCACGGTATACGCGGTCCCACCGAGAGACGCAAAGTCCACATTCATCGAGTCGACGATGTTTTTGAAGTAGAAAGGTACGTTGACATTCAGAACCTGAGGAAACACGGAAACGTCAGCGCCGATGGCACAGAAACCCATTTGCAGAGGAATTGACCTTGGCTCCAACCAGCAACGACAAGGCCGTTCCAACACGAAGCTTAGTACCCCAGTCACCCTGCCAGACAATATCAGTATATCGTTCATCATGCTCGCGAGATAGTATGCCGGACCTTGGGCCACAAGTACTTCGCCATTTCCTTCATGATCGCCCAGTCGGCCTTCCTCTGTTCTTTCGTACCCACCGCCGACTCATTCAACAAGGGCTTCTTGGTCGCTGGCTTTTCATCGCCCTCCTTCGAGGTCTGGACCAGGTTGGCGGCTGCTAGTTGCGACACCGGCGGTGCAGGTGCGGGACTGCTCTTTGCTGATGGGGCTTTGGAGTCTTTGGCGTCTTTTCGTAGAGGGCCACCATCTGATGTGAATACCCGGAGCTGCTGTGGCCCGTGGCCCAGTCTCGTCCATTGTGTCCGGCCGGGGAAGCTCGAATGTGCGAGTCGTGCGGCCGGCCGCCAGCATGGTGAGCGTGCTGCTCTGAGAAGCATGGCTGGAGATCAAATGTTTTGACTAAGGGTCTAATCAGGCTCAGGGTAACATGGTGAAGCTCAATGAGCGAGCGGCGCGCGCGGCAGGTCTCCGAGAGCTTTGGCCGGAGGGGATTCGTGGGCGCCGGGATCGGAGGAAAGGGATTGGCGTGAGGGCAAAACAGTGAGATAATAATAATGCGATTCAACGGAACTAGTTCAATGTGATTGTCTCCGTCAGACACCGCAGATCCTCGGGGTGTTGCAATGGACGAAGGGCGAATGTAGGGCAGAAAGAAGGCGACCTCGGATCCACGATTTCCCGGCAGGTTTTCCATCGTTGTTTGACGTAGTGGTTCTCTGTCTCCCTTCGTCGTGCCTCCCTCCCCCCGCCACCATGTCAGCCCTGCAGAGAGGTGTCCGGCCTCTGTCCCGGGCGCGAGTGCCTCGTCTGGCCCTGCAGCAATCGCGATGCGTCCAGATTCGCGCAACACCTGCGGAGGAGCCGTCCACCGTCAAGGACTATTTACCTCTGGCCAACACGCCCAGTGCCGCGGAATCACGGGGTATCCTCGATCGCTCATGATTAATGGAAGACTTACTGACATGTCATTCCTGTAGATGCGCGGTTCGAGGTCGTCGGCGCCCCATACTCGCTGTTGTCGGTATCGCTTTCGGCGTCCCAGAACCTGTATACGCGACGGGGAACTCTGGTGGGGTTGAGTGGCAAGGCGGACAATGTATGCAAGTTGGTCGCATGTGGGAATATTAGACTGACATTTTGGTTCAAAGGTGGTTTCGACATTGAGCGTTCTAGAGCCGTTCCGGAGGTCCGTCGTGGGGATACCCTTCCTCTACCAGAAGGTATGAGTGATCCTTGGTCTCAAACACGGACAAGTCATTAATCAAATCCTCAGATCTCTTCGGCCAGTCCCGTTACAGCACTCGTCTCCGTTCGATCCCCTACCACCTCCTTCGCTGTCGTGAATGTCAATGGCTCTGTGGACTGGATGATTACCCAGCGACGAGCCCTGTTAGCATGGACAGGCCGGTCTCTAGCTATCAAGCCGAGAGTCAATACCAATCTGGTTCGTGGGGGTTCTTCTTGTTTTTCTGTGATTATCGGCTAATGTGTGCAGAGCTTGGCTCATTGGGGTAGCTCTGAGGTCACAGGCAGAGGGTTGATGGCGCTAGTTGGCAACGGACAACTCTACTCGATCGAGTTGAAGGCCGGTGAACAGTACATTGCTCATCCTAGGTGTGCCATATCTTCCCTTGTATTTTGGTCTTTGCTAATCCATACCGACGTAGCAATGTGGTCGCCTACACAATGTCTTCGAATCCTCCGCGCCCCTACCGTTTCAAATCCACCACTCTGAACTTCCAGGTCCCCGGCCTGAAGACACTCCCAAGGCTCCTACAGAACAACAAGTTTATCCAGGACATGTCCGATTCAAACACCTGGAAGGCCACGATGCGCTTCCTGCATAAAGTGCGGACCTGGTCTCGCATGACCATCTGGGGCGATAGGGTATGTCTTTTTTATTTCCCTTTCCCTCGTTAGATCACAATAACTAATACGGCATGTCCATCTAGCTCTTCTTGCAATTCGATGGCCCCACGACCATCCTGGTCCAGACGCGCGGTCCTCGTCTGAAGGACGTTCTGGCCCAGCGCGAAGCAAACGAAATCGCCGACGTCGAGCGCGGAGTAACCATCACCGCCACGGAAGCAGCGGAGAAGAATGCCGCCGTCAACACAATACCGGAGCTAGCACGCTCCGTCGAGGATCTAACCCAGGAAATCAAGGGGACGAGCCAGAGCGTAGCAAGGATCCGCAAGGACGGGAAGGTGGATATTGAAGAGGTCGGGCGCACGAATTAGATAGATAGATCCGGGTCTAGCTGTTATGGGAGGAGTTTTTTACTAGCTGCGTTGGCTGGTTAGAGATGGGATGGATTTTGATATCAGGTTTGCATATCTTGGCCTGTACTGTATAGTATTCTTTTTTGTTTCCCTGAGCATCTCGGCTCTCTGCCGCAATCGATTCAGTTTCCTTTTGTGACTTGGTTGTTTCCGATTCGAAGGCCCGATCTGAAACTAAATGATCCATTCACCCATCCACGGCTATGCTGTGTTACGCGGCTCGTTTGTTGTGTAGCCCGGCGAGACCATCCGGGCCGATGTACACGCTGATACACCAACATGGACGGCATTGGACTTGACGTATTGTTCTAGAAGAATAATCCTGAAATGAAACTATATATACAATTTGAGCAATATTCAAAAATAAGTCTTCAACTCATGCCGTCGCGAGATCTTCCACGTCCTCGAAGCAGGCAACTCATACTTCTGCCCGTCGAGCCCAAGCTCCACCGCCGCCTTGATCCGTGGTGATAGTACCTTAAGTTCGTAAGGCTTTCGTAACCTGTCATCATCTCCCTCTGGTAAACCTGCTAGCCAGGGGAATGGGTCGATTTTCCGTTGACGGGCTGCTTTCCGTCGCTTTTTGTGCCGCAGATATAGCCACGATAGGAACCCAGCGAGAATCACCGCTGAGCCGGCGCCGATGCCGATCATTGCTTTTGCAGCCTCTGGTAGATCGTGGCTGTGTGGTGATGAATGTGCTGATTGTGAAGGTAATGTTGTCTGAGTGGTTGTTAATGATGAAATTTCGGTTGGGGTGGTGAGAGATGATGTTGAGGTTGAGGAAGTAGAGGTGGCTATGGCTGTAGTCGTAGTTATTTGTGATATGGTCGAGTAGGAAGATGAAGTATAGCCGGCAATAGAGGAAGTTAGTTTAGAGGTAGAAGGCACGTCGCTGGCTGTTGTTGATTCAACAGACGTTGATCGAGGAGTTGAAGATTTTGACGTTGCTGATGCTGCTGACGTAGCTGGCACCCAATCCTGGTAGGTGACTGTCGACGTTTTGCCGTCTATGATGGTGGTCCGAATGGAAGGGATATGGCTATATCCAAGGTCGCAGTCCGAGCACTCCATCTATACTTTGCAATATCTCGATTGGAAAAATCTAGAAAAGCATCCTGTTGAGTAAAGTGAACATGATAGTAAATCACAAATCAGCCCAAAGGTCTGTATATAGATATCGACTTCAACCGCCACGGAGTTGATAGTCCTTCCTATTGTTATTCCGTGAGAATCCCCAGTCAATACTATGTCTCAAGTTGGATGGCAGGCTATTAATAAGTGTTTCTTTTAACGCCCGATTCTTTGCTGTGAGAAGACGATTGGATCTCTTGGTAATGCCGAGAGATCGGTCGAACTATGAAACAACCTCTTACATTCCAGAGGCTCCATGGACGGACCGAGCCAACCAACCTCGTGTCTAGGAGTGAAATATGGAAGGCTGATGTATGGAAATAAGCAGCGGCTATGGACTGGATGTCTTGAAACCAAGCGTACAATGCCATTCTAGGCTCCGCCAGTTAGATTGAGAAGACGAGGTGAGAGATGGGCTAAGCGCCGGGATTGTCGCGTCGTCCATTTTTATCTTGACGCTAGCGTCATTGGATTGATAAGTCGGATGAGATAATCTGGCTACCTTATCTAGGATAGAGACAATAAAATAATCAAGTCGTTGTCCTGTGTTACTATGGACTCGTGCATGGTAGTCTCGGGAGTACGTAGTTGCACTCAGGATCCCCTAATTAACGCCCTCCGACCCAACGGACATCCGTTTACCCCGTACTCGGTCTGGAACTAAAATCCCAACTGTGGTTGGAAAAATGCAGTAAGCCGGAATTAACCACAATACCGGTAGTATGCTTTAGTTTCCATATCGTTACAGATCCGCTCCAACAGCCGCAGAACGGCGTACATTACTGTGGGAGCACATCCAACAGGGGCTCAGGATTCCCGATCTCAAGACCGACTGACAGCTCTGATATCATCAGGTGAGGATTACTCTGGGCATCTCCAGTTCACGGTTAGTCTGAATCTCAACTTGAGCCAGTCCCAAACAAGGCTGGAGCCGGACCGGGGTTTATTTCCACTTAGGAAATCCCCGAACACCCAGCGTTCTGGCGCTCGGGTTAAATCTGCTTATGTCCGAGAGCGAGTATCAGTCTCTTGTCTAGTGAAATAATCATCCGGCAAAAAAAAGGTCGGAATAATAAAGCTGACAGCTTATAAAACCTTTTTTGAACAAAGGAATTCTTTCCGCACAATCACGAGGGAGAAAGGGGAGATAACCAAAGAAGACCCGGATTTTCGCTGCTCGGCTCGGCCTTCGCCCTCCGAAGACGCGATATCCCCTGGCGCGATAGAGCGAGAGTGGGGCCCCAAGTACTGCTTGGATAAAAAAAAATATTAGCTTGCTCTCTTGCTCCTTTTGGGCCTCATAATTTTCTTTTTTCTTACACGCTCTATATCAGACCGTTGCCGACTCTGTCCTAAAAACGAAAGCAAATTTCGAGACCCGTTCGATTGTGGACGGATGGATGCTGCGTGCCCGTTTGCCACCGTAAGTTGCACCAAATCGTCCCCTGTCCCACCTTGCACAAGCTTGTTTTTTTTGCTTTTTGGGTCTGGATCTATGTCTTCCCTGTCGGTGGGGGATAACAGTATATAATCCGAGTCTGCGCTGTGAGGAATTTCATTCTGATATAGTTGATTATCGACAGACCTTGCGGAAATACCTTTAACCATTACACACTATGGCAGAGAACGAGCAACGGCACGCTTCGCCGTCTATAGACAGTGCCACGACCAACACAGGCCCATCGGAGAGTTCAACTCCACCACTCAGCGCACAAGTGAGCACCGACCCGGAGAAGGGTGCGCGGCCGGAGAAGACCCAGACATCAGAACAAAAGGGACCGGAGGATCCTGAGGCCCAAAAGCAAGATGTGGCCCCGATGTCGACTCCCGCAACGCCGGCGCCAGGTCCTCCACCGGACGGAGGCGCAAAGGCCTGGTTCACTGTGCTCGGCGCGTTCTGCGGATTGTTCGTTAGTTTTGGTTGGATTAACTGTGAGTGTACTTTCGAGCTTTTATAGGGATTGGGCTGATTTGATTTCAGGTATCGGTGTCTTCCAGACATACTATGAGAGCCATCAGTTGAGCGGCATGTCTACCAGCACTGTGACCTGGATCACCTCGCTAGAGACCTTCGTCATGTTCCTGGGTGTAAGTACTGCTTTCTCTGATACTACCTCGATCATGCTAACAACTCATCAGGGACCCGTCTTCGGAACACTTTTCGACAACTTCGGTCCGCGCTGGCTCATCCTAGCTGGCACAATTCTGCACGTCTTCGGCCTGATGATGGCCTCGCTCTCATCAGAGTACTACCAATTCCTCCTCTCGCAAGGAATCTGCAGCCCGCTCGGCGCGAGTGCCGTCTTCTACGCCTGCATCAACTCCGTCAGCACCTGGTTCGCCAAACGCCGCGCCTTTGCCCTGGGCGTCACAGCCGCTGGGTCGAGTCTGGGCGGTGTCATCTTCCCCATCATGGTCACCCAACTGATTCCCAAGGTCGGATTCGCCTGGACGATGCGCATCTGCGCATTCATGATTCTGGCCCTGCTGGGCGTCTCCAATCTCACGGTGCGTTCGAGGCTGCAGCATCGCCGCAAGCCGTTCCATATCCTCAACTTCCTCAAGCCGCTCACCGAGCTGCGGTTCGTGCTCACGGTTGCGGGCGCTTTCTGTGTCTTCTGGGGCATGTTCCTGCCTTTTACCTTTGTGATTACCCAGGCGATGCGGTACGGCATGTCAGAGCATCTGGCCAACTACCTGGTTCCCATTCTGAATGCAGCGAGTATCTTCGGCCGAACAGTCCCGGGCTATATCGCCGACAAAATCGGTCGCTTCAACGTCTTGATTTTAACCACCTTCCTCTCTGCAATCTTGGTGCTGGCGCTCTGGCTGCCCGCGCGCGGCAACGTGCCCGCCATCATCTTCAGCGCCCTGTATGGCTTCAGCTCCGGTGCGTTTGTGTCGCTCGCCCCTGCTGTCGTCGCTCAGATCTCTGACCTGCGCGAGGTGGGTGTTCGCAACGGCACCTTCTTTGCTGTTATCTCTTTTGCGGCGTTGACGGGTACGCCCATTGGTGGTGCGCTCGTTCCCGATGTGCTGCATGGGTCTTATACCAAGCTGCAGATCTTCTGCGGTGTGGTGATTTTCGCGGGTGCGACTTTCTTTGTCGCCGCGAGGACTGTTGTGGGTGGGTTCAAGCTCAATAAGGTGTAAATTGGGAGGATTATTGGCTGCATTATGTTGGTGTTTTTTGTGCTTTTGTTAAATAAAAAGAACTGGGTATGTTGAGCATAATATGATAGACGGGTTAGAACCACCTTTTTGATTCTGTATAACTATAAAATTAGCATCGACGAGAACCCTCGTATTGAAAGTATATAAAACACCAAACGCCCCAGCGCCGTCGCTGAACGATGATGGACAATGAAAAAGTAAAAGCCTGCCCGAGTCTGCATGCCCAAGCCCCGAATGCAACACCGGACCGACAAAGATCAAACCAGCACGCCATTCCGCATATTCTCGACCGTCTTGAGACCAACGCCTTTGAGAGTGCTCAATTCCGCGAGGGTGTTAACCTGGAACTGAGGCTGATCAGAGACGAAGCCGACGTCGGGGGTGTGGTCCATCTCGCAGAGGCAATCGACAATGGCCTCGGCCTTTTTGGCGCCAACACCTTTCAGCAGCTTGATCTGGCTGACGTCGCGAGAGTTGATGATCGATAGCAGATGAATGGTGCGAGGTGAGACAGAGGGGTCTTCGCAGTCCATCGCGTCCAGGTCGGCTTCGCCGCGAGTGAATGACTTTGATGTGGCGCGCTTTTTGTGACGTGGACGAGAGACATTCTCGTCACTGGAGAATCCATCGCCACCAGCATTTTCCTCGTAATCTGCATCAAAGTCCTCCGACTGGCGCTTTCCAAACGTCTTTGGGGACGCTTTCTTGAGAGACAGCATGCTACCGAATCTCCCTTTGCCAGGAGAGGAAACAGCGCCAGTGAAGACCTGTGGCCCCCGTGTCTTGCCTTGGACTCGTTCCTTCAAAGCGGCAATCTTGCCTGCCAGTTTCTCATTGTGTGGGAAATGAGGCAGTGCCAGCTGGTACATCTTCAGTGCAGAGGCGTCTTCACCGCGTGCTTGGTGTTGCTTGGCCATGAGTAGATAGGAGAGACCCTCCGCTCTTGCATCCTCGGTGCCTTCAACACGTTGTTCCAGCATTTCAAGTCGTCGCTGGACCTTCTCGTTCAGCTCGCGAACTTGCGTCTGCCGTGATTGCTCGCTCACGGCACGTACAGCCAAGATTTCTTCCACTTTCTTCTCAACCATCTCCTCAATCTTCGCAGCAGAAAAGTCTGCGTAGTTTGCCGAAGGCTCCGTAACTGGGGCCAGTGTCTGACGGGCAGGCTTCAATATGCGAGAAGTGTGGCCATCAAAAGAAAGGGAGGGCCGCTTGGACACCTCAGGCTTGCGAAGCTGTGACATATGAGGCTTCTGCGGCCGATCCGAATAGACACTGAACATTTTCACAGGCTTCTCATCATCCTTCTTGGCTGGATCTTTTGCAGCAGGTGCTGGCATATTCACGTTGACTGAAGCGGTCAGTGGGCGCAGAGGCTGTCGCGACGCTGCCATCGAAGGCCGGATTGACGGTCTTGCCGGACCTTTGAACATCGGGTCATTCTCCACCTCCCGGACCTCGATCTTCCTTGTCCGACTGGCGACGTTGAGCGAGCTGATCGTGTCCAGGTGGTATGACCGAACCGAGGCAAGATTGAGGATCATGACTGTCAGTCCATTGTTCTGGCCCAGAGACAGGATCCTAGTCATTTTGGATTCGCGGTACGGGATCCGATGTTGCTTCTTGTTGATTGCCTCGACGCACTGAGCCAGCACAAAGAGACTCTTGTTGATGCTAGCCGATTCAATCATTCGCTCCTTGTCATTTTCAGTGCGACGGTTGTCTTCTGAACCCGCCAGGTCGATGGCTGAAGCAGTGCTGACCCGAGTTTGATCGGGAGATATGACAGTAACCTTGACCGCGAGGATCGCGTGGGATCGTGAGGAGTGTGCGTTCAGCTAGAGGAGTCAGTTGTGAGCAACCGTCCTCGAATCTTCAAATCCAGGCAGAGCAGACATACTTTTGTTGCAGAGGTTGACCGATTGGTGTTCGCCTGGTCATAGAGCCCCTCGAACTCCTTCAAGCTCGTGCAGGGCTTCTCCGTCAGCCCAACGACCACGGTCTTGCCACCGTTGTCTCGAAGAGGCAGTCCCGCCAGTGTGCGCTTCTCGGGCGGTTCGAACAGATCGTACACCTTGTCATTGTAGATCTCATAGTAGCTCAAAGAGACCTGTACCTTGGTCTCTCCGTCGCTATCCTTTTCGATCTTCCGACTGCGTCGGTAAATGCCACTAAGCATCCGGGGAATCACGCCCCGGTCAGCAAGGGACTTCCCACCGCGCATCGTGTGCGTTTTGCCGGTCCCGGTAACACCGTATGCGAATATGGTGACATCGAATCCGTTGAACAAGTGCTTGATCGTGGGTGCAACTATAGAGTAGCTTCAATGAGACGGGGTATTCATTCTGGGGGTGGTAGGAAGTACCTTCGGCATCAAACAGCTCCTGCTGCGACGCATCCGAGTCATAGACGGCATTGAACTGGAAGGCATACTCCTCGCCCTCGTTTTTCGGGTTTGGAATCCGCACCAGGTTATCCCGATCCCTCAACGCAGCCAAAGCCGCGCCTTCGCGGGAACTTTTCTTGTCACCAGTCGACTGACGCGTCTTGGAGTCGGCAGTACCAGTTGTAGCACCCGTGCGGAGAATCACGTCGAGCTCCCGCTCGGACTTGAGGAGAGGTCGAACACGCGCAACGACCCGGACACTCATTGTGGCAGTTCCTTCATTCAAATGAAACAAACAAGGAATAAAGGAATGAAATGAACAAATGAAAAGACAGAAAGAAATCCTCCCGAAGAATTGAAAAGCTACCTAACCTACCTGTTGGCTGCAAGACACGGGGATTGTCGACGAGTGTAGGAGCTCGTGTGTTCGCCGAGTTGAAGGTGTGTGTGTCGGTCGTTGGCGGGGCAACGGAGGAACCCCTAGGCTGTGGGGGTAGGGAGGAGAGAATCACACATTCTTGAGATGTGCGTTTTGAATTAGGTAGGATGAAAATCATGAATCGATCTAGGTCTGCAATATATACTTGTTGTGGGAGCGTATGTGTGCATCGATGGTGCCGACTTGTGGTGTGTTGGTGTTGGGAAATATATAGTTGGACCATGCAGCACCCTACCAGAATGAGGTGGCACACCGATACAGATATGGATGCTTATTGGATTTCGCTCCAGAGCGATCGATAAATACCCCTCTATCGCTATTTACAATCTCTGTTCCATCATCTCGATCTATCCTCTCGCCCAGACGACGATAACAGACAGTACGAGCAAGTCACATGCGAGGCCCCTGATTGGCCCAAGCTAAAGGCCACCGTAACTCATCATCACCGCCTCCCACTGGTCGTCCCCGGCTTGTGCGTTTCTGTGTGTCTCTTTTCGGATTTCTCACCAGCTGTTTGTGGCTTGCTGCTAGGCTGACTGACAGTGCTGTCCCCTACATAGGAAGCTGTCACTCCGCGCCCACACGTTAATTCACCCACCTCCGTGACTCCCTCCCTCCTCCCCCCCTCCCCATATCATCGACACCTTGCCAATTGTCCCCGGACCCCACCACAAACCTCCATGGCAGCACCACAGGGGGGTTATCCTCCCCAGGAGGGCTATGCCCAGCCGGGCTATGGCGCCCCCGCTCCCGAGGAACAGCAGTCTCCTGTGCAAGGACATGCCCCTCACGGCCACGCCGCCGGCCGGAAGAAGAGAGCATACGCGGGCCAGGCATACGACTTTGGTGCCGGTGCTAATGCGGCGCTCGGTGGACAGCCCACAGCTGGGGGCGACTATGGGCAATATCCCCCACAGCCGCCAGTTGAGGCATACCAACAACAGCCCATGTATGGCGCAGACCCAAGTCAGATGCAGCCTGCGGCGGCGGGATATGCTCCGCCAGCTGCTCCCGGTATGCAGCAGATGACACAGCAGTTCGGTGCCATGGGCATGGGTGATCCCCATCAGATGGCCCCGCAGCAGCAGCATCCAGTCGCCCAGGCTGCTCGACCTGTCCAGCTCAACCAGCTGTACCCGACAGACCTCCTCTCGCAGCCCTTCAATGTGGCCGAACTGGACTATCCTCCACCTCCTATTACTTTGCCGCCCGGAGTATGTACTTAGACCGTCAACCCCCCGAAAGTCGGATACTGACCGTGTGACAGACGAGCGTTTACCCTTCCCCTGATGCCAATTGCCCCCCGAAGTATATGCGGTCCACGCTGAATGTCGTGCCGACGACCCATAATCTTTTGAAGAAGTCGAAGCTGCCCTTTGCTCTCGTGATCCAGCCATACGGAGCCCTGCACGATTCCGAAGACAACGTTCCTGTCATCCCCGACCAAGTGATCTCTCGGTGTCGACGCTGCCGTTCTTACATCAACCCGTTTGTCACCTTCCTCGACCATGGCCACCGCTGGCGTTGTAATATGTGCAACTTGACCAATGATGTGCCCCAAGCCTTCGACTGGGATTCTACGCTCCAGAAGCCTGCCGATCGGTCACTGCGCGCAGACCTGAACCAAAGCATGGTAGAATTCGTTGCGCCGCAGGAGTATATGGTTCGTCCGCCTCAGCCACTCGTCTATCTCTTCTTGATCGATGTGAGCCACGCCTCCGTGACCAGCGGTCTCTTGGCCACCAGTGCACGATGCATCAAGGAGAGCCTGGACCGCATTCCCAACGCCGACAGACGGACCCGACTGGGATTCATGGCTGTGGATTCGAGCCTGCACTACTTTAGTATTCCACGAGATGGCTCAGAGACTTCGGACCCTCGGATGCTCGTTGTCAGCGACCTGGAAGAGCCCTTCCTGCCCATTCCTGGCGATCTCTTGGTGACTCTGAGCGAATGTCGAGAGAACATTGAGTCCTTCTTGGACAAGCTGCAGGAGATGTTCCAGAACACCGCAAATCTCAGCTGCGCGATGGGATCCGCTTTGCGGGCCGGTTACAAGTTGATCTCTCCCGTGGGTGGTAAGATGACGGTTCTGAGCGCCTCGCTGCCGAATGTGGGCCACGGTGCGCTTACCATGCGCGAGGACAAGAAGGTCCTAGGTACGAGCAAGGAGTCCAGCCTACTCCAAACGGGCAACTCATTCTACAAGAGCTTCGCCGTGGAGTGCTCCAAGGCGCAGGTCTCAGTGGACATGTTCCTTTTCTCGTCCCAGTACCAGGATGTGGCGTCTTTGAGTAATCTGCCCCGCTACACGGGTGGACAGACCTACTTCTACCCAGGTTGGAATGCCGGTCGAAGCGAGGATGCGATCAAGTTTGCGCGCGAGTTCTCTGAGTACCTGTCTTCGGAGATCGGCCTGGAGGCTGTTCTCCGCGTGCGTGCCACTACGGGTCTGCGCATGAGCACGTTCTACGGCAACTTCTTCAACCGGAGCTCAGACTTGTGTGCGTTCCCTGCGTTCCCTCGCGACCAGGCGTACGTGGTTGAGGTGTCCATTGATGAGACCGTGGCAAAACCCGTGGTATGCATGCAGGCGGCGGTCCTTCACACCACCTGCAATGGCGAGCGTCGCATCCGTGTGCTCACTTTGGCCCTTCCTACCACCCAGAACCTGGCCGACATCTATGCGTCGGCAGACCAGCAGGCGATCACCACGTTCTTCAGCCACCGGGCCGTTGAGCGGGTCCTGAGCAGTGGTCTCGAGCCAGCTCGTGAAGCTCTGCAGACCAAGGTCGTGGAGCTCCTGCAGACCTACCGCAAGGAGCTTGCCGGCGGCAGCGTTAGTGGTGGGGGCCTCCAGTTCCCGGCCAACCTTCGAGGATTGCCTGTGCTTTTCCTCGCGCTGATCAAGAACGTAAGTTTTTGTTTCTCCCGTGATTTACTGATACTAATAGAGTCTCGATAGCTTGGTCTGCGGAAATCCGCCCAGATCCCCACGGATATGCGGTCGGCGGCGCTCTGCTTGCTGTCAACCCTGCCTCTGCCGCTCCTCATTCAGTACATGTACCCCAAGATGTACTCGCTGCATGACATGCCCGACAACGCGGGTCTGCCAGACGAGCAGACTGGAGAGATCATCCTGCCGCCAGCCATCAACCTGTCGTCAGAGCGCCTGGCGCCTTACGGGTTATACCTCATTGATGACGGCCAAACCCAATTCCTGTGGGTTGGCCGCGACGCCGTGCCGCAACTCATCACGGACGTGTTCGGCGTGGCGGACAAGTCGCAGCTGCGGGTGGGCAAGCAGACGCTACCGGATATTGACAACGAGTTCAACCAGCGTGTCCGGGCCGTGCTCGAGAAGAGTGCCGACCACCGGTCCAAGGGCGTGGGCAGTATTATTGTACCGCACTTGTACGTGGTGCGCGAGGACGGCGAGCCAGCCCTGCGCCTGTGGGCGCAGTCGATGCTGGTGGAGGACCGCGCCGACCAAGGCATGAGTCTCGCTCAGTGGATGGGAAGTCTGCGAGAAAAGGTACCGTCCTCGCATTATGCATCCTTCAGAAGGTCTCGGAGCTAACCATTTAATTTGCAGGTTGTGCAGTAATTCTGGTTAACGGGAGAGGGTCTCCCTGTACCACTACGGACTTGGGTAGAACGATGTCAAAGAATATAATGCTTTTCCGTTTGGCGATCCTGTCGTATTTAGTTCAAGTGGGCCGTGATGTGACTGGGCGGCAGTAGCGCCGGTGCGAGTGGACGAAACAGTTGGCGCCGTGGCGGAGGAAGGGTGATGCGGTGATTTACATGCCTGAAACACTCGAGAGGGTCGTTTCCCCCTTTCGAAAATGAATGAATGATCAAGGTTTATAGTAGTCGTGCAAAAGCAAAAGATACTCCTCCAAAGTATTTAGTCTGGGCTGCCCCAGGTTGTGTGTACCAACACCACCACCAAAATTAACTACTACTAAGTCCCCGAGCAATTCACCCCACTTCCACTTCCTCCTGTCTCTCTCTCTCCGACACCAACTCAACTCCCTCGCTCACTCACCACACCGATTATTATTGTTCCACATATTATTGCACCTGACACAACACCAACCTGGATCCTCGACTGATACACACCTCTGACACCCGTCTCTCCCAACCTCCTTTTCCCGGTCTTGGTCCCTGGTCTGGCTGCCCGCCCCTCTCGGCTCCGTCATATCAACAAACTCTCCCCGGCTCTCGTTCCTGACCACCTCTTCGCCCTCCCACCTCTCTCCTCCTCCTCCGTTTCTTCACGGGGTCTTGTTCTTAAATCTCCCGCCCGACAAACGCGAGGCGGATACAGACTCAGGACACACCAGACCAATTCCCCCGCAGCGCAAACGAACGTAAGCTCCCCTGTCTCCCGATTTTACCTTCAAGCTGCCCGAGGACCCTTTTTGTCGCTTGTATACACCGTTAAAAGCCCCACTCATTCCCATGGATTGTTTCCTTCGTGCTCTTTTCTGCTTCCCCAGGACTATACCCAGCGCTGACACTCGCCCCCAGACCTCTACACCCGACAACATGGGCCAGCAGAATCCTCCACAGGGAGGATCGAGGAAGATCTCATTCAATGTATCCGATCAATATGAGATTCAGGATGTGATTGGCGAGGGCGCATACGGTGTTGTCTGGTAAGCCAGACCTTGGATTTTGGGGGGCCACTCTGCTGACAGCCTTCAGCTCTGCAATCCACAAGCCTTCGGGCCAGAAAGTCGCCATCAAGAAGATCACCCCGTTTGACCACTCGATGTTTTGCCTGCGCACGTTGCGCGAGATGAAGCTGCTGCGATACTTCAACCACGAGAACATTATCTCGATCCTGGACATCCAACGACCCCGCAATTACGAGGGATTCAACGAGGTCTATCTGATCCAGGAGCTGATGGAGACTGACATGCACCGCGTCATTCGAACACAAGATCTGTCGGATGACCACTGCCAATACTTTATCTACCAGACCCTCCGCGCCCTCAAGGCGATGCACTCGGCCAATGTGCTTCATCGTGACCTGAAGCCGTCGAACTTGCTTCTTAATGCCAACTGCGACCTCAAGGTCTGCGACTTTGGTCTGGCGCGCTCGGCCGCGTCCACCGACGACAACTCCGGCTTCATGACGGAATACGTGGCGACTCGCTGGTATCGTGCGCCGGAGATCATGTTGACTTTCAAGGAATATACCAAGGCCATCGACGTGTGGAGCGTTGGCTGCATATTGGCCGAGATGCTGAGCGGGAAGCCCCTGTTCCCTGGCAAGGACTGTACGTATCACAGCCAGCCACTTTCTGTCGTCCGCTTCTAATGAATATGTTAGACCACCACCAGCTGACCCTCATCCTGGACGTGCTCGGCACCCCAACGATGGAAGATTACTACGGAATCAAATCCCGACGAGCCCGCGAATACATCCGCTCTCTGCCGTTCAAGAAGAAAATCCCCTTCCGAGCTTTGTTCCCCAAGAGCAACGATATGGCCCTGGATCTGCTCGAGAAACTGCTGGCTTTCAACCCGGCCAAGCGCATCTCTGTCGAGGATGCCCTGCGTCACCCGTACCTGGAGCCGTATCACGACCCGGATGATGAGCCCACTGCGCCGCCTATTCCCGAGGGATTCTTTGATTTCGACAAGAACAAGGATGCTCTGAGCAAGGAGCAGTTGAAGAGTATGTTTACCTTATCTTGTGTTTGGATCCGTGCTAATGAGTTGCAGCATTAATCTACGAGGAGATTATGCGGTAGGCTAGGCACGCCTGTGGTATGTGGTGTGCAGAGGATCAGCCATGATTTGAAGTGAAGTGCGACATGAAACGAATCGCACAGTTAGAGATATCAAGGCAGGCAACCGGACCGCCGTACAGAAGTACAGTCAGTACATGATGAGCAAGTAAATGTTGAATTCAGCGCATGCACATTCGTCTTTCTCCGTCGTATGTTCATTTCTTGTAGGTAGTATACACCATCCATCAATTTATATGTACAGAAAAAGGCATCCCGTCTATGTATAACAACCACCAATACCTGTCCCCGATAAATTAACCCCGGCTAGCCATAAACTCCTCAATCGCGGCTCCCACACCCTCGGGACTGGGCTTCGCTGCACAGACATGCGGCTCGAAGCCGAAGTTCTGGCGGAGGTGGTCGCGGGTCGTTGGGCCGATGGTTGCAATGAACACTTCTCTTTCGGAAGGAGTGGTGGTAGAAGCGAATGGACCGAGTCCTAGCACGCGGAGCATTGCCTCGCAGCCCGTGGGTGAGAAGACGACGACCCAGATCGGGTTCTTCTTCTCACTTCCCTCTCCATCTCCACCTCCATCTCCAGTCCCGACAGAAGAGACAACCTCCCCAAAAACGCCCTCAAACCCCTCCCTAACACCAGTCTCGTAAACAATCATCTCCTCAACCACAATCCGCTTCTCCGGCGGCGTATCCTCGCTCTCCATGAGCAGTTTCGGAATAATATCTCTTCGCTGCTCGCCAACCAGAAACAGGAGCGGCGGACGGGTGAAGATGTCTGGGTACAGAGCATTGTAATGATCCAGTATATAGTAGGCTAAGTTCTCGCCGTTTCCTGTTTCTGCGCCGTGGATGCTTGTATTGGGGAGGTAACTTGTTGAGAGCGTGCCCAGGCTGCGGGCTGTGGCGGGGCCGACGGTGTAGAGGGGGATGCTTATTTCTTTCAAGTTGTTGATTTCTTTGGTTTCTTCTTCTCAGCCTTAGTATTCTCAATATGGCCAAAAAGGGATTGTAATTGGTAGTGACCATACCCTTATCCTCACCCTCCGCTTCCAAAATCCCCGCAAAAGCCTCAACAGCCCTCTGACTCGTAAAGATCAAGCCACCGAACTTCCGGCGTCCGGGTCCCCGAATCGGTGTGTTGCGTGTGACATCGCTGAATGCGCGCGCGGCGAGCAATGCGCGGACTTTTCCGAGATTTGGCTCGTGGACGCGGTGCTCGAGCACGGGGACGAAGGTCGGCGTGTAGCCGTGGGCGGAGAAGAAGTCCACGTAGCCGTCTTCGGGTGTGGATTTTGTTTTTAGGAGGAGAATTGGTATTTGTCGTGGCATTGCTTCTGTGTGTGCTGGTTGAAGGGAAGGGAGGGGTGAGGTAGATGGAGAGCTGGTGAGGTGGGATGGATCATGACGCTGCGGGGAGCTCGGAGCTTCGGTATCAAACCAACCATGCCTGATTTACTTGCTACAACACTCTTTTACACTTTGACTGTGAGCACTGGCAAAACAAAAGGAAACTAAATTGTCTAGGACGGCTTATGTACAATTACAAAAACAGACTACTGGTCGTCCAGCACATGCAGGTACTTCTTCTCCTCGCGCTGCTCGCGCTCCGTGGCCGGAGGCAGGTCATAGTACGAGGCACTGCGGTATCCTTGCTGCAGGGGAATTAGCATATCACTTAGCAACAGAACAAGGGTACATACCAAGTAGTGGAAGGTCAGATCGGCCAGGTCGGCAGGCTCCTCAATGCCCAGATCCTTGAAGGTCTTGGCCGTCGAGTCGATCTCCTGGTCAATGAACTCGCGCTCCACCTCGTCAGCCGACATGGTGTGCCACCAGAGGTACTTGTTCAGGTAGTGGGCCATGGGCTTGAGGAGGGCCTTGGGCACGTTGATGTGGCGGCGCCGCTTGATGATTTCTCGGTCGACCAGCTCGGCGATCTCCGCGGTCGAGTAGTTCTTCGGGCCATACAGCTCGAACGTTTGGCCGACGGTCGAGTCGTCGTGCAGCATGCGCTCCAGCGCGGTGCCGACATCGATCGCCTGAACTGGGTGTTAATCGCAGATTCTTAGAGCAAGGTGGATGCCTCTTACGTGGACAGGCCAGAAACGCTCCTGCATGTGGTTGGCCGTGAACAGGTTGGCATTGCTGGCCAGCTTGTGGAGGAGGTTGTCTTCGAACCCGAACATCGGGGCCGGGCGCACAATGGTCGTCTCGGGGTAGATTTGGCGAACGATTTCCTCTCCCCATGCCTAGTTTCGTCAGAATTGTCTCTCCACCCCTCCAAAAATCAACGCACCTTGGTAGCAAAGTACTCGGAGGGCGAGTCCCGGCGGGCATTGTAGGAAGAAACGTGGATGAATCGGTCAACATCGTACTTGGCCACAGCCTCGGCGATGCGCTCGGCACCGTCAACGTGAACGTCCGCGTAGGTGAAGTTCTTCGTAGGGTATTGGCGACCAGTCAGGTTGTAGACGACATCGGAGTGACGGACGCTCTCCTCGATGGACTGGGTGTTGCGCAGGTCGTATTCCTGCGAGGATCCGTTAGGAGAACGATGGACAAAAAAGGAAATTGGGCCATACAATGAAAACAACCCGGCCAAGATCACCCGTCACCTTCAGGTGGCGCTTGGCCATCTCCTCTCGGTAGGGAACGACCACGGTGCATCCCTGGGTAGCTGGATGACATCAGTCGAAGAACCAAAGAAAAGTCCCTGTACTCCCCCACATACCGAGCTTGTTGACAATATAGCGACCAAGGAATCCGGTGGCACCAAAGACCGTCGCGGTGTGACCTAGAATCGGGAGGTGAGCAGATCGAACGGATGCAACCGAGGGCTAAAAAGGATCAGTGTACCTCCAAGAGACGACCTGCAACATCCAAGATTAGCGGAGATCCTCAAATAAAAGGCAATTGAGCCCTTACCGGCCACCCTGGACCTTCAGAAGGGGCTTTCCGGTGCGGGAGATGGCGACATCCTGGAGAGTGCGGCGTTGGAACTGAACGTGCACTCGCGGGACGGGGGCAAAGGCCCGGGAGCCCAAGGCAGAATTGATGGCCCGGGTCTTCTGCATGGCCTCGAATTGGGTGGAGAATCGGGGCTCACGAGACGAGGTGCGACAGAGAGGGTTGAGTGACTGAATGAAGGTGTTTGATGGTGGTGAGGACGGAAGTGCAGCACGGGACTGGGCGCTAGTCCGAATGCGGATAGCCTCTAATGTGCGGCGGTGGATAGGCGGTCATTATTCTCTATACAATTCAATAGGAAGATATGTAGAGTAGGAGTTTTCAGGGAGGGCTATTGCCTTCAGACATGCATTTAAGTATTCCCTTCATACCGGATCTACTGAAGAGTGGGTGTCTGTGCAAGTAAGAGTAGAAATTCCTAATGCACACGCCCGTTTGGCAGACCGTACACGCACACCACCACCACTAAAGGCCCTGCGACCGAGTCAAAATGGCGAAAAAAAGGGAAACGCAATTATTTTCATATCGACAATATACTAAAAGCGAAAAATAAAACAATAAAACGACAGCTATGTCGCGTGTGATGGTCCAAAGATTGAGAAGAGGAGTATAGTGGGCAAACCACGGCCATCTCTGGTAAAAGGCAAGAAATGGGTTCTGCACTAGTCTGTCCCACTCCTCGCAGAAGCGCGGTTTATGTGCTATATAAAGGGGATAGTGGTGGCGGGTTCGATTCGGGGTGCCCCCACAGCCAATTATTATTCTATCGGCATGATAATATGATTTGAAGGAATAGAACAGCGTATCAATCTGATCATGGAATTCAATTCCTATTGCCAGGGTTGAATTAATCTACCAAATGTGCTACTAGGAACCTCCTATACTCGTGCTTAGTCCAACCCCACCTCGGTCATGACTTCACTTACCCCAACAACAACAAACCAAACCACTCCTTCCTCCAGTTCCCCCAGACAACCCAAGAACCAGCTAGGAACCATGTCCTCCGCCGCCTGCCTCTTCTGCAAGATCATCAAGGGTGTGTCGATTATCCTTGTTCCTCCCCCAATGCTCCCCAATTCGGGGATGACAGACGCCTAGCGCTCCTCCACCTCATGCTGTCTCTCACTCACACTCCCACCTGCAGGAGACATCCCCTCGTTGAAGCTCTTCGAGAGCGATAAGGTCTTTGCCTTCCTCGACATCCAGCCACTGAGCCGTGGCCATGCGGTGCGTTCCTCCGGCGTTGTGTATCCTTCCCCGCACCGTGACATGGCGGACCTGGGGTTACAGCACATGTTGTGTTCCGGTGGTCATTCCTCTGTGGCGGATGCAATGAACATAATTAAAAGATAAAGGGAAGAAAGAAGACGGTCACTGACACCTATCCTACCAGCTTGTCATCCCCAAGTTCCATGGCGCCAAGTTGACCGATATCCCTGACGAGGACCTGCTGGAGATTCTGGTAAGTGTATAGTAGAGAGAAAGCCCAATCTTGACAGGAGCTGGATGCTACGGGGCTATAAATGCACTGGCGCCCAACAACCTCCAAGGTCCCCATCTCTACAAAAACTAACACCCCCTTCACTCCCAGCCCGTCGCCAAGAAAATCGCCCTAGCAAGCGGCGCCGTGGACTTCAATGTCCTACAGAACAACGGCCGCATTGCGCACCAGGTGGTTGACCATGTTCATTTCCATATGGTGTGTCCTGTCCTTGCATGTATATTGTGCACACGTGAATCTTACGTTTCTCGATAGATCCCCAAGCCGAACGAGAAGGAGGGTATGTCTATTGGGTGGCCGAGTCAGGAGACCGATATGGATAAGTTGAAGGCGTTGCATGAGGAGATTAAGGCCAAGATGTGATTGGGTTCTCTGGCTTTGTTTGTATCTACGCCGAACCTAAGCTACTATTGATTATTCGGTTCATCCGCGCTCCAAATCAAGTCCAAACCCGTCAAAATATCCAATTCTGTATATACTACAAACAAGATGCATGGAGTGATGCATGGAGGGCAAATCTAAGTAGCCCACAAATCCCGAAATATAATGACCAAAATGTTATGCGGTGACTTCTTCCGCCGCCGTATTTTCCTCGACCGCTTTCTCGTCAGCGCCATTTCCCTTCTCCGCCGGGGGATAGAACTCAATCTTCCCACCGCCCTGAACGATATTCAGCCGGTCATAGAGCGAGCGAGCCCGAATGTGCGGGTCAAGATCCCAGTACTGCTCGCGCAGTTGTTCAACCAGACCCTCGCGCTTCTGCTTAGCAGCGGAAACAGCGTCGGTGTCTTTCTTGCCACTGGCCTTGATCCAATCAATCGTGACATCCTGGATCTCCTTGGCGAGGTTGTGGCGCTTCGTGATCAACTCATCCCTCTTTTCCTTGTCGTCCATCTGGGCATTTTCCCCGGTCTTGATCTCGCTGTACTCGTACTCCCAAGCCTCGTCACCTTCGAGCTCTTTTGGGAGCCGCTCGGGAGCAATGAACTGTTCGAGGTCCTCGCGGTTCTTGGTGAAGTGGATCTTGGCCGCCACGACGGGGTCGAGCCAGCCTTTGATGATACTCCAGATGCTGGAGAAGATCCACGGTGCTTTGTGGATGAGTACACTGCCTAGAGACTCTGGGTAGTTGGCTTCGAAGCACTTGATCATGAACTTGACGGGGGTGTAGTCCATGTTGGCTAGAGTGAAATCCGTCATGTCAAAGATAATGGTCTGTTGCTATTATTAGAGAAATCACAAAGAAATGGAAGGGGGACGGTAGACTTACAGCCGTCTCCACTGGAGGCGCGAGTAACAGGCGCGCAGTCTCAATGGTATACACCGTAAACCGCTCCAGCGTTTCCACAGACTGCTCCGAAGCCCGGTGCAGGCGTACACGGACAACACAAATAGGACGGCCCATGCGATCCACGCCGTGCAGGAAACTCTTGCCCATGCGCATCTGGTACAAGAACTCCTCGCCCTTCTTCTTCTCCGCGGGATCAGAGCTCTGCGACTGCCGCAGAGCCAGTGCCTCGCCATTCATCATGACATCGTCGTCCACATGCACCTCGTGCAGCCGCCACCGCATGGTGGAAATCAGCATGATCAGCGCCTTCTGGACATCCCACTTGCGCGCGCGCAGGAAGCGCAGCAGCAGCGCATCCGGATGGTCATGTTTCACCATATTCCAGAACGCAGTCCGGATTTCCTCCGGCGACATCTCGGCTAGGGCCTTCTGGAACTCCTTCGACTGGCTGTACTTGTCGTCGCCGTCGGTGATCTTGATGGCCGCCAGGCTGGAGCTGATGCCCTGCTCGGAGGATACGCTCTTAGCGTCATCGTCGTCCTCGCCGCTGCGGCCCCAGAGCCCCCATCGGCGCTTGGGTTTCTTCGGCGTCGTGGATTGGTTCTCGTCGGCATTGGCCTTGGTTGCGGGCCCGAGGTCGTCGGGCTTGATGCCGAAGACGTGGAGGACCAGGACCCAGAATTCCTGGAGTTTGGCCTCCTGCTCGGCGGTGAGGGTCGAGACGGTGCCGGGGGCGGGTTCGATGGGCATCTTTTTGAGCGTATCAATGACTCCGAGGAAGGGTTCCTGTGGCGGCGGCCGGGAGGGAGCGGGCGCGGGGTCGTGGGAGTAGTAGTTATGGAGCGCAGCGCCTGATCCAATGGCGAGCAGGGTAAATGTGATCCAAAAAGAGGACGACTCCCTCGGTTCTGGGGATCGAGTGGAGTAGTGTCGCGGGGGTCGGAGGCTGGGGTTGGTCGCGCGAGCAGAGACCGAGACCGAGACAGAGGTGGCCGAGGAATTGAACCAGCAGCGGCGGAAAGGGAGGGCAGGGCGCATATGCAAGTTAGACGAGGGCGAGAGAACTTATCCCTGGGTGTGGCTTGAGCCGGGGTATTTACTAGTCGGGAGGAAGATGAAAGACGGAAGACCGACTCCACGTCACCAATGCGGTGGCGTATCGCATGACGATCTACTGAAGGGATTCTTTCATCTGGCGGGGGCTCGTATTCTTCGTTTCTGATGATGCTTGTCGAGTATTCCATTGTGTACAGTATATCAATTATATCGCAATACCATACCTCTCCTACGATGTCGCACACAGTGAGTACCTGGTCCTCCGTCACCATGATTATTTGTCGCGGGGGATCATCCCCATCCCTGGCCGATCACAACAACCCAACCAACCCACTTGGCCCAATTCCCCTTCGCCTACTACGGAGCTCGCACCACGATCAGATTTTGTCCTCGTATTCCACGACCTTCTAGCCTTGGAAATCTCCACCCTGCCATTTGTCCCTCATTTCTCCCTCGTCACACTCACACAAAATGGACTCGGCTCCTCGATCATCCTCGCGTCCACGCCCATCCTCCCGGCCCACGACACCCCTACGCCCCAGCTCGCGCTCATCCCTCCGCGAAGCCCACGGCTACGCGGGCAGCATCAGCAATGCCGGCTACACACAACCAGCTATCAACGCGCTGGAGCCGCAGTTCGCCGAGCTGGCCGACTCCATGGCCGATCTCGAAGCCAATTTCATGCACCTGCAGCTGATGCACGAGAGTCTGACGCGGTTCAGCGAGAGTTTCGCTAGTTTTCTGTACGGATTGAATATGAACGCGTTCTGTGTGGATTTTCCCGAGGTAGGATCTGGAGATGTGGTGACCAAAACAAGCCTTGCTAACCGACCACCACAGGCCCCGATTGCCGATTCTTTTCGCAGAGCGCAGCAGGCCGAATCGCAGAAAGGTAGGCTACGCGCAGTGGGCGCGAATGATTTGTGCTAATCGCTCAGACGCAGATGATCCGATCCGATCGACAGAAGAGGCGGAGATGACTTTCCTGTGAGTTGCGCGCGCGCTGTGCCAAACGACATTTGAACTGACCAGCGGAATGATTCCATCTGCAGATCGACCGGTACCTCCTTTGTTGAGCATCCGCCAAGCACCGTCTCCTCGAAACAGACCTCCAAACTCTCCGCGCCCTCACGGGGCTCATCGCGCGGTACCACTCGCGGCGCAGCGACGAGCCGGTACGCAACACGCGGTGCCAGCGGGCACCGTGCTCGACCTAGCTCGCTCCCGCGGGGGAGAGGGATGCGGTGAATTGATCTTGGATACATGGACGAAGAGTCGATGTGGTACAGCTGCGACCCTGGTAGACCACTCATGCGCCAGCTGTGTATATTGTCGCATTGCGGAAAACGCACTTTTAGTATTAGCCATAGGACATGCCTTAATGAACGATACCTTGCATAGACATTTGAGTCCATTGATTGTAGTTAGATTATTGTATGTGGTACTGCCAGTTGGCGGCCGAACCACCCGATCGGCGGCAACCCGGACACAGCGAAAAAAAGGACCCGATGGCAACTACGCTCCGCCACCAACTTCCCGTCGAATAGACCCCTTGTGCATCACTTCTCGTTCCTCTGCACATTTGGCGTTTGGTCCCTCGAGGGGTAGGCGGTCGGGACTTGCGCCGAGAGAGAGAGAGAGAAAAGGCAGCCCTTGGAAGAGGTGGCGCGCGGTAGTTATAGCGACGACATTCACTGCGCCCCTCCTGGATAGGTACTTGATTGTTCGTCTACTGCCACCTCTTGACTATACGCCTCAATGCAGAGCAATCGCTGACATCCAATTGTCCAGTGCAATGCTAGCCCGATCCAGGGCTTCTTGAGACTATCCCGCCTGTCCGATGCTGGGGATTCTTTGCCATTCCGGATATCACCATTTTCGTCATTTTTCCATCTTGCATAGATAGAGGTCTGGGACTTCTGCCAGCATTCGCTTGATTGCATCTCTTTCACCTATCAGGTTATCCATTCATCCATCCTCTTCATCTCTTCCATCATTGCATCACCAGCCCCTTCATCTTTCTCCATCATGGCGAGCCTCGATTCCGTCCACCTTCTGTCCGAACCCGAGTTCGGCTGTGGTATGTATTATTTGATACGAAGGTGGCTCCGTCTGACCGTCGCTAGAACATCTTGCCTCAATCATGGGCAAGGAGCAAACTGCTGGCCAGTTCAGGCGCGACTTCACCAAGGTGAATGAGCTGCTGGCACCGCTCTCAAAAACAGATGGCGTCGCTGTTCAGACCACTGGGCTGCGGACCGTGTCGTCGCTGAAACCCAAGTACCACTGTCTGGCTTGTTCGGAAGTGTGTTTAAACACTGAGCGAAAAGCACACACGAAGAAGACGGAGCATGCATTCTGTAAGCCTTGGCTCCTTGATCAAGTATCCAGTTACTAAACCAGATTAGATATGGAGTCTCGTAGTCGCCATATCTTTTGTGAATCGTGTGCGGACTTTGTCTACGACTTTGGCTTAGAGAGACTCCGTGGGCCGAGTGGCAAGTTCAAGCGAGAGCGTAAGTGTTCTCTCTTCGTTCCTTCGGTCATGACTGACTTTTGTGCAAGACAAATCATCCTGGGCGGAGGATCAGGCCGACGAGCTCTATGTCAGAAACAATGCCAACAAGAATCCATGCCGCTCGCGCGGCGCTCGTGGTGTCTGGAATATGGGCCAGACCTGCTACCAGGCCGTTGTCCTGCAGGCCCTCCTTCATGACCCCGTGCTCAACGCCTATTTCCTCTCAAATGGTCACGATATCCACACCTGCCAGATTGAGTTCTGCATGGCCTGTGCCACCACCCACGTCTTCACCGAGTTCAACAGCGGCGAGAACACCGACGCCGTGTCGGCCGCTACTCTTCTCTACCACGGCTGGCAAGCAAGCCGGGAAATGGCCGGATACAGCCAGCAAGACGCACACGAGTACTTCCAATTCCTTGTCAACGGACTCCACTCCTGCACCCCCGGCCACTCGGACGACTATGGCATCAAATGCGACTGCTTCTTCCATAAGATCTTCTACGGCGAGCTGCGCAGCAGCGTCATGTGCCACAAGTGCGGCCAAACGACGCATACTTACGACCCGATGGCAGACCTGAGTCTCGACGTGAAGCTGCAGACCAAACGCCGTAGTCTCAGCCGCACCCCTTCCTCCTCGTCATCCACCACGCCCACCCTAACGGGCTGCCTCGAAAGTTTCACAGCAGTGGAAGACCTCAACGCCGACGCAGCGTACCACTGCGAGAAATGCGGCAATACGCCGCAGCGCGCGTCCAAACGCCTCCAGGTCCACAAGCTGCCCATCATCCTGTGCATGCAGCTGAAGCGCTACGAGCACATCTCCAACTCTGCCAATTCCGAGAAGATGGAGTGCCACATCGACTTCCCCGTCTCGCTCAACATGTACCCCTACACGGTCAAGGATAAGGAGCGCGTCGATACCTCCAGGTATATCTATGACTTGTCCACTGTCGTCGTGCACCAGGGTACCATGGACTCCGGCCACTACTACGCGTACACACGCCTGCCGGGTGATAAGTGGGTGCTCATGGATGACAATAAGGTATCTGTGGCTAGCGTTTCGGATGTGCTGCGTCAGGATGCCTATTTGTTGTTCTACAGTATTCGCTCTGTCGCTTAGGCGTGGTTGCTGTGGTGGTGTGCAAGGATGTGGTCCCCTGGGTTTAAAAATGGGGAGGACGATATCCTTGCTTTTCTTTTTGCTGTGTTTTGGAATAAGTTTGGTTTCTGTTTATCTATACGCAAGCCAGGATTGCGCGGATTGATTCTTCGAGTATACCGTAGGCGTTCGTAGAGCCCAATTGATGCGTGAAGGGAAGTGAGCCAGCAGGTCAAGCTGATGCCTGGCATACGCTACGAATGACAGATCTGATAACGAAGGCTGTAGGCCGGCGAGCAAAGTAGGCATGTCGTCCAAAGCCAGAGCCAGATATGGACATGGACAGGCCGTCCGAGACAGCATACCCATTCAAAGAAAAAGAGAACCCAGAAAGATCCATCGTTAATTGGGTAAGGAATAAGAACGAGGCTCAACATGACAAAATCCTCGTGAGTCTAGAGAACTCTCCCACAACACACCACATCACACAACGCAAACACCCCGGTTATCCGTCCTCGTCACTGGCGAGTCTCCTCCCCCATCATCAACATCACCACCAAGTCATTTTCAGAGAAGTTCGTTCTCTCATAGTCGTCGTCGTCGGGGCACTAGGCGCGAAACGGATGGTAGATGCGAGCGGACCGAGAAGGTGGAAACATGGTATTTTGTTTTGGTTTTTTAACGGTACTAATTTCGAGTATTAGTTGATGGGTTCGAAATGACGATCAAATGGCGAGAGGATCTCCAGGTTGAAGACATATGGTCGGGACAGGTCTGGTCGTGTTTGTTCCCATGCCCTTCTCTTCCATATATCCCACCTCGGGATCCTGTGGTGCGCACTAACCTTGTTGAAGCCGATGTCGGTGGACTTCTCGCGGAAGCACTGACGGCAGATGTTCATCTGTAATGCGGAAGACCCGGTTAGCTTCCAGTTGCATGCACTTGTAGCCGATTTCTCATGACAGCGCCTGCTTGACTTGCGCCCCATGTTTCCTTCCAAAAATACATGCAGATGCGTAGGGAATTGTTCACATACCCCGTACTTGCGGATCAGACCAGCGCGGTGCGTGCAGACACGGCTAAAAAGAACCCAGCATTAGCCATTTGCTCTTCATTCCTCCCTCCCTCTCATCAAAATTTGTTGTTTCCACCACCATCACCACCAGCAGATCATCGCTCTCTCGCAGCAATATGCGTGCATCTGCGTCTTTCCATCGGGAGGATATAGGGGGAAATCGAAGGGGGTACACACCATCCACGGGAGCCCTTGCCGTACCTGATCGCGATCCGTTAGTGACTTGCGAGTGCGAAATCGAAAGGCAAAAAAACTTACTTGCGGGGCCGGCTGTACCAAACGGACTCGTGAGTCATCTTGAGAGGTTGGCGGAGGAGGTTGGAGGGCGTGGGTGTTGGAAGTTGTCGGCGTTGAGGGAGAAAGGGAAGAACCACGAATCTGATCTTAGGGTTTGGGGAAAGTGCGTTGCAGCCCTAACAAGCGAGTGGGTGGTCACGTGGGGGTGCTGGGAGTGTTGATTATGTCAGCATCTACATCGGGGCTGGAGGCTGGAGAATGACAGTCCAGTTGAAGGAACTCGATTTTAGTTTATTGTGTTTAAAGTTGCATTCCGTGTCAAGGTAGAAGTATCGGTATTCATCATCTCGATCGAGGCCTCACTTGCATGTTCGACAATCACTCATCTTTCGGCGAAATTCAGATCTACTTCGAAGGAATGAACCGATTAATTACAAGATTGACTCAGCAGACATAAAGCCTTTTCCTGAAGGATATAGAGGAACCGTGCTGGGTTGCACACTCGATCAAGAAATGACAGACTAGAGATCATGAAGAAGAAACCGCATGGTATAGTTCAAAACTGTCAAGCTGACTCCATCCGCCCCAACTAAACACAAAACAGGCGGTGAGACACTTCGTTTCAAGTAACTACACTCATAATTCCCCAGATTCCTGTCTCATGCAGGGTACGTTCGCGAGCCTTCCTTCACTAAACCCCTGATAAAAAGCGGGGGAATCATCATCGCCATTATCCCTCCCTCATATTTATGCACATTATGTACCTAGTGCATGCACCTGGATAGGCTGATCGCCGAATCCGCGATGCGCTCATTGGGCCAGCCATCAGCCCGTGAAGAGCGTGTAGATCACACGCGATCAATAGTTGGCGAGTGCCGAGTTTCCGCTTAGCGAGCAACCAACCTCCTATACGTAAACACCGGACTGTTTTCCTCAGGTTGGTAATATCGCTTGAGGATCATCAGTGCGGGATGGACGGATGGATGAACATGTCCAGCGTGTCCAGTACCCCTTGTACATATTCATCCAAAGAGCAAGTAAGTTCAAATAGATCTTCATTTCTGCCCCTGTGTTCCATAGAACGGAACGGTCCAAGCACACACACCCTGTTCGAGTCTCCAAACTATTCTATACAAGCAAGTACATTCCACAAGGTTAATCACTCCCGCCCCCCATGCGAGATAACGAGATCAGTCATATGACAGCTCCAGCCTTGCAGCCCTGCAATCCGCCAATAACATTACCCTCATACACCGTCTCGACCGATTCACGGTGCGTGCGCGCAGTGCGTGTCGGTTGGGACTCCGGAAGGGCGCGGATGAGATCATCCCGTTGGCACCGGACCCGGTTCACGGTTCAGTCTTGGCAAAGAACAAGACCTGTAGAAATCGGCGCTTATGTACGGGATGTGCTGTACAGAGCCACACGTACACAGTTTGAGCTTTAGCGGCCTACGTAGCGAATTCTTAATACCCAGGGGGGGCCTGATGATGTAGAAGCAGATTGTTGCACAGCAGCTGCGGTCCCCTGGGCTGGTAGGAATATAACTATAACTATATCCCGTGTGGAACATTCCCGAAATATAACTGAGATCGTTCCTAGCCTGGGCACATCCGGGTTCTACGGAAACAAAACATCCCGTCATCCGCTTCGCTCCGACGATCCTGCCATCCATACTGTAGATCGCCTTGTGCGGAGGGGGTCGGATTTAAAGCACGAGCGAGCCTCCACCGCAACAACTCAAAACAGTATGCGGCTCGGAAGGGGACCGCGCGCGAGGCCGAGACAGGGATCTTGGGACGGAAGATGACAATGCTGGGGTCCGAAAGTCTGTTGACCGCTGGTACGTAGAAAAAGGAGGAGGCTGGCCCTTGGTCACTTTCACTTTACTATAAATGTCTAGGCGCAGAGTGGTGCAACCCCGCCAGGCAAGCAGCTTTGACGCCTTGAGTGAAAGAGGTAGCGATCGGCTACGTCATTGGAATGAAGGACTGGTGGTGCATAGCATTGTACAGACACACCCAGTACGAATCGAGTAGAGGTCGTTACTGGACTATTGCGATGGTGTGGATTCTGGATGCCGGGAAGAACCCACCTATTACTAGATTCAGCATGGCCAAGCACGAACCTGGGCCAGAAGTTCCCGAGACACCCGAAATGATAGCAAGTTAGGCAGCCCGGAAATCAATAATAACGCAGATGACTGCAGATCCACATCGAGATGGAAAACCGGCGGTCTACTGTAACGGATGAATCACCAGAGCACAACCGGTATATGTCGAGGTACAACTCGTATAGGTTAGGAATTCGTCTGCCTGGCTCTATCGCATCAGGTATACTTCGAACCAAAGTTGACAACCACTACTCTCATGCAAGGGAAGAGAATCCCGAGCGGTGCATGACCACGAAAGGTCTAGAGCCCAGGAACAACAATCAGTGAATCATCACTACTGCCACTACCGCCACGCCCGCTCGGCGTCCTTATCCCCGCCTGATCCGAGGGCATTGGAAATCAGTACCGCATGGAAGTAAAGGGAAGTAATAAAAAAAAGAAAACCCTGCGAATATTGAAGCTCCGATGCTGCTTTTCCTATTAATAAGGCATCCCAAGCCAGCCCCGCCGCGCCGAAGAGATCCCGCTCTTATATACCCTTGTCCTTCTCCCCTGCATACCTGGTCCTCTATACTTCCCTCAGCCCTACGGCTTTGTTCAACCTTGCTATCCACCACACCGAACAAGAAACCCCCAGACCTTTTCACTCATCTTTCTCAAGTTCAAGTTTGAGATCACTGATTCGCTGGTCTGGCTCGGAAGTTTTTTTTTCTAAAAAAAAAGGGCTCGCATCCCGGGTCTCACCATCGTTACGTCACGACCTGGTAGAGCTTCGGGAACTCGCACACAGCGCAACCTGAAGCTCTGCACTCTCTCACCCACCTTCGTACTTGCACGCGCAGTCTGCGTAACCTCAGAGTAATCCAGCTAGATTTCCAGGGTTCCTTTTTATTCCACTCCATGCGGCACACGGCGTCTCGCGCTGCTTTCGCAGCGGCCTTCCTGTTCGCGTCGCTTGCGACTGCGCTGCCGCACGGCGATGATGAAGCCATGGACATGGACATGGGGATGAGTATGACCAGCACGGCGCCCACGGCGACCACCACTACCGCCAAGACGCCCAGCGACGTCGCGATGAGCTACTTCGCGTACAGCAAGCACTCTGGCACCATCATTGCGCACATTGCGCTCATGGTCCTGGGCTGGTGCTTTGTTCTTCCTGCTGGTAAGTTGCACCAAAGTGCTTTTGTCAGCCAAAACAGACTTGGGCGAAAGAACTGGAAGCTGATTTATAATAGCTGTCATGCTGAGCATTGCGCGATCGCGCTTTGCGCTTCTTTCGCAGTTCCTGTTCTTGGTGTTTAATGCCTTCGGATTGTTGCTGGGTCTGATATACAACGGCCAGACACCAGACCTGTACGAAAACAACGCGCACCACAAGATTGGCTGGATTGCGACGTGGGTCGTTGGCGTGCAGGCCATCCTGGGCCTGATCTTCGCATACGCCGGCCGAGGCGAGTCGCACGCTGACACGTACGAACGGGCCACCTTCCTGCCTGTGGCCACCGACGAGATGGCCCAGCACGACCACATGTACCCTCATCGCCCTTTGCACGAGTACCGTTGGTCTCGCGACAGCGGCCAGGGCACCGAGAGTAACTCATCTTCCATTCACAGCCCCGACTCTCCGTCTGCCGAATACGACGGTTTCGAAAAGCCCGAGGACGACCTGCCAGCCAAACCCGCCGCTCCGCGCGGCTGGTTCCATAGCACCGTTGTGGATCGGTTTCTGTCGAAGCGCGTACCGGGATTGGTGTCGAGTCGTGTGCTGCGCAGCTTCAACCTGGTGTACAACATTATTGATCGCATCATCCTGCCTTTTGGTTTTGTCGCCATTGCGACTGGTGCTGTGACCTATGGGGGTATCATGCGAGACCACGAGATCTTCAACGGATTAGCGCACTTCATCAAGGGTGGCATTTTCTTCTGGTATGGCATCCTGACGCTCGGACGCTTTGTGGGTTGCTGGGCAGACTTTGGTTGGGCTTGGAACAAGAAGCCCCCTGCCGCAATTGTCGGATCGTGGAAGTCCAAGATCCCGACGGGAGAATTCACCGAGTCCTTTGTCATTTGGCTGTATGGAGCTTCGAACGTCTTCCTAGAGCACCTAGCCCGCTGGGGCCAGGCTTGGTCTCCCACCGACCTCGAGCATGTCTCGATCTCAGTGATGTTCTTCGGCGGTGGCCTGGTAAGTTGGGGATTATCTGTTCTCTGTAGACTGCAGCTAACATGCCTGGCAGTGTGGCATGCTCTTCGAATCCAAGCGGATCCGTGAATGGCTCAACAGCACCCTCCTCCATTCGCCCATGCACGGTAGCCGAGACGAGGCCTGGCAAGTTCCCAAATCGCAGGGGGTCCCGCTGAACCCGATGCCCGCTCTGATCATCCTGCTGCTGGGAATGATGATGGGATCGCACCACCAGGACAGCATGACTTCGACCATGGTGCACAAGCAGTGGGGCAACATGCTGGTTGGCTTTGCTCTGGCCCGGGGCATGACCTATCTGCTGCTGTTCCTCAAGCCGCCCAGCTCATACCTGCCTGCGCGTCCGCCTACTGAGATCGTGGCTGCATTCTGCCTGATTTCTGGTGGCCTTATCTTCATGCTGAGTGTGAGTACTATGACCAAAGGAAATGAGAGTCGGATGCTAATAAGGCGTGATGCAGACCCGCAACGTCATCGAGGCAATGGAGTTCTACGAGGTGGACGCGATGTTCACCTTCACGGTAGGCATGGGCTTCACCGCCTTCGTCATGGCCCTGGAAGTGTTGGTGATTGCCCTCAAGGCCTGGGCAGTAAAGCGCGAGCAGCCCAATGTGAGCTATCGCTTTCCCTGAATTCTTCTTTTTTGAGTATTTCTGTTTGATACCCGGATCTATGAATCCCTGACCCGACCTACTCCTCTCTCCTGAGGTGAAATATAAAGATAATGTGGCGATGATAATGGGGGCAAATCCAGATGTATGCAGACATGAATGAACAATAATTCTACACAGTAGTAGGACATCATTGACTTTTCTCACTTCGAGAAACAATCCCTCTTAACAGTTAACTAAAGACATCTACATCTATTACCCACTCGGAGCTAAACATTTATGTCCGGCGCCAACTGAAGAAAATTGCCGTTCAAGTGGGGCGATATCCTCTGGCTACGGCATTCAAGCATTACCGAGCCGATTAGCCGTGGCTAAGAAATGAAATCTTGAAGATGCGACACAGAACGGTGTCCGGCACATTTGGCGTAGTGGGCTGTCCGGAGAAAGTAGTACGGGTGGAGGACAAGAGGAACAACAGCTGGTGGTACCACATACATACCCTCTTCGGTAGATAGCTGTCAAAGCACTCGTAGTGACCCGGTGGGGAACGACCGGGAGGATTTGAGCACTGTGGACATGCTTTATAAGAGGGGCAGACATGCGCAACCCCTCGCCACTCTTCATACTCCCTGAAACTATCCATCTCCAAGTACTCGATATGGCCTCCAACCCTCCCGCTGCCTGCTGCGCCACTGGCTTCAAGCATGATGGCACTCCTGTCGGCGAAGTGAAGAACATTGACGGAGGTGAGTGCTTCTGCATGAACTTTCAAAGCCAGCCCTGACACAGTAATTCTCCAGTCGAGACCTACATTGTCTCCCCCAAGGACAACAAGAAGCCCGAGAAGGCCGTCATCTTCATCACCGACATCTTTGGTCTCGCTCTCACGAATGCCAAGCTCGTCGCCGATGAGTTTGCCAACAATGGCTACCTGACTGTCATTCCGGACCTGTTCAACGGCGACCCCATCAGCCCCGCCGACATGGACTCCGGCAAGGCCGACATTCCCAACTGGCTCCCCAAGCACACGACTGCTCAGGTCGACCCCATTGTGCAGAAGAGCATCAAGTACGTCCGCGAGACCCTCGGCGTCAAGCAGGTCGGTGCCGTTGGCTACTGCTTCGGTGGCAAGGTATATTCCTTTCTCTCACGTGCGTCCGTGAAGTCTCTGACAGCCTTGTAGTATGTCTGCCGTTTCCTGAAGCCCGGCCAGATCGACGTCGGTTACACCGCGCACCCTTCGTTTGTCACCGACGAGGAATTGGCTGGTATTGCCGGTCCCCTCTCCATTGCCGCTGCTGGTGAGTTTGCACTTTGACGCTTTTATCGAGAGAATGGAGCTGACACCCTTCGCAGAGATCGACCAGATCTTCACCACCGAGCTCCGTCACAAGTCCGAGGACATTCTGATCAAGGGCGGCCGGCCTTGGCAGCTCAACCTCTTCGGTGGCGTCAGCCACGGCTTTGCTGTTCGTGGTGATCCGAACGACCAGAAGCAGAAGTACGCCAAGGAGCAGGCTTTCTGCCAGGCTGTTGGATGGTTCAACCAGCACCTGTAGATAATGCAAATAGTATATACCTAGAAATATAGCGCTGCAGTGAAGTGATGAACGGCGGAAGCATTACATAAAAAGCATAAAACCTAGTAGATAAGCACTATCCCACGTGACCAGTCGCGCCCGAAGAGAAAGAACAGAACAAACACTCCGGATCTTTCCCTTTCCCATCCTCGACCACGCTTGCCCGGGTGGTCTTTTGCACTGTAACCTTGTACCGTGCCTCGTGATTTGTACTCGTTCCCTGGTTGTCATCATCATCTCTCCGTCCCAGTCAAGTCGCGTGCCCATGGTGAGTTTTATCCCTGGGATGGTCTCGGCTCGATTGGCGGCCACGACCCTGAGGATTTTGTACATGAGGAATACTAACATGATCTTATCAACAGTGGTTCACCTGATGATCCATTTCTGACGTTGAAACCTGCCATTTTGGTCCCATCTTGCCCGCTGCAGAACCTCAAACCCCGATATCCGTCCCTCCGTCTTACCTTCATCCCGCCTCGTACCCCGATATACCTCGACCGGGGCGCCTAATTTGACTCTCTGGACGTTTATTCAACCAGCGGAATAAGAAAAGAAACCATGGCTACTCCCGCTGCCTTGCCGCCATTGCCATTCAATCCGGCCCGAGTGCGCACCTACCTCGTCCGACTCCCACTCTTTACGCGTCTGGTTCTCCTGGCCATTGTCGTGTTCTGGCTGCTGGAGTTACAAACGGTCTGGGCTGTGGTGCAATGGGGCTCTCTCATCCCAGATGACGTCTGGCCGACGCAAAGTATGCATATCCCCCTCATAAAAGCCCAATTGTGTTGTCTGACAAATCTCTCTGCTCAAACAGTGTACCGGCTCAACACCTACCCCTTTATCCACGCGGGCTTCTGGCATGTTTTGCTGAATATTTTGGCGCTTACGCCGTTGCTGGAGCGCTTTGAAGCGGAACATGGCACCTTGACTGCGGTGGCCTTGTTTATGGGTCGTGAGTACTCTCTTCATTACTTATATCTTCCGTTCGCTAAGCCGGTGTCTTTCAGCCCTTTCAACCTTCCCTGCGGGGTTGTATATACTTGGTGAGAAAGTTATTCTCCACCAGAATACCCCGGTGGTTGGCTCCAGCGTCTGGGTCTTTCTGCTTTTGGGCTCCGAATCGATCCGGACGTTCAAGTCGAACCCCCATTTCAGCCTCGGCCCGTATAAGATTCCCACCTGGACCTCGCCTTTGCTTGCTTGTGTCGTCGTCTCCATTCTCATGTCCAATGTCAGCTTCCTTGGCCATTTGTGCGCCGTTCTAGTTGGTTATCTCTGTGAGTTCCTCTGTTCCATATCCTAATTGCATCGCTGACCTTTTGTCGTTAGTTGGTCTCGGTTACCTCAAGATTTTTGTTCCACCCGAGAAGGTCCTTCGATGGATCGAGGGTAAGCTGAACCTCCTGGGACGTCTGCCGCACTATATCTCGGTCGATCAGAAGACATACGGCCGCTACGGTGTTCTGCCTTCGTCGAACGCGACCGGCACCACCGAGCGTCCGACGCCGATGAGCTACCTGGGTGGCACGCAACGCCTGGGCTCTTAAGACGATGAATCCCTGTTTTATTTCCTTTGTATATCTTGGCCATATTTGTTTTTTTAGTACACGGAGTATAGCATAGCGTGTTGCATATCAAAGTATACTAGGGTGCGCTTTTGGTCTGTGTCGGCGGGCGTAAAATCCCCATCTCCATCAACAAATGTACTTACATCTTCCGTACACCTCCCTCTTTTCAACTCAATCATTACATCCTCCTGGCGGGCTAGCCGCCACATGTGGTGTCATCCCCAGATGGTGATCGCTCAATGGCGCTGAAATGTAAGTGTTTTCGAGCCTACCACTCCCGTCTACCCGTCCGCACCCTCGGACTGGACACCTGGAGACAACCCCGAACGCTGACAGCTGCGCAATGCTAGCTAAAATCCGCGATCTGCGGAACAATCCTCACCTCCTTTTTGTCCGTCTTCCAAATTTCTTGTCGCTTGCCTGTATCGTCGTCGGCGTCGTTTGGCTCCTACTTCTCCCCCTCAACGAGTACTCCCGACAAACCTACATCTCCGAAAATGCACTTCTCCCCGGCCAAGTCCACGCATATTTTTCGGGTAGCGAGCAGAATATCTTCCGTGGATACAAGAAGGAATTGGAAGGGCTGCTGAATGAGGGACGTGAACAGGGTGTCCCTGAAGCCGAGGCGGGCCAGACTCCAGCGTACGTTCCGGGGACTCCATGCTGGTAAACAATGATCCTAATTATGGACACAGGATCTCCAGCAAAATCCAGTCGATTTTACAAGCTGCTGGATTGAAGGTTGCAACGCAGAAATACGAATATACCTCTGCAGGTATTACGCACGAAGGCGAGAATGTCTACGCTATCATCCACGCGCCGCGCGGCGATGCCACGGAGGCAATTGTTCTGGTCGCGGCGTGGAAGACAGCCAATGATGAGCTAAATTTGAATGGTGTCACCTTAGCCTTGACATTGGCTCGGTACTTCAAACGTGAGTACTATCTGTCTTCTTTTCCTAGGGATATGCTGATGCTTGGGTTAAGGGTGGTCACTATGGTCCAAGGACATCATCTTCGTCATTACACCTGACAGTAAGTCTGGGACACAGGCGTGGATCGATGCGTACCATGACATGCACCCTGCCTCTGTACAACCTCTCCCATTGAAGAGCGGAGCATTGCAGGGCGCTCTGGTAATTGAATACCCCTTCGACCACCGCTTCCAGTCCCTGCACATCGTGTACGATGGCGTGAACGGCCAACTGCCCAATCTCGATCTGTTCAACACGGCCGTCGCCATCGCCAGCAACCAGATGGGCATCGGATCAAGTCTGCAGGAGATGTGGGAGCACGACGACAGCTACCAGGCCCGACTGCAAACCACTCTGCGTGGCATGGCTAAGCAGGGTCTGGGGTATGCCACTGGCGCTCACAGCAGCTTCATGCCTTACCACATCGATGCAATCACCATGCAGACCAAGGGTGAAGGCTGGGAGGACGAGATGGCCCTGGGTCGCACCGTCGAGAGCATCTGCCGCAGTTTGAATAATCTGCTCGAGCACCTGCACCAGAGCTTCTTCTTCTATCTGCTCATGCAGTCGAATCGCTTCGTCAGTATCGGCACGTACCTTCCCAGCGCTATGCTGATTGCTGGTAATTTTACCATCATGGCGATTGCACTGTGGATGCGCACGGGGTACTACACTGGCGCTATCTCGACAACACCAGCAACCGCTGGGGATAAGAAAGAAAAGCCCTCTAGCAAGAAAGTGACCTCGGATAAGCCTGGGGCGGACGTCAAGCTGAAGGAGAGTGGCGTTGCTGAAAGACATCTGGCTCTGCCACTGACGCTGGTGGTCGGACTACACTTGCTGGGCCTTATTCCACTCTGGCTCTTCAATACTCTTTCGCACCAGTATCTCCCCATCAGCGCCTATGCCTTCGTCATCGTCGACTTCGTCCTCCCATTAGTCCTGGCCGCCCTTCTATCTCATGGCCTTGGCCTTTCCGCCCCCATCATCCCCCAGCAATACCACCTGATCAAATCCTTCTCCTTGCTCCTGCTGGGCCTCTCGCTTTCAACTCTGGCGACCCTCAATTTCTCCCTTTCGTTCATGATCGGGCTCCTCTGCGCCCCGCTCAGTTTCATCGAGCGGCTTCAGAGGCCCTCCAAACCTGTGCGCTCCGCTATTTCCGGCATCGGCTTCTTGTGCCTGAATCTTCTGTCCCCGCCTAGTGTTCTGCTGGGCGTGTGCTGGTACACCGGTGTGTCTGTGGAGACCGTTCTAACGCAGGCGGCTTTCGGGTGGGATGTGTGGGGGGTCTGGACGCAGGTGGTTGTCTGGTGTGTCTGGTGGCCGGCGTGGTTGATTGGGTGTGTGCTCTTGGGGGCCTCGATGTTCTGATCGATGAATGACGCTAGTGTGTTGCAAGCATCATAATACAGATGAGATGAATCCACTACAGAATTCAAGTCTACGCCCTACAGAATGGATAAACGCACCACAGTCCCATCATTCATTATAAGATGCCTAGGTACTGTAGACACGTGGTAATTTAACAAGAAAAGCCTCGTCTATGCGGCCCAGACATCCTTGCCAACACCCTCAATCCAATGACCCAGCTGGTTAACACCAGCATCCCAATCCTTGAGACGGTTACGCATGCCATCGATCTGCTTCATATCCAGCACCTTCGGCTGAACCCAATGGATCTGCGCAACCTGCGCAACCTGGTCAATCGAACCCTTCAGCAGCCCCAACGACAAAGCCTTCATAACCAGATGCTCAATCTCATCGGGCTGCACCTTTGTCTCCGACGCGATAACGCCAAACGCAAGCGAGCGGTCATGCGGCGGACGCCGGAAGACCATCTCCGTCAGCGCCGACAGCGAGATCTTCTGATACAGGAACACGCGGTGCTCCTCCAGCAGCTTGTTCTTCGAGATGTTGCCCGCCAGCACGTCGTAGGCGGTCAGGTCGCCCCGGTTGAAGGCGAAGAGCAGGTCGCGCAACCAGTTGTGTGGGGTTTCGGTCAGCGAGTCGAGGATCGGGTGCAGGAGAAGCTCGCCGAAGTTGTAGATCGAGTCGGAGACTAGTGCCGCGACGCTGAGGTTGTAGGCGCGGGACACGCGCTCGGACTCGGGCAGTTCCTCCAGGTTGATGCAGGCTAGGTACAGCAGGGCGTTTTTGTAGAATGAGGCGAACTCTTGCTTGGCCTGCAGTGAACGGACTTGTGTTAGTTTTGAAGATAGCGGATGAGGGTGGGGTGGGGGATGCGTACGTGGTGGTAGTCCGAGTTTACTTTATAGAACGAGGCATGCACCACCGTCTCGACAGAGTCGAACGTATCCAGCACCCGCTGACACGATGCCAGGTCCTTTTGTGCGCCATCCAGATCCTTCAGTCGCAGCTTGACGTTGGCCACGTCCGCCAGCGCATAGACATGTGCGTCTTGTGTCTCAGCTTTGTCGACTCGGTCTGCCAGGGATGTGAGGAAGGCCAGTCGTTCTTGGTCGTCTGTGTGGGAGGGCAGGTCATCAGTGAATGGTCATCATCAAGTGTATTGTTGGATAGCTTACCAGCGCACTCCGTCGCAGCCATCAACCCCAACGCCACAAACTTCAGCTGGTTGATCCGATCGGCGAAGCTGAGCACGAAAGTCTTGAAGATGGCTAACCGCTGCGGCGCGCTCTCTGGCAGACGGAAGAACTCGACCAGCGCATCGGTCAGCTGATGCCATAGCTTCCTCTCCCAGAAGTCTTCGAAGGTGAGGAAGTAGGACTGCGTTTCGGGGGTGCCTTGTTGCTGCTGCTCGGCCAGGAAATCGGGGATCTTGGAGGAGTCCATGGCGGAGAGCTGGTTAGGCGGGAATGGAATGGATGTGATCAGACCCGATAGAGGAGAGCAGGAGAAAAACAGAGAGACAAGGACAGGGGAAGAGAAAGAGCAGGACAGGAAGAATTGGTGTGGGAGATGCGGAATGGCAGATGTGCAAGTGAGCTTGGTGATGGAGTCGGAGCTAGCGGGCGGTGAGAGCTGGGACTATGACACCGGTCTGTCTCAACTTCAACTAGCATCGACATGGACATTCTCTGCTAGGCAGGTACTTCCTCGTTAACCGGCGAGATTTGCGGAGACTTACGCCTCTCTATATTCTCCAGAAATCTTTCCTGCAGTGTCATCCGCAGATCTTTCTTCTCTACGGAAGTGTCCGAGTATGTCTCCGAGCCAACCCTGGAATATAAATATCACGCCTCCCACTAGTTGACCGGACTGTTTTCACACATCAAACTATTTTTGGATCTCATTCACATTAGGTCTTACATACCCAGCCATTATCAACTGGTTCATCAACTCGTTCGTCATGGCCAATTTTACAGAAACCAACCGGAAGTACTTCGAGTAAGTCTTCAACAAGATTCCATCTGGCCACAAACTAACTCTAATTCTATACAGTCAGATGGCTACTTCCTACCAGAATCGGTTTGCCAATGTCCTAAAGATGTTGACCGAGCAGGTCCAACAACGCCGGCTCTGGCTCAGTGACCGCTGGACCGATACAGATGCAGGCAAGGACCAGGAAATCAAAATGCTCGAATATGCCTGCGGGCCTGGAGCAGTGTCAATGGTATGTTCTTGCTCGCGACCTCAAGATGTATAGTCTAGAAACATAGAAACACACTGATAGGTCCTCCAGGCACTTGCTCCGTTCCTGACCAAAGTCATTGGGATAGATCTCAGCGATAACATGGTTGATGAATACAACCGCAATGCCGCTGCAGTTGGTTTCTCCGATAAAGTCACTGGGTACAAGGCCGACCTCCTGGGAGAGTCTGTGGCTGCCCAGTTTTCGGGCTCCGAGTTTATCGATTTCGACGTTCTGACCGTGAGCATGGCACTGCACCATTTCGAGCATCCGGGTCAAGCTCTGAAGCGGCTTGCATCGCGGGTTAAGAAGGATGGTGCATGTTTGATCATTGATCTTGTTCCGCATACTGCACATGAACATGGACACGGACACGGACATGGACACGGTCACGGCCATGGACAGGAGGGCCATGATTTCGGTGATGCTTCTGCCACTGTCATGACACACGGCTTCTCGCGAGAGGACATGCAGAAGTTGTTCGAGGGAGCGGGTCTGAGTGCTCGATTTGACTATGAAATCCTCTCCGAGCCACTCGTCTTTACCAAGGATGACAAAACCATTTCTAAGACGGCTTTTATTGCGCGCGCTCAGCGTGCATAAGCATAGTTTATAATTGTTTTAGCACATGGGACCCGTACAATTTTCTGATTCGAATGTTATCCTCCAAAATGTAGCCAAAATGTAGCAGGGCTATAAATAACCCTTTGGCGAGGACCCGTTGCCACCATCTCAGGGGCGCGCGATTGCGAACTGGATCAGAATCAACCAGAAACTCTGAGACACATCCCCTGCCCTGGATTTTGTTAGAGAACCAATTTTAAAAAGGTTTTTGGTGCCTCTAATCTTGGCGTGGCGCAATAATTGCTCGGGTACTGGCGCTGGTATGGCACAGACCCGACTGACCTATTCGACAGGTCTAGCCCCGGAAAGTTTATAGAAGAAAGGAGACCATATAAGGTAAGGACCCTACCCCTGCCTCTCAAGTGCTCCAATACTTTTCACAAACAAATCTCTACTGACCACCAGTCGCTCGTTACACGTTTACTAGAGAAAATAATGAAGGCCCTCTCCCTCCCTATCATCCTTAGCCTCACCGGCCTCACCACTGCTCGGACCGTCCTATCCGGCTGTGTCTCATCCCTCACTACCGATCAGTACCACGAAGCCAGCATGATCTGGTATGTACCCGGCACCGGCGAGATCTGCGCCTTTCCCGACTGCGGCGGCGGAACCGCACCCCCGAAGACTGACCAGCCGGGCTGCCCGTTGTATACCGGCACGGCAACTCTGACCTCCAGCTACTTGCCTGGCTGGGGGCCCAGTGGCAAGATGGCGGCATCAACATCCACGGCGAAGGAGACTATGTTGACCGGCACGAGAACTGCCACCAGTGCTAGCGATAGCATGATTACTACGGCACCAACTACTTCGGTCCTGGCCTCTTTGACGACTACCACCTTAAAAGACACAACTCTGTCAAGCTCGACATCTGCTGCTCCAAATTCTACGACTACTGGCAATGCTGCTAGCATACATAATTCAAATATTGGGGGTGTTATGGGTATTGTGGCTGCAGTTGTTGGTGTCATGGCTCTATAATCAACACTAGGAATGACTCTGCTGCGGAGATTGACTTGAATTAGTCCAAGATGTTCTGTGTACTAAAACTAATTATGATATCTGTACAAGCCAAGTTCCCATACATTGATCTTAAAATGCACAGTATTTATTGTTCTTATTTGGATGATTTGGAATGTTCTACGTGCTACTGGCTCAAAACAAATCAAGAAACCAACCTGCCAAAGAGGCAGGTCTTTAATCCACGCTGAGGACCAAGTAGTGAGGATAAACTATTGAAGAATAGTTATCCGATTAGTAGAAAACGTCTATACTGAGTGAATTGCTCTATGCGATGGTTGACTCTTCCACATCGGAAGTATTGCCCCCATAGTCTCCGATCTGGGGCCTTGCCCCACAACATCCGTCTTTGCCCATCGATCCGTATATCCGAGTTCTACCTGCTTCTCTGTCCCGCAGCCCCGCATGGAGAAGATGGAAACAAAAAAGCTGTCGGGTTTAATAGTGCTAAATTCCACCCCTGTCATCTTTCGCAGTGATAATTTGTACTGATCATTATTGCCATAACCGACCCTTCATGATGCCGTCCTGGACGCACCTTGTTCGTTTCATCGCTGTCGAGGACAGCCAGGTCCACCTTGGCCAATTGGTTGACCCCACTCGCGATGTTGGTCGCGACAGTGTCAATGGCGTTGAGATTTCTGTCTATGTGATCGAGGGTACGATGTTTGACGGTCGAGTTACGAAGGAAATCATGCATGTCAAGCAGGTAGACACCCAACGAGCTTGTCCTTGAGACGTTGCATACTGATACATGCCCTAGCTACTATCCCCCGTCTCAAGAGAGGACTGCAATTATATCCGCTGCCTGGGCTTGAACTACATGGACCACGCAAAGGTACCGTACCTAATACTCATACGCAATGACATCCAGAGAAGCTCATAACTGTTCAGGAAGCCAACATGGCTCTTCCCAAGGCCCCGATTTTGTTCACGAAGCCACGAACTGCTCTAGCTGGACCATATCCGGCTGCGATCAACATCCCTAAATGTGCTCAGGATGGAACAAGCGACTATGAAGCCGAGTTGTGTCTCGTCATCGGCAAGAGCGGTCGCGATATTCCCGAGGAAGAAGCCCTTGACTATGTTCTCGGATACACCGCCTCGAATGATGTGTCTGCGCGGACAATGCAGATGATTACCACGCAGTGGTCCTTCTCCAAAGGTCTTGATGGAAGCTGTCCTCTCGGTTCGTGTCCTTCTCCAAGGTTCTACAAGAGTATGCACTAATGCGAGATTCATTCCAGGCCCTGTCCTCGTTGCTCCCTCTGTGATTCAAGACCCCCAAACTTTGTCGATCAAGGCTATCCATAATGGAGCAACCGTGCAGGATGGCCACACAAAGGATATGATCTTTTCCATCAAGAAACAGATCTCTTACCTCTCCCAGGGTACGACCTTGGAGGCGGGTACTATCTTCTTGACGGGAACACCGGCAGGTATTGGCTATTTCCGTGATCCCAGAGTGGTTTTAAAGGATGGTGATGAGATCGCGGTGGAGATTGATCAGATTGGAACACTGGTCAACAAGGTTCGGTACGAGAGTCGCTGAATTTGTGTTGAAATGATAGACGCGGAGGATTATCCTGCTCGTCCAATGTGAGATCACAGGTATAAAGGTGGGCGATAGAATTGAAAATGGCATATATTCGGAATTGAAGTAACGAGTAGCTATAGACTCGGATTGATCATCCCAGATAAGAGGCAGAAAAGAATCACTTCATTAAGCCCTTTCAATTTCTTCAACAAGACAAACTCCTAGGTGTCGATACCAATATCAGTCTAGCATGAAAACGAAGACATGACATTAACAGCTGTATCATCCAGACCACTCGCTATTTAGAATAGAAAAAAGTTCACTATGACATTCTAAGTGTTCATGATTTACCAATACAATGCCCTACTGCAAGAACCAAGCAGGCACCTCAGGCCCCCAAACCGCCAACGACTCATCGCCTGCAGGACTATATCCGATAGGAGTTTGATCATTCACAAGATCGCCATCAGCATAGTGCTCGATCATGTTGCCAGTGGTATCCCACCAATAGTCAAAAATTTGTGAGCCCAGGATATGGCGACCAACACCCCAAACAGACTGGTACTCTTTTTTGGCAAGCCACTGGTGACCCAGTGCCTGCGTGTCAAAATCATGCACTTCGAATGAGCAGTGATGGACATGCGAGGTGGCGTTTGTGCTCATGAAGAAGCTGTGATGATCCACGAGGTCCTCGCCGCGATCGATGTGTGCAAAGAGCGCGACATTCTGCTTCTTGCCTTCTTTTTCCACGTAAAGGAAATCCGTAGGGACGAAATTGAACGTGGATGTATAGAAGTCAACAAGGGCTTCAAACTTTTGTGTGCAGATACCGTAGTGGCCGAGCTGATATGAAATTAGTTTCTATTTCTGGCCATTTGCGGAATCACATACCTTGTGAACAGCAGCTGGCCCAGGCTCGAATCGTTGGAATCGCCGCGCACGAGGCTTCTCGTTTTCGTAGTTAATCATGATCTTCTCGGGAAATTCGCCCTTTGCGGCTGGACTCTGTCCGAACATCAGGTTCATGAGAAATCCCTCCGGATCGGTCAGGGAGACCATAAACCCGCCTCCGGGGGCGTCAGCAAGTTCTTGAATTGAGCTGGCGGTATCTAGTTGAGCAGCCCTAATAGAATGTCAGAGCTAAATTAACAATAATAAGAATGGCAGCCCTACTTCTCTAGATCTTGGTAGGTCTCCACAGTAAAGGTACCACCGAGGAACTTCTTCGGCCCTTTTTGCGCGTAGTACACGTACTGGTCGTCCCCATAGCCTCGATACCAGATCTGCTCTTCGGTACGCTTGGCCACGACCATACCAAAGTCTAGATATTTGGATTAGCTTATGAATATCAAAAGTGTGAAGAACTTACCCTGCAGAAAGGTGGTAATCTGATCTAGATCAGGGTGCTGATATCGCATATGTGCCAGTTTAACCAGACGAATCTGACTTTCTTTCTTGACGTTGCATCTCTGGCGCCATGTCTCGATGCTCTCTCGCTCGCTGCCGATAGCATCGATATCAGGAATAGAGGCACCGTGGTTTGCTGGAGTTATCTCTACTTGTGTCTGTGGGGATGCTATTAGCATGTGAATAGGACTACTATGGGAACGAGCCATTTTACCATCTTGGACTTTGCCGTAATGCTTCTGGGTAGTCCTAGCAAAATATCAACTTCATTTATCGCAGCTTATTATTTGACCCCATCTGTTTCCCCACAGGCCCCTCCACCCGGAAGTCCCGCAGACTTGCGTCCCGCAACCCGAGTGGATCGTCGCGGAGAAGTAAACTCCCCACAAGCAATTGTGGAGGGACTCGAACAACCAGACAGCCGAGGACAAAACCCAATTATTCTAAATAGATGTTTATGAGCGCTATTTGAATTAATATATCATTTATCATGGCTGATCTCAACTGCGAAACCACCGACGTGGTGATATGCGGCTGCGGACCCACGGGGGCCATGCTGTCTGCGTATTTGGGTCGGATGAGAATTCGCAATATCGTGCTGGAGAAAGGAGAAAGGATTACAACAGACCCGAGAGGTATCGCGCTTGATGAAGATGGGATTCGTCTGCTGCAGGGTATAGGGCTGTACCCGTCTATCTATAAAGAGATTGGAACCTGTGAGTGTCATTCGGAGAGAAACGCCCATCAAACATAATTGTCTAATCACTTTTAGGTATGCACACTTTCAAGTTCATTGGGGGAACAAATCCCGTTCTGGATAAGAAGGCGTTTATGGAAATGGATTACGGGACGGTAAGAGACGAAGCCTTTAACTATAACTTCAGATCTGACCTCTTGTGGATAGACAGAAGGTGGGACAGGACATGTAGGATTTATCTGCCACAAACAGCCTACACTGGAGAAGAGCCTTCGGCAAGCAATGGCATCATCTTCATCCTGTGAACTACGCTCTGGGTGCACGGTGACCGGCCTATCCGAAGATGAAGATGGTGTAATATGCCAGTATCGCGATCCCCAAGGAATTGAGCACTGCATTCGTTCACGCTTTTTTGTTGGTGCCGATGGAAAGACTGGGTTCACAAGAAAACAATATCTCGAGGCGCGAGGGATAACTATGGACCAGGCTCATAGGTAGGCGTCCCATGTTCTTGTGTCAGCTTCATACTGATAATGGAACAGCGCCTTCTATGAAGAGACGTGGGTAGCTCTAAACTGGAAAATCGATCTCCCCAACGAGAAAACCCACCCCGATTTCCCTCTTTGGAAGATGGGTTACACACCTGAACAGGTGTATGAGCTATTTTTCCCATTAAATTTCCGATTCATCTGCAATCCCAACAGACCTTCTGTTTGTGGACGCTTTGGACTGCCGGCCGATAGGCTGTGGCGCTTTGAGTTTGTGGTTTTGAAAGACGAGGACGGTGACAAGATGGCTGAACCTGAGATGATGAAGAAGGTAGTCTTTCCCTATATCACACATTCGGGAAGTCGATATGGGTAAGTATTCGGCCTCTATTGTACTTTAAGATAGTTACTAACTTCTGAAAGACTTTCATACGATATCGCTTATCCAGAAGACTGCATCACGGTCCTTCGATGCCGCCCATTCCGTTTCTCCGCTCGCAGCTGCAACAGATGGTCTAACGGCCGTGTCATCCTATGTGGCGATTCCGCACACGTATTTCCTCCCTGTAAGTTTACTACCCAAAAATATCCCCAGGTACTTCCAGCTACTGACTAGTCCAATATAGTCGGCGGTCAAGGCATCGCCTCCGGCTTCCGCGACGCAGCCTCCCTAGCCTGGCGCCTCGCCCTCCTCTGTCGTGACACAACTCCATCCAAGAGTTTACTTTCTCACGAGAAAGTCTTGGAAGCATGGTACATGGAACGCAAGCAGCAGCTGGAAAGGTCCCTAGCAAGCACGATCGAAAACGGACGGTTCGTAACAGAAGGCAACCCCGTGAAAATCTTCCTGCGCAATCTATACCTGTGGATCGTGCAACTAGTCCCCAGCTGGAGACACGATCTCCGACTTGGTCGGCGGAAGGAGGGTATGGTGCGGTATAAGCATTTTGATGGAATGCCGTTTCTGCCGGAGCTCAATGGGGGCTTGTCTCTTCCGCAGGTTTATTGCACTGCTGTTAATAAGGCAGATGCTGAGATCCAGTTTACGGATGATGTGATATTTGCAGCGCATAAAGAATGCCTGTTTCAGCTTCTTGTCTATGTCAAAACGTTAGATGAAATGGCGGATGCGAAACAAGTCATTTCTGATATTGATGATATATCGAATGGCGAGATTCGGGCTTCTGAAGCGACATTCCTGGTTGAGGATCTCTTCTCTACCTCCACCGGGATGGATGATGGTGTGTTCCGGCTTGCTACTGGTGATGAGTTTGCGCAGTCCTTGCTATGTGAGGGACGGCCAGCGCCGCAGTTCTATGACCCTTATTCCCTTGGAAAGGAGCTAAATGGGACGCGGTTTGTCATTGTGCGTCCAGATCGATTTATTTTCGCTGCTTGTAATAGCAGAGAAGATCTAAGACAATCGGCGAGATGTGTGGTCTCGTTTCTCCAGGGGTAAGAGACGAACAGCGGGCTTTGGTGTCATAGAGGAGTATACCTTAGAATCTAATTTTGCAGTATTGTACATTTCGTAAACCAGGAAATCCAATAAGATACCTAGAATAAAGCTCCCTGAGCTTCCAGCTCCGTATTCCCCTGTAGCACGAAAACTATCTGCTCAGCAAACTTCCTAGAAAGTCCCCAGTGGCCAATCCTCCGCAACAGATCAACCAATCCACAAAGCGTGCTAGATTCCTGTGTCTTGGGCTTCGTAGATTTATAACCATTTGCCTCGAAAAGAAGGGTCTGACTATTAACGTTCAGTCGGACCAGCTCCGGAAAATCCATGCTGGGTGTTGTTGATGTGCCCGTATGGTGTTCATCAACGCCAAACTCCAAGTATGCGTACCACACTGTCCCCGCGCGGTACAGAGCTCGTGGTATGTGGATAGCTGGCTCCATCCCCAAGGTCATGCTCTGGAGCTTCCGCAGGACCAGTGCGCCGTGAAGAGCGCAGCGTCGGCCTTCATGCGATGAAGCCCATTTGTAAACATAATCCCGATGGGATACTGATTCATCATAACCCTCGCGGCCCATCACAAGCTCCAGTCGATTGAAGTCGACGAAAAGAGACATGAACGTTGAATGCCATAATACTTCTAGACAGAAAGGGTCGGTGCCGCTGTCTGTCTTCGATTTGAGATGTTGGTCAAAGAATCGAATCAATTGTTTTTCGAATTCTTGACAGGTTTTGTCGGTCCAAGCAGCCGGGGAAGTTCGCTTTTCCATTATCGAAGCTACTATCCCTTGCAGTTTAGTGTACTGACGGAATCTGCTCGATGATCCCATGTCGAGTCCCGAGCGAGGCTGCTCTGGTGATTGATCTGATATTTCTATCAGAGGGATATCGGCGCGTGCCACGGACTGCTCGCTGTTCATTGTAGCTTTCCATTGCGCGGCAGTTGGAGAAACCCAGAGCTTATTGCTTGCAGTAAGAGGAAGCGTTGATTCCGCATGCTGCATGAACGGATGTGTCATGAAAAGTTCAGAAATCTCAGAATCAAGGATATAGAGGCCGGCAGCGACCCGAATCTGCTCCTCGGCATGTGCCCAGGATTTCCAAACCTCTTCCACTGTATGAGTGAGAGAGTTTACTTGCAGTTGGTCTGTCGCCTGATGAACTTGGAACATCTTGTATCGACGTGCCCAAGTAACCACCGTCCCGTGGAAGGTTTGCACTATGAGCAAGTTTCTCGGCTTACCAGACAGCAATCCGAACGTTTGCCCGATCAAGGCTGCTTGGGTCATTGCGAGGGCTTCGCCCCTCCCCCTTGACAGGTATTTCTCCCATGATGCTAATATGGCCTTGTTGAGCCTCTCAAATATCCTCGAGCCTTGGGCAACGGCGTAGTTGGAACCAACGAAGAGACTTCCCACTGAGCAGATGGATAGAAGCAAAAGCGAGCTTTTCGCAGAGGGGCGGAATGTTGGAGCATGTACTACCGGGAAGATGGGATTGAACCGGGTAAAGTACATTTGAATACAAAGATTCTGTTATTGGTGAGTGGTGAAACGTGAAAATTAACGTTGGTACTAACCAAAAAGTCCGTGGACGGCAAAGGTTCCGTTGGAACGCGTTGCTGAAGCCTCTGAGACAAGTTTTCTCGATACCGCTCGTCCACCTCTGTTTGTTCAGGAACCGCATCTGGGGTAATGTATCCCTGATCATGCGTCCCGATGAATGTAAACCACCTCTGACGAACCTGATCTTCTTTACGATCCATTATTGGGTCATGTGGCGGTTGAACCGCAAAAACGAGAGGATCAATATCGCTCCGCGTATTGAGAGGCGAAAAGTAGGACATGGTGGTTGCCATCACCGAGGAATTCAACGCATTCAAGTCGAAATCCTCGTCAGCCAGCCAGGTCGGCACCTGAGAGTCCAGGTTGATATTCCATTGCATACTGGAATCCTCCTGAAACATGCCGTCGAGAGCACCAAAAGAAGCAGCTTGGGGATTAGCATGCTCATGGCTGCCGAAGTTTGGTGACTGAACGATGGTTTCCAGCCAACCGGGTAGACGGGGCTGGGCGAGTGTGCTGTCACTAGAGGACACAGCACGGTGCTGGGTTGGCGAAAATAGACTGGAGGTTGCTTCATTTGTGGCGGTGCCAAAGGACGATGATCTCCCTGGCAAGTGTGGGAGGGTATCACTCCCAGCACTATAGGAAACCGACGGGATGTTTAGGGCGGAATGATCAGGCCCGGTAGGCGTCTCTGACGAGATACTGGCAGATTGATGCGACCTAGCATGTCGCAACAGAGAATCATGACGACTAAAAGACTTCCCGCATGTCGCACAGCCGAAGGGCTTTTCCTTCGTGTGCGAGCGGATGTGGCGGGCCAGATGCTCCTCTTTGGAGAAGTTCTGTGAGCACCAGGGGCAGATACGCTGCCGCTTGACCCGACTCCGTGTCTGGGGCATGATTGGAGCGAATTCTCCCTATCTGAACATCGTTGATCTTGGGGTCTGTTGGGGTCGAGGTGTGCGGATGCAGATAATAGGTTTCTGCGGGACCTTTTTCACCGACAACGGTTCGGGTGAATGCGTAACGTTGAGGTTTCAACTGACCCAAGACATCGCTGGGAGTTTTGACGATAGCTTTTCGAGGACTGTGCACTTGTATAAAGAGACATTGAATGGGTTAAAGTTGTCTTCACCCGTTATTCATTCGTCGTACCCCAATCTCCAACGTCTCCACAGGTATTAGTTAGTAAATGCGGGGATTCATGGTCGAACGGACTTTCGCCCGCCGACCCCGCTCATGGCTCTACTTGTTCTCTTATCAATTACTCCTCTCCAGCAATTATCCTATAAAGGCACCATGGCGCGCGCTCCCTTGTTGCGCACGGCTTTAACAGCCCGGTCATTTACCGTGAAACCACACTTCACCATCTCCCGGCCCTTTTCCGGATCACAACCTAAGACCATGTTGACCACGCAACTATCTGAGGCCCAGGTGACAGCCCTGAGAGTCAACAAGGAGCGTCTAGCGAAAGACTTGCACCATTCATGTCAATGGGGCTATGGAATCCGGTGGGGAGAGTAAGTTCCTCTGTCATCATAATCCCGTATATCCGAAGCATGAACCCAGCCTAACCACGGGTGTAGCGGGCCAACGGACACTGGCATGCAGCGTCTAGCCCTATCGGAAGAAGACAAGAGTGCTCGTGATTGGTTCATTCAGACGATGAAAGACCTCAAATGTAATATCACGGTCGACGAGATGGGAAATATCTTTGCAGTTCGTCCTGGCCGCAGAAAGGACGTGCCTGCTACCTTCATTGGTAGTCATCTTGACACACAGCCTACCGGGGGAAGATACGATGGGATCCTAGGTGTTTTGTCTGGAGTGGAGGCGCTCAAGACCATGGATGAAATGGGTCTGGAGACGGAGGGTGGAGTCGGAGTCGTGAACTGGACGAAGTATGATATCTAGCCTTTTCTCCTCCCCTCAGCCACAGCGACTGATCTATCTCACAGCGAGGAGGGTGCCCGGTTTCCAATGAGCATGGTCTCATCAGGAGTATGGGCCGAATGCATTCCACTTTCTCGAGCGCACGATCTCAAGGAGGTGCCCACGGTAGCATCACTGCCAACAGCAGGCTCCGCGCCGGAGACGATGAAGACTGCCTTGCAGAAGATCGACTACCTGGGAAGCACTAAATGCTCATACAAGCAGATGCCGATAGCTGCGCATTTCGAGCTGCATATCGAGCAAGGCCCACACTTGGTTTCTGCCGGCCAGCGTATCGGCGTCGTGACAGCCGTGCAGGCATACCGGTGGTTCCGAGTTAATGTGATCGGGCGGGACACACACACGGGGACAACAGCCTTCGAGCACCGAGCGGATGCCCTGTACGCTTTCTCAAACATGATGGTGCGCGCGCGCGAGGTCGCTGCAGCAAAAGGCTGTCTGGCTAGCGTTGGTATCGTTGAAGCTAAGCCTGGCAGCGTCAACACTGTCCCCGGGCTGGTCAGTTTTAGTCTCGACATCCGCGGGCCCGAGACGGAGCTGGTCGCCGAGGTTGAGAAGGAGCTGCGCACGGAATTTGATGCCATTGCTGCTGCCGAGGGCGCCGGGATTGGCAAGCCCTGCCGCGTCGAGTGGACGCTGGACTTTGACTCGCCCGCTGTCAAGTTCCATCCGGACTGCATTGATTGTGTGCAGCAGTCGGCTCTTGCAGTTGTCGCAGATGCGAACACTGCAGACCCCAAGTCCCTGGCGCGGCCTATAATGAGTGGCGCCGGTCATGATAGTGTCTTTACGTCCAAGCGTGTCCCGACCAGTATGATCTTTGTCCCGTGCAAGGACGGACTGAGCCATCATCCGGAGGAATTCTGCTCCGCAGACGATTGTGCCACCGGTGCGTCAGTCATTTTGCAGGCTGTGGTCCGGTATGATCGGAAGAGATTTGCTTAGTTAGTGTAGAGCTCACCGTGAGATCTCCTGGCCAGGGATGGGGCGTATCAGGTGAAACAATGTACATATCAAGATAAAGAATTGCACAGGTCATGAAATTGCCATTGAAACTAGCTACATCATAAAACCAGCGGCATCATATCTAAATTTTTTTGTTTCCCCGTATCCTTCCCAGAAACAAAAGGATCCGTCCAGTGAGTCCATTTCATATCCTCGTATGTCGAGGACCTACTCCGGACCGCACCTCAGAGAAAAACCCCAGGACGACCGAGCAGAGGATGACAGGACACCAAGGTGACTACCCTTAGGAGGGGGAGCGCCACGGCCGCGGCCGAAGCCACCACGGAAAGAAGGAGCGAACTCGCCGGGAGCACCGCCCTCCTTACCACCCTCCTCGCGGCGGCGGTAACCACCCTCACGGCCACCCTCACGGGGAGCACGGGGACGACGCTCACGGTCATCACCGCCGCTCATCATGCCGCGCGGGGGAGCGTGCGAGCGCTGCTGCTTGATGTGGGTGGCGGGCACAACCTCGGCGGGGAGGTGCAGCCACTCGCGGAGGTAGTCGAGACCCTCGGGAGTCAGGGTGTAGTAGTAGTACTGCCACGAGAACTGGGTCTTGACGAAACCGCGCGAGTTCAGGGACTGAAGAGCCTTGATGACCTGTTTGCAAGGCAATTAGCAAGTTGGAGGGTATTTGTTGGGTTGCTGTTCAGGACGCACATAGAGGTTCTTGGTGTCGATGTCATTGTGCTTGGGAAGGTTGAAGTCCTTCTTGGCCACGAGCACACCCTCACGGAAGAGGTACTCGTGGATCTTCTTGCGGTCGGCCTTGGGGATGAGCCTGGCGAAGGGTTAGTTGATGGTTCCTGAGACGCAGAAGAGTCACATACATTGTCGCGAGTTCCTGGCGCAATTCGTGGAATCGCTTTGACAACAGAAATGGATGGGTGATTTGAGAGACGAGCCGAGTGGAGCTGGGCAAAAGTGCGTCGTGCGATTCGGTGATAGTCAGGGTTGCTGCCCTAATCGTGCGCTAGACTGCTTTGGGTGATGGTCATGTGATTTGCTGAGTCATGGGCATGATATCTGAGATCACCATCGGATCGACTTCCATCCTCCAGTTATCCAACACCCCAGAATCTCCATCCGCTACCGCTTGACTCAACTGTCGGTCACTATGGCTCCCGTCAATATCCTCCTCTCGTCCTTCCCCGGACTGTCGCTTCCGTCTACTGTCTCCTTTTCTCTGCCCTCGACATCGACCGTCGCCGACCTCACAGAACGGGTCGCCTTATACCTCCCATCCGCATCTCTACTGCACTCTCTCACCCTTACTACGACCAACAACAAAGAACTCATCCCCTCATCTCAAAACCTTCAGTCCTTCCTATCTATCGACAATGGCGACTCGACCACAACCTCTACGCTCCTCCCGCTCCGACTCACTGTCGCCCTACGCGGCGGCAAGGGTGGATTCGGGTCGCAGCTGCGCGCAGCCGGTGGCCGCATGTCCAGCAAACGCAAGCGCAATCAAGGTGACAACAACAGCTCCAGCCGCAACCTCGACGGTCGACGCCTGCGCACCGTCAACGAAGCCAAAGCGCTGGCGGAGTACCTCGCCGTCAAGCCCGAGATGGACAAGAAGGAGAAAGAGGAACGCCGGCGCAGATGGCAGGCTGTGGTGGAGATGGCAGAGAAGCGTCAGGACGAGCTAAAGAATGGCGGTGGCAAACATAAGATTGATGGGCAGTGGATGGATGATAAAGAGGAAATGAACGAGAAGGCCAGGGAGGCGGTTATGCAGGCTATGAAGGATGGTGCCTGGACGGATAGCCTGCGGGACGCGATTCTGGGTGGGTCGAGCACCAGCGCTAGTGAGGGCAGTGAGCAGTCGACCTCATCCAGTTCGGAGGAGGATGAGGATGAGGATGGCGACGACACTGCAGCCAATCACGGAGAGGGCCCATCTGCGCCCGCTCCAAAGACCGTCCCGCGGAAGTTCATTGGGTTCGATGATGACGATGAATTTATGAGTGACTCTGACCTCGAGGACGAGGTCGATTCATCCGCCGACAAGGGCAAGGGCAAGGCGCGTGCTTAAGATTTAACAACAAAATTGCGGTTTACGATCTACGACGGCGTTCTATTTGGCAGGGGGTTTGAGCGTGATTTACCTGTAAATTAACTATCCATATTAACTATCGTCGAGCGGTCCAATAATATCACGTAACAACAATATTCCTGGTGGCGTTCAGCCGTAGATAAGACCTTCCCAACTCGGGTTTTTTTGCCCTGCCCCAGGATACTCCCAACAGAGGATCGGGAGGGCTGGATTTTCTAGAACAATTGGCGCATGATAAGCTCTCGCGTGTCATCCGCCCCTGATTCGTGGTGGCTGAGAACAGTAGTCAACTAGGTTTGACCCATGTGCTCTTATCTCCCCCGGAAGCACGCCATACACGGGCCCTGTACGGGTGAAAAGCCTGTCTCGGCCGTCAGGGTCAGCTCTAATTTTGAATAGGAAACAAAGAGAGAGAGAGCCTATGGCTAGGAGTGTTGGCGGTCAACTGATTTCTGAAGCAAAGGATCTGTCGTGATAGCAGCAGACTGGGGGGTTAGATAGCCCGACACAGACCGAGCCTCGTATCAAAGCAGGGACACCTAATGGTCCGATAAAGAACAATTACTGGGGCGAAGTCTCAAATCAAGCAGGCAAAGAGCGCCCCGTTCTCGTCGTGATTGGTGCTGATATCTAGATTATAGTTGGACAGAGGCCTTATCTGCCCCGGACGGTCTGATCGCATTCAGTGGCCGGTCCGAGCCCAGTCCCGGTTAGGTTGGAATGGGTGAGAGTTGCGGGTGCCCCGTCGTATCGCCAGCCATGGTATGATTCCTGGGCAACCCCTGCTGCACTTGGTGGCAGGTATATATTGTCAATGTCTCCCGAAAGAACAGGGGTCGGTCTCTCATCCCCTTGTGTACGCATCTCCTGTCACAACCGGTATTCACCAGGAACAACATGACGGTTTCTGAGCAAGACGTTGAGAAGAAGGTGGACCTGGCGGTCAAGCCGGCCTCGGAGGAAAGTGTGCCGCCGCACGATGACTTGGAGCAAGGCGCCATCAATCCCTTGAAGCGGAATCTCCAGGGTCGCCATATGCAAATGATTGCTATCGGTGTGTACCTCATACCTGCCCGGATGTGCAAGGCAAGACTGACAAACCACCCCAAATAGGCGGTGCCATTGGCGCTGGTCTGTTTGTCGGCACTGGGAATGCTCTGCAAGAGGGAGGACCGGGTTCTCTGGTATGTTGACCAGACTAGTTGGCAGACTCAGGAAAAGGCTGACCGAAAGTTCCAGCTCCTCTGCTATCTTATTGTCGGCGCTATGCTCTTGTTGACCATCCATGCGCTTGGAGAGTTGGCTGTCCTATACCCAGAGAATGGAGCTTTCTTCAGTTACTGTGTCCGGTTCATCAATCCATCATGGTCAGTCTTGCGACGAATTGAAAAGAAGAAGGTCGGCGCTAATACCATCACAAACAGGGGATTCGCCGTCGGCTGGGATTATGCTATCCAATGGCTGGTCATTTTGCCCTTTGAGCTCACAGCGGCTAGTATCACTATAAGGTTCTGGCGAGACGATCTAAATGTCGGGATCTGGATCGCAGTATTCCTTGTGGTTCTGAGCGCCATCCAAATCTTCGGTGTCCGAGGATATGGTGAAGGTAAGAAACCCCCCCCCTGTCCTGGCGGGTCATTGCTGATCAAATTATAGTTGAATTCGCCCTCGGAATGATCAAGGTCATTGCACTCATTGGGTTCATCATCTTGGGGATCGTGATCGACTGCGGCGGTGCACCAAAAGGTGGATACATTGGAGCTCACTATTGGCACGTTCCCGGTGCTTTCACGGACTTCAAGGGGTTCTGCTCGGTCTTCGTGACGGCTGCCTTTGCTTTCAGCGGGACTGAGCTGAGTGGCCTGGCCGCGGCAGAGGCTGCAAACCCTGCCAAGTCTCTCCCGAAGGCGACGAAGCAGGTCTTCTGGCGTATCACGCTCTTCTACGTTTTGGGAACATTCATTGTCGGTCTGATCGTGCCGTACAATGCCGACTACCTTCTTGGATCATCGGGCGCCAACACCAAGGCTTCGCCATTCGTTGTTTCCATCCAGAATGCCGGTATTAAGGGTCTGCCATCTGTCATGAACGCAGTTATCACTCTTTCTGTGATCAGCGTGGCCAACTCCGCCACATATGGATCTAGCCGGACCATCCAGGCCCTGGCTGAGAGAGGCATGGCTCCAAAATTCTTTGCGAAAGTCGACAAAGCTGGTCGGCCTGTCTGGTGCCTTGCACTGCAGATTGCCTTCGGATTCCTGGCCTTCATCAATGAGGCGTCGAACACGGGTGGCATCATTTTCGACTGGCTGCTGGCGCTCGCCGGTATCTCCGACTTCTTCGTCTGGGGAAGCATCTGCTTCGCTCACATTCGCTTCCGCAAGGCCTGGGCGCACAACGGGCGCGATATCAAAGAGCTCGCCTATGCTGCCCCGTTCGGTGTCATTGGTAGCTGGATCGGCCTGGCGCTCAATGTGCTGTGTCTGATCGCCGAATTTTATGTGTCAGTTGCATCCATGAGCGCGGAGTCATTCTTTGAGAACTACCTTGCCCTGCCTTTGATCATTCTCCTCTTCGTTTGCTGGCAGATCTATACGCGCATCAACAAGGACCCCAAGCTCGAACGTGGCGGCTGGTTTATAAAGGTGCAGGACATGGATGTCCTCACCAATATTCGAGACAGTGCTTTGGACGTTGACCTGCCACCGAAGGTCGAATATCCGACCTGGGGTGCATGGTTCAAAGCAGCACCCACGAGACTTTTCCGCTCTATATTCTGATCAGGGAGCGCAAGCTGTATTGAAAGCATAGAGTGGTAGTAGGTGTTTGTCAAGGGTGTTTAATAGTAAATGCAGAATGTATATTCAATGCAATGTGTTGTTGCAGTTGTGAAAGTGTTGTCGGCAAAAGTGTAGATCGGCTACGGTAGCCCACGCAGACCAGTCACGTTATCGATAAACAACTTTCTTATCGCGCGAAAAAACGGAGCTTCGTCTTGCATTTGTCCGACATGTCCTGCTCCCGGGCTGCCGTACGAAAAGCCCTTCGATGTGATGTTTGGCGATCAAGCCCAAGGATCTTGCGACTGTCGTCAGCATTTCCGTTGAATGTCGCGCCACCAGGAGGTCGTGGAAACTCTCCACACTTCATCCTCAGATTGCATCGCAACTTTACAACGGCCCCTTTCCGGCAAGAACAGATCTCCGAAAGACAAATCCGTGCAACAGAGGTCCTGCCCGTCTGCTGCCCTGGATGCGGCGCCTTCTCCCAGACCGTTTGGCCGGATGAACCGGGATACTACAATCCGAGCAGAAAGCAGACGCGGAAGCTGTTAGCCGCTCAGAGTCGTCCCCTCGACGGTCAGGATGCAGATGGCCCAGCAGAATATATTCCATCAGAATCCGAGACCAGCGAGGAGCAAGCAGTCCCCACTCCTATTCATGGTAGGACATCGTTGTTTACTCTCAGTCTTGATTCGACGCTAATCAAAAACATAGATGAGATTTTAGTGAACGAAACCGATATTCTGAATGAGACAGATACGTTAAAACGGACTTCCCACATTTGTGACCGGTGCCATGACCTTACGCATCACAACAAGGCGGTCACTACGCCCAAACCATCCATCTTGGCTATTCGAGAGTTCCTAGACGAGTCGCCACATAAGCATAACCGCATCTACCACATTCTTGATGCCGCCGACTTCCCCATGTCACTGGTGCCCCGGATCCATCGGGCACTGGCGGCCCAGGAACAGCGTGGTCTGAACCGACGGGCATCGACCGAAAAGTACCTTCGCGGCAGAAAACTCCCAACGGTCTCATTCATCATTACGCGTTCGGATCTTTTGGCTGCCAAGAAAGAGCAAGTGGACTCGAAGATGCAATATGTTCGCTCAGTGCTTCGCTCGGCTCTGGGTCGGGCGGCAAAGGACGTGCGTTTGGGTAACGTGCATATGATCAGCGCGCACCGAGGCTGGTGGACTAAAGAGGTCAAAGAGGAAATCCGCGAGCATGGCGGAGGAGTCTGGGTGGTTGGGAAGGCCAATGTTGGGAAGAGCAGCTTTATTGAAGCTTGTTTCCCAAAGGATTCGAAGAGTCTTGAGAATATGGATGAGTGGATGGAGCATCACCGAGATGGGGTCTCAACTCAACTCGACTCCGATAGTCTTTTGCCTCCTGTCCCGGCCGAAGATCAATATCCGGTCCTTCCAGTCGTGTCTTCTTTGCCTGGGACTACCGTCTCCCCCATTCGCATCCCGTTTGGTCGAGGCAGAGGAGAAATGATCGACTTGCCTGGCCTGGAGCGTGGTGAACTGGAAGACCATGTTCGCGACGAACATAAACGCGACTTGATCATGACGAAACGCATCAAGCCCGAGCGTTGCACAATTAAGCCTGGCCAATCTCTTCTCCTAGGTGGTGGTCTTGTGCGCCTCACCACGGTTAATCCAGAAGACACCATGTTGGCAGCTTGTTTCGTGCCCATTGAATCGCACATCACCAAGACGGATAAGGCAATTGAGATGCAGACCGAGCAGCGCACCTATCCGGGAACAGTGCTCATGAAAGAAGGCACAGGGTCCTCGATATCCTCGGCTGGAGTCTTTGATCTGGAGTGGGATGTCACAAATTCAAATCTACCCACCACGCTCGCAAAAGCCGTGAAAGACAGAGGTGTCACTCCAGGCCGCTTGCCGTACCGCGTGATGTCAGCCGATATCCTCATTGAGGGATGCGGCTGGATTGAAGTCAGCGTGCAGGTTCGCGCAAAGCCCAACCCAGAGAATGACTCGCAGCCCTTTCCCCAGGTGGAGGTATTCAGTCCCAATGGGCAGAACATTGGAATTCGGCCACCTATGGAATGTTGGGAGTTCATTGCCGAGAAGCACAAGGCAGATAGGCGCAAGAGGCCGCGACTTGTGCGTCGACCTAGCGGAACTCATTAGACGTCCTCTGATTTTCTCTGTATTTTTAGCCCCGATGTACATTATATTTTCTAGCATAGCGACTGGTATTGCCATGGGCAATAGTATATCACAACTCTTGCTTTGTATTTCCCTTTTACACATGCTCCAACACTGGCTTCCTTTGTTCTACAGTGGGTTGTTGAGTGTCTAATTTTATTTGTGGAGATATGGCAAATGCGCCATGTAAGTCACCCGAGGCTGCATTGATCTCACTCCGCTTACATTTACAGAGGTCCCCCATAGCAGAGAAGATAAACCGAAGTTCAAAGACTATTTACATTCAATTTGAAGCTATTCACAAGTGCATTCCGGAAAGCTCGCTTCCGGTGCTCTGGGCCAGTCTGGACTTATCAATTGTACTGGACAGTGACGCTGTTATCAGAAACGGACGAAGACGTGAGAACGGTGCTGTTCTGCTGAATATCCATAATCGAAGCACCTGCAGGCCCAACCGTGGAGCCACCATCAGAGGCCTGAGCATTTGTGAAGGTCACAGTACCGAAGTCCGCAAATGGGACCATGCCACCGCCGGACTCGAAATCTTCGACGATCCACTCCGCGTTATATTCACACAGGTCGCCCTGCACGCCAGAAAAGCTGTGGGACACTGTCTGGCCATTTGAGGTATTCTCGATCGTGGCGTTGCCTGTCGACGTGGAAGAGGCATCCACAGTCACTCGGATCGTATCTCCCGCTGAGATACTGATACCACTGAAGTCATATGCAGCATCTGGGTACCACTCGTACCATGCGTCGTAGCTTACCGAGCCTCCTTGAATACAGAAGTCGACACCGGTTTGCAGAATAGCGGTGGAGCAAGTGTCCCCGTCAATGCCAACCCAGGCAGAGGCGCAGTACTGGGTGCTGGAGTCGCCGCCGGCTGGGGCCTGGGGAGTCGGGACCTGGAACTCAGCAGAGACCGCGGTATATCCGGTTCCAACGAGGACAGCTCCCGCCCAATTGGAATCGTACTGCTCCTGGATGATGTCCTTGTGGCCGTTGCTCGGGTGAAGCAGCTGGCGGGTACCAGGCTTATATGGTGGGTGACTCTGGTGACGTGCCTTGCCATTGTGAAGACGGCGAGCTTGCTCGCGCGCCTGGCGAGACGCCGTCAAAGGTGCCGCAACGGCGGAGGTCGCAAGTAAAGCGGCACTGAGAATAGAGTACTTCATGATGTAGTAGCGTTCCTTGGGAAGCGTTCGTTTGAATAAAAGACAGACTGGGTCAAAAAAGAAAAGACTTGGAATACCAAAGGACAGTAGAGGAATTAGCACTCTTTATATAGTATTTCTATACAGAAACAATGAGACGAAACTTCTTCCATATCGAGTATAAATGTATGCTGCCATACTCAGATCCCATATACAAATCAGCCTCGATGTAACATAAGAGGTAGCATTGAAAGAGTATAATTCCACTAGGCGTGCAATTTGAGACCGACTAGTTGATATACAATACTAGGGTCTGCGGAGGCCGATCGGTGCCTTTCAAATTCGTTGACTGGAAATTGGAAAGATCGATGAAACATGCCCCGCATGCACATGCTTATGTTAGGAAATAAGCCACGAAGAGGGCCTATCAAGATCTTTTGATCGACATCTAACTCCTGTTCACAGCCCGTGCCTTACTCGATCCCAAGCATGCTCCGGAAGGCCTTGGGTGTCCGACGGCTCACGCCCGGTCCTTGGGGTTGATCAACAAGTATACACCGCCAACCAGATTGCTAGGAACATGGATGCAACCGCTGAAAGTTTAGATAAGTCGGAGGTCCGGTTATCTCCAAGGTATCAAAAGATTTGATTTGCATACTGGTTCCTGAAATAATGTCTTAGCTGTTGCTAGGCTCTTCCCGATGGAGTATGTAGCGGCAGGTACGATCGCGTTGAAAAAAAAAAATCTATGTGAGTTGATAAAGCATTGGAAATAGCTTCGACGATACTCTGAACCAAAGGTACATCGAGCTGTGAACATGAATAGTATTTTCACGGATATATCCCGCTGTAACTGGCAGAATGGCATTGCGACAAGGGCGCGTCGAGGGCCCAGTACTAAAATGGAAAGGAAAGCCGTCGACTACTGCATCCGACCCACCCCTCCCGATCTCACTTTACCCAACGAGGGAAGAGCAGGCAAGGCTAAGCTACGGGTATGGTTCCTGCAGCGTTGCCACGTACTGATGAAGGACCCTGTACCAATAATATAGCCGGTCTATACGTGGTATCCACATGCAAGGTCTAGTCAACGTACATTTTGTTTATAGATCCCTATCCTGAAACAGATCTGCATAATTCGGAGGCTACCCTATAACATTTGGCCAAGCCCAGGCCACCATTACAGTTAGTCAATGCACGAGTCACTTCCTTTACCTGAAGATCATGTAAGTATACGGCGACGAATGATGACTTCGGGACATTCGGCACAAAATGGCTAACCGTGGTTCGGTTCTTATTGTTTGTTTATTCACTTTCTCCTGTTCGGAAAGCGAAACTTTATCCTCCGGTTTCAGTCGGGGGTTACGACGATTAGAACGCGGTAGAAAACGAGGAATTCATTGAGAACATATAGCATTCGTTGCAAAGAAGACACTCGTAACTGACAACTGGGTGGACTTTCATGCTGCCTTCTCGATTGACGAGTCGGGCGAAGGACTGGCTTTAGGCGAATAGGTTGGTCAGTGCTCGGCACAGCACCGGTCCAGGTATACAAATTTCATGGCGATCAACCTCACCAGATCTTGCCCTGGTATTCCTAGGATGGGATCGTTCTGTCCCAAGTGTTCTAAGGCTCAAGCGATACTTCGGTTTTGGATGGTTTCATTGAGGAGCGAAATGGCCAGAGCCCAAGTCTGTTCTAGTGATGGATAACGCATATTTCCTTCGCTCTGACTATATATATCAGCATGGCATACCAGTTTGTAGTGTTGGGATTGCGTTGCGGCACTCTTGGTTCCCATAACCAGTGAGCTTATCTCCGTAGGGTACGGTCAAGGAATTCCTAGCATTCGAAGTCCAGAGGGAATATAATTTAAGAGGAAAATATAATCAATGCAGGAGCCACAGATGACCCTTTCTCCTTTTCTTCAGCGAACCTAAGGAGGGTGGGTGGTAACGTTCCTCTATCCACCATGTGAAGTCCATTGGGAGTCGCGGGGAAACAAATGAGGCAAGACTTCCCAACCTGCCAAATTCTGCGCATCGGGAAATCCTCTCCGTCATGCCTATCATTTGAGGGCGAATACTCGTAGAGTCTATGTATGCGGTGTTCTGTTCAAGCAAAACTTGGATTATGATGTCATACGGATGTACTCGTCATATGGTTCCAGCTCAACAATGTTTATATAAGAAGTGCTGATAAATCAACCTACGAGTCACTCTCGAGCAGTATATATTGTGGTTGTTTATGCAGCCGCTTTGGCTTTTTCCGTTCTGCTGAAATTCCAATACGGAGTTCATTAGCCATGAATCACGATATTCAATCCAGTGTTTTCCCTCCCAACTGGAAAAAGCGCAATGCTTGGATCAAAACGTCGAATGACGACGCCCAGTTGGTCCGGATCAGCTACATCGACTGCGAACCGCCATCCACTTCGCTGCCGAAGGGAGTCATACTCCTAATTCACGGATTCCCCCAAACCTCTTACCAATTCCGGCATGTAATACAGCCACTCGCTGATAAAGGTTTCCGTGTAATAGCCCCGGACTACCGCGGGGCTGGACAATCATCGCATCCATCTCACGATTTCAGAAAGTCAACGATGGCTCGAGATCTATTCATTCTCGTTAACGACCATCTTGGAATTGCGTCAGAGATTCATGTGGTCGGCCATGACATTGGTGGCATGATTGCACATGCATATGTTTCGCTGTATCCGCAACATGTGGCGAGTGTTATCTGGGGCGAATGCCCGCTTCCCGGAACTTCCAGCTACGAAGCAAACAAAAAAATGCCGGAGCAGTTCCATTTCATGTTCCATTGCGCACCTGACGACCTGGCACCATCACTTGTCGCTGGGAGGGAGAAAATGTACCTGAATCATTTTTTCTCTAAACAGACTTTTAACGCTAACGCCATATCACTTACTGACCTCGAGTATTACACGTTGCAATATTCGCAACCGGGAGCTCTTCGGTGTGGCTTTGAAGTATATCGAGCGTTTGAAGAGGATGCCAAAGAAAACCTCGAGTCACTGCGTCTGAAAGGCAAGTGTATGCGGCCCGCGCTTATTCTAAGTGGTGCGGAAAGTCGACATGCTTCCGAGGCTAAGGATATGGTGAATGAGGTTTATGGTGGTGATGTGCAGGTTGCGACGGTGGAAAATTCTGCCCATTACATTGCGGAAGAGAATCCCGAGGGCTTTGTGCAGGTAGTCTCGGCATTCGTGTCTAAGTACCTGAAAAAGGTATGAAGAGGGTGTATCGAGAGGGTGCTTTCTAGCTGGTGTTCTGCATTATCGCTTCCTTTGTCTCGCTCTCAACGTGAGAATACAGTCCATGAAACCATTTTGCCTAAACCCCCAGCGCGAGTGACAGCCACCGCTAGTTTGCTGGCGGCGGCGCCGCTCATGGGGGCAGTAACGATGAGTGGAGTTCGAGTCCAAGGGAGGTGGTTTTTGAGCACATTAAGGCGGGCCAAAATTGAAATTCAGTTAATATCATGGAGAAGACGTTCAATTTTATGGTCTTAACGTAGGTCTTTCATGGCATCATGCCAGGCCCTAAGTTCAAATGCCGAGCGACAAATCGTGTAACCCTAAGAATTAGCGGACTTTATTTTCCTGCCCGACGTATAGTTATATCACTTAACGGTCGTTTTAGATTAACAGAGCAAAAGAAAACCAAAGCCGGTTTATATGGGAGATAGGGCACCTTGCCAGAAAACTGTCTGTACTAGCACTATAGCTCGAATTGGTACCTGGTCTTGCAGGAGCAGACACTCCTCTTTTTGCAGGCGCGGCCGAGGTTTTTTGTTTTTAAGAAAACACCAGACTCAGACCCCAGTATCGTATCATCACTTTGAGCCATGATCTCTCAATCCCAGCGTAATCTGAAAAGCGGCCGAGTATGAGCTTTTGATTTCGCGGCCCATTCTCCCAACACCTTCGAAAACGACATCGGGTTCCAAAGACACACTTAGAAGCTCAACCCCATGACGCAGCTCCTCGATTAGCCGTTCAGCATCAGAAGCTTCTGTAGCAGGCTCGGGCTTGTTGAGGAGATGGTAACATGTTCCCAGGCGATCAGTCGCGAGACTTGAACGTAATCTGTGGACGAGCATGAGGAGAGCGTAAGAGCTTTGCATGGCACAGCATGCGAAGTAAGGGATGCTGTGTGGATATTTGTGATATTCTAAGTCTGAAAAAATGCCTTTACTGCTCAGAGGATATCTCTCAGTTGTGTCTCCACCGAAAGCGCTTGGGTGTACCAAGTCGCGGAAACCCTTCGCAACCACGAGAGAAGCCTTCAGACAAATATGAGATGATTCTTGTTCTGTAAACGGGAAATCTTCATCGCGCTCTATTCCTCGAGAGGACGAAGGAGTGGCTGTGTCGTGCGAGAAGCCGTGGCTGTTGATCGAGGTAAGATCACAATATTTGTCTAAGAACAATGGGATATCCATGAAAGCTTTGGAACGATGCAGGCGAATTCGGGCACTGTAAAAGTCAGCAAGTGTAGAATTATGTGATTGAAGATAAATCTCACGTATAGATGAGAATTCGACTGATTCTCCACATATTTTCGGCCACGAGAGCTTCATCTCCTTGGTCAAATCCTGTTCGAAGATAGCGATCTGATTCGCTCATCAAGGACACAACTTGGTTATCCAGATTTCTGATTTCGGTGCTAATATCACGTGGAGGCACTGCCTCGATCACACGCTCTGGCCTTCGAGCCATTTGGTTACACGCATAAAGGGTTTTCTGGACCCTTATAATGAAGCACCAGGGCTTATAGAAGGGTCAGTAAAGGGTGGTCATTACTTTTGAAGATAAGAGGATACCTCTAGATGCATGTCAAACTGAGGGAAGGGGGTCGTGATGCGTTGATCCTCTGCAGTAATCACCGGTGGCTGCGTCGATTGTCAGTGGAAATTCTCATGTAGATCGGGCTAGAATATTTGATCCTACTGCAAGATGAAGATTGGAAGATTGATAAGTCACAAACATCTAATAATTAAGTTAGCAGCAGGGCATACAGCGTTCATGTAAACCCACAATCATCCACCAAGCGCGCCGTTGCGCTTCTGAATATTCTGTTGTAGTCAACCCAAGCTCATGGAGAGACATATCCATAGCCGTAGTCACAGCCTGGTTGATTCGAGCCCTCATTCTGGAGACATTGCCGCGTTGGCAGTATTCATAAATGGTGAGGATCACAAGGGCCAAAATTGGATCAAGCTGGAAAGGCACCATGGGATGCAAATGGCTTCTTTCTTGAGGTAGGGCAACACCCGGACTTGACATGGGCCCAATCCTGTCAATCTCATTTTCCGCACTTGCCAGTGCTGCCTGGGCAAACATATGTGCGTATGACCGTCTTAGCGCAACGTTTGCTTCAGTCATTGGGGTGGAGACTTGAGAAGGCGGTATCAGGACTAGGATCGCAGACAAGGCGAGGCTCAAAGATGACGTTGGCCAATAAGGCAAGTCCGTCTTTTTGGGTTCGATTGATCCTGTCGAAGGTCGAGTTAACCCATATGAATCTCTGTGCTTTGGTTCCGTTGGTGGCGGCAATAATGGGAGATATAAGTGAATATATATGTAGTAAGCATTGACACTGTCTCATAGATATCAGTAAGTTCGACTTTTTTGGGGGGTTCTTGGCGTACATGGCCGCTTCACTTTGATATGCTCTAGCGGTTGGTTGCTCTATATCGGCAGCGGGCACCGAGTTATGGGGGGCTTCAGTACTTGGGGTAAACTGTTCCCAAAATTGTCCGCCTCCGATTGTATCAGACACGCTGTCTGAGGACAAATCAAGGTTGTGAAGACCTGCAAATGGAGAAACCAATCCTATCATCTTATCCAAGGCAGGATCTAGCAAGCAGTCAGAAAAGGACAGATTTTAGAATATAGTGACTTACTTACCAAGGCTCTCGGTAATCTCTGGAGGTGAGGTAGGAGAAAAGGAAGAGGGTAGGTTCTCTGGCTCAAGACGACGACGTTGCTCTTCTGCATATCTTGCACCTCTTCGGACACCACCCCTACGACTGGGCCGGTAGCTACAGTCTCGCCCCCTGCTGGCACACTGACAGATTGATGATGGGTTAGCTTGGTCTTGGACAAATGGAGGTGGGGTGGGCTTACACTACCACATGGCTGTTTGCCGTCGCAGCGAGTTTTCGACGAGCGGCTATATTTTTCTGTCAACCCTATTATGACGGAGTTAACAAGGGGAAAGAGCATCTTGTTTACCATACAAGACATGCAGCCTTTACTACAGGAGGTTTAGCTCGAGTCATGATTTCGGCGCGTTCCTGCTCTGTCTTAGCTCTCTAGGTGAATGGAAAGAACGGCGGGTCGGAGGAAACAAGCGTCGCACCGATCGACATCATCAAAAGAGTCGACTTTTTTTTTCTAAACAGAATCCGTAAATAATGAAATCTGGTTCCGGTAAGCAGAGGGCAAACTTCAAAGTGCATAAGAAATTAGTTAGCATTCTACTCTCGCTTGACGTCGGTTCCGTTCGGCATTTGATTGTGGGCCAAACACCGAAGATCACAATCAAACACCGGAAATGGACCTCTCGTGAGGAGCAAGACACGAGCTAATCTCCTTAAATCTCCACTGGTCATTCATGCGGGCAGCTTGAAGCCCAATAAGCACCTCTTAGTCAGTCGCGCCTGGTAACTATTTGACAGCTCCTCCGAAGGCGCGGGGCTATAGCCATTCCTCCTCGGCCTGTATCCAGCAACGCATTGTTTCCAACCACACCTACCATAATGGTAGACACCTTCTCGTCCGTTCCGAAGGTGGACTTTGACCGACTGAACAACCCAGTTACGAAACAGGAGGAGCTGGCCAAATTGCGCGAGGCTATCTTCCTAGTGGGATTTCTGTACCTGACGAACACCGGACTTGAGGTGATAATAATATTCAATTAGTCTGATTAGCTCGTAGTACTGACTTCTGGCCCAATGATACAGGATCTCATCCACAGCACACATGAGCGGATCCCGGAGCTCTTTGCTTTATCTAAAGAAGTGAAGGAGAAATGTGACATGATAAATTCGCCCTCCTTTTTGGGTTATACACGCCTGGGTGCTGAAACAACTGCTTCAAAGACCGACTTCCGTGAGGTATGCCCTCTAGGGTCATTTCATTATCTTCCGGTGAATGGGTAATAACAATACCTGTTAGCAATTCGATTTTGGCTCTCCTGGTGTAAGGCCGTGGAGAGAAGACGATCCTTTCTGGCAGCAGCTTGAAGGCCCAAACCAAGTAAGTACCAATCTTACACCTGTCTCAATCATTACGCTGATCTTCTCCCCAAGTACCCAGACGCCCCTGGTGCCAAAGAGACCATTGAAGAATACTTCACCAAGGCCGGGAGCCTGGCGCAGAGATTCATGCATTTGGTAGCAGAATGTCTATCGCTACCACCTGCTACCTTTGACCAATTTAAAGGTAACATGGATCGACTCAAGTTTGTCAAATATCCTGCCAGTCCACCTAATTCGCAGGGTGTGGGTCCGCATAAGGACTCGACAGGGCTCTTCACGTTCCTTTCCCAAGATAATACAGGCGGACTACAAGTTCTGAACAAAAACGGACAGTGGATCGATGTGCCGCCTGTGGAGGGAAGCCTTGTTGTCAATATTCAGCAGGGATTTGAGGCTATCACTGGCGGAGTCTGTGCGGCTACCACACACCGCGTGCTAGTCAGTCAAGAACAACTATGGCGGCCCTGGAGAAATGCTAAGCTCATGTTACAGGCCCCTACACAAAGAGCACGGTTCAGCATTCCCTTCTTTCTGGGCGTGAGGCTAGATTTGACCTTAGCCGAGCTCAGGGAGTCCGCAGCGCATATTGTGCAGCACATTCCGGTCTCGGATGATAAGGAGAAACGAGACGTGGATGTCGCAAGCGAGTTCCTGTCGCCCTTATATTCATGTGTATGTTCGACAATGCCCTTTCAAGACTGGAGTCGAGGCTAACTATATCTCATAGTTTGGAGAAGCAACACTCAGGAATCGAGTACTAAGTCACCCTGATGTTGGGAGAAGATGGTACCCGGATTTATACGAAAAGTATTCTCGGCAGGTTCTGAAATGACTTCATCAGGCTCAAACTTGAACTTGGTGCAAGGCTTGCTTGGGCTCGACTTTTGCAGGAACGTCAAAGCTATATAATATTCCTGGATATGACCGAAAGACGGCAAAAACAATATAAAAATTCTTTCTTGTATTTTCTTAACCACATAAACTCATCAAACATAGCTCTTTTTGCAAAACAACGAAATCGTCTACTCATCCACGTTGGTAAACTGGAAAGTCGGCTGCCCAGGTACCGCACTTTCAGCACTCAGGCCCTCCCTCTTCTCACCAGTGCCCACGACCTCACCGGTCTTGCCACCCTCATCAACAGCAATAACCTCAATCTCCTTGTAGCCCGCGGTACGCTTCAGACCACCCAGCATCTCGGAGAGAACAGCGAACTCGTCGAAGGGCAGTTTGCGTTCAAAGACAGTTTCGGGAGCCTCGCGGCCCTGGACCAGGCGGCGCTTCAGGACTTGGACGAAAGGCATGGCCTTCTTCATTTCGCCAAGCTTGCCGACCTTGGCGTTGAGCTCCTTGTCATTAATGGAGACGTTGAGAGCGTCAAAGGCGTCGCGGACGAGGTCGATGTACTTCTCTTGCCAGGTGGGGTATTTCTTGGCCGCGAAGATGGTCAGCTTCTTGGGCTTGCGCGGGTCAAAGGTTGACGCTTTGCCCTTCGACAGCTTCTTGGCGAAGTTTGCCTCCGACGACAGGATGGAAGACGCGGTGCCGCGGACGTACGCTTGTGCGGCGGACAGCTCGGGGGAGGGCTCGGGAACCTCGGGGAACCTGGCGTTGTGGATCGTCTCGGGCTGGTGGGATGTTAGAATAGGGCAGATGGGCAATAGAAATAGAAATACTGACCTTCTTGAGGACTTCTAGCCAAATGTACTCGGCCCAGTGGGGGGCAATGGGTGCCAGCATAAGAGCTTGCATCTCAATGTAACGCAGGACGATATCCCGGTGCATACCCACGCCGGCAGCAGTCGCGGATTCACGGTAGGTGTCGCGCGCACTAGTCAGGTCATACAGACCGGACTTCAGAGCAAGCTTAAAGTCGGTGCTAGGTGGACATTAGCAAACTAGAAGCTGATCAGAGTCAAACAAACTTACTCCTGGAAGTGCTTCCGGGTCTCGCGGACTATGCTGTTAATGTCGTTGTCGAACAGCTTGTCGGCGAAAGCATCAGCGGGGCCGGTACGCAGAGTGTCATCCTTAACAACCTCCTCAATCCACTCCTTCAGGGTGAACAGGCGCAAGATGTTGCTGTTGGCGACAGCCTCCTCGAAGTTAGCATCCTCGATGCTGTCACCAGCATCGGCGAAAGCAATACGGGTCGCGTCAGCACCGAACTTGTCCACTGCATCCTTCAGGGTGAGGAAGTTGCCCGTGCTCTTGCTCATCTTTTCACCATTCAGCAGAAGGTGACCATTGGCACGCACACCACGAGGCCAGAACTCCGGCGGGAAGAGGGCGATGTGGATGTATAGGAAGAAAGTCAAGTGGTTCTGGATCAGATCCTTGCCGGAGACGCGGACGTCCAGTGGGTACCAGTACTCGAACTCACGGCGCATCTGCTGCAGAGCGTCCTTGCTAATACCGCTTTTAGCGATCAGGTCGTCGGAGATCTCGCGTCTTGTGAAGATGTAGTCCCACACTTCGTCGATCATCTGCTCCGCCTTCACGCTCAGCGGGCCGATCTGCTCACCATACCGGTCGCCGTGCAGGAGGTGGGCGATGGTGTAGTAGGCCATGTACACGGTGCTATCACTCAGACTTTCAACCAGGAACTGAGGGTCCCAGGGCAGTTTGGAACCAAGACCGTACGTTCTGGCGCACGCCCAGCGGTTCAGCCAGTCCAGGTTCTTCTCAAATCCGTGTCTGGTCTCGGCACTGTAGGTGTTCAAGGTGTTCACGACGTGATCCAGGGTATCTTGTTGCCACTTGGCATCGTTCTCGCCATAGTTCAGGAACCATTGGCCCAGGTAGGCAACAACACAGTCATCTCCACTGCGGCTGACAACCTTGCCCATGGGGTCGGCAAAGGGGAACGCATCGCCACTATCATACAGAGACTTGCGGATCTTGTCCTTGGCGGTGCTGACGGGCTCGCCCTTGAGCTCGCCCACGAGCATGGTACCCTTGTAGAAGCCCTCCATGTAAGCCAACTCCTTAGCCTTGGCAAGCTGGTTGACATCCTTGGGAGAGTTGATCTTCAGCTGCTTGACCAGGGTAGGAGCGGTCAGGTTGCCATAGGATGGGGTCTCGATCAGCGGGAAGATCTCTAGCTCGGCCCATTCCTTCTGAATGCCGTAGTACTCGGGCTTCTTGGCCAAATCCAGCAGGGTAGCATAGTCGTCAGGGCTGTCAGAGGGGACCGAGGTGACAACACCAGTACCCTTGGCGGCCGAGACGGTGTCCATGGGCAGAATACGGATACCTTCAGTGTGCATGGACAGCGGCGCATTGACCAGAGTACCAACGAAGGCAGATCCTGGCGCTTCGAAGACCAGCGGCAGCTCATCTTGGGCCTTGGGGAAATGACCGTTGTCAAAGAAGTGGCCCTGGAAAGCCATATTCCAAGCAGCGCGCTTGGTCACGACAACATACTCCTTCTCCTTCAGCTTGAAAAGGCCGTAGTTAATCTTGGGCCCAACGAAGCAGCTCGTCTGACCGTACATAGTCTCGGGGCGGAGAGTGGCTGGGACAAAGTAGACCTTGGCATCATCCTCAATCTTGCCCTTGACCAGCTCCTGGAGCTTCGGTGACCATTCCTTCACCTTCAGCTTCAGGGCAGTGTATTCCTGGGGCCCAATTCCCTCACCCTCGGTGCGGTCGTGGTCCATACAAGGTTGGCCGTCCTTGGGAGAGTAGATGGTATACCGGCTGCCGTACATAATCTTGCCCAGCTCGTGGAGACGGTTCATCTGCCAGCGAACAAAGGCGTCGTAGTAAGGGTTGGCATCGGTGGTGACGAACTGTCTCCGCCAGTCGACGCGGGCACCCATGCTGTCGAGATCACGGATGGCAAGGGGAGGGAAGTGCTGCAGCCAGTGCGCAGCATCGGCGAACTTGTGGATATCCTCCAGAGGGACGCCAATGGCCAGCATAATTTGGAACTGGTACTTCATCTTCACAGTCTTGGCCGCAGCCTTGCTCTTCTTGCCCGAGAACTTCTCAGCCTGCTCTTTGACTTCCTGCGTGGGCGCCGGGGCCGCCTTGTCTTTGGCCTGCTCCTCCTCATCCTCTTTGTAGCCCTCGAAGTTCTGCCCGAACATCTTGACCTCGTCGCGCAGCTTATCCGCACATGCCTTGATGGGCATACCGGTGCAGTGGAATCCGAGCGGGAACAGGGCCCTCTTGCCCTCCATACGGGCCACTCCGGTCATGAATTCGACTTTGCTAGCGGTGAAACTGTGGCCGGCGTGTAGGGTACCGTTCATGTAGGGATAAGCCATGGTTCCAAAAAACTTGGGGTACCTTTCACGCAGCTCCGCGGCAGTCATGGCACCTTGAGGAGCCTCCGCAAAGGAGGGAGCGTTGACCTCGAAAACCCCGTTGTCCTTCCATTGGGCCTGGTACTTTTTCTCAATTGCGATCAGGGAGTCACGCTTGTCGGTCTGGGAGCTGTTAGCTATGGTGTGTTCGCAACGAGGGGGAGGGGCAGGGCAACGTTTTCGAGTTTAAGAGTGTTTTTAGTGTCGTTGCTCGGATCGAGCACAGCAGCGGATGCTGCGGCGGTTGCCATGATTCTCGAGTCAAGGTCTTTTGCCTCTTTAGCCCGAGATGCACAGCGTGGAGGGCTGGACTTGAATTGTGGAAAATCGGACTTATCGATTTGTGAGTCCAAAAAGGTAATGAAGGCGCACCACGTGACCCAGCACCGCAACTTCTGCCGCCGCCAGGAACAATTTCCACGACACTCCTATCACGACCACAATTTGGGCAATGCAGAGCCACATCCTCCATTGATTCTCCCTATTCATATAATAACAGTCCTGGAAATTCATTGGCACGAGGGCTAGCCCCTTTGCGACACATTCTGCCATCATGGTGAACCTATTCAGGCGGATGCGGAAGCTCAATGCTGTAAGTCCTCCCGACACATGGGATTACTCTGGAGAAAGAAGACCATTGGCTGACTTGTGGTGTTATTTTACTGTTTACAGAAGGTAAATCACTTCTTTTCCAACAGTCGCGGCAGCGTTGGACCTCAAAATTGCGACGACGATACACCGGAACAAAAAAACTAACCTGGTCCTTAGATCCTCAACATCCGCGCCGGCACCGGAGCCGCCATCCTTCCCAATCTCACATCCGCCACAAAAGAATTCCCTGCCGTAACGCGGCTGCACCTGACATACGCGCAAAAGATCTACCAAGGCCACGCCGGCGCACGACATTTCTGGCGCAAGTGCATGCCACGTCTGAAATACCACAACCCGGGCGTCTCAATGACGGTGCGCCAAACACAAGACCAAGAAGTACCCGCCACATTGACGATCTACTTTGCCGAGCGGACCAGCAGCACGGCCAACGCGCTGGTTGGCTCGACAGCCGTGACCGATGCCCATGCACCGCCGCCTGAAAAAACCGAGAAGACGGCTGTTATGAGCCTCAAGGATCTCTCCTGGACGGATATCTGGACGCGCGTGCAGGCTGCTACGGGCGCGCAGGAGATTGCGACCACGCCTGAGGATGCGGAGGCGTTGAACAAATTGGAGGAGATGCGGATTAAGGGGGAGAAGGATAAGGTGCGCGTGCAGAGTATGCGGCAGGCGAAGAAGGATCAGGAGCGGATGCTTGCTGAGGCGAGGGGTGAGGTTGAGAAGCTGAAGCAGACCTAAGAGGGCACCAATCTGGGTGTGGCTCTATTTCTTTTCGAAGACGAGAGGACCATATTTGTAACTGTAGCATAGCATCTTCTTTTCCTTACGACTATGTATTTCTGGATCATCTTTCTTTTTGACTGCATTCGTTGGAATATATTGATTGTGATTGACCAAAGCACTGGCCTTGGGAGTATAGAACTCTTATACAGCAAATGGCCCTAAATGGGGAAGATTATAATGAGTTTGATGCTTGTGAAATAACCCACGCTCGCTTGCAATTGGTATATAGCGAATTGAACTGAAACTGAAGAGAGGCGTACAGACGCTGCCCACGGACTCGAAGCTAGGAAGCGTGGAAGTGGCAGCACGAACCACAGACTCAGGCGTATAGCCAGATCTGAATTCAAGACAAGCTTGGAATGCACAATATACATCATCAGCCGAGCCAGGCAGGAGGGAGACCCATGCTCGGCGTATGTTCAAATGGCCAATCCCAGAAGTGTAAGGATACGGAATCATGCGTTGTCCGGGGTGTAGCTGGTCTCTCCCAGCATACTCTGTCCCGGGGCGACTTGTGGGGTCGGTGTTGTTGGACGCGGTTGGGCCGGAGCAGAAGGCGCAAGCAATGAGGGGGGTTGGGTTTGGACTCGTCCCACAGCAGCGGCCTGCAATCGCTGATCCAAAGCCTTGAGGGCCAGGGCACGTCGGCGCTCCGCTTCTTCCCGCTTGCCCCGTGACGCTCCGTCACGCTGATGGTTCAGAAGAGTGGGTAGGCCGGCCTCTCCTCGGGCCAGGACTTGCTGGTTCCCCGAGGCAATGTCAGCGGCGGAGAATGGGGTCAATATCCTGACCGTCACGAGCAGCGCGTAGATCTGGTCGGCAACGAAGGCAATCGGGGGCTGCATCACATCGGGGAAAAGACAGGCGAACGCAAAGGTCTCGCTCGCATCTCCCTTGATTCCAAGAGCACTATTTGACGTGCCGGTAAGGTCAGGCTGGTACTTGTAGAACCGCAGATACGTCCAGCTGGTCAGGAGACCGATCCAGGCCAGGATGGTGGCGGTGTCTGTCCCGAAAATGAGGCCGCTGACGGTGTTGAGAAGCAGGAACAGGGCTGGAAAATGCTTCACCCGCATCTTGACCAAACCCTTGAAGAGGGCCACGGTATGTTCGGGGACGAGTTGCTTGAAGGCGACGAGGAAGGAGGCCTGGATGGAGATGCCGCCGCAGATCTGAGTAAGACTATGAATAGTGGTCAGCATAGAAGGTATATGGAGTTCGTGTCAAGGCATACGCTCTGCTTGTGGACCCTCCGGCGGCACCCCAGATCAAGTAGATGGGGATAATCAGCACATTCGGGATGACAGCGATGATCGCGATGAACTTGCTGAACTCGCGCGAACCCCATGCGCGCTCGAGGTATTTCCCGCCATAGAATATGGTGGCCGCATTCAAGAGTACCGTAAAGATATTTTGCTCAACGAAGGTTGCCGTACATAGTGTCCACGGGTAGTAGTAGAAGAGGGAGGGGACGAGAGTCAGGTAGGGCACGATGGGAGACGAGGTGGTGGTGGAGTCGAGCTGGCGCCAGCGGGCGATGTTGTAAAGGAGGGACAGGGTGAGCAGACTGACGAGGAAGATGCGCGTAGCAGGCGGGATGTTGATCCGCAGCGACATGGTGATGCACCCTGGCGGGAAGCAAAGGTGGTGATTGTCTCGGGGGGTGAATGTGAATAAGAAAGTACAGTCAGCCACATGGACACCTCAGGCCGGCCATGTGGAGCAGCAAAGAGACGCATCCGCATCGATGGTTCCTGTTCCTCCATCGCAAGCCACACGCACGCCCGTCTCTCTTTCGCCTGTCGCCCTACAGACTAACTGACTGAGCTCTGGCCCTAAAGCTATGCTCCACTCCCCTTGAATCTTCTCTTCTTCCCTCCACACCACTCTTCCTCTTTCTCTACTCCTCTACACTCTGTCCCCTTGAACGCCCACTGCCAACTACCCTTTCACCCCCCCTCCCGAGAAATCCCATCCTTCAAAGTCTCTAACTCGGCCCCAACCCTGTCCTGTCTGGCCCCCCCTTTTTTGTACCTCGGAATCCCGATCCACCTGTCGCTCCGATCCTCCCAGCACTTACCCACATCCACCGTTGCTTATCCCTCCCCTTCTTCCATCCTCCCCGGAAAGAGCTCGCTCTTCTCGGGCATGCTCGCAGATCTCTCCGACTGGTCGCACATGTAATCCATCATGGCACAGCTTGACCTCACCTCGCATCACGTCAACTATCTAATATGGAGGTAAGTTTTCCTTCCCCCTCGTGTCTCTGCATGCGCGCGCTTAAATGCTCACACCTTGCGATCGCTAGGTATCTCCAGGAGTCAGGTTGGTTTCACCTTTCTGTGATCAGAGTCATGTGCCAGCCACCGTGCTGTCATAGTCTGACTTGATTTGTTTTCTAACCCGGTCCGGCAGGTCACGGCGAGGCCGCCGTCTCTCTGCAGCGCGCGTGGTTTCCTGACCCGCAGAGCCTCCCCTTCGCGCCTTACATCAAAACCCACGCCTTGGTATCGTTGGTCCAAAAGGGTCTACAGTACCGTGAATTAGAGTCCTCTATTGATAAGGTATGTTTCTGACATCGAAAAATCCTCTGCGCGACCAAAAAAAAATCTCATCCCAATTCCACAGGAGGGCAATCCCATTCCCGTCCCGCCAACCGAGTACTTTTTCGGACCGGAGCCCTTTGAACCAACCTCTCTGAAAATCCCCCGTGAGAATGTGGGTCCTGAACGGGCCGTGTCACCGGCCAAAGTTGTGCGCGACCGCAGCGCCGTCAACGGTCATGTGGCCGAGGTCCCCATTCTGGGCAAGAAGGTCCGCATCGAAAGCGATGCCAATGGCGATGAATCGATGGACGTGGATGCATCCCACCAAGCGAGCGAGAGCAAACCCGACACGCCTGTCCCGGAACAAGTTGATGGCGATGGCGACGTGAGCATGGAGGCCGATGAAGTGCCTCCTGAGCCCACCTTCACCCTGACGAGCGGCAGCAGCATCGGCGTCCAGATGACCCCGGCCAAGGCGGCCGACCTGGCCCCGGACACGACGCTGGTCGATGTGGCAGATGATCATGTGACCCGGACCCTGTGGCGGCCGCGCGATCCCACTGTCGTTGTGACTGCCGGCGACACATTCTGCAGCCTGTGGAAGCTATCGCTGTCCTCTGCGCCTGTGCCCAAGAGCTTGATTAACTTCAAAGGCGGCGATTCCTGTGTTTCGGCTGTCGCCTGGGATGCAGTCGGGGAGAAGTTGGCCGTCGCGACGTACAGCGAACTGCGCGGCGCCATCACTATGTACGACGTCAATGGAGATGCTGTGGACTTGTTACCCGAACTGCCACGGATGATCACTGGCTTACATTGGGCCCCCGATGGCTCACAGCTGGTTGTTGTTGCTTCGGACAACAGGACCTCGGAGCTGGCCCTGTGGGACGACACCGATCGACCTGACGTCTACCCGCCGCCGCAGCGCATCAACAGCCCCGTGTACGATCTTGCTTGGTGTGGTCGAAATCAAGTCTTTGCCTGTGGGAATGGCTCTGTCTATCAGTGCGAGATTGACCATAGCATCCGACTGACCGACACCTTCACATCTGGTGCCAGCAATGCCGCCTGGGAATTCGTCCGCTGTGTCCAAACGCCTTCTGCTTCGGTCGCAGTGGCGGCGTGCTCCGAAACCGCCTCGCTTTGGATTCCGACTCATGATATGCACATCGACAAAGCTCACCAGGGAGAGATTACAGCAATCGAGATTCGTCCTCAGGAACAGACCCCGCGACGGAATTCTTCGATTGTTCTCGCCTCCTACTCAACCGACGACAGCGTCAAAGTCTGGCAGGTCGATCTGGAGGCCAAGCAATTCAGGTGCCTTCACCGGCTGTTCTTGGGCCCGTCGACGCCTGCTCTTGCGGGTGGTTTCTCCCCCGATGGATACGCTCTTGGTGCTGTGAGCAAGGATCGTCTGTTCATCTGGAATGTCGAGCGGGGGGTAATGCCATGGCGACTTGGTCAGCGCCGGCCTCGAGCGAAGTCAAGAAAGAGGAAGCCGACCGTGCGATGAATGGACAGAACGGCCACTCTGGAGCCATCAGTGATCGCGCGCTCTCGTGGGATGCTGATGGGAAACGACTTGCCTACGGCTTTGGACATCAGGTCAGTGCATCTCTCTGGTCTAACATAGCAAGGCCCACGCTAATTTCATGTATAGATGGCGATTGTGAATCTGCAACGGTGACCATGAATACACTCGTTTGGATATTCAAGAAAAGTTTCTTCGGGTGATGCATATTTCCCACAAACTTTGTTGGACAAAGATTCCCCTCAATACAACCGCAACATGCAACCCTTCCACACAAAAACTTCGTGGACTACGCACACTCTCGGCGATGTTGCATGAATAAACTCGAGGGGATCGATCCTCATCACACCTCTCTTTCTCCTTCCACTTCCCCACCACCGGCGACGAAAGGAACAAACAAACATACAGGGGTTCATACTATCGAATAATCTATCACTTGGGAATAAGCAGCTCATCCAAACCTGGCGCGCTTCGGCTCAAGCGTACACACCTTCTCGTGCGACCCTTTCATTTCAGTGGACATACAATTGTGATTTAGAAAAAGATGCATTGCGGCATGCCTTGGTTGGGATTGGGACTCGGACGGACACGGCGAACGACATGGATTCACGGCGATGACGGCGGATTGGTTTCGGTTGGGAGGTTGGCACTGCTATTTTCTTGTTTCTAATTCTTGCCCGAAAATCAAGTGCAATCAATACCTACAACTACACTACACTACTTGTCTTGTAGCTTATTCCCTCTCCTCCCCTCCACCTCCCCTGTCTCCATTCTCGCTTCAGTCGTCGTGCTCGTGCCCGGACCTGGAATCCCTCCTCAACATCTCGCCATCCTCGCATCCACGCCGCGATCCCTTCGAGCACCAATCCATCGTCGGGATCACCCAGTTCCTCTTCCTTCCGACTCCCATTCCGTCTACTCCCCTTCTGCCGCGCACGATGATCCAGCCGCTGTACGCGAGTCACTCTCCGCTCTTCTCTTAGCGCATCAATATAGCACTGCAACCCATGCACAGTTCCCTGCATACCCTCTAACTCCACCGCATCTTCTACTAAATCCGCTTGTCTGTGCATTAAACATCAGTATCACTATACTACATATATAGGTATCCCTTCAACACAAAACACTTACAACTCAGCCACCTCACCCTCCAACTCCGCAATCGTCCTCGTCAAACCGCGACATCTCCCCTCCAACAACTCATATATCTCACCTGCTTCTCTGCGCCGGGAATCCAGTTCCTTATTCAAAGCAGTGACTTCACGCAGCAGCGCCGTGAGCTGCGACTGCATTTCTCGATTGGCGCGCGGCTCACCATCATCCGGTACATGTAGCAAGGGAGACTCGACCTCAGACTCGGGCGTCACGGCTGTGAGACCGGAGGTCAGGGATAGAGAGTGTCTGTGCGGGGGTCTGTATTTTGCGATTTCCTGGCCGAGTCCAGGGCGCGGGTCGTGCTGGAGGACCGACGAGATGGTGTCGAGGCATCGGTGGATTATTTGGGCGGAGGCGCTGTCTTCGGGAAAGTACATCCGGGTTGATGCGAGGTGTGAGAGGCGCGCCGGCCAGCGGAGGGAGTCGCGATCCATGTCTGAGTCGCTGGACATGTTGAGGACGTTGTATAGTAACTGCCTTATAGAGTAACTAACTAGTTGAATCCTGACCGAGGATCTCGTTTATCGATTATCGCGATAATCCCCGCGCTAAACTGCTTTAGGGCTTGGCTGCTTTCGTTTCTGGCATGAAGCAGCATTATTGTCCACATTGACATTGGGTCTCGTTGCGCCTTTCCTTTGCTCTTCTTATCTTGTCTTCCTGATTGGGTTGCATCCTAATCATCCCAATCCCGCCGAAGCCGGAAAGAGACCAAGTTCCCTCCCCACACATTTTCCCTTTCCGCCCAACCTTTCTTTCTTGCTTCGACTGGGAATTTCTCGCACCCGGTCACATCCCCGGTTTCCTGGAACAATGGCATCTCCTGTAAGACATGGACATTCCATCATACTGGGACAGGCTAACATAGATCCCTCCGATGACTCAGGTCGCCAATGTCCCGTCGCTCGAGACGGCGCGAGAAGTCATCGCGCAGTCGAGAAACTCCCAATTCCCTCCGAACCTGCTCCCCGTCACGGCCTCCATCTCTGCCGATCTGTTGACCCCGACGCTGGCATATCTCAAGCTTGCGGAGAAGTGAGTGGTTGGTGCACGTGGGGTGGTTGCGACGAATCTGACCGTTCAAGCAGTTCCCGACTGTCGTTCCTGTATGAGAGCGCGGCGACGACAGAGACAATTGGACGCTACAGCTTTGTTGGTGCAGGTGCGTGGTAACTTGGATATGGTCGGGCGGTCGCATGCTGACGACTTTTTTTTCTCTCCCCGCCAGACCCGAAGAAAGTGCTCAAGACCGGCCCCGGCCATGGGCACGTTGGCGATCCCCTCCCGATTCTGGAGGAGGAGCTTTCGCAATTCCGCGTGGCAACGGTCCCTGGTCTGATCCTACCCCCGCTGACCGGTGGAGCGATCGGCTACGTGGGCTACGACTGCGTGCGATACTTTGAGCCCAAGACCGCTCGGCCCATGAAAGACCCGCTGGGCGTGCCGGAGTCCTTCTTCATGCTGTTCGACACCATTGTCGCTTTCGACCACTTCTTCCAGGTCGTCAAGATCGTCACCTACATCCCCATCCCCAACACAGACGCCGAAATCGAAGCCGCCTACCGACAGGGACAGGCCGTTATCCAACGAACAATCGACACGCTGCTGCAGGACCGCACGCCGCTGCCACCGCAGGGTCCGATTATCCCGAACCAGGAATACAAGTCTAATATCGGCCAGGAGGGGTACGAGAACCATGTCAAGCGACTAAAGGAGCACATCTCCAAGGGTGACATCTTCCAAACGGTGCCATCGCAACGACTGTCTCGGCCAACTTCTCTTCACCCGTTCAATCTTTTCAGGCATCTGCGCACCGTCAACCCTTCCCCATACCTGTTCTATATTGATTGTCAAGATTTCCAGCTTGTTGGCGCAAGCCCCGAGCTTCTGGTCAAGGAGGAACGAGGACGAATCATCACGCACCCGATTGCAGGCACGGTGAAACGAGGAAAGACCCTGGAGGAAGACACAGCGCTGGCCGACGAACTCCGCGGCAGTCTCAAGGACAGAGCCGAGCACGTCATGCTGGTTGATCTGGCCCGTAACGACGTGAACCGGGTGTGCGATCCCATCACGACACAGGTCGACCGGCTGATGGTGGTCGAGAAATTCTCGCACGTCCAGCACCTGGTCTCGCAGGTGTCGGGTGTGCTGCGGCCCGAGAAGACGCGATTCGACGCTTTCCGATCCATCTTCCCGGCAGGTACTGTGTCCGGCGCGCCTAAGGTGCGCGCCATGCAGCTCATTGCCGAGCTGGAGGGCGAGAAGCGCGGTGTGTATGCCGGCGCGGTGGGTTACTTTGGGTACAACATCGCCAACGCTAATGGGTCGAGCGAGATGCCGGGCGCTATGGATACGTGCATTGCGCTCCGGACGATGATGCTCAAGGACGGGGTGGCGTATCTCCAGGCCGGTGGGGGTATTGTCTTCGACTCGGATCCCTACGACGAGTACGTCGAGACGCTGAACAAGCTCGGGGCCAATATCCAGTGCATCCGGGGCGCGGAGGCCAAGTATCTCAGCATGGAAGAAAATGCACGCCTGGCTGGAGCCAGATAATAATGACTGCTGGGCGTCTATTGGGATATTTCTCTACGATATATTTCGGCCTGAATTGAAGCTGCATTGTATAGAACTGCATATGACGTAATGTGCCTAGCCTGGGCCGACTTTCTCTCTTCACTCACTTACTGTGTCTCTGTTGTACATAACAACATCTGCAGACGCGTCAGCCGCCGCTCTCGGCCATTGCCAAGGACAGCGGTATACCATACATCGCTGCCTGCTGCCACCCCCGGGTCCTCTTACTTTGTCTGACGCGGCCCAACGTCGCCACTTGTGGCGGTGACAGGCCGAAGAGTAGAGTTTTGTACCGTAAAATCATTAGTAGTAAGACCCTGTAGATCCCCGTTCGCACTGTCTGCCCGAAAGTAGTAGTAAAAGTCGGGCGTAGGTATTATTCTGGGCGCCCGAGTCAGACTAAGCCGGATATGACGGCAGACTAGCGGATGGGGAGAGGAAGAGAATGTGAAGAAGAGGGAATACAATAAGCATAATCGTTCATTTTGGAATACATTAATAATAGATCGTGCTAAGAACTAACTTCACTTCCCGAATCATCATACTTGTTACCAGTGACACTCGCATCATCACCGTGCCAAGGCTCCCGGTCCAGCCACACCCCTCTTACTCTCGCTCATTCTTACTCTTCTCTTCCTCTCTCTGTTAACTCCCTCTCCTTCTTTCTACTCCCAACCTCGTCTTCCTCTCTTACCCACCTTCTCTTCCCTCTCGCCCAGGCAATTCCCTCGGTCTTTGTGCCCCTTGACCCACCCTGACTCTGCTCGTTTCGGAGGAGAGCCGTGCATGAGCAACGACCGCGCCTGACCTCTTCACTCACACTCTCTATCGCAAATCCAACCACAGCGGGCTGTGTATCCTTGCGAACGACAGCATTACCCCTTGTCGGTCCTGTCAAGACGGACTGATTGTCCTGCGATTGCCACTTGCTTCATCCCTGCTGCGACGGTCGCATCCTCATCCTCACCGGCACCATGTCCAAGGTCGTGCGGAGTGTCAAGAACGTGACGAAGGGCTATTCGTCGGTACAAGTCAAGGTTCGAAATGGTACGTGCTCGCCCGCGGCAGGCTTCTAGTGCTGTCGCGCAGCCTTTCTGTTGTTTTGTATCGAGGATGGCCGCCACACTCGTCTTCCCGTTGCCACCTGTTCCCTCCCCTGCCTCCACACCGACGTATAATTCTACGTCCTAACGCCAAGATGCTAATGTTTTACCTCCTCCAGCAACAAGTAACGATCCCTGGGGCCCGACGGGCACGGAAATGTCCGAGATTGCGGCCATGACTTTCGGCAGGTAGGACTGATTGTCTCGAACTGTCTGAACGGAAGGGTCTAACGTGATGTTCCATATACAGTCCGAACGAGTTCTACGAGATCATGGATATGATCGATAAGCGGCTTAACGATAAAGGCAAGAACTGGCGCCACGTGCTCAAGTCATTGAAGGTCTTGGATTACTGTCTGCACGAGGGTTCGGAGCTGTCGGTGACGTGGGCGCGCAAGAATGTCTACATCATCAAAACACTGCGCGAGTTTCAGTACGTCGACGAGGAAGGGAGGGACGTGGGCCAGAATGGTGAGTTGTGTTTTGCGGCTTGTCTTGTCGCATTGCTAATCGGTGTGACTGCAGTTCGCGTGGCGGCCAAGGAATTGACTGCATTGGTACTTGACGAAGATCGACTGCGCAGCGAACGGTCCGATCGCAAGCTTTGGAAATCTCGTGTCAGCGGACTCGACGATGGTATTGGGAACGAACCCCCGCGCAGAGAACGACGTCAACGCCGGCCCGGCGAGGAGGACGATGATGCAGAGTACCGCTTGGCTATCGAAGCGAGCAAGGCAGAAGCAGAGGAGGAGCGCAGGCGACGGGCTAAGGAGTCGGCCGACAACGATGACGAAGATCTGGCCAAGGCGATCAAACTCAGCCGGGAAGAGGAGGAGCTGCGGAAGCGTGAGTTGGAAGAGAGCAACGCGCACGCACTCTTCGACGACACTCCAACTCAGGTCCAGCCCACGGGCTACAACCAGGGATACCAGCAGCAGGGTGCAGTGGACTGGTTTGGCAACCCGATCAACGTGCAACAGCCCATGACAACGGGCTTCCTCAACAACCAGTATGCGCAACAGACCGGATTCCAGAACCAGCCCACCGGCATGGCAAACCCTTACACGAACGGCTTCCAACAGCAATTTGACCAGAACCCTTACGGCCAGCCTCAGAACAACATGATGCTGCAGCCCCAGGCCACCCTTCAACAACAGCAGACCGCATTCAATCCTAACAACCCCTGGGGAACGGATGCCTTCGCACAGCAGCAGCAGCAGCCCCAGGAGAACTATCAAGCAGCCGGAAGCAATAACCCGTGGGCCCAGACCCAGCCCCAACAGCCACAGCCCCAGGCCGATGCCCTCAAGCCGATGCCAACAGGCTCGAACAATCCTTTCGCCGCTCGCACTCAATTTCAACAGCCCGTCAAGTCAACAGGCCCACCTTCGCTCAACACTCTGTCCGAAGACCGCGCAACGAACCAGTTCAACCAGTCGAACAAGCAATTCATCCAGCAGCAGCAACCCCAGCCCAACCCAATCGCCAACTTCCAAGCTCCCCAACCAGCAAATGGCACCCCGCCGCCAGCTGCCCAGGCTCCGTTAGATCCACATCACGCTCGTCTGAACGCTCTGCTGGCCTCAGGCGAGGGTCTGGACACCTTCGGCAATGTCGGCGACTTGCGCATTCCCGCGCAGCACACTGCCCCGGGTACATTCGTCAATTCGGCCGGCCATGGTGCGGACCGTCTCCGCGCTGCCCAAACGGGCAACAACCCGTTCTTTGGTCAGCAGTTTGTGCCGCAGCAGACTGGCTTCGTGCAGCAGCAGCAGCAGCAGCCACAACAGCCGCCGGGTAACAATCCTTGGGGTGCTGGTCAGCAGCAGTCGCAGCATGGGGGTAGTAGTCTGATTGATCTGTGATGTTTTGGTTGAATGGATGGACGGATTTAGTTGAATTCAACTGAGTCGGATGTTTTCTCTCTTCTTTGTCTTTTCTTGCTTCAGTTTCATTCTTGTTCGCCCTTGAACTTGAACTTGAACTTGAACCTCGACTGAACCTAGTCTTGGCCTTGTGTTCTCGCTGGAAGCACAACTCTACCCTCACCTACACTACACACGAACGGATTGCGGATACCACCTGTTTCTTTTGTTGTTCTACCCCCCCCCCCCCCCCCCCCCCCCCTTTTTTCTTCTTTTTTCTTGTCCTTCCTCCGAGGAGAGGATTCTCTCGTCCTCGTCTGTTCACTACGCCTTTTCCTACCTACTATTTTCGTGACCAATACAAGCCAAGTTGCCCTCGGTGCTCGGTCTCTTTTTCTGGTATGCAGATGTCTTGAGTAGATAACTAGTAGTAGTTGGAGGGCTTGCTTTTTATTGTAAGTACCGTAATTTTACTTGTGCACCATCACAAGAATCAATATGGCTAGTCATGATGCCTCTCAAACAGATGGTGAAATATGGCTGACCATGATTCCATACGGATCGCGATCCGCCTCGCTGACAGCAACCTCCACCATCTCGTCCTGATAAACACTTTCGGCGCTAGAAGCAGGCGCCGCACCGCCCTGTTTCGCGCTCTCTGCGACAGACCGCAGTGCGGTCTCCCTATCTTCTTTCCATTGCCGCTTCAGGTCGTCGGTGAGTTTCTGCTGCATGACAGTTCCCAGGTAGCCGCGCTCGGAATTAGAGTGCGACAGTGCAATCACTACAGAGCCGCGCTCTGTCACTGCCAGTGCCTCGTGGTGGCTCATCTCGCCCGTAACCAGCAGATTTGGAAGTTCACTGCCTCCGCCAAGCAGCACCCCCGATCCGGAGCCGGGACAGACCCCTACAGTGTGGACGGTAGCATCACGGGTCGACTTGATAGACTGCGGGAGCGCAATGGCTATCCCGGCTGGGTATCCGATGCCCGCGGAGATGTTATCAATGACGGTTGGGAGACGTTGCGGTGACTCAAAGGTAATCAGACGACCTGCTCCGGCCGACTCGAATCCCTCCGGAATCGGTGGTGGGGACGGATGGATGGTAGTTCGCTTATGGGGCACTGACTTCTCAGTAGACCCGGTGCGGGCGGCGCGTCTGGGTTCGGGGTATGCAGGCTCCGCATAGAACAGCCCGGCTTCGACCTGGCGCTCGGTTGGAGGTGGCTTGGTGGTAGAGAAGGAACCCGTAACAATATCGCAGAGCCAGTCCGCCATTCCGCCGGGGACGGTGTCGACTGCCGTGTGTGGGGAGTAGACGCTGATGCCGTACTGTGCTAGTCGAAGGAGGGACTGTTGTTGGGTGTTTTCGAGGGTAATGGCCTTGAGACCGCGGAAGATGATTGGGTCTGTGCGAGGGATATTTCAGTTTCAACATGGACAGAACATGGAATAAATGGGAACATGGAATAAGTGGCAGCTTACGGTAGGCCACCACGGCAGAGTCCCGTCTTCGGATTGCCTCGTCCGCAACGGCCGTGGTGAGGTCGATCGTCAAGAGCACGGAGTTCCGCTGTCGGCGGGAGGGGTCGAAGGGAGCTTCGAGGAGCACTTTTGGAGCTCTAGTTAGAATCACACTTCCTTATACAAGGGTTGTCGACCTACAGCCGGTATTATCGAAGCTCTTGTCGGCCAATGACTCCGGGTATCTGCCGCAATGTTAACCGCAAGCTCTTCTCAATTGTGGGGTTCGATGCAGTACAGCTTTCGCATCGAGCTCACCACGGCCTTGGTGAATGGTGAACATGATGCTGGCGAAGACATGATCGACTGGCAGGTAGTAGTGCGAAGCCAATTCATGGAGAGACCGCGAAGAGTGCTTTGGGTCAGTCTGGTTCGGATCAACAGAAGAGGATGACGTAAATGTGTCACATGACGGGAGCTATATTGACCAAAAGGGCAGAGCCTTGAGGATCTGGCGAGGCCACTCTCCTCTACAACTTCCGATGTCCAAGTAAGAGTCGAGGGGCTTACTCGGTACCAGACATTGCAAATAGTGACTTACATTACCTTGTCTACCTGCAGACTACCCATGAACCTGCTTATCACACTCCTCAGTCTGTCAGTCACAGCCCTTTACTTTACGCTCTGTAACACCCCTTATTAGAAGCCAACACATAATGATGTTGCTAGACTCCTCGGTGGCATCATCTGCCTTGGGAAGGGGTTTGACTTATACTCCTTTCGACGATGATGATACGTGCCGACGTAAACAGCCTGATCCCTGGGAATGGAGTATGCCGGGCGCAGTGCCTAGCGTTCAGGCACCTGGCGGGGCAGTGCACGACGGGTATATATTCTTTTACCGGCTGGAGACGATTGAGACGGCGAAAGTTGATAAGGTACCACTAAACAAAGAGCAATTCCGACAGGCAATGATCGAAAGGGCTAGTGGAGCCACGCTGGCCCAGCGATATTCGAACTCAGCTACTGTTTACACGGGCGCGATTGAGGATCGTTTATTTGGATAGCGTGCGGCCTAGGAACTAAATCGTGCACCACATGGTAGATTCGGGCATGAATCGAATTTCTAATAATTAGGCACCTGTGTTCTCTACTCGCCCAGCTACCTATCATCTACTGTACCTGCTTAGCCACGGATATTGTTTGCGCCAGGTCATATGGACGCAGCCGTCCCCTCAACGTATTGCATTTCTCTCGATCTACTCTCTATGTCCGTATGTACGTGTAAAAAGCTCAGTTCCTATCATCTTAATGTGTATAAGTTCAGTACGAAGAGGGATTAACTATTCAGTTCTCGATTTGTAAGTCCCTACATGACTCGCCAACAGATCTACCAACGCGGGAATTGAAGTTGACAAGTGTCCTCAACATTCGAGTCATAGTTTAGGAACGAGAGAGTTATAAATAAACAAAAGATATATAGAGGATATCGAAGGATAATATGCCCGCCATAAACACAAAATGGCTCGCCGCAGTCCCATCCAGCTCCATCCCCTTGCGCTCTGTATTTTCTGCGCATCCGTTCTTCCAATAGTGGCCTTGACCGCTAGCGTGCCTCTGGAGAACTACCGCAATGGTTTTCGGACCGAGAACGTACGGGAGGCGCGGAGAGTACCTGGCCATCAATATGAGACCGAACTCTTCAAGGAGCCGTTTTATGCTAATGCGAACGGATCACTGAGAGTGTTCCACCCGAGAAAACTGGCCGTTATCGGTAAGCTTGTACGTCACCCTTTGCATCTACAATACTAATCTATTTATTTAGGGGGCGGCATTGCCGGTGTATCTATCGCACATGCCTTCAGCAACGAAGACGGTGCTCCACCAGAAGTAACCATCTTTGAGCGCGAGCCGCGTCTCGGTGGGCGAATCCACACTGTCTCCCTTTACGACGAAAATGATCTCTTCATCGAGACCGGTGGGGACACATTCTCTCCGCTTCACCGTATAACCGAACAGGCTCGTGATGTGGGAGTTGAAGTTCAAGATGCCTATCTGGGCAAGAATCCTCTGTCCCTCGTTAGTATATGGGATGGGCAGAATTTCACACTCAGTGAGAAAGACGAGGCCCGGGAGAACTATATGGCCCTGCCAAACTATCTGGCCCTAAGGGACTATCTCTCACTAAGTGAGACGGACGAGGTCCGCGTGAACTTTGAGACCCTGTCGGACTATCAGAACCAGCCGAATTATCTACCGTGGAATCTCGACGGAGTCGAAGATAACACAGACCTCGAAGTCCATTTAAAATGGCATATGCGGAAGGGGTCGTGGCCTCACCTAGGTCCTGATAAGGATGTTCTGCGTCAATTTGCCCAGTCCTGGGGATTCCCTGCGGAGCCGCAGGAAGAATTACTCGCCTCCAACCAGCGATTCCTAAGACGAATGGTGCGAATAGCAGACTCCAAGTTGAATCTCAACTCGACCGTGACGCGAATTCAACGACATGAAGATCTCACCTTTGATGTGCATTGGTTGCATGAGGGCTCAACGCATGTCGAAAGCTTCGACGCTGTGGTCATCGCAGCTCCTTTCCACCAGACAAAGATCGAGATCGATCCTCCGCTGCCAGCCGCAGCTATTCCAGACGAAGTCGCGTACAAGTCACTTCATGTCACGCACTTCATATCCCGACGAGGCTTGGATACGGCCACATTCAATCTCTCCTCTCATGGGACAGTTCCTGATAAAATCTGGCATTTCGAACCCCAGGATCCGCAACGAGCTCTCTCTTCTTCTGCTCCACCCTTCGTGTCCCTCAGCCGAGCTGACAGTTACTACATGCATGGCTGCATGCCGAGGAGTGAAAATCTCTACCAAGTCGTCTCCGAGCAGCCATTTTCCGACGATGACATCGCAACACTGTTAAGCCAGAATGGAATCGCGCGGGAGGACATCATATTCCCAGATCAGACCTGCTACCCTGTGAAAATGCATTCTCTGTTAGCTGCGTTGCCGCTTGATATGCGCGACGAGTTCGCCGCCAAGCTCGCTGAAATCGAATCTGCATCCGAGGAGCCAATTGTAGGACACCTTGGTGAGTTGTTGGGCTGCGTAGAGGATGATCCTGATGTGCGGTGGCTTCATCGGCAGCCCTGGCCGAATGCCGTGCCTATCATAGATCAAGCATACAATCCGGGACGTCGTGAGATGGCACCAAGATTGTTTTATGTCTCTGGGTTTGAGGGAGTGGAGGGGGCTTCCATTGCGGGAAGCGTTGACAACGCGATGAAAGTGAAGGATCGCTTGTTCTATGATTACATGTTTGACTAGTGGGGGGATTCCAGAGATTTGGTTTTGGAAAATTCATTCTGTACGTCATTGGAAGAGAAAAGGAACCAATAATAATGAAATAAAAGAAGGAAAAGAAAAGCAACAAGTCAGAAAACATAGCTAGTACGTATAGATTGGACATGATCATCGTCAAATTTGCTGGCATCCTTCCAGCATGGTTAGGAGGACCCTTAAAAGGCCTCAGATGCGGCACGTTGTGTCATCTAAATGGAGTAGTTTATAATATCCTTGAAGAAGTCCGACTCAACTTACGGTTGTGGGTTCGTGAGTGCCCATATAAATGCATCAGTTCTAGATCTCTCTATAATGGACCAGCACCAATCTACCTGAAGACCTCTAAGAGCTCCATACACAGTAGATGCTATCGCCTCGATGAACACATGTACTAACACCGACTCTTGATACAGCCACCAACGGCGTCGCGATGGAGTATATTATTTTGCTGAACTAGTCGTTCTGGTAAATGGTTTCTCATCTTCTTTCCGGGAGTGTTGTTACTGCTACTGCTGCAAGCGCTGGGACAAGCAACTCTGAAAGAGTGCCGACTCTAGGCCGGGTCTCTCTACTGGTGCCAAAATTGCTGTTGGAATCTGTATTCCTTTGGGAATAACCGTGTTCGAGGAGACTACTGGAGCAGGCGGATATCCAATTGAATGTATGATAGACAGGGAATAATCCTGATGCTAAGAGAGCAGTTCATCATATCTGCGGAGACTAACAATGCCGCTTAACGAAAAACAGATTTCGGTCAGACTGCCGCATGCAACAAATTATCCTCAAATCCCGCACAGTATAGCGTAGTGCCGAATATCGGCACTTTCCAACTGTCGGTTTCGGCGCGATGGCTTTATCTCACGTGATCTTAAAATTCAATATCAAAACATGTGAAGGGACAGAGCAGGACAGGATGTAGATGGTTCCGGTCGGGCAAGAAGTGCAGTAAACTTTGTGTCTATGTGGACGCTGGATCATAGCAGCAAGAATATTTTCAACGTGGTCGCATATCTGGGTATAGTTTTGTCTTGTAGCCATCTCCTTCCATCGCAGCTTACTCCTCCATCGCAACCGGCGTATCCTCCGCTCTCTTGCCATTATCGATTATGCCTTGTCCCACGGCCGCCTCGGCAATTTTCTGGGAGTGCGGTTCTTCGCGCAACAGCCGCAGTCTAATGACCACCACCAGCTAGTCAGCGAGGATGCTTCAGTTTGCAACATGCCGCTCTACTTACCTCCGCTTGTGGTTCTTGCCCTTGGTGTGCGCCTTCAGGTTGTACTCGCTCTCAAACCACTTGGAGCACTCGACACAAAAGTGCCGACCGAGGCCAGGGAGATCCTCGGCATCTTTGGTGGCCTTGTACTGCGCCAGGTGCCGGGGGAGTCGAGGTCGGCGCGGACCTGGTCGTAGTCCCTGCTGGAGTGAGTGGGTGTCATAAGAATGTCTGCGACGACAGAGACTTACCTCGTCCGGCGCTTGTTCTTGACTCGTCGCAGTGCACCCATGGTGATAGATGGATAGCTGATCGCAGAGTGAAAATGGATATCACCGATATCCGGAGGAAGACAGTCGCAGCGAAATTTCCGAGTGTGGGGCTTAGAAAAGAGTTGGCCGTGATTGGTCTGGCGGTTGGCCAGCGGCATCCTGGTCGGCACGCTCTCGGCTCAGGCTGGTCACCGGCTTACCGTGGTGTAATTTTGGGTATTAGTTGACCGATGACGTTTGCATGCACTCATGTTGATGTAGCAGTATCTAGGAGGCTCGAGTCTCGTACATAGATGATCGTAGTGAGGAGGATCAATTAAGACTTAGAATATTACACTATGTACAACGCTGATTTTCCTATCTAACAGGGGGCACCTTGGGGTCAGGGTTGAATCTGCCGTTGCTCCGGGCGAGAGGAATTGGCAACTTCGTGATTGGGCGGGCCGTCACATGCTGACTGACTGGCTCTACACCGGATAGATCTCTACAGGAGTGTACAATGGATGGCAGAACATATCATGAATAGGGGATGTTGAATTATAGCTTCTACCAGCTATTGATTAATCTAAAAGGATCCCTTGTAATGGTCGTGGTCGACAATCACCCTGGAATAATGCTGGAATAGTACGCTCCTGTCTCGGCTCGTGACGGTATCGCCCTGGTAACAGCGATGTCCGGTCTTCCCACTTCTCAAAACCACCACGGCCTCTCTTTTCCCCTTCATTCTTCTCTTCTTTCCACTCTCCACTCACTCCCACTCACTCCTCCTCCCCCATAATTTACAGTAGCTGCCACAGGTGAAGGTGGTCGCTGCCTCTCCTTGGATGTGCTATTAGCTTCGAGAGTGTGCTGTCATCATGATCTCCACCCGCCTTGCGCGCATCGGGGCGCTGGTAAGTCCTGCAAACAACCAACAACGCGATCAAATGCTAACTCGGAATGACAACAGGCCCCGAAGTCCCGTCTGGTAAGCAGCGCCCAGCGGTTCCCTCGCGCGGTCATCCGCAGGCAGGACCACAAGACCCCAGTACTAACGGTATTGTCTAGCTCCTCGGGACTCGGGCCTTCGCTACCGTGGGCGATTCCCCCCTCGACAAGAAGGTCGAGATGACCAATGCCGAGAAGGGTAACTACATTAACTACAAGTACGATATCCCTGACATCACGACACCCAACCAGAGCTTGCTGACGCAATCCCACTTATAGGAAGATGTCCGAGAACCTCGACATCGTCCGTGCGCGTCTGCAGCGGCCTCTCACCTACGCCGAGAAGGTCCTGTATTCCCACTTGGACGACCCCCACGGCCAGGACATCGAGCGTGGCGCTTCCTACCTGAAGCTGCGCCCGGACCGCGTGGCTTGCCAGGATGCCACTGCCCAGATGGCTATTCTGCAGTTCATGTCCGCTGGCATGCCCTCGGTCCAGACCCCCACCACCGTCCACTGCGACCACTTGATTGAGGCCCAGATTGGTGGTGACAAGGATCTTGCCCGTGCCAACGAAATCAACAAGGAGGTCTACGACTTCCTGGCCTCCGCCACTGCCAAATACAACATTGGTTTCTGGAAGCCCGGCTCCGGTATCATTCACCAGATCGTCCTGGAGAACTACGCTTTCCCCGGTGGTCTGATGATCGGTACTGACTCGCACACTCCCAACGCTGGTGGTCTCGCCATGGCTGCCATTGGTGTCGGTGGTGCTGATGCCGTGGATGTCATGGCTGGTCTCCCCTGGGAGTTGAAGGCCCCCAACGTCATTGGTGTCCGCCTGACTGGCGAGATGTCTGGCTGGACCACGCCCAAGGATATCATCCTGAAGGTTGCCGGTCTCCTGACCGTCAAGGGTGGCACTGGTGCCATCATTGAGTACCACGGCCCTGGTGTCGAGTCGCTGTCCTGCACTGGTATGGGTACCATTTGCAACATGGGTGCCGAGATCGGTGCTACCACCTCCATGTTCCCCTTCAACGACCGCATGTACGACTACCTGAAGGCCACCAAGCGTCAGCACATTGGTGACTTCTCGCGCGAGTACGCTGCCCAGCTCCGTGAGGACGAGGGTGCCCAGTACGACCAGCTCATCGAAATCAACCTGTCGGAGCTCGAGCCCCACATCAACGGTCCCTTCACCCCCGATCTGGCCACCCCCATCTCCAAGTTCAAGGAGGCTGTTGAGACCAACAAGTGGCCCGAGGAGCTCAAGGTCGGTCTGATCGGTTCGTGCACCAACTCCTCGTACGAGGACATGTCCCGCGCCGCCTCGATCGCCCGTGATGCCCTCGACCACGGCCTCAAGTCCAAGTCTCTGTTCACCGTCACCCCTGGTTCCGAGCAGATTCGCGCCACCATTGAGCGTGACGGTCAGCTCCAGACCCTCGAGGAGTACGGTGGTGTCATCCTGGCCAACGCCTGCGGTCCTTGCATTGGTCAGTGGGACCGCAAGGATGTGAAGAAGGGCGAGGCCAACTCCATCATTTCCTCCTACAACCGTAACTTCACTGGCCGCAACGACGCCAACCCTGCCACCCACGCCTTCGTTGCCTCCCCTGACCTGGTCGTCGCCATGACCGTGGCTGGAACCCTCAAGTTCAACCCCCTGACCGACACCCTCAAGGACAAGGACGGCAAGGACTTCAAGCTCAAGGCCCCCAGTGGTGATGGTCTCCCTGACCGTGGCTACGACCCCGGCCGTGACACCTACCAGGCTCCTCCCGCGGACCGCGCGTCCGTCAGTGTCGCTGTTTCCCCCACCTCGGACCGTCTGCAGGTCCTGGAGGGCTTCCCCGCCTGGAACGGCCAGGATGCCAAGGACATCCCCATCCTGATCAAGTGCCAGGGCAAGACCACCACCGACCACATCTCCATGGCTGGCCCGTGGTTGAAGTACCGTGGCCACCTGGACAACATCTCCAACAACATGCTGATCGGTGCCATCAACGCTGAGAACGGCGAGGCCAACAAGGTCAAGAACGCCTTCACTGGTGAATACGACGCCGTGCCCGCCACTGCCCGTGACTACAAGGCTCGTGGCGTCCAGTGGGTTGTCATCGGTGACTGGAACTACGGTGAGGGTTCGTCGCGTGAGCACGCTGCCCTGGAGCCCCGCCACCTGGGCGGTCTCGCCGTCATCACCCGTTCGTTCGCCCGTATCCACGAGACCAACCTGAAGAAGCAGGGTATGCTGCCCCTGACCTTCTCCAACCCGGCCGACTACGACAAGATCAACCCCGAGGACAAGGTCGACCTCCTGTGCACCCAGCTGGAGGTTGGCAAGCCCGTGACTCTGCGTGTCCACCCCAAGGACGGCAGCAAGACCTTCGACGTCCCTCTCAGCCACACCTTCAACGAGTCGCAGATCGAGTGGTTCCGCGACGGTTCCGCCCTGAACACCATGGCTCGCAATGCGGCCAAATAAGCGCCTCGGCGTCTGTAAACTATATTTCTCTCTCTCCGGTGCGAGTGGGCGGGAACATGCCCGCCGAGTGTGCTGGGGCAGTCTGACGAGTGCGTCCGCACATCCCTTTCGAGGAGTTTGCGCTGGGGGAAAAACTTAAAACCTTTTGACGACTGAATTCTTTTTCGTTTTTTGTCTGCGTTGGATCCCCTCAGTTTTTGGGTGGGCTCAATGGATATAGTTTGTGTGATATTCTCCGTTGTTTTTGTATGTTAGGGATGCATGCATACATCTTTCGTTTGTTCTAAACCTGTGCCTTCAAATTGTAGATCTACAATGTAGTCCTCGTAGTCCTGATTGCAGTGAATGTTGAGCTGATCTAATCGAAGCCGCTCAGCCGAGGTCCGGGTCTTTTGCCCCGCGGAATCCAGACGATTTCACTCGCGAACTCCGATTTATCAATGTCGCCAATGTCGTGATTGTCCAACCGACTCTCGGCCTGACGAACTCTTGACTTTAATCATACCGGAGCCTGCGGATCCAACTGGAAACTTCAGCAATACATTATCTCTCCTCTGTAATATAGTGCTACCTCGTCATAACGACTCAACTCTATTCCCGATATGGCGACACAGCTCGTCCCGCTTCCGGAGGTCGAGCGCCTCAGCGCATCAGTGGTGAGGATTCTGGGCGGGAATCCTGGCAAGGTAGATTTGATTTATCTCAAGATCAGTACAGACTACGTGTGCTAACATTGTGGCCACCAGTTTACACTACAAGGTATAGTATTTGGTACCCACCCAAAATCACGATCCATCCCTGTCTCTGACACCTACCAGGAACAAACACATATCTAATCGGCCGCGGCCACCAGCGGATCCTAATCGACACCGGCGAAGGCAAGCCGTCGTGGGCCACGCACCTCCAGTCCGTGCTGTCCGCCGAAAAAGCCACCGTGCACCAAGCCCTGATCACCCACTGGCATGGCGACCACGTCAATGGCCTCAAGGATCTGCGTGCCATCTGTCCCCAGGCTCAGGTCTTCAAGCACCAGCCTGACGGCGACAGCCAGACGGACATCCAGGACGGACAGGTTTTCCGCGTGGACGGCGCGACTCTGACGGCGTGTCATACGCCGGGACATACGGTTGATCATATGGTTTTTGTCTTGGAGGAGGAAGATGCGATCTTTACGGGTGATAGTAAGTCAATGGTTCTTTATTGTGGGTAATAATTATCAGACTAATTGGATGAACAGATGTCCTGGGCCACGGCACCGCCGTCTTCGAAGACCTGAAAACATATCTCTCAAGTCTGCACCGCATGCGCGACCGCGTCTCCGGACGGGGATATCCCGGGCACGGCGCCGTGCTGGAGAGTGCGACGGCCCGGATAACGGAGTATATCAAGCACCGCCAGCAGCGAGAAGACGAAGTGCTGCGGGTTTTGCGGTATGGAAAGTTGGACATCAAGGAGAATGAACCATCGCCCGAGCGCAGGCAGCCATTCACTCCACTAGAGCTGGTCAAGGTTATCTATCGTGATGTCCCGGAGAATCTGCATCTGCCGGCGTCGCATGGCGTGTTGCAGGTGTTGATGAAGTTGGAGGATGAGGGGAGGACGGTGCATGATCGGGACTCTGGGTTGTGGCGGTTGGGGGAGCGATCGGCGCTCTAGATACTTCTACAACTCGGTCGGTCTTGATAGAATGTATCTATTCCTGGATATACCTGCGGCTACTTTCAAGGTTTCTGTTGTATAGATTACATCAGGGCCCACGTCATGCCATTGAGACAACATGACTGGCTGGCAACGTTTGCCAGCATGCCGGGCTGTCCTTGTTGAGCTGTAGGGGGAATCCGGATAATTATTAACGAGACTGGGATTCTCGGTCTACGACAGCAGTGGTGAATCATGCGGCTGTCATTGTCCATTCACTCGCATAGAAGTATAAAGAAGGGAGAAGATGATTATTTTCACCAGAATTGGAAGTGTTTCTGCTTTAACCAAGGACCATGTAGCGTCCACCCAGCTTCCAGCCCAATTGTGACCTCACTCAACCGCTTTGCCCCGCCGCCCTTGTTCCAACACCTTTTTTCCCGCAACACCCATTTCTTCACCTCCCACGTCTATGCCTGCCGCTCCCCCTATCATAGCTTGACAAGCGGTCTGTCTGCCTGGCTCTTGGCCTCACCAGACCTCGTCGGCTTATCCTCTCAGCTGCAGTCAGCCTGCCTGTCTGTCTGCCCCATAATTGACGAGCCCGGAAGCTCACCGGTCTCAGCGCGACAGGGGTCCTACCACCTTTAATTACCCCAATCCCTTCTCGCCGTTCCTCCCCCATCCCGCCCGGTGCCCCCTCTACCTCCCGCGACCATGCCGTCTCTTGAAGACTCCACCCCTACCGAAGCACGCCTCCTCCTCGTCTCAAATCGCCTGCCCATCACCATCAAGCGCTCGGAGGATGGCAAATATGACTTTTCCATGTCCTCCGGTGGCCTGGTCAGCGGTCTGAGTGGCCTGTCCAAATCAACGACCTTCCAGTGGTACGGCTGGCCTGGTTTGGAGGTGCCCGAGGCGGAGATCCCGGTGGTCACGCAGCGCCTCAAGGACGAATACGGTGCTGTGCCAGTGTTTATCGATGATGAGCTGGCCGATCGACACTACAATGGATTTTCCAGTAAGTCGTGACTTCGTTGGGGGTTAGGGTAACAAACTGACCAGACAGACTCGATCCTCTGGCCCCTCTTTCATTACCACCCCGGTGAAATCACCTTCGACGAGTCCGCCTGGGAGGCATACAAGGAGGCCAATCGGTTGTTCGCGCAGGCAATCGCCAAGGACGTCCAGGATGGAGATCTCATCTGGGTGCATGACTATCACTTGATGCTGCTTCCCGAAATGCTGCGCGAAGAAATCGGCTCTAGCAAGCAGAATGTCAAGATTGGGTTCTTTTTGCACACCCCATTCCCCAGCAGTGAGATCTATCGCATCCTGCCTGTGCGCAATGAGCTGCTCCTAGGTGTCTTGCACTGTGACCTCATTGGGTTCCACACCTACGATTACACCCGGCATTTCTTGAGCAGTTGTTCGCGATTACTGTACGTGCACCGGCATTTGATCGTTTCCAGAGCTAATGGAATACAGGGAACTTGCCACGACTCCCAACGGCATTGAATTCCAGGGCAAGATTATTACCTGCGGCGCCTTCCCCATCGGCATTGACCCGGAGAAGTTCAAAGAGGGCCTGAAAAAGGAGAAGGTGCAGAAACGAATTGCCATGCTGGAACAAAAGTTTCAAGGCGTCAAGCTGATGGTCGGTGTCGACCGGCTCGACTACATCAAGGGCGTGCCTCAGAAGCTGCATGCGCTCGAGGTTTTTCTCAGTGATCATCCCGAATGGGTTGGCAAGGTCGTGCTTGTGCAGGTCGCTGTACCTAGTCGCCAGGATGTGGAGGAGTACCAGAATCTGAGAGCGGTGGTGAACGAACTCGTGGGTCGGATTAACGGCAAGTTTGGTGAGTTTCCATTCTTCTGCCATATTTGACGCATCCTTCTAATCAGCACCAGGGACTATCGAGTTCATGCCCATTCACTTCCTGCATAAATCTGTCAACTTTGACGAGCTCATTGCGCTCTACGCCGTGTCGGATGCTTGCATCGTCTCGTCCACCCGAGACGGCATGAACCTGGTGGCGTACGAGTACATTGCGACGCAACAGAAGCGCCACGGCGTGCTGGTGCTCTCGGAATTCGCCGGCGCAGCACAGTCCCTCAACGGCAGCATGATCGTGAATCCGTGGAACACGGAGGAGCTGGCGGGTGCGTACCAAGAAGCCGTCACGATGAGCGACGAGCAACGAGCGCTGAATTTCAGCAAACTGGACCGATATGTGTCTAAGTATACCAGGTATGTTCACCCCACTACGCAAAACGGAGCAGTTAACTAATTTCTTCAAGTGCATTCTGGGGCCAGTCCTTCGTCGCCGAACTCAGTCGGATATCCGGCCAGGCGGCAGATAAGTTCCAGTCGAAGAAAGTGGCAGCCAACGATTCCACAGATGGTGACGCCACTGCCAACAAGCAAGAGGCGTAGCCTAGACCGTTATTAGAGGCTTGTTTACGAACATGGATGCGGCGAAATGTATTTTCTTGTTTACTTTGTGCTTCTGGGACGGGTGTATGGGGGTTGTTAGGAAATATTATTCTGATTTGATTTAGATTCTAGATAATGGAAGTCTCCGCTCGTTATTGGCAGTACCTCGTAAACTCAGAAACATGTGTTCTATTATTCGCAACTAAAGATGCCTCCATGGATAATACTTGAAGGGTTGTGCCTGGTGGTGGTGGTCTAGAAAGTGCAAACAGTGCAAACACCCTAACCAAGAAATTCTCGGCCAGCCACAACTCCAGCGTCTTCACAGCTCTCCTGCAACAACACCAACCATGGCGCTCCCCGGCCTTCTACGGGCAACTCTGCCCCTGCGCCCGTCCATTGCCTCCTTCATGAGTCCAGCACGGTCTCAAATTCTCCCTCTCCCTTCCATCCTCACACCAACCATCCGATCCGCCTCGACAGTCACCAGCGACCCAACTCCCTCACAAGAAACCACTCCTCCAACACAACCAACCACTCCTTCCACACAATCATCCCAGCTCATCACCCCGGCAGACCTAACGCCACCCTCCCGGCTGCGCACCTACGCCTCCGTCCGCCGCACCGGCACAGTCACCTCGGTCGGCCGGATGGACCGCACCGTCCGCGTCTCCTTCCGCCACCGAGCCTGGGACCGACACATCCGGAAACATTACCCCAAGGAGACGCACTTTCTCGTCTCGGACCCGAACAACTCTCTCCGCGAAGGTGACGTGATTGAATTTTCCTCTGGCGCGCCCAAGTCGCGGCGCGTGCATCACGTCGTCGAGCGCATTATTGCGCCCTTCGGCACGCCCATCGAGGAGCGGCGTCCTGTCCTGTCGCGCGAGGAGAGGGACCAGGTGAGAGAGCGCAAGTGGGCGGCCAAGTATCTGCGCAGGGAAGAGCGGAGGCTTGGTGGTCCCGTTGATTTGGCGGGTATTGCCGGTTTGGAGGGTCAGGCTCAGGCCGAGGGGGTGAGCGATGCGGAGCTGATTCATCGCATTCATGGTGCGAATGAGCGCATTGGGCGGGTTAAACGGTTGGTCCTGGAGAGGACTGCTGCTGCCCAGGCAGCGAGGGTGGAGGCTGAAGCGAAGTCAAAGGCTGATGCGAAGGCTCGGGCTGAAGCTATTGCCAAGGAGGAACCCAAGGAAGAGCAGCTGAAGTTTGAGTGAGATCCATGGGGTCTTTTGTTGGTTAAGAGATCTGTCTGGTATCAGCATATCGGATTCTTTGTACTATACTCTATCTAACTACACATTTCCTTTATTTATCATCTTCCGTGGTCAATTAGGAGGGGACCAGCAAGCCAGCAGTAGAAGAGACCGCATTAAAAACAACCAAAAATGTCTGTTCCCTGCCTTTTTCATACAAAAGTTTAGTTAGCACTTTGAGGTAGTTGCGCCAGACGATTCCCGGCCGCGGGGTCACGCCACAACAACCGCTTGTTTACTCCCGATCCGATTGTCTGTTTATCTTCACTTCTCCTTCCTCAACTCCCCACCCACGCTGCATCGCACACGAGCCTCATAATTCATATCTAACTTGACGCATGGTCTATCCTCCTTCGAGCTTCTTATCCCGCCTATTTTCTCTCCCCCGCGACCGGTCCCTGGGCCAGCACCGTCGTCATGGCTGATGGCCAAGAGGATTTCTCCTCCCTCCCCCTGCCCGACCGGTTCACCCACAAGGTTCGCCCGTCTCTCTGGTGATGCCCGCGCTGCTACTGACCCGGATACACAGAACTGGAAGGTCCGCAAGGAGGGTTACGAAGATGCAAAAGCCCAGTTCGAAAAAACCCCCGACGACTCCCACCCGGTGTTTGTCCCGTTCATCCAAGACCCCGGTCTGTGGAAAGGTGCCGTCGCCGACTCCAACGTCGCGGCGCAGATAGAGGGTCTGGCGGCCTACTGCGCTTTCTTGGAATTCGGAGGCCCCCATGCCTGTACACGGTGCGTTGAGGAGACAGATCTCGTTGCTGTGGGTTGACTGACACTTGTTTATCTAGATCTCGCGGACAGACGCTTGGCGCTATAACCGAAAAGGGTCTCTCGTGTGCACGACCGGCAGGGAAAGCGAGCGCACAGGAAGCCCTGTTATTATGCGTGGAATTGGACAAGGCTGATCCCGTGATTGAAGAGCTTCTCCCAGCGCTCTCACATAAAGTGCCCAAGGTGGTCGCAGCGGCGCTGGCAGCCTTGACTATCCTCTACCATAATTTTGGATGCAAGATTGTCGACCCGAAACCAACCCTAAAAGCCCTGCCCAAGGTCTTCGGACATGCAGATAAGAATGTGCGAGCGGAAGCGCAAGGCCTCACCGTTGAACTCTACCGATGGCTGAGGGAGGCCATCAAGCCGGTCTTTTGGAACGACCTAAAGCCAGTGCAACAGCAGGATCTGGAGAAGCTTTTCGAACAGGTGAAGCAGGATCCTGCACCGAAACAAGAACGCTTCACTCGGGCACAACAGGAGGCGATGGCTGCAGCGAGCGGGGCCCCAGCTGGTGGCGACGAGACAGAACAGGGTGACGAAGAATATGTCGAAGAGGATGCTCCAGAGGCCGAGGTTTTGGATCTCGCCGAGCCCGTGGATGTCCTGCCCAAGGTCCCCAAAGACCTCCAAGATCAACTCGCCTCATCCAAGTGGAAGGACCGAAAGGAAGCGTTGGACGCCCTTTATAACGTCCTGAATGTGCCTCGAATCAAAGAAGGACCGTATGATGAGATTGTGAGGTCGCTCGCCAAGTGTATGAAGGATGCGAACGTCGCCGTTGTCACGATAGCAGCCAACTGCGTCGACGTGCTAGCCAGAGGTCTTCGAAAGGGGTTTGGCAAGTATCGATCTGTCATCATGGTTCCGATGCTGGAACGTCTGAAGGAGAAGAAGCAGATCGTGGCAGATGCCCTGGGCCAGGCGTTGGATGCTGTATTCAGCACAACGACTCTGTCAGACTGCTTGGAAGATATTCTCGAATATCTGAAGCACAAGAATCCGCAAGTCAAGCAGGGGACCGTCAGATTCCTGATTGGGTGCTTACGCACGACAAAGGATGTGCCATCCAAGCCCGAGCAGAAATCCATTGCCGGTGCGGGCACGAAACTGCTCACCGAGTCGACCGAAGCCATTCGTTCTGGAGGTGCCGAGATCCTGGGCACACTCATGAAGATCCTGGGGGAACGTGCCATGAATCCATACCTTGATGGACTCGATGATATCCGGAAGACGAAGGTCAAGGAATACTTCGAGACAGCCGAGGTCAAGGCCAAGGATCGACCCAAGCCAATTGTCGCTCCTAAGGTCACTGCCCCCAGCAAGAAGATTGCTGCTGCAGGAAGGAAGCCGGCCACGGGGCTGAAGAAGCCCGCAGCGGCGGCACCTCCTTCTCCTGCGAAAGAGCCTCCGGCCAAACCTGCTGCCAGAAGCATCCCTTCAAAGATCGGTGGTGTACCTAAACCTGGCGGCTTATCAGGATCTGGCCTTAAGGCCCCTCAACGAAAACTCCCGGCTCCAGGAAGTATTGCATCACCGCAGAGACGGGTCGTATCTCCTCCGGCAGAAGAGGCAGCACCGCCAGCACCCAAGTTCGGTCTTGGACGTGGCCTTGCTGGCCGTCCCATTGCGAAGCCGACGGCGCCCGCTGAACCTGCTGCAGCGCCACCTGCTCCAGCAATGAGTGCCATGTCGGCTGCCGATAAGGCCGAGCTGGAAGAGCTACGACTGGAGAAGGTGAGATTGAGCCGGATTGTCGAGGAAACGAGGTCCGAGCGCTCAAAGCTCAATTCACAAATCAACGAGCTTCAGAACCAGAACGCGCAGCTGATCGAAGACCATACGCGCGACGTCTTGAGCATCAAGGCCAAGGAGACACAGCTGGTCAGGGCACGCAGTGACGCCGAGGCCGCTGAGGAGAATGTCCAGAAACAGCAGCGAGAAATCGAACGGTTAAAGCGCGAGTTGGCCCGAGCACTCCGTGCAACGGCCATGAGCCCGCCAAACGCCACCGCCGACGCTATGGGTATGGCAGACGCGGCCATATACCAAGAACCCGCCAGCAACGGGCATGCTGCGCCGCGCTCTGGTCTACACTCAGCCTCCCGGTTCAATAGTGAACGCCCGCGCAGCTACGCATCCGCCAGTCCCAGCGAGGAAAAGGAGAATAATGGCGGCATGGACTCACCAGGTCTCGGCTCCCGGGATGGAAGTCTGGGCCGGCGCAAGTTGAGCCCGACGTACGGTTATTCCGCCGTGGGCAGCCCGACACGCTCATCAACACGGGGCTCTGGCCATCCCACCGACGAAGAACAGCAGCCTCGGAGTGCAGAGCCGCCGGAGAACTGGAAGCGTGCAGCTGAAGTGACCAGCCAGCTCAAGGCGAGAATCGAACAAATGAAGGTGCGTACCCTCTTTTATTGTTCTGCATTGATTCATTTTCTGACACATGATGTTTAGGCAAGACAAGGACTTCAACGACCTCCTGCCCAACGCTAATGATGCAATGACCACAACCATGCTTATGTTTCTTCCTTTTTCCTCTCCTCGGTCTCTCATGATCTCATCAAGCCAAGGCACCAGCGGTAGTGGCCATTTCTTTTCTTTTAGTTTCTTGTTTCTTCGGAGCATCGGGCTGGGATTTTGGGATTGTGTCGTTCTTTTTCACCTGTAATTTCACACCACACAACTCCTTTTTTTGGGCTGCGAAAGCGTCCTCTTTTTGGTATCTTAGTATTTGCTTTTTGAGGTCCTTTTATCCAGGGATGGTTGTTTCCAGTACACACACCCTCCCACAACGGCTTGTTTGAATCTGATGTATAACCACTTTCGTTATTTAGTATTCGTCTTTTCTCGCGAAGCCCTAGTCCAGTTGTCCAGATGTTACTTGTATGTGTATACTAAGGCATGCGCATTGTTATATCCATACAACATGCATCCTGTCTCAGACAGCCATCACTCCTTATTGTTGGACGTTTCCATCTCAACCCTAGCCAACCTCTCCAACACCATAACCCTCGCTCTCTCCTCATCCCCCCCAGCCCTAGCAATCGCATCCGCCATAACACTCCTGAACTTCCTATTGGTCGAATGAAGCATATCCAAAACGCCCATGGGCCCGAAATTCTCCGTAAACGCAAAATGATGGAAATCATGCTGCAGATTCGACGGCAAGCCGGGAATATTGTAGCCCGAGTGGACGCAGATGGTATTGAACTCCAGAAGCAGGAAGATAAACACCGCCTGCGACCAGTGGTGGCGCACGAGTAACGTGCCCAGTGCGTTGGGGAGGAGGTTCGAGAGGATATGCTCTGTTACGGAGCAGTGCGTTGCCGCCAGCCCGACTGGCGCGGTGAATTCGTGGTGCTGTTTATGGAAGAGCTGATACAGGGACCCGTGGTGGAGGCTGCGGTGGATGTAGTAGAAGCCAATCTCTGTGCAGGCGACGTCGAATAGTAGCGTTGTGATAGTTGTGGTCGGGCTGGGGAGGTATTCTGGTGCCACGGGGTGCAGGGCGTGGCCTAGGTGAGTGCTTAGGAGGAGCATTGGGAAGGCTACGAGGACTTGGTTGCGGAGGGAGACGGCCGCGATGCGCAAGTACGCTGCTCCCGAGACCCGTGTGAAGGGCTGCGTTTTGTATCGGAATAGCCAGCGTGGAGAGCCTGTTAGGTCGGCGAGGGCAAATAGTCCAGCCCATGCCCAGAAGAAGACCGATGTGATGATGAATGTGCCCCATACGTTCATTTTGTAGGCGCCGTACGTGCTGTCGAGGTATGTATAGAATTGGCGCCCGGTAACGGATGCATTAAATGAGATGAATGCACCGATGACCGCCGCATTAGCGGCGACGGAGAGTAGTTTGCCATTTGTGAAGGAGGAGGGCGAATATGCCCAGCGCTGGCTCTGCGGGATGGGTTTGCCGGAGAGGTCTGTTGGCACAGAGCGTGCCAGTGGTTTGGCTGTGGTAGTTGTGGCCGTCGTCATGGCGGTGACTATCTGGAATATATACAAGACACACAACTTCTCTGTTGTGTCCATACGTCTCTATAAGGTTTCTCCTCTGCCATTCTTCAACACGTGATATTGTAACGACCTCGGCAACAGTGCGGTTGCAAAGATGAGTGGAGAACGGGAGCATTAAGCGTGAGCTGTGAATAGAGTAGGTAACCCTAACCTAATTTGGGGGACTACCCTCAAGTATTCTACATGCCAAGCATCATCCAGATCTTACTGCATTCTCATCACTAATAATCGACCATTCTAGATACATAAAATCACTATGTAAGTTTGCTTGTGACCAATCTCAAACCCATCTCCCGGAACTGGAACCTACGTCATGAACATGGCCACCATGAAAGTCAAAACGAACAAGACACTGAGGTCAGCCCACGGTCGCACACCCAGTGCTCCATTTGTGCTGTCAGCGGTCATAGAGGAGGATCTATCATCAAGGCTCCTGGCACCAATAACACCACCCTGGACCTTGGCTGGCACGGTCGAACCCTTTGCTTTCGACGCCGCCTTCTTGAATGCAGCGAGGGTATTCGGGCCGCTGGTACTAAACGCAGGACGGTCAGTCATTTCTTTCTATGGCTTCCACTTGCAGGCACACTTACGGTGGGTTGATCACCCCAACCATTCCGGCCTGGCAGTGCCCAACTTGTCCGCAGTAGAACCAGATGGGTTTGGTATTGTTAACGGTCAGAATGTAGTCGTCAGACTGGTAGCAATGTCAGAGAGGCCTTCAGACTGTGAAATTGAATTGATAAACGTACCGACTTAGGACTAGTACTACCAGGGATGAATCCACTGAAGAAGCTGCTAGAGCTCAAGGGGTGGCATGGGTTGTTATATGCGGCTTCAACCACCGAGTGGTCGCCCGGAAAGAATTGGAACTTGACTTTGTCTCCTGAGGAGACGGTGAGGCTATTCGGGCTAAAGGTGAAGCCGTTTTTGCCAACATTAACAGAGTGGGTGGCGCTCGAGGAGGAACTGCTCTTAGTCGTGGTCGTCATGGTCGTGGTGGCAGCACCACCACCACCTCCACCACCACCACCTCCTCCTCCATACTGAGCCACAGCCAGAGGAAGAAAGAAGGGAACAAGAAAAGATAGAGATGCCCTGACCATTGTTGCAACTGCTTGGACGATTCTGAGACTGTCTGCATAGAAGTACTTGTGTATATATTCCACATCCTCGGAATCAGTCGATGGGCCAACCCTTATATATACCACTTCTACGTAGAAGTATAAGCAATAATAATAGGTGTATAACTCCCACTTACTCTTTTCAGTCGTATTCGTATCCAAAGAACGTAGTTGGAACGTGATATGGAAGAACGACGGCACAGCCACGCTAACCAGAGAAGGCCCCATTCCAAATAACTGACCGTACCAAAAGGGTAAAACAGCTTGCCCCCGGAAAGTTTAAATGGCTCTTTGCTGAAGAGGAAAATGCATATGGACCCTGGATCAGATATCAGACGGGTTCTAGAACTGAACACGGAAAACTAGGCCAGGCAGAAATACCATCACCACTCTGACTGTCGGGATCTGCCTATCACAATTACACAAAAATGATCACTTCACATCGCAGCCTTAGATCCAGGCTCAAGGGTGGCGCAGCGAAGGAGCTGCATGTAAGGTTTGGCGTAAGACACGGGCCGTCATTCCGGAATAGGAAGGGAAAGAAGCTTCCTACTCAGGCTGCCTCCATTGCTAAGCAATATCTAAGCATTCTGGGATGTGAGTGCGATATTCCGTTGAGGGCACTGGATTGAGTATATCGTGAGTTGCCATTCCCAGTCATGTGCGGTATCCCAGGACGTTTAGCAGGGAGAGTCCCTTGAGAGTTTCTTCAAGTTGGAGGATGGATTTCATCCTCGTCCAAACAGGGGCCGCGTAATATAGAAATGACAAATTGTGAGCTGAGGCATTACAAGCTGTCAACTATCGTCCCAATCTACCCTTAAGAGAATCAAGTGTCCTTAGCGAACCAAGTGTATATCGTACATTGTCGGCCTTTGGGTCTTCTCTAATTAAGACCCAGCTACAATCTCTACGCCCGGAAAATGAGGGATATATACCACTTGTAGAAGTATAAGCAATAGGTGTGTGTACGCGTGAACATGCATCTCTCTTACCCTTTTAGGTCGTATTCGTATCCAGCAAACAAAGTTGAAATGGAAGAGCCTGGGCATAGTCCGGCGGGTTGGGACGGACACGTTGAACACGCACGTTTTTGTCGTGCCACTTGTGGGTTTACACTTGAACCCTGGGAGCGGCGCCGTAGTACCCGTAGGGGCCTATCAGCCAACCCCAATGGTGACCATTGTCTAGGAAATCTATTTCAACCTCCACTGAGGCGGTTCACATAGAGGGAAGATACGAGCAGATGGTGAATGCCTACCTATTCTATGCCTACATCTACACAGTAGACAGTTGAAGAGGGTGAAATGCATTCAAGGGTATCTGCGGAGGTTGGTACATGAGGGCCATATGAGGAGTTCGTGAGAAAAAAAAAGTTTTTTTTTCTTGTTGGTTAGAACAGGATCCAAAAAAGGGCCCGCGACTCGTTCCCACCCATCTAAGCTAAACAAGAATTCAACCGTCAACAAGTCATTCGGAGCCGTTGGCTACCTTCCTTTGGTTTCCCATCCGGGAAAAGACAAGGTGCTTTTTTGTAAGGCGTCACACAAGATCAAAGAACAAGCTTAAACCTTGATGGCGGCCTCAGCAGCCTTGCGCTTCTTCTCAGTGCGAGCGTTGGCCTTGGGGCCCATGATACCACCACCCCAGTGGCGGCGGGCCTCCTCGTACTTGTCGGTGTAGCCCTCCTTGACGGCGGACAGGAGCTTGGCGAACTCAGCCTTGTCCTCGGAGCGGACCTCAGTCAGAGCCAGGACGGCGGAGGTCTAGTTGAGAGTTAGAGATAAGTCACTTCGGAGATGGTTGGGGTTACAATGCATACCTTCTTGTGGACAACGGTACCCAGGCGAGCCTTGCCCTTGACGATGGCGTAGGGGACACCCATCTTGCGGCACAGAGCGGGGAGGAAAACAACCAGCTCAATGGGGTCAACGTCGTGGGCGATCAGGACGAAGGAAGCCTTCTTGTTCTCGACCAGGCCGACGACGTGGTTGAGACCGTACTTGACGTTGTAGGGCTTCTTGGAGACATCCTCCTTCTTCTTGCCCTCGGAGACGGCGGTGGCCTCCTGGTGCAGACGCTCCTTCTTCTCGGTCTTGGTCTCAGGGCGGTACTTTGCCAGGAACTTGAAGGTCTGGGCAGCGGTGTTGCGGTCCAGGGTGTTCTGGAACTGCGCAAGGGCCGGGGGGACCTTGAGGCGCATGTTCAGAATCTTCTTCTGGCGCTGCATGCGGACATACTCGGGCCACTTGACGAAGCGCGACAGGTTGCGCTTGGGCTGGATGTCCTGGCCGATGCCGAAGTTGCGGGTGCGCTTCTCAATCAGCGGGTTCTGCGACAGGGATGATTAGCAACTCCTCCTTTTCTCGGGCACTCCCAGTGGAAAGAAACTAACCTTGGCCTGCTTCTTGCTAGCACCAGCCTTACCCTGGGGGTAAGGCATGGCAGCGGCTTTCTTTCCAGACTTGGGAGGCTATCATTGAGAAAAGAAGATCAGCGATCGTGTCCACCAAATGCTGCATCTTCTTTTAACTCTAGAGAGGACATGAGCCAGAGCCGTGTTACGGGCCCTGGTTCATGCCTCCAGCCATATCATCACCAATTGCCCACCATCTCTTTCGAGACGATGTGCAACCGGCGGAATTGCTTCGAGACGACGATCTCAAGCCAGACGAAATGTCTTACGACATATTCGCTGTGTGTAGTCGAAGGCTCGCTAGAGCTGAACGAAGTTGTTCAAGTGCTTACCATTGTTGTCGGTTGTCGGGGTGCGCGGGCTGGGCGGTTGACAGAAGGAAAGAAGAAAAAAAAGAGGAAGCGACGGAAAGAAGGAGTGGTGGTGGTGGGTCGTGCGTCATGTGACTGGATTAGGGTTAGGGGTGTCGAAGTCATGTGATATGTTTTCCCAAACGGGAAATCGTCACTAGTAACTACTAGATAGTGGTTTTCAATTCTAATCATAGAATAAATCGCAAATAGTATGCCAGGAATATGCTATATACAACCATGATGGACCCGCTGAAAGACAATTCTATACTCCAGCAACCCAAACGCCATGCTACAGCCAATATTACCGCCAGGCCCCCAGACCAGGAAGCGCACCCCGTCCCAGACTGGTACTCGCCGCCTGGACAGCCTTCCTCTTCCCCAAAGAGCCCTCTTGGCTGCGCACGCCGGCAACAATCTTCTCGATATTCGTCTCAACAACGACACCGCCAACGATCATCTCGCCCAGAACGGCATGCATAGTCTCATATCCAAAGATCAGATCCAATTCGCAAACATTCTCAAACATGCGGTCCAGCGCCTCGACGAAGACCTGGATCAGATCGATGAGCGCCAGTGGTGATTCGGTCGAGGTGGAGATCATGATGAAGGAGAGGGTCGCATAGGTGCGGTATGTGATCTGGGTTGGGGCATCGGAGGGGCCGTGGGCAGCGGAGGAGCTGGCGCCGCGGGAGAGCAGCGGGGGCAGTGGGAGGAAGTTGCAGGCGCTTGCTGGGCGCTGGGCGACGAGATGGTAGATCTGGGCGATGAGGGATTGTTGCGTTTGGGTGTCCTGTATGGCGGGGTTAGCTGGGTGGAAGAAGAGTGCGCGGAGGGTGACAGACCAGCTGCGTGTAGAACTTGGTCAGGCGCGGCTGGCCAGTGTTATTGAAGACAAGCACGGCATTGATCATGGTGTGCGACGCCAGAGGATAGAGAGAGGCGGGGAGTTGGAGTGGGAGGAGACGGAGGAAGTGACGAGTTGGTTGGTTATCTTATCGTTCACAAGTGATGATCTTCCGCCGCGCAAAACACGATCCTGATTTCCTTGCGCCCCAAGCATGACCAGCATGCTCCTCTCCAGAGCTGCTGCAGCTACAACTCGATTATCTATCTCCACAAGGGCCCTATCCTCATCCTCATCCTCGCTCCCAACATCCACACCACCAGCATCCAACACGCGCGAACTCCAAGACCTCACCCCAACAGACCAATGCTACTACTGGGACACCCTACCGCCACAACCGACCCAACTCGCCTTCGCCGACAAGGTCTTCACACCATCCCGCCACTCGCCGATCAAGCTATGGTCCGCCAGCAAATTCCGCACCACGCCGCTCTCCTCGCTGGAGCCCGAAGTGGCCTTTCTGGGGCGGTCGAACGTTGGCAAGAGCTCCTTGCTGAACGCAATAATGGGCCAGGAAATCTGCTGGACATCTTCGAGACCCGGGCGAACGCGAGAAATGAATGCCTTTGGTATTGGGGGCACGAAGGGCGGAGAGCATAAGGTTGTCCTTTTGGATATGCCTGGTTATGGGAAGGCGAGTCGCTCGGAATGGGGCGCGGAGATTATGAAGTACCTCCAGGGTCGGAAGCAGTGAGTAGTGTTCTATTGAGATCTCGTGTGAGGATTCTAGGGACTGACTGGCTGACTGGATTGCAGACTCCGTCGAGCGTTTCTGCTTATAGACAGCGAACACGGCATCAAGCAAACCGACGCAGATATCCTGGGTCTCTTCCGGCGGTATGCCATTCCGCACCAGATCATTGTGTCCAAGGTAGACAAGGTCCTATCGAAGAAGAAGAAACTCAAGTTTGGTGTGTCGACTGCTGGCATTGAGCGGCTGCAGAGCATGCTCCGTGATCTCAGGCCTGTTGTCCAGCCGGATTTCAGCGTCTCCGAGGGACCCGGTGCCCTCGGTGAGATTATCACCGCTGGCGCTGAGACTTTGACTAGCACGGGTCAGGCGCTGGGTGTTAATGCCGTTCGCTGGGCGATTTTGTCGGCGGCAGGGATTGGGGAGGATATAGTGGCCAAGTGAGCTTGGTGAGTGTGAGATGGGATACGAAAGTCTCATCATCCTCTTTGTACCTCCTGAACCTGGAGAGGGTTATATCTCTTTTACTTGGTTCTTCTCACTGTGAACGAGACTGCACGAAGATAGACCTGCAAAGGCCACTCCTCAATGCCAGGGTTGATTGATAGCCGTGCATTGTACAAAGGTATTGAGCCATTTCGTCCTCTTGCACATGTTGCTGTCTATACTAACTTGAGGATTCCAGTTGTTGCGTTCTCTATTGTACCATATTACCTCGGAGGACTGCTCCTCTCCTACGAGCCGTGAATACTGTTGATGCATCTGGACTGGTGTTTGATATCATGTTTGTCCCAGCAGGACTGGGTCACCCTTTTTTGTACTATATCTACTCCCATACTCGGCATGTAAGACATAGTCTCATCTGGAGACGATATATCCTCCCCATTGGAACCAAGCTTGGTCTATATGACTACCCGGGTCTTGAAAAGACTACGACACCAGAGAAATACAACGGACACAGCAATAAACGCACAATCATTGACAGGTAATCTATTAAGAAGCATAAAACCAGAACAGATGAACAATCCCCAGAACGAATCATCGTCGATCGGACCGAGATTCAAAAGGGGAAAAAATCAGTTGTGCACGAAGAGTAGAGGTCTTGGACAAGATGCAGAAAAGAGGCGGGGACTGGAAAAATTCAGAGGATGGTTTTGCCCGGGGGAATGTTGATAAGAAATCAGAAGCAGTCAATGTCAATGTCAAGTCAAACGCCTGTTTCCCCCATCGTGTTCTGTGTAATGCTGCTTAACCAAACAATGCCGACCGCGCTATGCAAAGGGGTTCCCAATGGAGACAAGAGCCGTAAAGATGGGTATCGTGAATGGGAGCAATGGTTGTCCGTAAGAGAGGTAGAGGGAAAGAAAAAGGAAAATGCAGTAAAGGAGAGAGTTTCCTCCAGCCGGGTGTAGGGCTCAGAAGAAACAGTTAGGATTGTTGGTTTTAGTCGGAATCGTCGTCGATATTGTCGTTGTTCAATAGCTCTCGCCCGCGCCGGTTGACGACTGTCCGTTTGCCAAGTCTACTTTTTGGCAGGCCGTCACGCCCAGCGCCGAAATCGAGAACCTGGGAGCAAAGACGTCAGCATGGATACTTTCTTAGGGATCTAAAGTTACTCACCTCAATGTATGTGAGGTTGTCACGCTGCACTGCCGCGACACAGCGCCGGTCATTGAACTTGACCTGCCAGACGCCGGTGAGATCGGTGAGCAGGTCGCGCACGCACGCGCCATTGCTCACGTCCCACATCTTCAAGGTCCGATCCGATCCTGAGATAACCTTTTGGCCATCATGCTGGAAGCAGGTGATAGCACCGGTGTGCGCGCTTAGCATGCTCTTGCACTGGCCATTCTCAGGATCCCAGATTCGAAGGGTGGAATCTGCAGCAGCTGAGACGAGGCGGTCGTTCTGCAGGGCAAGAAGGCCGACTAGAGATGTGTGGCCCTCCAGGTTATACAAAACGGAACCGTCATCCAGTGACCACACCTTGACCATGTGGTCCATGGCACCACTGATGCAGCGGTTCCGCGCATGGTCCAAGACCACGCTGTACACCTTCATGGAGTGGCCCTGCAACGTATGCAAGACCTGTCCAGTAGATATCTTCCACACTCTCACCGTGCAATCGTAGCTTCCACTAACAAGAGTATCGCCATGGGCTGCAATGGCACGAACAGAATGCTGATGGCCAGTAAGGACGCGAACAAAGTATGGGCAATCGGAATCATCCACAAGACCTCCATTCTGGAAGTATACAGGGTCCCCAGGCTTTGGGAGCTTCCACACCCGCAGGTTCGAATCACGAGACCCGGTGATGATGAGTGGATGCTTGGGCATCATTTCGGGACGACCGCGCTCATCCTTGCCTACCTCAGTGGGAAGAACGATTTGCAAGCACCGGACGGTGGAGGTGTGGCCTTGAAAGACCTGGGTACATCTAGCTCGCTCGATATCCCACACACGAACCGAACGATCGGTGGATCCAGACACCAAGGTATTGCCGTAGTATTCAAGAGCCCAAACGCCACCATCATGGCCTTCCAGGGTCGCTTTCAATGCGCCGGTCTTGGTGTCGTACACGTTGATATTGGTATCATCACTTCCGGTCAAGATTTTGTCCGTATCGAACTGGAGGCAGGTGACAACATGACGGTCGTGAGCACGGAAAGCGATATGTTGGGGCTTGACATTCGGTTTCATCCATCCTCTGCGAATAGCATGGTGCCGACGGTAGAGAGACTTGTGCAGATAGAGGCCGCGAAGCGAAGGGAGACCGATCTCCGGATATGGAACAGCTATGGCTGCAGCATTGGCCGCTGCGTAAGGAGCCTCCGACGCAGCAATGTCCTTCTTCCAATTCGGTTCGGGGTGGGCATTCCCGCTTGACGAGATCTTACGCTTGGCAAGCTTGCGGCTCGAGGCACGAGTGTTTGCCTTGCGCTTAGACCGCCGGCCAGATCCCAAAGAGCCCAATCCCAATGATGATGCTCTATCACTTGGGCCAGAGTTTGAAGAAAGGACGGGAGACATCTCTTTATCACCCTTGACCAGAGACTGCGAGCTAAGGTTCTTCTCGGGCTCTTCGACGCCGCAAGGAAGCTGCCAGCCCCAACCCTCTCTGATGGCTCGTTCTAATTCTCCATCTGAGAGCACGAAGCCATCCCGGTCAAGAAGCTCTTTCCAGGTCTTCTCATCGGAGTTAACAATGTGTCTCCACTTCTTGGAAACCTGAGCGGCACGGCACATGGTCTGAACATCAAGGTATTTCACGATATTAAGGCTGAGTTCGAGGGGAAGAAGAGACAGGAAATCACACTTCAAAGTCGGGTTGACAATGTCGGCCACGAAATGCAGAGTAGGCTTGGGGCACCGACGGAGAAACTGGTACATGAGATATGTTTTGAGTTCTTCGGGCACAGAATCGAAAAATTCCAGCACCTTCGGCATATCCAGCAGAGATGTCGAGCGCGAAGCTGAGTCACTGGTTGGTTGGAGACCGAGGGCCCGTGAAGCATCAGTCTCTTCGGCTCGGAGAGCTTTCGGGAAGCGGGAGATACTATGATCTAGACTGGAATCCGTGTCAACATCAAGCCCCTCAGACTCAAAAGAGGACTCGGCATGCATGGCATTCATGGCCGCCACGGGAGACAAGCTGGGGCTCGGTAGGCACATGTCCTGCGCTAAAGCATTTTCAACAGCGGAGAGCGAAGTTAGTTGTTCTGGCTCCTGCTGCACAGCAGGCTCTGCGCTCGTATCAGGCTGCTGCGAGGCCGATCCACTGGGAGCGGCCCCGTCCGCCTCGGCTTCATTATTTGGTCCGCTCCTCGAGGCAGATCCTGCACGACGAGTGTTGGCCGGTCTATTCGACAGGAAAGAGTCCATATTGGGGGGTTGCGGAGCCCCAGTTGCTCCGACCTCGGATGAGAGAGGTGACCGGAGCAGAGGCTCACTGCGCGGAAAAGCCGCACTGTTTATCCTCTGCCGTGTAGCAACGCCATCCCCCGGGGCTGGCATCTGGTGTTCGGTCTCTGGCGTGGCCAACCCAGCAGGCGACAGGTGAGTGGATGTAGGGCCGCCATGAGTGCGGGTACGCCGAGAGATCGGCTCAGAGATATTTCGAGTGGAACGCGTTCGGGGCAATGCTGAAAGGCGTGGCTCGGGGATGGAAATAGGAGAGACGGGCCGGTGCCGAGAGAGACCTGAAGCGTTGGTCGACAATCTTGGCGGTGCCAGTCGTCGGGATGGGTTCTCGCCTTCCGAGGCAAACGAATTCACGGACCGAATCAGACCATTCAAAGTTTTCAACGCGTCGTGCTTTTCCTTCAGCTGCAAATAACGTTAGTACTTTGAGACTAGAAAGAACATGATCTCACTCACCTCGTGGACCGCGCCGGCGGAGTCTTCCGGCTCATTGAACACGATCGATCGGTCCCCGATTTTGAACTTGAGATTTCTCAACGAGGCCGGAGTTGGAGACGACGCGAGAGGGTACTGCCGGGTATCTAAGTCCTTGACTGCGCGCGGAGGTTTGATATTCAGAGGAGGAAAGGATGTGGTGGTAGTAGTGGTTGTCGTCACCACGGTGGTGCGGGTGGTGGGGGCGAAGGAAAACTGCCCTAGGGCCTCATTCGGATGCCCTTGGCCGAAGGTGTCTTTATTCTGCCCATCCATCTCGCGTTTTTGCGAGAGTACGAGGCGAGAATCCGGACCGTGGGTGGCACGGGAGGGAGGATGTAGGGTGGAGGAAGACGCGTTCGGACCGGTGGCCGGGGTAACTTCGGAAAGTTGAGGGCCAGAAGGGTTCGAAGTCATGATGGAGTGCTCTCGAGGGAGAGGCACTCATGAGGAGACCGCTGTGGTGAGAAGGCAAAAAAAAAGCCCACAGCCTCAGCGAGATCGGAGTGATCCGAAGATGCTTGCAGAGCACAACCGTCAGCACGGTAGACGCACGCAAGAGCATCCAAAGGAGGGAGATGGGAGGGATTAGAACATAGTGGAAGGAGAAAAGGCAGAGGTGTGAAATGCGAGACAATAACAAAGAGGAAACAGGTTAACGGCCGAGGGTGTTGAAGCAAGGAAGGCAGAGGAAGAAGGGGAGAAGAAACAGTGGCGGCTGACAAGGCAAGAAGGAGTTGGGGCGGAGAAACAACAATTACTTCGGTGGCCAGCCACTTTTTCTTCTCTCACAGGTGCTACATGTGAACAATAACGAATCGTATACTACTGCGACTAATATGAAATGATTTTGATTTGGTCTTCCCTGCCTAGCACTCCTTTTTGCTCGTTCACTCCCTCAATAACGCCGCAGGCAACTCCACCTCCTTCCTCTCCCCAGTGTGGACAGAATGATTCACTACTGCTGCCCAGCCTGGCACACCTTCGCATCGTCACACAGCCTGCCTGTTCACCTATTACCCCTGTGTGTATTATTTCCTCGTCATCCC